CCCCCCCAACGCCCCGGAAACGTCTTGCAATAAAACAGTAAGTCCATCAAACTTCAAAAACGCCGCCAGAGACAGATTGACAGCCAGATGTCAAGTCGACCTCGTGGGCTAGACCTTGCTAGCCGCATTTCGAACCGACCCAAGACTTCGGCAATGTACCTAAGTGCCTGCTTCTAGAAAAGCGGCTTCTGGAAGTGTCGGTTGAATCATGCATGTTCCCAGATCATGAAGGCAGCTGCCGCCTCGTCCTTCTTGTTGCTTGATAGGGAGTGGCTTTCCTTGGAGCTGCAATGGCAACGAGCAGATCGGCGTCGAGAAGTTGCTTCCAACTCCCGGTCCAACCACTGGTTTCTGCTGCCGACTCTCACTGCTGACACCTTTCCTTGACACGTCTCACAGACTCATCAGCCGAGAGGAGACATATGACTCCTGCCAGGCTCTTGGTTAAGGACTCGTCATATTGTGTTGCCCTGCGAGATGGCTGTCCCGCCATGAACGTTCGCGGTGCTGAGAGCAATGTGTTGGATCAATGTGTTGTGCTCCTTCTGGGTATTTGAATATTGCGACCCTTGGGCGACTCTGGTTGGAACCTTCAATCATACGGTGTAGTGCTGCTGGTCATTTCTTTCCAATTGACTGGGTGCACAAGAGCTGTCAACGTATAAAGGGCCTGTTCCGCTTTGAATTTCAAGGAAATCTTTGCGCTACACTGCTTGCCACACAGCGGCTCCGAAGGAGCAAAACTCTTCATATACCAGGACATTCTCGAACGAACTTTTCCATCTTCCTGTTCTTGCAGCAGAGGTCATTCACCACCGCTATCGCCATTACCATCACTATGCGCATCCGAGAAATTTACGCTTTTTGGGGGCTGGGTCTCCTGCTAAGCAGCAAACTTCTTGTGACTGCGCTTCCAACCTTCGACTACATGTGGAGCCATGTCAGGACCGAGCACATCTACAGCAGCAGCGATGATTGCGACCCAGCAAAGGAGGCTTGCTTTTGGCCGGGGTATGCCTTCTCCTAACTGTGATTCTCCTGCAAGTGACCAATGCAAACATTTCCAGCAGATTCTTCCATCTAGCCATTGAATCCAACGAAGAGAGTGACCCGGCGGTGAGGGTCCCCGCGGCTGTGTATCCACATGACACAACTTTGACTGCTACCGCTACCGACGACAACACCGCTACTTCTTGCACACCAAGCGCACAGGCTGCAGTCACAACGGTCCCGGATTTGAAGTTCCAACGCCGTGATGAAGATACAGGCGTCATTCCGCCTGCTATTCAGTCTCAAGAGACCACCCTTCCCCCCGCCAACCCTACGCCCTATCCCTGCGCAGGGGTGATCCAACCATGCGCACCAGGCTACAAGGTCCTACTCTTCAATGGCATGTGCATCTGCTATTATCTTGGGGGTCGCGGCGATGAAGCGAGGTGAGGTGTGTCCCAAAAGTCCGGGTGGGCTCGCGGAGCGGACTGGGTTCAACTTGGCGAGGTACATTCACCCGTGTTACCCTGGGTGGAAGAATTGGAGAAGATTGTACTGACTACCTGTCCTTCCTTGCCTGCAGCACGGTCACTTTACCGACAACATATACTGCGATCCCTCGGGTATAGCAATACACGTGTTCGCAATTTATTGTGGTACCATGGCGTCGGCAGGATTGCTTATCGTTGGCAGGAGTGGGCAAGTGGCTTTTCGAGTGATATGAGTGAATGAATAGGCATGCTGGACAATTGACGATAAACCCACGTTCACTGTTACAAGCAGCAAGACAGGTCTGAAATGTTTTTGGCGGCGCGAATCTCACTGCCGACCTAGGTACTTTTTCTACGGGCATGTTTGACGCGGCTTTCTTCAAATGAGATACCACTCTGAACCAGCCCGATCTTCCATCTATCTTGTGCCCATGGTCGGCTTTGCTCGGGGGTTTCAAAAACCTCATCGTCTCGTCTCCAGAAGATCTGATGCCAGTTGTCTCGTCCAAGGCTCGTTCATGCTCTGTCAACCATCATGGATGGCATGCTCCGATATTCCCCCCGTGCTAGTTTTGATTAAACAGCTATTGGGTGGAGGGTGGGTTTGGATTAAACCTCGCGCATACAGTAGTTTTGGTTGGTCATTGGATACTCATTCTACAGATGACAGGAGATTCTGACCCAATCTCGCATCGTTCTATATATGACACAATGGGAAAGCTCCTGATGCTATGTTGCCGCTGGCAGAGCAAAAAGACTGGATATTCAAGCAAAGGGACCTTCAATCTTCAAGGGGCTCCTTTACACCTTTACTCGGCTTTGCCACAAGCTGCTGGACACGCTCAATTTGATGTTGATCGAATGCCCACATCCCGGTCTGAGCACTCAAGCTCCCGAGCAATTCCTCCATAGTCAACAAGCCGCCTCTTCTCACTGCCCTTCGCAGAAATGCAACGACCAGCGCCACCTTCTCCCAGTCCACTTGTTCATCCCCGCGAAATAGATTCCTCCATATCGCGCTCGCAAGGACCGCGTCTCCCCTAACAAGCCCTTCGTCGTACGACACCAGGATTCCCCGCCACTGCAAAAACAGGTCCTTGAGGTATCGGCTCCGGATTCCCTGGGCGGAGAGATTGTGCAACACCACCATCTTGTCCTCCGCCGCTCTCGAAAAATGCTCGATCAGATACCGATGATAATCCTGAAAGTCGGCCTCTGAATCCAGCGCCGCGCGCAGATGTGTTACAATTACGTACATGTGTAGAAAGGTAACTTGTGACCATGTCGAGAAGGTAGGCGGCATATCAAGGGTGTTGAACCACCACGAATCCTTGTTTTCGGACAGAGGTTGTCCCAATTCGGCTCCCTCTTGTGCCGTAGCTTTCGGAGGACCCTTTCCCGTGAGGATATTCATCCGTTGATCCTGTGGGATGGTGTAGTCGGCTGGTGCGGCGCAGGATTTGAATAATGCTTCGGTTTGGCCGTAGATAGTATAGGTTCTTGTCGCGGATGGGACGTTTCTCTTGAGTGATTCGGCGAGACGGATAGGGATGCTGGACTTGTTCGGTGGATTGCTGAGGTGCGATTGGATTTGGCGCTGCATCTGTGACACGCTCACACCGCCGCCGGGGGAGATGGGTTGTGCAGAAGATTTGTCTTTTCGTTCTGGTGGTGGTTCCGATGTAGATTTGGATTGGGGGTCAATGCTAGGAAACGAGGTTGTCACATTTGACGTGACGGTGGGAGCTGTGGTGGGTGGAAGCGATGGATTCCCTGGAACCTGTCTTTGGTTTCGAGGAGCATCTTGTTGCCATTTTGTAGAGGCGGCCGACAGATATCGTCGACTTGAGACGGACGGGTTCCGAATGCGTGACGTCTGCGCAGAAGACTTTGTCAATTAGTCGTTGAAGACGCGGGGGCTGTATCGAGGGAGCTTAACACACGTTTGTCTCTGCTTTGACACTTTGCCTTAATGCTCGAAGGCATTGAGAGCATATGCTAAAGGTACTCATTGTGCTGGGCTATGGCAAAATGGAGATGGCGGAGCTGATGTATGGGAGCATCGAGTCACGATCCAGAATTTCTTCTCCTCGCGTCAATGAGCTGCGAATATTGAGCGCGTCATGGAATTAAGTAGTGCATCCGTCTGACGACTGGGCAAACCCCTCGAAATGAGCTGGATTTTGTTGACTCTGACTGGGACTGTGGTGTCAGACCAAATCTCCTTTTTCGCAAGGGCCAAGAAGGGCCTGATTCGGCGGAACTAAGATACCTTAGTCATCATGCTTGGCAGATTTACAGCTTTTGTCACACCTCGACGTCCTTAACTCAAGTACCCAGCCTCAAAATTCCCCGATTGGATCTTGCTCGCTTGTTGATCTTCTCATCCTAAAACGAGATTTCGGCCCCCTTTTGGTCTTCCAGATGCCAGTTTTGCTCTAAAAATAGAGTTGCTGACATAGTTCGACCCTTGCCTTTCTGGCTCTCGAGCTGAAGCTTTCCATTGCAAGTGCTTACCGAAGCTTGTCTCCGAGAAGGCCTCTCGATCAATCGCTTAGCCGCTCGCAGTCCCCGAGCTGAATTAAACCCTTCCAACGCCCCTCACCGCTGCGTTGTACCTGAATTTCCCTATATGGTGATAGCCCGTTGTTGGTTTCTACCTGACGGGTTGTCCGTGTTCAACGCCTGAGCATTGAGATGGGATGAAAGGCCCAAGAACATGCATTGGCTCTTGACTAAACAGACCAGCAATGTCAGTCATCTATGCACATATATATCCCAGGTGCACGAAGCAGGCCCGCGGACTCCGATCTTGTTATCAGTGCATGTGGCTGAGAGTGATCCTCGACCGGGGGTTGATGCCGCCCGTTTTTGGTAGTGCTTACCTCGTACGGCTCACAAGATTGCCTCACGAACCGCCTCTCCCAAGTCTCCAGCTAGCGATGGAGTCTACATGCGAGTATAACACATGGCCCTCCCCTTCTAAACCCCCAGTTTCTTGCACTTTGCGCTGCGGCTTAATTCTTTCGTGCGGGTTTCAAGCAACTTCTCTTTCCTGCACAGTCGCAGTGATGTCGTCCTTTTTCCTTCCTGTCGCTCTTTCTTTCTTGGCCAGATATGTTCTTGCAACACCTGTTCCAATTGTGACCGGCACCAATTTGCCTTCTAATATCGCTCAGCTGGCAGGTGGTGGTCTGCCGAACCAACCTGGCTCTCCCCGTGTCTCTCAATCTGGCTTGGGCAATTTCCAGCTGGCTAACTTCCTGGAGAATCTGGAGTCGGCTTTCTTTCAAGAGGGTTTGATCAACTATACACAATGGGGCACTGGAGGACAAACGAACGGTGTGAGCAATATGGCCGTGGTCTCACGCATTGCTGCTCAAGAGGAAGTCCATGTCGCCTCCATTGTGGGTTTGCTCCACGCAAACGGTGCCCAAGACGTCGCTCCATGCGAATACAATTTCCCCACCACGGACGAGAAAAGCTTTCTGGCGTTGGGTAATATCATCACCACCGTCGGCATTGGTGCTTTGATTGCCCTTTCAGATGGTCTCTCTACGACTGACCCGAGTATCGAGGCTACTGTCGCCTCGATTATTCCTGTGGAGTCCCGACATGACGCCTTTTTCCGCCTCACCGCAAACGAAATCCCCAATCCTACCACCTTCGAGACCAAAATCAGCGCTATCTGGGCATACAACTTGGCTCTCGACTTTATTGTCGGAGGCTCATGCACCAACCTGCCTTCTTCCATTACTTCTCTGCCAGTCTTCCCCGATCTGGGCATTGTCGGCTACGGTGCCCCCTCATTTGCAACCCCCAATGCTCCCGGAAAATTGATCTTCAAGGTCGGCCAACCCACCATGCTACCTCAAGGCTGGAACTCGGGTCCGCTCTACATGGCGTGGGTCAACCAGAACAACGTTCCCGCATACACCCCCGTGACGGTGGATGGTGACGAACTGCACGCGGATGTTCAGCCGGGAATGTTTGGGATTGCATTCGCCGCGTTGACCAATCAAAACACGGCGACGAATGTTGACGATCTGACCAATTCAATAGTAGCGGGACCATTGCCACTTCCGTTCAGTTGAGTCTCGGTGTGAGACGGTGGAGTCAATCGGGGATTCAATGATCGTTCACGAGGGTAGCAGGTGGCGCTGAGGAGTTTTGTGAGGATAAGAGAATACTGATTTATCGAAAATATCGTGCAGGCAGGGGAGACGGGCATTGTACGCATAAACTATGTAGTCGCAATCCATTCACAAGGCATTCCAATACCAAGTCTTCGTCCGTGTCTTACATTTTCAACCTGCATAACCAAACATGGCGCAGTCTGACACAGCGTGTTTCTCCGGTGCAAAGTGAGAGGCAGCTGTTCTCCCTACCCAGTGTCTTTCAATTACATATACTCCGTAGAGGTCGCTCTGTCCCGAGCACTTGCTAGTTGATCATCGTTTCGACACTTTTCTCTTTGCTAGAGAAGGCTTCACATTATGCTACTTCTCTCTTAGCTCGCTGGCTTGACCAAAACTGATTGACACTAGAACTGCAGGCTGATCAATCCCGCAGGAATGATCGACGAAAAGATTGGCGACGATAGCAGGGAATTCTCCTCGCAAACGCCTTCTTTCACCGTTCATGCAATGTCTGCAGGCATTGTGTCTCTGCTACCCGTTGCGCTGCTTCGTGTCATTCTTCCAGAACGAAGCGCTTGATAGATGCCACCACCGCTTTCCGGCCGCTATACTGGTGGCCTCGTATTCGGGCTACATGCTAGCAAATGCTAGTCACGCCCATTCTCGGCGGCGATCAAGACGAGGGCCAAGATGTCGAGTCCTGCCATCAACTTGCAACCAATTCCTCATCATTCCACTGATCTGCCATCAACCACGGGACTACCATTGCTAAATCACCGTTGTCTCATCAAGTTGACTGGTTGAGGCGATAGTAAGCAACTTGACGAATACCTCCTCCGAAATCCAAATGGAGGTTTCCTCGCCCAACGCGCCGCAGCGGGTTGTTGTCGTTGACATGTGCTGCTAAGCAACGCCGGTCCAGTCGGATCATTTGGATAGTCGTTATTGCGTGGATATGAAGGCGGAGGACACCCGATAACCTCGCTGGATGTCATGCTAACATGCCAAACCTCGTCTTCATCGACGTCCAAGACTCCTCAGGACATAATCAAAATATCATCAGGCGCCATGTTGCAGAGGGGATCCAACGCCAAAAGCGATTGGTCGACGTTTTTCGCTATCACAATCACTTGGCTGCCCGACAACCACTGGCCATACGACCGCAAAGAAGGGTACAGCAGATTGGAGAAGACGAGACGGGGGAGGAGCTGTCGTCAACACAAAACGCCGCGCCTCTTACCCGAGCTCGCCAGCCACAAGCCCGTCGGAAAAAGCACTCGCCGGATCCCAAGAGCGCGTTGATGTTTCGATGGAGGGCCGGAGGACCGACGGCCGTTAAGCCTCCCAGTGATGATATGAAGATTGAGCACGTTCTGAGCGAGTCGTTCAATTGGATGATGGGCCAATACACTACGTCGTGGTCCTCACTCGTCCAGCGTGACCCGACAGTCTTTGACCTTAATGGTGAAGTTGAAATCTTCAGGGAGGCTTTCTACGTGGTCACAGATCTCTTGGAGCTCGGGAAGATGGACGCGGCCTTTGCGGTCCTCAGGCAGACCTTGGATGCTATTCCGCCGATCTTTCGGAACCCTCATCCAGAACTGCTGTTCACTCTTGTGGAACTTGCTTATGGGATCAACATGGCCAGTGCCTCGGATCTCCATGCAAAGATCAGACCGCATGTTGCTGACCTGGCATCCACGATTTTGGGCACCAAGCACCCACTCACGATCCTATTGAGGTCCGAATTCAGTGCCGCCTTGAAGACTCATGTCACTGAACTTGTGTTCAAATGCATCATCGATGCACTTTCGAAAACTTTTGGATATGACGCATACCAGACATTAGTCCAGCAGATGGGCCGATCCCAATTTTATTCGCGAACAGGTCGAAGCGAAGAAGGTCAAAAGTTGATTGCAGATATTCAAAACCGATGGATGCAACAGTATGGAGCCAATTCAGCGCTTGCAAGACTCGCAGAGCTCGAGCTGTGTCTTATGCGGCTGCAAGGATCCCGTCATCTGGGTCAAGGATCTCATCTAGATCCTGCGCTAGAGGCCCAAGCGAACAACGCAATGCTGAGGATTGAAGTCATGGCTGGAGTCTACTCAAACAAGTTTACGGATAAACCTTCAGATCATCCCAAAGTCCAGAATCAATCCCCCATGACGATGGCACTGGCGCAATGGTTTCTTCAGAATAAGCGTTACTCCTTTGCATTACACTGTTACGAGCGTGCAAAACAATCCACGGCGGACAGCCATCTCACTTCGAACAGACCGCTGGCAGATCTCATCGCTGATACGACAGAGAGTGCTCTGCGCGATATGTTTTGGCAGCCTAACGCTTTGTTGATACTTCCATCCCAGGCTTCTGTGCAAGAAAACGTGATGGCTATCTCCTAGGCTCGTCGATAGGGACGCTTCCTCGAGTAGGCAGTCAACAATCACAACCCACAGACGACCCCCGGGCTATATGGAAAGGCGGCTAACTATCTCTCTAAGTCTGTGCACATCTGCAGAACGCCGCATGGCAGTGGCGAAGGCGAGCTTTGGGTATGGCGGCGATGAAATGCTGGCTCTGGACAGGCTCGAAAACGTCGAGGCCATCTCGTTCTCTGTTTGAGCGCCCTTGGTGCGGCATCAATCACACGCTTCTCACCAGCTTGTCTCTATGTCTAAGCCGGTATCGAAATTAATCACCTGCTGTTCCGTCGCGATTTATCATGTGTGCAGCAAAACATCACAGACCAAGGAAAGTCGTACCGTTGGACTCATGATATGTCAGTCTCACGGATGGATAGCCGCATGGGCCGCGCCCGCAGCAAGAGCGCGCTGCCGTGAGTGGTACAAATCTGAGAAGAAGATTTGGGTCAAGATCACTCAAAATTGACACTCTTTGCAACATGCATAGCGGTGTGCTTTGATTGCTCGTAGTGTTCTACGCCGTTAAGAATCCATTGCAGGTGCGTCTTTACCACTCTCGATATGTCAGAATTGGGGATATAAAGTTCTAATAGGCTTAAGGTGGGCTTTTGCTCAGATGCTTCTCTTCGTCTCTATAACGAGGTCGTCCTACATCAGCCTGAAGGAGCAGGGCACGACATCCTGCTGATGCCAGGAACCGCCGCAAGTTATCCGCACCCACATGCATTTCTCCGATATCAAAGACAAGTATCTCCACAGGTGATACACTCCGATACTCAACTGCGTCCCCGTCGACGTTCACATCAAGGCCCTTGGATGTCGATCTGGAAATGAAGTCTGCTGCCACGGGCCAAATTCGTCGCTCGAATGCGTCGCTCGAGAATTTCCAATTGACATAACCAGAAGCTCCTGGCGGTATAATGCAGGCGCTTCCGCTACGGTTTTGCCGCTTGAAAGCGAGTCCTATTTCCCTTGTTCCGCTCGGGCGTGAAGCACGTCGCCAACTTGAATATGACAGAAACAAAGAACGGATTTTTTTGAAATATATTCGCTCCACTTGCGGACAAGAACTTCCACGCGAGATTAGGGATGACTGTGGCCGTGTCTTTCATCATATGAGCCTCCACAAAGGTGCATGCGATGGGGATTTCATGCAGAGAGTAAGCTCAGCGCATCGTGTTGAAGATGATTTCGGGAGCTTGATCCTGCATGCAATATAAAGTGGTCTTCTGAAAGCACCTGGTGCTTTTTCTAGAGGCGCCCTCAGGTCTGAATTATCGAGGTTATTGGACGCAATGAAGAGCGTTCTAGTCACTCTTTTTATCAGCCTCGCTGGCCTCGTGCTGACATCTGCAGAACACCATCCAGGTTTGTTTTCCTTACCATCAGAATTCCCACAATCCTATCGCTAACAGCCAAGTAAGTTATACATAGCCGACTCCTCCGCCGTTGCGACAACGAAACACACCCCTGGTATTATGGGAACGACACGAATGCGCCGTCATCTTGGGGAACTGAATACTCTGAAACAGGACAACCTCAGCTTACAAGCTATCCATCTTATCGGCCTTGCGGGGGGGAGCTTGATGGCCTTCCGTGCTCTTCCTCTAGCATGGGAATCGGAGCAAGTGTGACTTCTGCCAGCGACAACAGTTCTCGAACCCTCAGTACCAGTCCAGAGCAGAACACCCTTGCTACAACCTCGTCTCTATCAAATCAGACAATAAGCCGAACCGGCGGCGGGACGGCAAGTTCTTCAACAAGCTGGTCGTTTGGTAACACGACCTCTTCTGCTAGCAATACCGCACCTACATCAACCACTTTCTTGGTCAGTAATACGACAATCGCTTCTGGCGAGAACACTTTTCCGATTCCTTCCTCTGAATCAAGTATCTCTACAACAAAGGAAACAACAGTGCCAGGCTCCTCAAATAGCTTCTCAGTAACATTCACAACGCTTCAGTCCACTACGACAATCTGGCCCGCCCCTCCCCACAATCTTTCTTGTTCTTATCTTTCAGGCTCAAGTTGCGTTCCACACCACGGCACGAGGCCCGCATGGGCTACAGGAAGGCCTACGGGGGGTCCATTATGGACGAACTTCTCATCGCTAGCCTCAGGATATACCTCTCCAGCCGAGACCGACACCTCGCTAGAAAGCGATGACACAGTAATCACTATCACAATAGAGGCCACTCCGTCCCCAATTACGCCTTCTCCAGTGACTCCACCGCCCGAGGAAATCACACTGACAGCCACTGTTCCCGGAAAGAGTATTCATACTTCTTTCAACCACTCTGGCCAAGGAACAACATCACCGAGTGGCACAGGTCCTGAGAGCGGTTCACCTTGGCCTTCTGATTCCGGCCCTATAACCATGACCATTGTGGTAGGAAGTAACATGACGAGCATTATTTCGAGTCAGCCATTGGCTTCGACGATATCTCCCTCCAATTCGTCTCTCGTTTCGGCCATTTCAAATTCAGCATCGACAAGTAGTTCGGAATCGCAACCAGTCCCCGGTCCTGCGTCGGAGTCATTTACATCCTCAGTCTTGACACCATCAGCTGGTAGCTCATCCGGGTGGTCTTCCGTTGGGTCGATCTCCTCGCCAATGACCAATGCAATGACATCCAGCACAGAGATATCACCTGGCAACTCAACGGCAACAGGACTAGGTAACGCGACTATAACATCGGTTCTAAGCAGCAACTCGGGTATTCCATCTGCAAGTATAACCTCGTCGCCGTACTGGACCAATGCCACAGGCAGCGCGCCATGTTCCCTGACGCCTTCATATCTTTGGCATGACTGGAATTGGACCATGCCCTCGGCTTCAAGCTATAGCAATAATCCCAACACTACGAACGTTACCTTCACGTCAAGCACGGGCCCAGCGAGTATGTCTCAGCCAACCACACCCAACTCTGCCAATGCAACTGTCACCAAGGATAACAATAGTAGCCAGCCTGTAGAGACCTCAACTACCCCCTCGACAGAAGCATCCGCTACAGCGCATACTTCCACAATCACCTCCCTTAGTTCTCTCCGGGGCACCCCTACAGACACCCCTTCATCAGCCAGCCAACCGACAAATGGCACTATAACCCCCACAACAGGCGATTGGTTTGCAATGACCACGCTCGGCGACGGAAGTGTTTTGACGACGTTCTCAACGCATTTTGGCCTGGCGCTACCTACATCTGAGCCTAGCAACAATGTGGCTATGGGTCTCTCGTCGTCAGTGGGACATCATGTTGTCATTCCTCCAAAGAGGATGGCTGCCTGGGCGAGGATGGAGGGAAACTGATTATGTTCGGCGTCAGATATACGTCGAGAATATGGACGAGGTCTGGAGTAATGTTTTGGCCACACACTTGGTCGAGGAGAGAGCGCCTGCGGGGGCTGTTATCAGTTGGCTGCCATTTACATTGTATGGAGTCTTTTTTGAAGGACAGGTGTGGAGAAGTGTAGTGGAATATCAAGACCAGATAACTTTTTAGGCGAAGCTAATGAATCTCAACGTTGAGAATATGACCTATTTGAAGTCCGCCCTCATGTGGTGCAGAATGCTGATTGACGGCACTAGTCTGATCGTCGTCTTTTCTCGGTCGCTGCCTTCAAGTATCTGGTAGTAGGAGCTCGGATGGAGATTCTGCCCTAAGTTCTGGGGCTCTAATACCATCCGCTCTTCGGTCCCATTGCAACTGCGGACTGTGGGTGTCGAGATTTTGTTTGGGCAGCAACACCGAAACCTGCCACTGCGAATAGACTGTGCCCAACGACTATTTTCTCCTGCCCAGACACAAAGGGTTGCGGCTTCAGCACGTCGTCATGAGATCGCCCCTCAAATTAGGCATGTAAACCATACCGTTGCCCTAGTATTGTGCTCAGTGGCATACTTCAAGGTTGGACTCTTTTCAAGAACGTTCCCACCTGAACAGTGAAGTGGGCATCGAAGTTTTGGCCTCACCCGGTCCCAGCAAGGACTGGAAGCGCAGTCCGGAAATTTCCGGTCCTCGACCGCACTCAAAGGGTGTGTTTTGGAATGGATGACAATAGGCAATGCCTTGCTCTCTTTCATTCGGACTCAATAGGAGTAAGTGGTGCACTGCTAATGCCGGACGTCGCTGGAGTTGCACTCTCTTCTTGTCCAGGGCGCATGCTGGAAGAAATGCGCGTGTTGGCCAAGGACTGACGCGCCCATTCTGCAACTGAAGCCGCAGGGCCGCCGACGATTGACACGGGTAGTAATTCTGTATCCTTGCCGAGAACAGTACCTTGGTAGCGAACTTCTTCGCCGGTTTTGCTGTGGCGCTTTTTCAATACTGCTTGGAGCCAACGCAGTCAGTTCACATTTCTGTCACTACCACCTAACTTCCCGGACCTGGCAGACAAACTGGCCAAAACTTCAAAAATCACGCAGGCTAAGGTTGAGATTTGAACTTACCAGATAGATAATCTTCCTGCTCGTCCAAACCTGCCGCAATCTCCTCCACATTCACATCATCACCGAAGCCTGCAATTCTCCTGATCTCCTTATTGACCGGCCCGTACGCCCAATTCACAAACGCCTCGACTCCTCGTAAATCTTCGAACGGGACCCATACCCCTTCCACGATCTCCACATCGCCTCTCAAACCCTCCTCCACGGTGTTCATCTGGGGCGCCAGCGCTCCGGCCTGGGTCAACGCAAGCCTCACATCCTGAACAGTCGGTACGAAAGTGTTGTGCAGATTGAAGGCATTCTGAGCGGTAGAAGACGCCAATAAGAGAAGATAGCGAGCTGCGAGATCGGTGACGGTGTCGATTACAACAGGTCGCGCAGAGCTGAAGCCAGCAGCGCGAAGGATTTGAAGAACCGCCGGGCGCAAGAGCGCGGTGTGAAGGTCGGCCGAAGTCATTGTGACAGCCTGGTGTGGCGCGTTCTGCTCAAAGCTTAGAACGAAATTCTTGGAGTCTGATTCCGTTTCCACGACCGAAATAGTCAGAATGGCTAGGTCATCGCGAGGAAGTGCCGGTCCAACACCAGTTGCGGATCCAGCTCTTCGTGCGTATCCAAATCCAGTTCCAAACCCGCTGGTCAAGTGGGTGAAGCGCAGAAAGCTGGAGCACTATCGGCTCCCTGAGACACCATCAGCCTCCTGTGTGCGACTTGGGCTCAGGCCTGAGTTGCTGCTTCGATGGCCGGTCACACTCAGAAACACAATTCAATACACCAGTCCGTTCATCAAGAAAGAAGAGACGACGAATCCAAGTGTGGGAGAGAATTTGATATTAGATTCAAATGACGTGCCACGTTCCGGGGCAGCCGCCAATGATGCTGCACCATCAACCAGCCCAGGAGGCCCAGGGGCCAAAGGAGGCTCACCAGGCCCAGACGCACCCACCGAGACACCAGGTGTCGCCAATAACGGCAGCTCTCAGCAGGCGCCAGCACCACCAGCACCAGCCCCAGCGGCGGCTGATGCCCAGATCGCCACACTCAGGCCGCCACGGGCGCCTAGCGACTCAGCGCCCAATGATGGGCAACTGAGGCTGGTGCAGGCGCCAAAGCATGGCACGCGCAACACAAGCAAAGCCGCGGTGGCGCCCAAACGGCCCCCGGCAAAGCCCAGAAGTCGGCTGCACAGTCCAGCTCATCGTCGAGAACCGCAAGCCAAGTCTATCCTCAAACCTGATCCATCGTCCGGTGTTAGAAAGAGCCAACTCAGAGCATTTGACGCCAAAGGCAGACACAAGTCTGTCTCCGTCCGACTAGAGCCTGAAGTCCAGCACATCTTCGACGACTCTCCTATCTCCTGCCATTCCAACGAGGAGAATGACCCTCCTTCGCCTTCCTACATCAGTGGCTGTGTAACTGACGAGATCAACAACGACGACGACGACGACGACGACGACAACGACGACAACGGCACCACCACCACCATGGAGGTGTCTGGCACCCCCCTCCCACCCCCTGACAAGGCAAAGCGCCCGTCCCTAAAACTCAAGTTCCCCAGCAAACCTGCAACATCTCAAGCGGGAGGAGTTCAACCTGCACCAGCGCAGAGCCCTGCGCCTCAGAGTGCAGTAAGGACACCATCCATCAAGCTCAAACTTCCAGGCACAAGCACTCCCCGGGCGGGTCCTGAAGATGTCCCAAAGGCAAAGAAGAAGAAGAAGAAGGACACAGATACTGCCACCGGGACTCCGGGTTCATCTTCAAAAAAACGCAAACGCGACTCACACGCAGGCGAGGAAGACGATGGGAGAAATCGGCCAGCACCAGCTCCGCCCAAGCCTACCGCATTGCGAAAACTGACATTCAAGAAATCGTCCCTGCCCACTCCATCATCCGCGCCCAAGCCTACAGCAACAGCACACTTGGCATTCAAAATCAAAGGTAAAATCCCCAAGCGAGCGTTGGGGGTTGGCTACGACTCAGAACTCGAGAGCGAATACCAGAACGACAAGGGCGAAACGCTTGTCGGTCGCGAAGTCGACCCAGTCATACATGAAGGCTTTGTGCTACGAATGCAACCCGGAGATGATTGCGATTATCTACGAAAAGTGATCGAGGATGGGACAGCAGGCCAAGTACTAGCAAGAGGTGCACACGTCAATCTAAGGATGCTCGATACTCTAGGCAGGAGAGGCATTCTGCAGATCAAGGATCACAAGTACGCTACCTCGCTGGTAGACCTCCCATGCATTATTGAAGGAATGAAATCCTGGGACAAGAAAGGGTGGATCAAGAGTATAGACATCTGTCAGATGCTGTTAGTGCTTGGCCGTTGTAATAACGAGGAGGAAGCCAGGAACTATCCCCTGCCCGAAGATGTTGATCCCAAAACCTATCAATATGCTCATGGGCTTACGGCCCCCATGAAATGGGTACGGAAGAGACGATTTGCCAGAACAAAACGAGCACGTGTGGATGACATTGAAGCGGTTGAACGAAGGGTCCATGCTCTCCTTGAAGCGGACAAGGCGGCCTTGAGCTCAAAGTATCAACTTCTGGATCATGATCCGCGCCTCGACGAACATGGTTACAGCACCGAATTGGAAGAAGACGAAGATGCGGAGGGTGAGCCAGAAGACTATTTCGATCTACAGCCTGGTGTGCACGGTTCCATCGCAGAAACGCCAATGCTCACCGAAACACCTGTGCAGGAGGAAGTCGGGCAGGAGGACCTGGATGAGCTCGAACGCATGTTCTTTGACGAGGATGCCGGACCTTCCGCAGAGCCAACCGTTCAGGCTCGAAACACCTTGCATCCTCCTGAAGCAGGTGGTGACTCGTCTTTCGCTGTAACTAGCACATCAGCGTCCCCTTCGATGACCGCTGCACAGACACCTGTCTCAGCAGAACCCGCAGAAGCTTCTTCAGACGAAGACGAAGACGAAGATGCCGGTGATGAGGACGAAGACCGCGACGATGCCGACAAGGAGGGTGATGAGAATAAACGACAAGTTCTGGAAAGAATTGAGGACATGCAGAACAAGATTGCAGAACAAAGAGAGCTGCTCAAGAAGACAACAAATGCAATCTTGAAGAAGAAATTGGCGAGAAAGATTCAGGATCTGGAGGATGATGTCGCTATGATGAGGAAGAATGCCGGGTTGGGCGGAGACGAGGATGAGGATTGATTGAATAGGATCTTGAGGAGGAGGAATTACGGCACTATGTGCTTGTGACCCTGAGCATTTCTGTCGCTTTTGCAAAAGTTTTACGCTGCGAGGGAGACGGAGGAGGCCTCATGTCCCATCCATGCCCTTTCATGCACAGAAGATCCGATCGGGGGATGAGAGGGCGACAGAGTGACGATCCTTGTTCACGACGTTTCAGTTTTTCGGACGCATATGCATTCTGGAACCACGATCGAAGGTGGCACGGAATGGTGACGTGCTCTGCAGTGACGGATTCTTGAGCAGGACTGGGAGGACAATGCGCGGAACTGCATCGGGTTGAGTTCAGTGATGGTGGCCTCGATGCTCTCGGTGAGGACGATTAGAAATGGTTGGCTCAATGGGCTATGCATTGTATACCATTGTCCGGATTCAAATGTCCTCAGTCCGGCTCGTCCTTTGCATCTGTGGGTTTCCTTTTCATTGCATCTTTCTCAGCTGGCATTGTCGCCCATGTTTCCAGGCTTGTCCGCGCTATCCTTGCTTCTATACCGGCCCTCAAGCATCAGTCACGACGAACAATGCACAAGGAGTGGCCCAATTCGGGTGACTCGGGTAAGGGTATGTCAGGGAGGTGAAAGCCACGAAGCTGTGCTGGGACTTCCCTTCCCCCTTATTTCGCTCATTCTCCTTTCAGTTCTGTGCGACGTTTCTTTCTTATTCCACAAGATAGTGACAAGTGTCTCCTCTGTTTCGGTCTTGACGACCCATAAAGATCTGTTCCTCTTTGGCTTTCACCCTCGCTGTCTCCACCTTACTCTATGAAACGTTTCAGTATGCTACAATCCAGGTGTAGCCGACGGAAATTGGAGTGAGGTTAGCCATACTTAGGTGAAGCGTCGAAAAGCATGTCACTGAGTGCGAAGGCGAGATGGGGAGCGCAGTGGGGATGGTGGGAATCCCATGTGCACCAAGGGATATTGCAGGGAGCCTTGATGCAGCACTATTCAGGGCGATCGATCCAGCGATTGCATATCAGAACATCTCCAACCCCCCCCCCCCCCCCGGTTGGCGGATCTCAGGGATGAGGTGCACTTTGATCGGGCCTTCAGGAGGCAACTGGATTGACTACTTCTTATGAGTGAGATATTGGCACCGGTGCCATTAAATCCAATGTTGCTTCCATTCATCACGCCTCAGTACATGCGCAGGAAGATGGCTGTAGTTGAAATTTTCCATTAAAGAGGACAAAGAATAGGGACTCTCACGCAAGCAAGACTATGCCACCTCAAAGGCAAGCGAATCTCCATCGACCCAGCCGTAACCTTCCAGCAAATTTACGTCACCCTTTCCACATGAATCAAGATCGGCGCCCTGTGTCTCCTGGCGTCGTCGAGGGAAACGACGCATCTTGTGATCCGAGCTCCAGCGGTAAGCGGCGAACCAGACCAGTCTTGACCAGTATATTCACAGGTGTTCAAAGACTGGCCTTCCTGTACAGTACATACATACCCACCCGGCATCTCCGAAATCTTGGCCTCGGTGACGCGTCTTGACTACGCATACGAAGGACGCAGAAGCTCCCCCGAGCACAAAGTCGTTCGTGCAATCCCTCTCTTCCCTTACCAACGGATTTGGCTTGGCGCTAGGGTAAGCTTTGACACCAGTAGCTTACAATCCTGCACCTTGTGGATGTTTATGGGACTCTTTTTGCGAGCTTCTGCGTGGATGCTTGATTTGGGTACTTCTCCATGGGTCGAATGAGAGGGAAGAAGAGACGAATGCATTGGAGGGGGAGGTCAAACGCGTAAGGCGGCTGTCGCGAGGGGAGCAAGTTTCCTTACTGGCGGGAGGATATGGTGAAGCTGAGCACTCCAGACTCTTAAACTCGAACTTATGTGATCAGAACAGGTGCAAGCGCTGATTGAGGTTGTGACACAAGAAGAACGGCGTCTAGACCAGTCCTCGGGGCATCTCAACTGGGGACAAGAAGGAGGTGGTGCCAGTGGCTCGTATCACCACGGGCTCGACGGATCTGGAGCGGTGGCTGGGGAGGTGTGTTGCAACATGTGCAGGGGCTGAGGTGACCACACTCTCTTGACCTTCACCATTGGCTGCCGAAGAGCGCCACAAGCCATTGCTTGTCACCCAGGAACTCTCAGCATGTCGTTTTGAATGCTCCGTTTGTACGAGGATATCACATCGATGATCGACGTGCACCGCGCTGCAAACCCCGCGTCCAGTTGAAACAAGATGCAAATTGCCACAGGGTCAAGTGATCCGGGACGAATCCGGTCGAGGTAATAACCTCGCCGAGCACTGGAGGGGGAGAGACCGGGGAACAAGCGACAGACACAAGCTCGCACCAGAGCAGGCCAAGTGCGGCGCCATCGACAGCCGGGGCTCAGGCGGCCATGATGATTCGTGAGATGCAGGATGGCGTGTCGAGGAGAAGTCCGTGCCGCGTTGCAGGTGGCGTCGACGACGCGAGGGCCGGCGCAGGCGGTACTGGGTATGGATGTAATCGGCACAACGGACACAAGATGAGGATCAATGTTTGCGGGGAAGAGGAGGACATGGAGACGATGGCGATGGCTGATGGATGATAGATGTGCTGCTGGTTCCAACACATCGTTTTGGCGGAGGTGAAAAATGGTGCTGGGAATGAATCCGTGTCTCGTCCAGTGATCCGGCCTTCCCGCGCCCCGAGCTGGGACAGGCTACCTAGCCTCGCTAGGTGCCTACTTGTACTTGTTACTTGTACTTGGTAGGCGTAACCGGCCACCAAGGCACCTAACAAAGTAGGCTTGCGAGTAGCTTCTTTAACTAAACCGGATTCCAGCAGGTGCAAGAGCTGCAGCCTGCCGCCCATTGCAATCCGATCAGTGATCACCAGCCCTTGAATTAATTATTATTGCTCTTCTTCTCTCCTCGGACCAGGGACTCGGACTTGGTTTGACTTGGTCTGGTGAAGGAACTGCGCGCAGCTTTCAACCGGCGCCCACCATTCACCTTGACCTTCACCTCCACTCCACCCTCACCTTCTTCACAGAATTATATCCCTCACGCCTACCTCCCTCACTCGTACCTTGTCGCCCATCTTATCCACCGCGACTTTTTATCATTTTGAAGCCGCCGCATCACATCCTCCTTTCTCTCACCTCGGCTGAAATCACCCTATTGAAGAGTGCGTATTCATCTTCTGGGCCAATCCGCTCGCTGGAGCAAACGTTGCCTCTTCCCCTTGAAACACACCCTTCCCATCACCTCACGCCTTTGTCGCTCGGTCCGCCTCGTCTGAGAGAGGTTCCAGGCCCATACTGCATGCCAGAGGACCAGCTCTAATCTCACCCTTGGTTCGATTGAACGTTCCATCCTTCCTCGTCCTCCTCCTCGATAACCATCTCCATTACGAGGTACTCTCGCTCGCCACTCACTCCTCACCATCCCTTTTCACCGTGTTACCGCTCCTTTCCGTCTCCTTCTCATGTCTCTATCCATCAGCGGCCGACTCGAGCAATAATCGCTTCTTCTCTCCTGCATCCGTATTCGCCGACACAGCTTAGATGCTCCCATCAGCACCCCATTCCGCACCCACAATCTGCACGCTGACTACCTCTCGGCCGTCTCCTACTGTGCCTTGGCCGTCATATCTCATCTAAGATGGCCACTTCGACATCAGCTACCACAACTTCGCCCACTCCGAGCGCAACGGGGAACCCTGGTAACAATGGAGGCTCTGGTCCCAGCTCGCCACTGCTCTTTTTTGTGGCTCTGGGCTTCGGCGTTGTCTTTACCAATTTATGGTGAGCCTCACCCGTCGTCAGGGATCCCGTACCATCTAATCTTGTTTGTCTGCCAGGATCATTGTCGGTGTCAAATACTGCTTCAGATATAATCAACGTAACCGACAGCGCATGAATGGCGAAGACCCAGACGGCGTAGATCTAGCAGCGATGCCTCGACAACACCGCCGCAGACGCGAGAAGAAGCTGATGACCATTGAAGAAGTCAACGAAAAATTCCCATTGACAAAATACAAGACATGGCGTTCCAATCGTGCCGACGAGGGTTTGCCCACCGCGGGAGGGATAACGACTGCCTCTCGACCGGCTAGCATACACAATACTCAACGGGATTCCAAGGACTCGAAGGAAATCGAAGCTCAAGAGTTGGCGCATGCGCAAACAAACTCTACAGCTGAAGAGAAGTCTCCGGAGCATGGCGAACCAGAGGTGGTAGAAGCTGAAAAGAGTCATGTGGACAATCGACCTGTCACGCCATCTCGGCCCAAATCTACTCCATCAACAGTGACACCGGGGACTCCTGTGCACAAAGTCACCAGTCACGATGACGATGACGATGACGAAGAACGCATTCAAACAGCCCTTCCTGCCGAGCAATTACCTGATCCTGGCGACGCCTGTGCCATTTGTATCGACAACATTGACGACGACGATGACATCCGTGGGCTACATTGTGGTCACGCTTTCCATGCCTCGTGCGTTGATCCTTGGTTGACATCACGCCGTGCCTGTTGTCCTCTCTGCAAGGCGGATTATTACGTCCCCAAACCTCGACCCGAAGGTGCCGAACTGGATCCAACAAATGTGCAGCCCCCTCCAACGGCCTTTTCAATTATCGGAAATGGTCGACCGGGCAGAAGACCAGCAATGATCATACCGGGCAGATTCATGAGTATTGTGTATCATGATCGTGACCGGCATGGATTTCCCCTTGTGGTGCGTGCAGAACGGGCAGATCCGTCAGATCGGGAACAAGGTCGACGGCGACAAAGAGAACGATTACCGAGCTCAAATACTACCCCCAGTCACGAAGGAACCGAGACCCAGTCGTCATGGAGATCAAGATTCGGCTTGAGGATGCCAGGTCGTAGTCGACAAGTACAGACACAACCCGCGGCTCCGGAAGCCCAGCCTACCCCTTCACAGCTGGAAGCTGGAAGATGACAATGACGAAACCCCAGAAGCGATGATGATATGAATTTATGATAATCTCCCTGATAGGCTTCTTGGCTTTGGTTGGGATCCACCCGGACTTGGATAGGTGAAAAAGTCTTGGAGATGAACGAGTGCGACAGTGTCCACTGTTTGCGTGATGCTGGAATCGCTGGGTGATGGACGTGTTTGCATGGCATGGGTAGCATCTGCAAGTTTCCATGTCTGCAGCATATAACCGGCCAGACCAGACACAACATTTGCTCTGCGTTCAGTGGTGGGCGAGAGCTGCTATGGATCTTCTTGGGATGAACGCCCCGGGATATGATACCCCCGTCTCCATTTCTTGGCTATATGGCATACTGTATCTTTAGTCTCTCAGACTGTACTCGGACCTAAGACCAAAATGGACTATATTTTCTTGTGTTTAATTTGTTTTTCGATCCGACTCGACTGTATTCTGAGGTCTATGCCATTATGACCAACCCTGACGCGACAAGATAGGTTGAAGCACAGCGTTTGGGTGCGCATCCTTGGCAATCAGGAGGAGAAATATGCCAAACTGCCCTTCCCTCGCTAGCTGTTCAAGATATCGTCACTACACACCGATATTTATTACTGCTGGAAGTTCGGACCCCATTTCCTGAATAGGGCCGTTACTGTGAGAGTCGTCGTCGGATGTCTCATTCCCATGTCCAAATCTTGGCAAGGCTGGAACCTCCTGAAACTTTGCAGGTAACAGATGTCTAAGGAAAGACGAGACGAGAGCCTAGTCCCGCAATGAGGAATGTCAACCTCAACGTTGATGACAACATCAGTGTTCTCCAATTACGGCACGCAACAGGGTCTGTTACTCAGGAACATGACTGAACAACAGCAGCAGCCATCTCACTTCTCGGTCATCTCCTCATCTGCCCGTGTTCTGGCAGCTTGCCGCTCCACACTGGCCTCGACGTGCTCGGTCATGAGCTCCTTGACATGCTTGATGAAGATGACTGCGACAATGGCCAAGGCCACGAAGGGGATGATGCTCGCCCACGCCAGCCGGTATGCGCGTGCATAAGCCCAGTCCCGCGCGTTCAGGGCTTGGTCCAAGATCGTGCCGTTGAGGCCTCGCACCGCGTCGAATCCCTCCCCTGCCTGGATAGCCTTCAGCAGGTCCGGCACCGAGCTGGCTGGTAAGCCCGCCCCGGTGGCAGCCTTGCTAACATCACGAACAAGGGTGGCGTCGATCTTACCGTTGATGATGGCATCGAGGACAGCCGAGCCAAAGGCGCCTCCGATGGCGCGAGCGGACAAGGCAAAGCCCGAAGCTGTGGCGATGAAGGCGTGCGGCGCGGCAAACTGGACCAGTGCGAGGATCAAGGTCAATGGCCCCGCCTGACCGATCCCGGCGAGCACGGCAAAGGCATACTGAGCGCCGTTTTCGGTGGGCTTGATGGTTGCATAGCAGATGCAGACGACGAGGAAGACGGTGTATGTGAAAATGAGGGGATTCTTGAGATCCTTGAATTTGGTCGAGTAGAGCCTGTGATATCAATGGTGCAATTAGAAACAGGAGGTCTCCAAGAACGAAGGGAGAGGGGGAAGACTTACACCATGGGAATGGAGAAGGCTATGGTTGGGAGTTGATAGGCGAGCTGGCGGATGGAGATGCGCCAGGACGACGTCTCCCATCCGAGATTCAGTATGACTTGAGGAGTCACACTGTTGACTGCGCTGTAGAAGATCCATCTGGGGTCAAGTTAGTCCATTGATGTCTTGAATATCCACAGACACGAGTCCGAAAACTCACCCTTCAACGGCGAAAGCAAAGACCGCGAGAGGGAAATTGTAGCCGTTCTTGAACATGACCTAAGCAGGCGTAATCAGCGCTGTGGACTGCAGTCACGACGAAGTATAGCATTCTCACATGAGCAACAATTCCATCGGTCCTTCCCTTCCACTCTATATCGACATTAGCCACCCCATCAACGAGAAATTCCAAGGTAATTGATAGGAGCTTACCGTATATTCCAAAGAGTATGAGAAGAATGATTCCAACGACCAGCGGGGCTATGACATGAGCGTCGTGCCATGCATACGAGCCTCCCGTCCAATCCAGCGCCAGGATGGTCAGGGTCGCGCCGCCGACAAAGAGGACAGCACCGATGGGATCCAGCGACCACAAGACCTCGGCAAGAGTCATCTTGGGATAATCCGACCGTCTGGGCGGGAAGTAGAATGCCAGGAGCATGAGCACCGTGGCACCGTGGAAAGCGGCTTGCATCCAGAAAATGTTTCGCCAGCCGTCCTTCTCCACGTTTGTCACAGCACCGGCTCCAAGTTGTCCGATGCTGTTCACGCGTTATCTCAGCAGATGAGCAGGAAAGCAATCAGCAGAGAGCACCACTTACAGGCCTCCGAACGCGCCACCGAGGAAGTTGGCTCCATTGGCTATAGCGCGGAACTTCAAGGGAAGAACCTCTGCTGGAATGGCGACAATAATGCCGAGGGACGATAATCCCACTCCGATGAGAATCCCTCCTCCTATTAAAGTGTTCATCGAGTTTGCTGTGGCAGACACGACGGACCCCACGAAGGCGACCGAGAGCTGGATACATGCGAGATATTTGCGATCAACCACGTCGGACAGCCTCCCTATAATGGGACACAGAACGCTTTGCACCAGCAGCGGGCCCTGTATCGGCTATCAGCGTGGTAGAGGTGTATCTGAGAAGAATCGGCTACCTGAATGATCCAGCCGGCAAGTCCAGGGTGGCCCAAGTCTCGAATGATGAAGGCGATAACCGAGCCAGCTGCAACGACTACGAAGACCAGGGTCAAATTGCTAGTCGTGGTCAACAAGAAGACCTCGCATGATGCCCCTGAAGCCTTACCCAAACATGGTGACGAGCACCACCAGCCATGATCTCCAACCGAGCGCGACATGGGTGTCGTCGAGGTGAGAATCGGTTCTGGCAATGGTGTCGTTGACCTCTTTGACATACTCGACTGTCGTCTCATGGTGTTCACCCAACGGCTTGTCTACCACCTGAACAGGAGCCACCTGCTCGTTGTGTCCGGGCTGCATCGCTCCGCTCATGATCGCAGCCTGCTATGTAGAGAGAGAGAGAGAGAGAGAGAGAGAGAGTAACACGCACTGGAGAAGATGGATGAGACTGGTAGAAATTGGCTGCAGAATCTGGGGATGGCACCTCAGGAGCTGATATGATGCAGAATGACCAGGCTACCACGTGTCGGTACCGTGCCGAAGACTCTGTGTCGGCAGTTGTTCGACAGGCATCTGCCAGCTTGTTGATTCGTGCTTCAACATGACGGAGAATCTCCGCAGAGGGCCTTGTGGCATACTCTCCGAGTGATATAGACACACGCAGCAAGTTCCAGAGGAGATCACAGGCGGCCTCGGTGGTTGCCCAACACGCCCGACACGTCTCGACACCCAAAACCATATGATCCCTGCCGTTTCGGGTAAAGCCTAGACGGGCTAGCAGCCGACCTAGCCGTTAAGAGCATTCTCGGCACTGAAATGATAGGCTGCTCGGCTGGTGCGGCGGAGCTTCAGACACTGCGGGGGAACTTCCCTCAACTTCCCCAGAGTCTCTCCCCGCCTCTGGGGGCAAGTCGGCAGTTGGTTCTGAGCGAGGAGACGGCAAGGCTCTGGCTGACTCTGTCCTCGGGTAAGCATAAATAGGTTCCCCAGTGGCTTGGGCAATGGTAAGCATTCCAAACGAGTCGAGTCGCCCGTTCACCGCCAGCCAGCCCGTCAAGGTAAACCTTGGCTAAAAGCCTTAGCATCTCTTACCTGGTTTCCGTCCCCCTGGGCGACGTCTTGTTTGAACGACCACCGTCACCATCGCCATGGCGCTTTCAACGCCGCTGACTCAGCAGGCTGTGTCTCCTCTCTATCTGACTGCTGCCGTTCTCGTCGCTGTTCTCCTGTTTCTTTTTGTGCAAAGCAAGAGAGCAAGGCTTGGTCACATTCCCGGGCCCTGGCTGGCCAAATACACCAATCTATGGCGTGGTTACCAAGCATGGAGACTCAACCACCACAACGAAGGCGTCAACAACTACCAGATCAACATGATCGGCCGCTATGGGGATGTAGTCAGAATTGGCCCCAAACATGTCCTCGTCTACGACCCCGAGGCTATCGACACGATATATGGCTTCCGAGAACGCCTTGACAAGGCAAGTATGATCCTGTTGAGCAATTTCCTTGTGAAATGATATGCTTTTCTTTTCTAAGTTCAGGCCCCTCCTCAGAGCTAACCCGAAATCAAACCGAGCAGGGCCCGGGCTATCGAGTATTCGTGATGACCGGTAAATGGACCTATTCCACAATCAGAACTCTCAAGAGTGGCAAGCTCACCTTTTCACAGGCACTGATCAGACGGCCCTGGTCAGCATCCAGGACGAGAAAACCCACGGAATCTACAGACGACCTATTGCCCATGCTTATTCGTTGTCGTCTCTGAAAGGCTATGAGCCGTACATCGATGAAACAATCGAGAAATTGATCAAAGAACTTGATAAACATGATGCTGACGGTACCCCAATCAACATGACCCGTTGGCTTCAATACTGTGAGTCCAACATTCTACCCAACTCTGCGTGTGGCGCGCCGTGTCTTACTCCAGCTCCAGGGGCCTTCGACGTAATGTCGAAGATCTCATTCGGCGAACCGCTTGGCTTCCTTGACCACGGCTATGACTTTAACGGCATGATCCAGGCCCAAAGAGAAAACTTCAGATACATCAGCGTCGCCAACAACTTCCCGCTCCTCGACACCCTGACCAAGCGCAACCCACTCTTGAAATGGTTCACGAAGAAGCCGAGTATGTTCTTCACTTTCGCTAGGCGCGTCGTCTCTGAGCGCCTGGCCAAGGCCTCTAAGGATCCGGAGGCACAGTCCCAGTCTCGACGTCACGAAGACCTGTTGGGCAGCTTCATCGCAGCCAGGAAAGCATACCCATTGATGACGGACCTTCGAATCACCCATCTTACAGCGACCAATGTCCTGGCTGGTGCCAATAACAGCGCTCGCGCCATGGATGCAACCATTCACTGGCTGACCGAGCACCCGGAAGCCCAGGAGCGGCTTAACAACGAAATCCGGAGCGTCAACATGGCCACGATGAAAGAGGTCGACACCGAGGGCCCCGCAGCACTCGAACTGGCCCTGAAAATGCCTTACCTGGACGCCGTGATCCAAGAATCCTACCGACAGTTCGGAGCCCCTGCCAACAACCTCGAGCGCGTGGCGGGCAGAAGTGGCCTCACTTTGCCCAACGGCACGCACCTGCCTCCCGGGACGGTGATTGCGATGAACGCCGCATCAATGGCCATGCTACCGCACATCTTCGGCAAGGACGCCCGGGTATTCAATCCGGAGCGCTGGATGCAGCAGAAGGGAGAGAGCGAGGACGAGTTCCACGAACGTCGGCTCCGGATGCAGAGGTCCATGCTCGTCTTTGGCCACGGCAGTCGGAGCTGCATTGGGAAGAACATCGTGCAGCTGGAACTGTACAAGATATGGGCCACGCTGTTGAGGATCTACAAGGTGAGTTGACTTGTTGTTCCCGTTCCTTCATCACTCTGTTCACTCCATCTCGTCGTCATGACCGAGACGGACGGGGCCTACGTAATCGAGACTGACAGCTCCGCAGTTTGAACCTGCCGAGGTCAAACTCCATCAGGTCATGGCGATCCCACGGCGACGGGAGCAGCGGACCGAGAAGTCGGTCGAGATTTGATGGCCATCGTTTGTATGTGGAGAGGACAGGGAAAGGAGGGAAGTTTCACGGACCGATCCCGCATCACTAGCTAGTCGAATCCCGTCAAGTATCTTAATCCGAGCAACCAGCATCGGTGGAACCGCATTGGAATTGTTAGATAGAGCGTCGATACTTGCGTAGATAGAGATTGTCCCCGCCGCTCGTTTGATCGGTCATCAGCGTTTTTCGTTTAGCTATTTACTATTAGTCCTAGTTGAATTCATTTGCCATACAAAACGACCCCAGGCAATTTTGATCTCGCTGAGCCATCATACTGCAAACAACGTTGGATGAAAGGGGAGTTTCTATCTTCAGAAATTACAAAGAGCGTTGTGCACTGTGCACAATCGAGTCTAGAATGCCATGTCTGTAATACAAAAGTTTTCAGAATCCGAATATGCATACCCAAGTCAACGCTCTTTTTTTTTTTTTTTTTTTCAAATATCTTGCACGTCCTTGCTCTCCGTTGCTTCTTTGGATTCTTCAGCCTTCTGGCTGGCCTCCTCGCTAGCCCGAGCCTTCAAACTGCGCCACTCAACACAGACACTGCCGAAGATGGTCACGGCGCAGGTTGCTGCGATCAGGTAGAACACGTGGACAATCGCGTCGTTGTAGTCTGCGAGAAGAGTCTTCAAGTCGTCCCCAGCGGCCAGGTTTCTCAGATCAGTGGCCCCGCCCTTGGTCACGGCGCTTGGGCTGATGCCCGAGAGGTTTGTCAGCTTGGAGACCAGGCCGTTGAGGAAGATGTTCTCGGCAACCGGCACGAAGATGGCGGAGCCGAGGAAGCGTGCGAACATGATAAGGGCGGATCCAGTGGCTATGTCGGACCTTTCTAGGATCGTTTGCACGACGTTCAGACCCTGTTGTGTGCCAAAACCGAGACCAAGACCGAACAGCACCTGGTAGCCGATCCACTTGGCGTGTTCGGTAGTTGAAGTAAAGGTGGAGAGCAGGCCGGCCCCGATGGACGCGACGACGGAGCTGAGGATGAAGAATGGCGTATAGTAGCCGACGCGACTTATGATGATGCCCGAGGATAAGGAAGCAAAAACCGTGGAAAGAACCAAAGGGAGCAACATGATTCCTGATCTGATGGCGTCGACGCCTTTGACAGCCTGGAACCAGATGGGGAGATAGTACATGATGGCCATCATTGCGGCGCCGGTGAAGAAGGAGAACCAAATGGCCGCTGCCACACTCCGCTGCTTGACGATGCGGGGGGGGACCGTGCCATCCTCTTGCTTCCAGATCTGAATTCCGCCAAAGGCGAGGCAGAGAATGGCGCAAAGCACAAGAAGAACGATGGTTTGAGCGTCCTTCCAGGAATATTTGGTCCCACCCCATTGGAGAGCCAAAATCAGACAGACAATGCCAGAGAAAAACACGAGGTTACCCACCGGGTCGAGCTGCTTCAGTTTCCCAACGAGACCTGGGGCTCGTGCATCGAGCTTTTGACTGGAAAGGTGCAAGACGAAGATGGTGACGATGATAACCACCGCTCCGATGGGGAGGTTGATATAAAAGCACCACCTCCAGCTGACGTTGTCGGTAAATGCACCTCTGACCAGAGGGCCGATGACAGAAGCAACCGCAGAGACGGCACCAAAGGCGCCCTGCCAAATCGGTCGTTGCTGTAGCGGAATGGTGTGGAACATGATCACCATCATGCCTGAGAACATGCCAGAAGCCCCCAGACCTGCAACGGCGCGACCAACGATGAAGGCTGCAGAGGTCGGCGCTGAACCACATACTGCTGAGCCGACTTCGAAGAGCGCAATGCCAGCAAGGAAGATTGGTTTCACTGGGTAAAATTTGTAGACCTTGCCCATGATAAGCTGGAAGCTACACATGGTCAGCAGGTAGGCGCTGCCATACCATCCGATGTCTTCAATAGAGTGAAATTCGTCAGTGATACGCGGAATTGCAGTCGATATAATGTTTTGGTCCTGCAGTCGAATGCCCGGGTTAGCAAAGGCAACGGCCAACCTGATAGAGTGGGGGTGGGAGAGAAGCTTGGATTACCAAAGTCACCAAAAAGACCGCAAGATAGACAGCCAGCATGATGATAACCCGTTTCTGCATGCTTGGATACCCATCAGCGGCTCCTCCACCACCTGCCTTTTGCTGTCCTTGATCCATTGAACGTTGCTCATCGTCACGTGAAGAGGATGAGGACATGGTTATACGATTGATTGACTTTGGTAAAACGAGAATTGACGCGCGCCATGAGACAACTCACATTGCTCAGTCATGCAGATCCGAATGCCTAGCACTTAAATACCTGGATTGTCAGTAGACGCCTGCTGTGTCGATTTCTCGTATTCTTCTATTCGGGTCGCTTCTCGGAGCTCAAAGATTCAGTTTTCAACTTCCGAGCCCCGAGATTAACACCGAAGAAGTCAAAAGGAAGCGCCGCCTCTAACACTTCGCATCTTGCAACAATCTTCCTCCGATAACCGGGTATATTTCGCTGGAGAGGGCTCGCATCAGTCATGCCTCGACCCCCAGCGGAGGATGCAGCGGTAGCAGATGAAAACCGCAAAGGCTTCTCTTGCCGGGCCTGTCGACAGCGCAAAATCAAGTGCGATCGGCAGACTCCGTGCTCCAACTGCGTCAAGGGGGATACACAGTGCAGCTTTATTCCCCCGGTCCGCGGCAAGCGAAAGAGAACGAAACCTGCTCGAGAAGGGCTGCATGCCAAATTGAGGCGGTATGAGGAGATGCTGATGTCGTATGGCGCAAAGATTGAGCCATGCCTAGACAGTGACACCTCAGATGCGGAATCAGCTTCCAGGCCAGAGATTGGCGTATCCAGAGGTGCTGAGTCTCAGATCGAGAGCAGGGGCGAAGCTGTCCGGCTTGATGTAACCAGATCCAAGCTTGTGACCACAGAAGGCACCTCGAGATATTTCGACAGGTATGATCGTGTCTTCCCCATTTCTGCTGGCCCGTCTCTAAGTGCTCCTATAGCGCTCTTTGGTCCAACTTAGGAGACAAGGTGAGACCAACGACTATGCGAAGCAACTTTCTTGCCTGACCAAAGAGTCTTAGTTTCGCCATCCAGATGAATATGCCCCTGTTGAGCTAATGGATGAGGCCAGTGTCCATGAATGCGAGCTCTTTCTAAGTCCGCTCGACCAAGCATGCTCTGATCCCAGCGCCTCAAACAGCTCAAATCTGGTCGGCCATTACCCCTCCATCCAGGTCCTGCTAAAGATGAAAGAAATGTATGTGGACCGGATTGATCCTGTGATGAAAATCCTCCACATTCCAAGCTTCTGGTCCTCGTTGACGAATGCACTGCAACGTCCACAAGAGATCCCAAATAGCCTCAAGGCGGCCATGTTTGGCTTTTGTCTTGCCACAGTCAGCGCTTTGGACGACGATGAATGCCAGAGTCTATTGGGAGGACCTAGGTCGGCCATGCTTCCGCGATATCGAACAATAGCTCGTCAGGCTTTGGTAAATGCTGGATTCCTTCACACTTCAAATCCTATGACACTTCGAGCCTTTTCATTGTATCTTGTATGTTGCAACTCGGGAGGATCTTGACCTTTTTTGACTTAGGATCCATAGATCGGCGTGAGAACCTCTCATCGACACGACACTCAGTATATTTTGTCAGGAGTTGCGGTGCGACTTGCGCTCAAAATGGGTCTCCATCGCGATGGTGAATCTCTTAGACTGACCCCTTTCGAGACAGAAATGAGGCGTCGACTCTGGTGGCACATAGTACACGTCGATTTTCGCGCGGCCGACATGCTGGGTGTGAGACCCTGCCTGGATCTGTCCGTTGGAGACACCAAGATGCCTTTGAACGTCGAGGATGAAGACCTCAGTCCCGACATGGTTGACCCGCCGCCTGAGCGAAGTGGGATTACTTCCATCGTTCTCTGCCTTGTCAGATGCGAGATCATGGAGTTCCTACGCCAGCTGGCCTTGCCATTGTCCAATGATGCTCACTGGGACGTCCTCTCGAGTCCGGGTATCACGACTGCCAAGAAGGATGGTATGATCGGCCAGATGGAAGATCTTTGGGAGAGAAAGTATCTTCGATATTGCGATCTGTCGAATCCGCTTCATACGTTCGCATCTATCATGATCAGATCCTGCATATGCAAGATGAGGCTCTTTGCTCACAGTCCACGGCGATTTGGCGGACGTGGCGCCAAAATCACGCAGACCGATCGTGAAATTGTCTTCGCGAATGCAACAAAATTATTGGAATATGCGGTTTTGGTGAGAGGCAATCAGGGACTGCAGAAGTACACATGGCGAATCGGCACGAGCTATATTTGGGATACGATGCTCTGTGTCCTCATTGAGGCTCGACACCGCAAGGTAGGGCCAGAGGTAGACCGGTTATGGCAGCTGATTGGCGTGGTACTTTCGCAGTACCCCGAGGCTTTCAAAGAGTCTACAGGAGCTGTGTATGTTGCACTGAGGAAATGGACTCTGGAGGTTTGGGACGACTATGTCGCCGCTGTGAAGTCTGAGGGGCTGCCGGAACCAGCGGCGCCTGGGTACATCAAGGCGATCCGCCACAGTTGGACATCCAGGGCAAAATCTGTGCCCTTCGATCAACGCTCGGTCAGCTCCGGAAAAATCCAGGTTGAGAATCAGGCTGGAAATCTGCCCGAGCTTGGAGATCTCGATTGCTATAACTTTCCCGACCTCGTTTCTTTTGAAACGGACCCAAATGAATGGGTCCAATGGGACCAGCTAGTTTTCGGACACGGTGGATTCGGCCAGATGGAGAAGTTATAACCATGGTTGCTTTGGCAGATTTCGGCGCAAGGATCGCCGTGTTGGAGCGCCGGGTTCGTCTGCAAAAGCTAGCTGGAGATGCTTCAGCATCTCTCATACCGCTCGTCCAACTGGGCGCGAAATGATGGTGCAGCTGCCCTTGGTCGAGACCGACAAGGCCTAAGAGACAGGCGACCACCCGGCATCCTCGAAATCCCTTCTTCGATCACTTCCCAGTCGACAATGTCGAAGTAGACTCAAATTAGTCGGGTCCTTCCGTGTTTTGGCAGCCACGGATGTCCTCATACCAGGAAAATGCTCTCAACTTCGCGTCTCATTTTAGGCCAGGGGCCTATAGCGTCCTACTCAAACACTCCAAGCCAGTGCCAAATGTTCCGAACCTCGTCATTTGAGCCGATTACTCCAAAAGGCGCGCCGTTACGGAGTCCACGGTAGACGTGATACATCGGACTAGTGGCGGCGGGTTTGGAAGGGTGACCAAATAGCGCACGGCGATGTTTATGTAGCTGGAAGTCCTCTTGAGCTCGGTGTGACGGACAAGCAAAGACATTGTGCTCGCTACGGACGAAAAGATCCTTTAAAGGTTTGAGAGTTGGGAGCTTATGTGGCGAGATTGTGAAGACTTCGAACGTTGTGAACTCCGCATCCAGGCCATCTTGTGGGATGGGGGGCCACAGAAGTTCCGGAGCCGTCGTACACCAGATGCAGTGTCGGTGATTGTGAGCTCGGGGTTATAGCAAGACGAGACACCTCTGGTTGAGCTGGAGGCCAACCGAAGCCTTTGCACTGAAGCCTTGGATGAGCAGAGAACAGTATTCCCGTCCGGACAATACTATGAATTTTAGATTTCCAATTGCTCCCTTTTCGTGAACCTGGGTGAGGCATTCCCTGAGTGAGATGATTTTGTTGTCTTTGCAGAGAAGGTGAACGTTGTGACGGGCTCTCATGGACTCGAGCAATGTCCAAGACCTAATATTCTAGTCGCAAACGAGGAGAACGGAGAAAAGGGTTTCCATCTTCTCTATCGAGCCGTCGCTAATATCGATGGACATAATGTCGGTATCCCAGATAAGTGTCATTCTGCTCACGGTGAAGATTCCGTTTATATTAGCTACCGCCTCGGAACGAAGTTCATGATTCTCGGGAATACAAGGTGTGTCCATCCGGTACGAGTCACACTCGATCTCGCGAGCGAGCTGAACGAGTCGTGCATGTAGGCAAGCATTCATCCCTGTATGGGGTCTTCCTCCAGCGCCATGAGCCCATACATGTGAGACACTTAGTGTTTTAGGAGACGCTTGACAATATCGAATGGTGGCTCTGTCAGAATGCTTGATGGAAATTGCTCTCGCGCCTTCAATGTTTCCATAGCTGACTTCGTCCCAGACCATCATTTCACAATCACTGTTAGCCTGAAAATCGGGCGCCGATTGGTCGATTATCTTCACGCTGTAAGACGTTGGCAGTGTTCGGGACCTTGTCCGTTGCAGGCTCGAGAAGACGTAACAATACACTTCCCTGGCTTGTCGCGAAACATGGAACAGAATCGGCCTCGGAAGTCGCGGAAATCTTGTCCTATGGAAGCTCTATCCAATTTCCAGAGACCAAATGCCCAGCTGCACATATACTCTGGCAACTTCTCAGAGGCATCCGGAGTTGTCCCATCGGCTGGTAGTGGTTGGTGCATATTCAGGAATTCGTTTTCGTTCGGCATCGTATCCGCCTCACAGTTGCAAATCCAGGGGATAGTGGAAACGAAGCATCATAGCACGGCACCAATATGTCCAGAGAAAGCTCTGAGCAACCAGCCAGTGTCTTTGAGCAGCTGTATCGTCCGTTTTGGCCGAAAGTTCAAAAGCTGTTTCAAGCAACTGTGCAATGGTGTTAACGTAGTTCTGCATCGTGCCCACAAACGTCAACTCATGTCGGAGCTGGACAATCGTTAACGCAAAGCGGACACAGCTTGTGTCAATCCAGTTGGTTACGAGCAGCTCGTGCCAGTTGTCCTGGTTGAGCCTTACACAGCCGGATTGAGCGCCCCTAAAATAGAGCCAAGGCAATGCGTGCGTATTGAACTTTGCGAAGAGGGAGGCGGGAAGTTGTGGGGTTCGCGGCAGGCCTCACAACAGGGTGCATGTTTCAGTAACGACAGCATCTTCATCGAGGCTTCCGTCGAAGGTGCACCGGAGCAATGATCGCACCGCCATATCTAACAGAGAGATATGGTGCTCGGGATCTTGTGCGGCATAGTAATAAGCTTGGCACCAATGCCGGGCTCGATGGGCTTTCTCTTGACTTGTATACACTATTAGTTGGTCCTTGTCTGAATGGATACTCATGCAATGCGGTAGGAACATTGGAGGAGAGCCCTTTGGATTCGCCCTTTTCCATTTGAGGCTCTCCTGGTAGATCCATCGTCCTCGGTCTCCCGACACTGTGTACGGGCCACTCTGAGCCATGTCGCACTTGGGATTCGGATGATAGCCACCATATGCACAAGAACTAGAAGATATGGATCGTGGTGGGAAACAAAGATGAATTAGAGCTGTTTGTCGCGACTTGGGAGGTATGGATTGTGATTCGTTCTAACTTGAAAAGGGGCAGTGTGCCTTTTTAGCGCACCTCGGCACTATCCCGATATCTCCGCTTGGAACAACCGCAAGGCTGGTGGGCTTGGGACAAGCCTCGGGCTCCAAGCCCATTTGCTGGCCAAACTTCAAGCGAAACTCAAGTAGATGAACCACCGGATGAGTTGCACTTGACGCGGCAGGCATGGAGTCCAATTTGGTATGTGGGTGTTCCATTTACATCGCATGGGCCTACCGTCGGGCCCGAAAGATCGTTTTCTTTGGGCTGGCCACCTAGTTCCTAGTTTTCGCTTTCGTCTTGATAGTTTGCTTGTTGATTTTGGCGAGACAGGTTCAGTTCGAGAAAGATTGGAACATCGTATTTGTTGTTGTTTTTTCTGTAGTCTTTTTCTGCCGCCGGAGCCATCCTTACCACATTCTTCACTGATGATCCAGACGCCTGTGGTCTCATGACTAGGCTTGATAGCAGAAGACGAGGATGCGAGAATGTAAGGACTTCTCGACGCGCGCATGACAGGACCTGCACATGGAGTGATTTATTGCTTAAGCACATTGGGGGGGAGAATAGGTGTAGGCGAGGCCAGACTCATGAGTGAGTCACTTTGGTGGAAGGACCAAGCCAACCAAAAACGGGTTCTCGACAGCACGGTGGACTGTCGGGAAGAAGGCGAGAAATGTACCCTAGGGCAGGAGAGCAGAAGAAGCTGGATTCTGTTTTAATCGTTTTTGAAAACTACCTGAAGGGAGAATTGATCCAATAGTTTCCATGGAATCTCGAACAAGCCGGTGGTCCTTCACCAAAGTCGTACCAGCGATTTCGTGCCGGAGGAAACAGACACCACGACTTGGGTGTCACAAAGTCTGCCATGCAGCATTCCGCTTTCTTCCACGTCTCTAAATCCTTTATCAAGAGACGGCCATTCCAATCCAAGCCGTCGTAGTCTTCGAGCGTAGTCATGAAGTTGTAACATTCTACGGTTGGTCGGCAGCACTGCTCTGGAAACCCAAATCCGGGATTCGGAACAACAGATGGTCTGCTCCAACGGCGTTGATGGGTCTCGGTTGTGGTCGCTGTGGAATTGACCACACTTGGGTGAAACAAGACTCTCCGCAAAGGCTCAATCTTGATAGTGTGAGATCTCAACCCGTAATTTCCCGTCTCTGAAGGCCAGTCCTTCTCGCAAACAATGCCGTGTTGACAATCCATGTCCGGATGGCCAAGTGGTGTGCACAGCTCTGGCACTTCCGACACCTCTTTAGCGCAGACTTGATGGAGGATGAAAAGGAGCATTGCCAAGACGATGAAGGGGGTAGGATTCGCCATTGTGGTACTGGTTTTGTATGGAAGCGTTGCCAGGAGGACGCCGAAAGAAATGTTGAATTAGGCGGACGGTCTGTATTCTGACTTCGGATCTCTGAAGAAGAATGAGGTGCGTCTTGTATGCGGCAAGAAAGTGGTGGTCTGAGGGGTCTTATAATGCCATGTTGCAGTGGGTCTCCGGTTTACCTTTGTCAGGTCCTCAGACTCAGCTGCACAACCGCTGCGCAAAGTGAGACATATGGATGGAGGATGAATTGGGTTTGGGGATGGCGGTCCGTAGAGCAAACTTTAGATCCGTGTCTGGGATACGCTTGAGGTGATCCGCGAGAGACCCGGTGGTTGGAAGTGTTAAGAACCTTGAGCTCCTGAATGACCTTGGGCTGGACGGCGTCTGAGCTTCTGGTTGACTTCAGGCTGGACATAGCTTGAGTTCTGCATGCTCTGTTGGAATGAAAGCAGCGGTCTGCAGAGTGGCCGAAAAGGGTTGATCTTGTTTGCCGGCGAAGGTCCTTGTAGAGGTCTTCCAAGTCATATTTTTTCCACATGGAGGGAACCAGATCTCTTTAGCCCTGGGGTGAGCTAGTGGGCTCTCTCCCCAGGTTTCCACCGAGCGCCACGAGGAGGCAGAGACTTTTTGCTCGGCATTGTTTTTTTTTTTTTTCTTTCTTTTTCTTTTTCTTTTTCTTTTTCTTTTTCTTTTCTTCTTTTTGTTTCTTCTGGCCCGCCAGCCTTCCCGCACAAAGCCCCCAAAACGCCCGACGCCCAGACTCCGAACTCCAAACTCTAAACTCCAAACTCCAAAAAAAAAGGAACGTATGCCCTCATTGGGGCCCGGGCTGTGATAGTGACCATCAGTTACATAGCATTCACAACACCTTCGACGTGGAGATACTTTGGTGAACTTACCACCGGCACTTCCTCCTCTTCCTCCTCCTCCTCTTCCTCCTCCTCCTCCTCCTCCTCCTCCTCCTCCTCCTCCTCCTCCTCCTCCTCCTCCTCCTCTTCTTCTTCTTCTTCCCTTCTCTCCCCCACCGCAGAGGCCGCAGCAGCTTGGCCGGCTTCTTCCCGGGCACCCACCGAATCCAACGGCACCAGCGGGGGGGCTCCCTCACCGGCTTGGCTGCTTTGGCGACTCTGAGGCCGCCCCAGCAGCTCTTTCAACGTCCGGACAACCTACTTCCGGAACGACTTTCTGGCACCCAGAGCTGCCAGGGCGCTCACCAGTAACGACACAACGGCCGTTACGACCACCCACTTCATTGGGGTGGTCCAGGTCGTACCTCGTGGTGAAGGGGGAGAGAAGGGCGGGGGGGGACCTTGGCCGCGCCTAGAACTATAGAAAACTTGTTAGAATATCATTGTCATTGTGTTGAGAGAGAGATACCCACATAAGCGCCATGGTAATAAATATGGGGAAAGGAAAAGCAAATAGATACATAATAGAGGACGCGGGGGGGGGCAGACGAGAAGGCACGGCAACGTGGGTTGCTCTACGCTAATCCCTTTCTGGAAGTTAGGCAATACCCAGTAATGGCCCACCGGTTGCTGTGACAACAGGCAGGATTCGAGACATGACGACAACACCCACCACCGACCCAATATGTAATCAAACACCAGCTGACGCCATTTCCATCACCTGCCACCACTGCCTTGCACTGCCAACTGTCACCATCACCAAGGCCGTGTTGACCGTGCAAGTTGGTAAGAGTGGCCTCTCGCCACTCAGTCTCAGTGTCACAATGGATACCCAGTACAGAGGATGCGAGAAAAGGCAGAGTCGCTTGATGAACATCGCTGTCGGGAAATGGTGATTTATTGAGGGTTAAACTATTTAAGCCGTGTTGAACCATGCACCGAGACTTGGACACCAGAGAATGAAATAAAACGTACGCTATGGGTGCATTTTTCCCACCTGCATTCGAACGCCAACGATGCCGCACTTCCCTCTCCTCCAGCGCCTTGCAACAGGTCATGGTGTACAAAAGAAAAAAAAAAAAAAAGGACCCGGCTCCAATCCTTGGAGCAAATTTCCATGAGTCAGTCATAATCGCATATACACATGAGAAAGAGTAGAATAAAGCTAGCGCCGAGATTGTATAGTTTCTGGTCCCGAAGGACTGCCGTGGGGCTTCGGAGTCGGCTCTTCTTCCATGTTGATCATCTTGGTTGGCACTGGAGTAATATCCATCTCAATATCCGCAAAGGCTGTCCCTGGTTTGGGGGGGAATATGACTGGGGGTGTGATTTGGCCACTGGGAGAACGGACAGTCTCTTGCTGAGGATGGGAATGCTGGGAGACAGTTCTCTCAAGCTTCTTCCGCGGTTGCATCTCGGTCAACAGAGCTGTACTGGGCTCCTCGGGGATCTTGAGATTCTCCATGCGCTCTTCCAGGACTTCCAGAGACTTCCTCAGGCTGTCTGCCTCTGTTTGTTTGTCTTCGCCCATGGATATGACACTTCCACGGCTGTTGGTGCGCATCATTTCAATCCCAAGTTTAGACGATGGCCGCGCAGGTTTGCCGATGGGTGACCGTGCTCGCACTTGTACGTCGCCAAGTTCCTCGTCTTCGTCATCGCCTTCTTCAGCTGCTCCGCTGGCATGGTTCATGTTCTTCTCAAGGAGCTCTCGTTTCAATCTGACAGCTTCCGACGACTTTTGCCGCCGCGGGGTTCGAAGGCCGTATCCACTAGTGTCATCGACGCAAGCGCTCGAGGGTGCAGACTCGGTGTGAACAAGATGAGGGTAACCTGGCTGGATATAAGGTCGCTGTCCGAGGACGATATCGTCGGAGATTCCTAATCCTGCCTTTGCCCACTCGTCTGTAGCAGCGCGAGACACGATGACAGGGATATCATCACTCTTGAAGGATTCCAAATCACTAAAAAATCCGCCGCTGCCAATCGAGTCCTCCCGAGCTGATCCTCGATATGATGAGTCGGGTATAGTAGGGGCTAAACTCGAGGCCACGGAACTGGGACTATCTTGGGTGGGAATAGGCTCGAATCGCGTGTTAAGATGTGGGATGGTCAAAGGAACAGCGGGTCGGAAGTCTTTCGGTGCTGGTTTCCACGAACAGTATTTGGCTAGCATCTCGATCAATTTCTGGGTAGTCGGCGGCTTCTGCATAAGAGTATCGAAGTGATGTACCTCGGGAAGATCTTTCAGATATCCGGTGATGCAGACGAGGGGAGTGCTGGTATTTGCGCTCTTTGTGTCTCGAATCATGCGGGCAACGTCGACTCCGCTGATTAGTGGAAGCTTGAATTCCATAAAGACAATGTCAAACTGGATCTGGCTGATAGCAAGTCGTAGAGCATCTGGACCATTGGTCGCGGTAATTGTTCGACACCGCAACTTCTCAAAGAGCCTCTCCATCACCATTCTGGACACTGGGTGATCCTCGCAGATCAAGACATCCAGAGGGCGATATGTAGGGCCCTCAAGAAAATTGATCTGCGAGAGTCTTCTCGAGCTCTGCCGCCGACGTTGTACCTTGAGTAGCGCTTTCGCTTGTGCCGACTCGTTGTCCGAAGAAGACGGCGAGACGTCTCGGACAAGAAGCTGGCTCTTGCGCTTATGATGACCAGGTACAAAACTTTCCCGCTGGGTAGCTTGCCCATCGCTTTCCTGCGAACCGACAGTCTGCGATCTGGTTCGCCCATTGACTGTTGAAGCCCGTGGTGGAGGCATTGCTTTTGCGGGTGAAACTGATGGCATCCGAGCAGGTTTGATGGGAGATGACGCGGCTGTTTGTGCATGTTTGATAGCGTCATGGGGGATATCGAAGAAGCTGCTCGGAGCAAGAGAACTACTTCCTTGGGAAGACCCAGAAGTCTTTCGTCTATCGTGATGCTGTGCAGTGGAGAATTGAACTAAGAGGGGCGAAGAAGGTTGAGAAGGCCTGCTAGGTGATGAGTTGGACGTAGCCAGACTCGACGGAGAACCTGGTCTGTGGCCCTTGCTGATAGATAGCGCCCGCTTAACAGGCATCGGCATCATAGGGCTGCCCTCAAGCGAAGGTCCGGGAGACCCCAGCGCTGGACTGTTGGAAGCGGACATAGCTTGCGAATGAGCATAGCCTCTAGCTTGAGCTTGCATCGCTTCTTTCCTCATTCTCTCGACTATGTCTTTGTTGGCCTTCTCCAACACCGGTAAGTTCTTGAAAGTGAAATTCCCAAAATCATCAGCGATGACGGGTTCGCTTAGTCTCCGACTGCGGGAATCGCGCACCACATGGGGAGGAATGTGGAGAGGCATGAGGCCACGCTTAGCAGAAGTTGCTTGCGTTCTGGCTCGAAAAAGTGCATCGTGAGGACGATTGGGATATTCGGAACCATTTGGGGTTGTGCCTGATGGCGAGATTTGGTCTTCCAGTTCTTCGGGGAAGGATGACAAGGTGGCTCCGCGCGAGTCAAAGTACTCGGTGTCTTCTGGGTGCTCGGGGTTCGGAATAAATTGAGCTTCATCTTCCAAGAGGGTGTCCCAGTGAATGTCAGCAAACCAGGGATGAGCTTGAATCTCAGCGCCACCACTCGGGTACTTCTCGTCCTTGTTTGCACCCAGCCTTTCTCTCGGATCTAGTTGGATGAGCTTGTCAATGAGGTCTCTCGCCTCCTGGCCGACTTCAATCTCGTCATCCTCGGGCCAGGCAATTCTCCGATTCAAAATATTGTCAAACACCTTCTCTGGCGTCTCTGCGTTAAAAGGTGGGAATCCATAGAGGAATTCGAACATGATACAACCCAAAGACCACCAGTCACACATTTCATCTTGCACGGTGCCGTTAATAGTTTCGGGTGCTAGGTAATCTGGAGTACCCACAAAACGGCGATCGCTCTCTTCAGGCTCAAATAGTGGGGGAGCTAACATCTGAGAAGCTACAGGAACGGGAGCCGCTTGAGAGATATTACTCATCGACTGTGATAGAGGGAACAAATCGGGTGATGCACTACCCTGACTGTATGCCTCTTCTTCAATCTTGCGGGGAAAGATCTGAGGGGTGGAATCGGTGTCTTCTTGCACTCCGAGCTTTTTGAAGAGTTGATGGAGATCGAAGCTTGAGCCGCTGCCGCTATCACTCCGATAGCCGGAGTTCCTTAGTGATGTTTCTCGGCTTAAAGAGCTTTCCCGGTTCAGACTAAAGTAGGAAGGTTGATCAAGACCCCCTGTGAAAGCAGGAGTCATGAGAGGGGTTGGTGCTGGCGAGTGGGGGCCCTGGTAGTCGAAAGAGGTTGATCTCGAGGCCGGATTTGACCCTGAACCGTTTTGGGTGAAAGGGCCTTGCTTCAAAAGGTCGGGCACAGCCTCATCAGGCTGCTTGAGTGCACGTTTCTGCCGACCAACAAGGCCCATACGAGACAGTCCGAAGTCGGTAAGCTTCAGGTGGCCTTTGGAGTCGATCAGAAGATTATCCGGTTTCAAGTCGCGATGGACAATCCCTCGAGAGTGCAAATGTTCCACACCCAGAACGACTTCGGCGATGTACTTTTTGGCCCAGTCTTCACTCAATCCTCCGAGGATTTTCACAAGGGACGCGCAATCACCTCCATTCAGATACTCCATGACGAGGTAAAGGTAATCCTTGCTGGAGAATGTCCAGTACAGCTTGGCAACAAAATCGCTCTCCCCCTGCCACATCATGATGGCGCGTTCAGCCTTGACATTCGTGACTTGATTCTTTGCAATCATGTCAGATTTGCGGAGAACTTTGATTGCAAAGTATTCGCCAGTGATTTTCTTTTTTGCCAGATACACGCTCCCAAAGGCACCTCTGCTGATCGGCTTGATGATCTCAAAGTCCTTTATCGAAGGGGCCTGTGCCCGTTGTTGTGGATGAGAAATAGAATTCAACCGAGGGGAAGACGGAGTCTTCAGGTCAGACGAATGCATCGACGACTGCCTCCTATGCAAGGTCGGAGCATTGCCTGGAGGTACAAATTCACCTGCCGTCAATAATGGCGACACGACAGGCGACTGGGCTATTTCTCCACTGGGAATTCTAGATTTGGTCATTCTCAGTGGCGACGGCGGGGGGGGCGGGTATCTTCCTGGTGACTGCTGGCGATGGGGCGAGGCCGAATTAAGGCCATGCAGATGCATGCTTCGTCTCTTTCGGTCCCGTGATTGTGCGGTACGACCGTGTTCAGATGCAGAGGCTGGAGAGTCAGCTCGCCAGTTGCCCGACAACATAGAGGGGGGTGGCAGACTGCTATCACTATCGTTGGCATCTTCAATATACATCGACCGTCTGTTCGACACTGGTTGAGGTTGAGAGACGAGATTGCTCCGGTGAGACTTTGGGGTGGGACATTCGATTGGGCTGCTGGAGCCTGTCGAAACTGCTTGAGATGACGATCGTCTCTTGTCAGCTCCCATCGTGATCTGGGGCAAGTCCCGGGGATTTCTGAGAGCAGAAGCCATCGATCTCAGTCCGACATATGATGTGCTCCGACTGGCTTCGGGCTCGAGGTGCTCCACGGGAAGCGGTTGTGGAGTGGGCTCCGGATCTTCTCCTGGGCTTTCCAGAATGCCCTCTAGCATAGGCTCTTCTTCAGACTCACTTTCACTGGAAGACAATGCCTCGCCTGCCGCAGCCCGCTCAGCTTTGATCAAAGCTTCATTGATACATGCATCGACCTCAGCCATGTATTCTTGGCGAATCCGCTCTGAGTATTCCAAAACATTCTGATATCGGTGGACGGCATCCACTTTTGCACGAGCCAGTTTTTCGGTATCTGCGCTCAAGGTGGCTAAGCCAGGCTCGTTGTCCAGACTGCTTGGAGGTTGCCATTGGATGATTTGGGAAATTCTAGACTCCGACTGCGGGGACTGCGATTTAAAGTCATCTTCCGCCGAGCTTTTGCTGTCTTTGATTGAGGGTACGTTGATTTCCATGGCCGTGTCGCACAGGTCCAGAATCAGTTCCACAATCCGAACTAGAGGGCGCCGGACGACGAAGGAACGAGCCCGAGCATGACCTAGGCCGGCTGTGGATGGACTCCGTGACCTCACCGGACTGGCACTATGAGACCCTGAAGCTGAAGAGACGCCGGTTGAAGAGGTCGGCGATGGACCGATCGGCATGCCCTTGTACTCGGGAACTGAAGCAGGAGGATTTTCGCCGCCTGAGCCTCGCCCTTGACGAGCTTCGAAAGCGTCGAGCACTTTGACAATTGCGTGCCTGTGTTCCGAGAGATTTTCCTGAACCATTTGCACATCCATTTCGGCCTTGTGTTCTTGTACACAGAGATCTGAATGTTTCTCGAACCACCAAGGTACGATGGACCGCTCGCACACCCGGCAAAGAATAGGAAGAGGAGGAGGGTGATTCTCTGGGTCGTTAGCCCCGAACTCTGCGAGCTCAGTAAGGTATTTTGCCAGAATCTCCGCGCCAACTCCAAGAGTTTCAACGAGTGCTTGAGGGAGGGCAATCTCGATGCGAATGGGCTCCTGAGCAGGTTGTAACATCCACATGGTGTGCGACTCTCCTCCAGACGTCCTGTCGTAGACCATGATTCCTTGGCCCTCCAATTCGAGAACTGCATTTCCACTCTCGTCAGTGTCGACATTATCCTCACTTGGTTCTTGACCGTCCTCGGTCTGTAGCATAGTCCCCATGTCAGAGGAAGGGCCAACCTTGACAGCAAACTTGACTATTTGACTTTTGGAATCGTTTGACTTCAGGGCCTCAATGGCCGACTCGAAGACATCTGGATTGTCGCTGATGAACTCCGAGATCTTGTGACCTCGAACATGCTCGAGATCAGTCCCAACAACATCGGTCCAAGAGGGGCTGACCCAGCGAATATGGCCATCTAGACTGAGATCAAGGATGATGTTCCGGGTTTGTTCGGCCGCCTCCTTCAGCTCTTGAGTTCCTTCTTGGATGTCCTGGCTGAATGATCTCTCCATGGCATGGCGAGTTAATTCGCTTCCATAACCCGCATCGTTCTTGATGGCCGTAATGACCGGTGGCTCCAAATACTGTGGTTCGGATCCATCCTGGGCCATTACTCCTGCTGCAGGAAGAATGGTCCTTCGAAGACAAGTCGGTAGCGGAAGGGACAGGGACCAGGGAAAGGGTAGGGTCCTTTACGACTTTTGACCCACCATGGGAGCCAAAAAGTCCCCCGTTATCTTGACATCTCTGGCGGAGTCGTCGATATTTTGCCGGAGCCGTTGTGAGGAGAGGGAGGGATGCCAAAGGTAGAGAACGGTAACGAGTGTTTTATGTGCGTCGACGAGGGACTGTAGAGGGAGCGGTTGGTAGGCGAGGAGGAGCGGCGGTTGACGCGACGAGAGCGGCGTGTTTTTTCCTTCTCTTGGGGTTTGTTGGAGGATAAAGAAGACGACTACATCAGAGGTGTAGAGGGACAAGGAATCGGCCACAAAATGGGCAGTCGAGGTAGCGAACGATGGTGATAACTGTCGAGGCAGAAATTTGGGCAATGAAGATGATTGAAGCTGCGATGTGGTAATGGAGGACTGGAGTATTGCTGGCGGAAACGCAGCGCCCCAGGAGAGAAAGGCTCAGATGCTGCCGCTCGGTGCTGGGCAATTATTTTTCGCAGCCAGTCATCGCAGGCAGTTCGCAAGGGAGAGTGGGACAGTTGTGAAGGGCAAGAAGGGTACCGAGTAAGGCACGGGCAGCTGGGTGGTCTGAGGGTCTTCCTCAGACACTGTAAGGTAATAAGCGTTGTCCCCTTGAGTTTCCAAGTAAACTGTCTCGCTATGTGAGGGCGGGCAGCCAAAGCGCCTACAGCCTACCACATTACTGCTACTGGCTGCACCTGGGCTGCAGATGCCGGTGATCTCGTTAGGGTGCTTGACGGGTGGGGCCTGCTTTCAAAGCATCGAGGCACCCATGAGGGAGCGAGAGGGGTCCTCCTGGGACCCAAGAAGGCTCACTAGGCTCTGCTGGGCCCTGCTGGCCCTGCTGTTGCGCTGCTGGGCCTCCTGCGTGTCAGCTACCTGGTACTTACTTGTACATGCTCCGTACATGCTTGAACGTCTCCTTCCCGTTCGACTGCGCCCAGCTAATGCAATCCAGGGCTTTATTCCTGTCGCCGTCTCACCAATGACACCTTCTGTCCGCAGTCGTCGTCGGCACATCGAGCCAACTCCTAAACAAAGATTAACTCAACATCCTTCCTAGTCCATCCTAGGATCTCTGGTCTTCATCGTCCAATGTCTTGTTCTGACCTGCAACCCTGGCACCTGGCACAACGCTTCCTCTGAATAGCTCTGGTCACTCACTCACCTCAATGCCGGCCCTATTGCGAATCCGACAACCCTTCGACCCCCAATGGTGAGCCATCCTTCTGCTTGGCTCTCATCTATCTTTGCTGACAATTCGTATTCCGCTGTTCTCTGTGAGTTGCTCACTCCATCAGTCCTCCCCACTTTTTCCATTCCGTCTGTTTGTTGACGGTTTGCTCGGCTACAGCATAGCCTGCTCCATGCCTCTCCTACCTCGCCCTATCCTCAGCAACGGCAGAGACGGGAACAGGAGGGTCTATTGCGTCGACGCGCATGACATCTCCGAGACCATGCATCCAAGAAGAAAAAAAAAAAAAAAAAAAACAATAACAATCCATGACAACACAATATGGGCTGCCATCCGGCCCCTCTCGCTGTTGGACAGGACAGGACAGGGCTGCACCATGGCCTTCGCAGGGCCCTCGCAGGGCCTGTTCAACCCGCTTCGTCATCGGCTGCTCTGCTCTCAAACCCCCAACCAAGGCACCGTGGCCATTTGTGACACCGTGCACCCCAGGAATTTCGGCAGCGCATGAACCTCTTCAGACGCTGGGATGAAACAAGCAGCCAACGGCCACTGATCCAATCAGCCCTCTTGTACTCGAAGGATGCGTGTCATCTCCCAGGGCTTGCACTGCAAACACCCTTGTGCAACCTATCTCCTCTCACCTCCCCTTTCCTCTTTTTATGACTGCAGAATTTAGGTGACGAAGGTGGTGCACTTACCAAGCCACACGCGCTACAAAGCCTTGTCGACAATAGCTCGGGAGGACAAGCATGGCAAAAAAGAAGTCATCCAGTTCGATTTACATCCTTTACCGCTACACCCTCCCGTTTTTCTTTTTCCAGCTTCGCTCGATCTCCATGTCCAATCCAGAGCTACTGCGCACTCTTCACGAAGCAGTTTTGACTTCACAAATGCGGTTACAAGGCCCTCAGCTGACTCGTCTCCTCGGCTGGCAGGGTTCAAAAGAGGGCGCCAATCAGCTTCCTGATCAATGGCTGGACTACTGCATGAGAACCGCCGTCCTATTTTCTGCGAGAGCAACCCTCGTGCTCTTGACTTTTGCGTTCACGGTGCACCCTACCCGTAACAGCGTCCAACTAAGGGTGGTTTCCCGTTTGTTCCCACTTCAGCTACGGGGAAAGCAATCCTCAGTCGACAGCACTAGAAGCATCACGGAAGTACATCCACGAATTTCTCAAAACTTTACCACGGGAATGATTTCCTGCCGAGCACCACTTCTGTCTACAGTACGTGGGAACCCCAGACAGTTTCAATCCTTGCGTTTTAAGCAGCACGTGCGTCAATTCCTAAGGAGGCCCCAAGGCACTGATGACGCCTGCTTACTCGTCTCGTCTGTGGTTGGTGTTGCATCTGGCGAGAGCGCTGCAAAGCTCAATCACGTATCCCTCTGCAGTGAAAGCTGTCTTCCCAATAGGATTTCAACCGATCCTCCAAGTCTTTCAGAACGGTCTCACCAGGCCCTAGCGATCTCCAGCCAAATAGCAATTCGTAACTCTGAATGAAGGTGGTACGGATGACATCCCCTAGCTTGCTTCCCAGTTGTTGGAGAAAGCATAATTGGGGAAAAGTTCTTATGTGGCCAGTCGTTGCTTGGAAATTCACCTCAATTCTGGGGCGGCCATGCGAAACGATCCTGTCCCAGCAAATGGTAGAAGGAGAGCATTCGCAGTGACCTCTCGGAAGAAGAGTGTTGTTCTCATCCACATCTTGTACAGAGCATGTACATCATGGAAGTACTCCCCCGGCTACACTCAAGCTGACCACAGGGCAGGGTCAAAAATCTTATTCGCCAGACATATCGCAGCGAATGCTGTCCCAAGTACAAGTACGGAGTACATGCAGCACAGACAGCGCTGGGCCGCCAAAACTCCGAAACTATCTTCTCTTAATCTCGTCAGCGAACGTTTCGGAAACTGCCGAGAAGGTTGTGTCGAAAAGCCGCAGATATACCGGCTTGAACAAGCCGAAATACGCGGATAGTCTGCCACTATCTTGCCAAACACGACTTCCCAGCAAGAGACATCTTGGTCGCGAATGATATGCCATACAACCATTTCTGAGGGAACGAGGACTACAGAGGTGTTATTTCTGCAATTTCAAGATGGGGTGACATTTCCATGCCTTGAATGTCCATTTTCTTTCAACGGATGCAGCCCATCATACGTTATCACGGCATACTATACTGCTTCTTTCGAGACCACCTAATATTAATACCGTCTCTCTAAGCTGGTCCAAAAACAGCTTAGTGAAGACTTTGTCTCTGCAAGACGTTGGACAACCTCCTCTTCGGACGGTTCAATTTCATATACCGAACAGACGTCTAATCCTGAATGTTATTTCTTCAAAATGCCCAGAATATGGCCATCTCAATATTGATGGATTCCATATCTATCCCGGTACATCCTGCACCACCCACGACTTGTGACCGGCCTCCTATCTATTGTTCTACCCTCGCCAAAGCTGGGTGCATTGACAGGTGGATGATAAGGACGGGTAGGCGACAGTGTCTTCATGAGACTCTGACGGATTTGCTGACAACAGATGTGGTTCATGTCCAGTGCATGTTGGATTCTGACGGCCTCTGGTCGAAAAGAAATTCAGATTCAAAATCGTTCCTTGCTGCATACTCGGGATGTCAAGGCCGGCGGCCTGCCCAATCACCGATTGCTGCTTCTTGGGGAGATCGGAAGTCTGAGCACTATCTGATTGTTCTCCGATGGCCGTCATGCAACACTTGCAGCTCGCTTGAGATACGAGTATGCATCATGACTTGTGTCAATGCCCTTTTGCAAAGTCGAGGTTATACGAGGTGCCGCTGCACGGCGCCGGGAAGGTGCGAAGATACTACGTGATTGATTGTACCAAGTAAGGACGGTAAGGCAGTTTTTCATCCCGCAGATATGGCCTGTCTCCTGGTGAGTAGTGTCTACCAAGTACAAGTACTGTACAGTGGGCGGAACAGGTGATGAATCTCCTGTTGAGTGGAATCTTCATTCAACAAGCGTTGAGTGATTTCAGTTTTGCCTCAACCATCTTTATCTTCGTTTCTGCAACATGGATTTGGGAGAGATTACCTGTCGCAAAGGTGAGCAAAAGGTAAAAGTCCGATTCCAACGACGACTTCTTTGCAGTTGGGATTCCTCCTTCATCCCACAAGACTCTACTTGTAGATCAGAGGACGAACAGGAGACAGCTTTGTTTGGAGATGTTAGCATCCTTCAGGGCAGGACAAGAACAGTTTCTGTTTGTCTTTGGGAATACCGGATGCATTTCCGTCCGGCTCACTCAACGGTCGATCTATCCATCCGTTGCCTGACCATTATGAGCCTCGTGGTCTGACTTATCTCCAGACAGCTGCCATGGTTACGAAGCAATCCTCTCACTCCACTCAAGTCCTGACAAGGTTCAGGCACCCCATCGACCTGACTCGCCATTGGGAATCTCTCTGACGGACAGTCTCCTCCTCTTTGGCAAACATACAAGTACAAGTACAAGTAGAGAGGAGAGGCGGAATAAATTACCAGGGAGTATTGCTGCGCTGTACCTGTACTTGTACTTGTATGCAGCATACTCCTACCCCTGTTGGCAGTATAATTGCAAGCCAAGGCAAGACAAGACACGAGTCTCATACCCTGGCAGCAACAGCAGATCCAAAACGAGGATTCGTCCAACAGATGACAGCTCCCTTGTCCACACTGGCCCCTGCTTCGGATTTCTGACAACGATACTAATAAGGAGGGGGAAAAAACCATTCAGACTCTTCGACTATCCTGCGCTCCTGTACTGCCTCATACCATCCATGTCCTACTATGGTTTGCAATAGACAAGACAACACAGTGCAAAGCAATGCAGCCTCAGGACAGAGCGCGAGGATCCATCCATCAATCTCTTTCATTTCATGATCTCTTTAGGTCTATAATTGTTACACCACCGATGTCGTCCTGGTGGGCGCCGTGGTTAGGAACTGAGAGCTCAAATCCACTCCAGATCTATTATTCCCTTGGGGGGACTGTCTCCCGACCACAGCCAGATCGCCAGAGTCTATATTCCGTGCTGGGGCATTAATTACGCGTCAACGTCACTGGGACGCCCCATCTCTATCGCATCCTTTTTTCCTATTTCTCTCCATTGAACCCCCGTCCGCTTCCTCAAGTAGCCCTCACGCATCCCATTTGCGTGCTAATGGGCTTGCACCGAGGTGGCATGACGTGACATGAGTCGAGCCGAGCAAACCACGGCCTGCAGCGGGCGAGGGCTGAATAGCAAGTTGTTCTCACCTCTTCTCGTCTCAGCCTATTGCTCCTTCTTCCATTCGCCTTTCTCTCTCAGCTGTTGCTGTTCGTCTTCCTTGAACCAGCGCACGCTCCTTGCAAATCCCTCATCCAGGCCCACAACCGGGACGTATCCGGCCCTCTTCATGAGTTTCTCGCACGAGTAATACCTCGAGATCGTGGCGTACTTGACTGTCTGGCGGTTCAGCTTGCCCTTTCTGCCCGTCAGGTGGTTGAACAACTCCGCGGCGCCGCCGACAAAGGTAGCCAGAGAGGTGGGAAGGGCAACGATTCGGTCGGGGTTGATTGTGCGTCCGTACCGCGAGAAGAGATAGCGCGATGAGTCCCAGAAGAAAGCGGGCTGGTTGTTGGTCACGTTGAATGCTTCACCATCGACTTTTTCAAGATCCTTCCCTCCCTTGCTCAACCCGCCTTCCAGAAGAACCCGCGCCACACAAAGGAGCCCGAAACACACGTTATATACATAGGTGTTGTCGAACAAATTCCCATTGTCCCCCAGCTGGATGTGTAATTGCCAATCCGGGGCCACTGAAGCCGTCCGGAGAATGGCCCCTGAGAATCCCCCGCGATCTCCTTCGCCGACGATGCCCGCGGGCCGCACTGCGCAGGTCAACATTTTGCCTCCATCACTGTAGTCAGGATTGGCGTTGGCTTTGAGCACGATCTTCTCAGCGAGGACTTTTGTCTCGGAATAATACTCCCTCGGATTCGGGCACACGTAGGGGTATCGTTCGTCTGCATTGACCAAGTCGGATTCGCCATCGTGGATCACGCTCGCGCTCGAGACATGGACGAATGCTCTGACACATCCACCCCAGTCGCCATGCTTCTTCCCACCGGCAACTTCCAAGAGTGTCCGTGTGCCTTCGATATTTACTTTTCGGAGAATGGCCGGAGGGGCCTCCCACGACGGAGACGCAGTGTTGATGACGACGTTGGGCTTGACTTTGCGGAAGACCTCGAGAAGAGAATTTGGCTCAGTGATGTCGGCGGCGTGGTACGTGGCACCGGGGAAAATGTGTTGGGTGCATCTCAAGTCCAATACATGGACGGAGGTAGAGGACTGGTCTGTGGGAGGGTAACGGCTGCGTAAGGATGGGAAGGAAGAGGGGAGGAGTGTGGTGATGTCGTATTTCTCCGGGTTAGGGGTCGGGATGAAGCTGGAGGTTGATGCCGTTTGCGTGTTGCTGGTTGCGGCGCCGTTTGTTCTTTGTCGCTGCTGTGAGACTGCTTTGTTCTCTACGGCTGTTCCTTCGGAGGGAAAGTTGAGCAATTGATCCACGAGCCGCGAGCCGAGAAAACCGCAGCCTCCGACCACCAGCACGGTGCCGTAGGACCGCGGTGTCATATCAACCTCAGTCGCCTGCCTTTGCTCCATTGCCTTGCAGAGGAGACTTCGACGCGATATGGCTGGCACTGGCACTGGCACAGGCACTGGGAGAGTCGAGTCAGCTGGAGCCCGACCCTTTGGAAGCTTTTCTTTTCCTTTGGGATTGTTGAAGATGCGGACTGGTCAAGCGGTGCAGGCGGTCTGAGCCGGTGCAGGCGTTCCTGGAAAAGTGGGCCGCAGTCCCGGAAGTGAGACTTTCCTCGTGGCGTGCAGCATTACGTAATTACCTCAGCCTCGCAGGCGTAAGGGCATCATAAAGCCTCGTCAGGCACATGTGACAGAATCTCTATCAATCGACTTCTGCGGCCTCTGCAACTTCCCAAGGGACAGACGGCGAGTCGTCGCACCGACGAGTAAAGGCATCTCCCAGTCAACCAGCAGCGAAATTCATGTCAAGTGTAGCAGAACAGGAAGACCATCTCAAAAGAACTCCCTCGTGTCTTCAACATTATTCCATAATTGAGAGCCGTGTCTCGATTTTGCAGTCATGACCATGGTGCTTGCTGCTTCATATCGCCAAATTCATCCCGAAGCTGCCTCCCATTCACCCACCCGATCGCCGTGATTCCTTCCGAGTATACAGAGAACGTCTGTGAAGCCCCCATCATCTCCCGACTCCCGTGCTTGCTGCAGATAAAACCTGATAACCCATATTTTGCATTCCTCTACCTGCTCCATCTCAATATTTTGTCGCCCTCCCGACTTCAACTTCAGCCCTGATAGCTGGTCGAGTGGAGTTGTTGTCGGGTCTCAAAATGCGCGTCTCACGTCTCCATCACTCCTCTGTGGTCTTCTGTGCCGACCTCCTGAGCTGCCGAAAGTATTTCTTCTTATCACTTTCGCTACCCCAAAGCAATTTGGTCGCCTCGGGATGCACAATTGTCCTCGGGTCATATGGCGGACTTTCCTCCTCCAACGCCTCGACGATACTGACAATGTGATTCCGTAACTGATCTGCCTCCTTGGGAAAATAGCACACCACACCGTCCTTGGACACCCTGTGATGATAGATGGGTGTTTCCATCTTGACCCGAGGCTGTTCGCCCGGGAACCGAGGACTCACCGCGATTCGGAGTTTGAAGATCCCACCATCCAGATGCGTGCTGGGTTTGCCGAAGTATGTCATGATCCAGACAAAGGGGTTATCGTTTTCGAGCTCGACATCGACATTGTGCAACTTCTTGCGCCTCAAGTAGTCTGGCAGTTGTACGAATTGCCGTTGAAGCCCTGCCGCCTTGGTCGACTCCCGCTCCTTCAAGGCCGACCCCTCAACCGCCCAACCATTGGTCTCATCGCGAAGAACCTCTTTGATCCGTACCAGTCTTTTGCCCAACTCGCCGTATCGGAATTTACCCTCCATGGTGTTCCCGCCGCCCTCAAAGGGCATCTTGGAGAAGTCGGAGCCGTCTCTATTTTTAGGGCTATGTTCTTCAATAGTGCACATGTAATGTTCAAAGTACCACAGAAATCGTCGCTTGAATAGATCCCTGAAGGGTGTGAATTTGAGCTTGGATTGCATCTCAAGCGGGTCTTCTTGAGATTCGTCCTGCTCGTCATCTTCAGAGCCCCACTGGGACGTGGTGGGTGCCGGAGTGGCCAGGGAGCCGTCTGACTGGATGCCCAATGCTTCCTCGAGCTTCTGGATGACTGCAATTCGGAGTGTTTCGTGGCGAATCTAGAAACGCAGTCAGCCCCTGGTCTGGCCCAGTGTGGGTGTGAAAGATCATGGTAATATCAGTACCTTGGCACAGTACAGATCATTCAGCCTCTTGTCCTCTGTACCTTTGGCATTCTCATACCCGGGCTCGTTTTCGTAGGGATTGCTGCTCATCAGGCTCTGAATTGACCACAATATCGACTCCAATCCTTGTGCAGATGACCACTCTTCACCCGGTCTCTCTCCGTGCCATGTGCCCAAGATCGACAAGCAGACTTTCCCTGTGGCGTAGATGTTTGGGTTGAATCTCGTGCGGCCGCCATTTGTGGTTTTGGCCTCGACTTTCGGTGGCTTGCTGGGATATTCGGACCCAAAATTGACAGTGAACTCGAAGAAGCCGTACTCATAGGGAGTGCCGTGGGGGCCGATGATCAGGGCTTTGACGTGGCGGACATCTTTCTCCTGGCAAGCGACCGCGATGGCTGCCGAGAGGGGTCAGTTGGAAAATGATCGTAGAGGATACTGGCTGCGTCACGACTTACATAGGTCACTGCCTTGTTGAATCTGAGTGATCTCCTGCGCCCGGACCGTTAGCAGTGTGCTCCTGTTATGTAGGACCAATCTCTTACTCGCGATATTCTCAAGATGGTCTGGTTCGACATGATGAAAGCGGGGGCGAGCTCGGGCGTCGCAGAGGTTGAGTAGGTTGAGGTTCGAGCTCAGGTTCATGAGCAACGCAGAGAAGAGTTATAACCGGCGAAACAATGCTGCAGGTTGGCCCATGCGAATTAGAAAGCGGCATTGTTTGGTGAGAATGGACTTTCGTTTTGGGAAGGGGTTGACTTCTTGGGTTTTCCGGTGCAAGATGAGGCTGTGTGTCACAAGCTGCCCTGAAGCCTGAGGGTGATGTGAACAACGGCTTCCCATTAGAGGAACCAAAGGAACCACTGACTAGTTCGCGACACGCTAGGCGGCGTAGGCGACTCCATGGGGCACAGATCTGCCTGCGAGTTCCCAGTCGGCGACCAGTACTTAACTGTAAGCTGTTCGGTACCTAGCGAGTACTTTAGGTACCTAGGTAGGCTTGGTAGGTTCGGAGGGGCAGACTGAGAGGGACAGCTGCAGCGGGGCCATCCCACCGGTTACAGGAGCCTAATCAGCTTTCCGCGGTGCCCATAAGGCTGAAGGTGAAAAGCGTTCTCATGCCTAAGTCACTGCTGCCTACTTCGCGCTAGGTAACCATTATTTGGAGACCAACCAACAGTCGCCTAGAGCCTATGACGCACTTGGTTATAATTGGAGGTAGGCCGCCCCGACTCCCGAGGCGGCCCACCAGCCCCAGCGGGGAGAGTCCACTCGCCAACCGCCTAAGCAGTAGTTGGTTAAATCCAAGCAGCCCGCTATAGCATCAACCTTCCCAGTGGTCTTTGAATGTTTACACCTCAAAGTTCGTGTCCCAACCCTGTGCGCCCATGTACGTATGTCCTTTTGGGTATCATCCTCTTCGTATGGACCTGTTATTCGTTCCTGTTCCTTCCAATTCTAGCCTCCTTCCCAGTCCAGACATAGATTTGGCATCTTTCCGTGATCGAGTCTCGCCATTTGACATGGCGAATACCCGCAATCGTCTATCCTGTTGCGCGAGTCGTACTTATCCATGGTGGGCCTTACCAGTCGGAGAATCGGTTATACCTGATCTCGTTTTGTGTTACCGAGTACTCCAAAGATCAAATCTCATCATCCAGCGCCATCATGTTTCCATCAATCCAAAGTCGACAATCCAAAACCTCTCCTGCGGGCATCACTCACGCTCTGCAATCATAAGCCCTTCTCGGGTCGTGCTGTACTCGTGCTCCAATCGCTCGTCTGTCGATGGTTCCGAGGCCGCTCACTACCTGATTCCGCGTGGGATGTGATCTCTTCCGCCGGCGGAGTCGAAGGCCGTGCCGTTTCCAGGGTCAACGATACCAGTGCCTTGGGATTGGCGTTGACGTCTGCCAGATCTACTGCGGCAAGAGTCCCCTCTGGTGGAGGTCCAGGAATATCCGAAAGAGGGTAAGTCAATCGCTCAGACCTTATTTCAGGAGAACGGGCCTCCACCGCCACGAAACCGTTGTCTTGTGTGTTGTTGAAGAGGTACACATTCTCTTCCGTCAATGCCAGCGTCGTCGCAGGTCCACCACCTCCAACGGCCGGTTGGGCCAGATCCGACGAGGCAGGACTAGGCATCAACGAGCCATCTACCATGACCTTGGCGGCAATAATGGACGGGCCATGATTTAAGTCGGTCACCGATAACAGCTTAGCGTCGCGGAGTGCCTGTGCTTTGTCTTCAGCTTCGGCCCTCCTCATTTCACGATCTCCTTCTGTTCCACCTCCTGGAATCTCGGTGGCGAGGATAGCCCTGGAGATGCTGGACCGGAAGGCAGCGGCCTTTTCAACCACATCAATCTCACTCTTTTCTGAGGCTGGTGTCTCCTCAGCCGAGGCAACCAAACTGTTTGTCATTCCATTGCGAGCATAGAATTCGGTGACGATGGCATCGTTCTGGCCGCAAGTCGATGAGTGGTCGGTGTACGCGCTTCCCCATGATGGTTGCTGAGGATCTGGGGGAGCTTCTGACCATTTCCGGTGCTTGTAGCCATTGCGAGCCCTGGATATCCACCTCAGGATGGTTTTCTCCAACAAAGCGCGCTTGACCGGTTTGGCCATGTAGTCGTCCATTCCTGCTTTCTCACACTTCTCTCGGTCACCTTGAATCGCCGATGCAGTCATGGCCACAATTGGAATTTTCGCGATCGTCTCAATCTCCGTGAATGGCGGGTGATGCCTGAGCATGTGTGTAGCATGGTAACCGTCCAGGACGGGCATTTGCACATCCATGAGTATGAGTGAGGGAACCGGATATTGTTGTGATTGCTCGGGAGTGAGGTCGGGCGAGATGGCTTTGAGAAGATACTCCAGCGCCTCCCTGCCATTCCACACGGCAATAGCAGAAAACTTCAGCGCTTTGATGAATCTGAGGGCAATTTGTTGGTTCACAGGGTTGTCTAAAACAGTCAGCCTGGACATCGATTGGTGCTTGATCCGCATGGCTTACCTTCGACGACGAGTATATGTATCTGATTGCGCTCGAGATCAGCCACAAGAGGGTCCGTCCCTGGACTTGCCATGCTTGTATTCCCCGATGACTTGGGCGGTGTCATTATCTTCGGGTGTTTTGGGACTTCTTCTTTTGATGAATCCCTAGAGAGACACAAGTCGGACTGTAACCTATCGGGCACCGTGCCCACTTCGAGCAAAGCTGCTGGAGACCCCGTTTGGTATTCAAGTTTTTTGAATGGGACATTGAAGATAGCTTTGGTCCCTGCGTCCAGCTTGGACTCCAGGCGAATGGTTCCATGCATCAGACCCACCAGGTTTTTGGATATCGTCAAACCGAGACCGGTCCCTCCAAATCGCCTCGCGGTGCTTGAATCGGCTTGGCTGAACGGTTTAAACAACCTCTTCTTGACTTCTTCCTCTATCCCAATGCCACTGTCTTCGACACAAAATTCGATTGTGATTGTGTCGGTGGTTTCACCAATGATGCAGGTGCTCAGCGTGACGAAGCCTTTGGAAGTGAACTTGATACTGTTGGTCAGGAGGTTGACTAGGATTTGCCGTATCCGGCCAGGGTCACCCAACACAATGAGTTCTTCAGAAGGTCTAAGATCGACTATACTCCTGAACTCGAGTCCTTTCCGTTGAGCGGCAAATGAAAGCATCTTGGCAACCTCGCGGAGCACGTGGTTCAGACTGAATTGCACTTCTTCAATATCAAGCCGGCCGGATTCGATTTTGGAGAAGTCGAGAATGTCGTTGATGACGGTAAGGAGGGAATTGGCAGACCTCTGAATGTTCTGGGCGAACTCGCTCTGTTCCGCATCTAGGCAAGTGTCCATGAGTAGCTCGGACATTCCGAGCACCCCTGCGATGGGTGTCCGGATCTCATGGGACATGTTGGCGAGAAAGCTGCTCTTCATCTTGCTCGCTTCTTTGGCCGCTGTCTCCTTTGCAAGCAATATGATGTTTTCTTGCTCTTTATGCCGCAACGAAGTAACGTCGGATCCGATAACAATGACTCCAGCAATGAAGTTCTCATCTTCGACCCTATTCGGGCCTGTCTTGCCCTTCAAGGGGACCATCTTGGACCGAAACCATCTAGATTCCACCTCATTCTCGCAAATTTCCAGATCGGAGACTCCTAAGAGGATACGGTACAGGGCCTCTCTGAATGCGTCAATAGCTTGCGGCTCAAGGTGATCGCGCAAAACCTCGAGGACAGGGGCGCCGATGACTTGGTCGGTTGTTATGTCGCCCACCACGAAAGACCCTTCGTGAAAACTGACATTCAATTGTCGGTCGAGAATCCACATGGTCATTTGCGAGTGTTTCAACACATCCAGCAATTGCCGTCGGACCCTCTGCCCGGCAACCTTGGCGTCGACGACTTCTTGAATATCTGTACAAGTGCCGAACCACTTGAGAATCTTCCCTGTCTTGTGGTGATGCATGGGCAGGGCCCTGCCGAGCATCCATCTCCATTCGCCGTCAAACCTCCTGCAACGATACTCAGTGATGTACTCCTCTCCGGTCTCAAGAGAATGACGCCATTTGCGTGTGGTCTCGGGCATGTCCTCTGGGTGGAAAGGTAGCTTCCAGCCTTGACCTAAAGAGTTGGCTGGGGTCAAACCAGTATAGTCATACCATCTTTTGGAGTAATAATCGTGGTAGCCGTCGGGTCTCGTAGTCCAAATCATTTGTGGCATCATGTCGCAGATGAGACGGAACTGTTCCTCGTTTTCTGCTGATTGGTGGGCAATTTTTTCCGTGTATTCTGTAACATCCTTGAAAGCGATTAAGCCTGCCAGAAACTCTCCAGACTTTTCGTCGTAGACAGGGTGCCCGCTGACGTCAAAGTTGGACTTCTTGCCAGTCTTCTCGTCAAGCAGACCAATCTTCCAGTTCGTGAAGGGTTGCTGAGTGCGACACAGGGCCACGACGGGGTTGTTATCCTCTTCGAGCTCTCTCGAGAAATCTGCTGCCCAGGGGCGAAATCGCGACATGAAATCATACGACTCGTCCGACATTGGATCGGTCTCGACTGCCAGTAATTTCCGGGCAGCCGGGTTTGGAAAGACCACGCTCTCATCTCTCCACATGGCAATCAGTGGGATCTCAACCGCGCTCAACATGGCGTTCTTCATCTTGAGGACCTTCTGAAAGTCCGTCGGGGCAGAAGGGGCAGTACACTGCGAGGGAGGGGCGATGGGAGGGAAAGAGACTCCGTGCAACTGCTCTCCAGGCGACCCAACATGAGAAGTCCCCCTAGAAGAAACAGGTGTTTGGGACTGAGAAGAACGGGAGGACCTGGCGGAATGCGACGAGGGATGGCGTGGAGTGCCTGATGGGCGTGACCCTGGGCGATGAGAAGGATGTCCCACTGAGCTTGTAAACGTCAAGGTGAAAAACCGCTGTCCTTCTAGGGCCCAGATACTTATTATCATTCGACAGGTGGCGTGGACAGTGCGACGGGCACCGTTATGTTTGTGTCGCGGAGTGCGATGCGGCGACTGGTCATGATGGCTGCCGGAGATGATGACATCGACCACGGTATCTTGAGACTTTTCAGGACGATGTTGCAAGGGCGACCTACCTCTTGCAGCGGCAGCAGCCTCAGGAACAGCGATGGGAGTTGTCTCGCCGCTCTGTACATCGCGCAACGAATCTCCCGAGGAGGTCCTGTCTCCTGCAGGTGGGTGCAAATCATTGGCGAGGTTGTCGAGAAATCTCTCCCAGCTGACCCATATGGGGAGGACGCCGTCGGAGAACATGTTAATTCCCAACTGCGACAGCGTCTGACCCTTGAGGACGTCGCCGACGCTGAAGCTGGGATCATCTTGATCCACCCCCAGCAATCTTCCTATGGCAGAATTGGCCAGAACGACCGTTTTCAAAGAAGACAGGACAAGTATCGGTGTCGGCAGGGTCGCGAGGGCGGCCAATGCGGTTTCGGTCGCCATGGGGAGATGAGGTAGGTCGATGAAGAAATCAAGCGCAGGCGACGCAGTGGCATCGCGACGGCCAGCGGTGGTGGTAGCAGCAGCAGCAGCAGCAACAGATTCTGAAGAGGCTAGAGATGGGCCACAGCCAGCATCGTCGGTCGGCCTGGGTTCAAATTCGACATCGCCACCAACCATTTCCAAAAAAGCAGGTGTGGTTGTGGTGGTGAGTGGAGAGGAATGTGCTGAGCCCTCTTAGGCGATACCCAGTGGAAGAGATTGAGAGCGAATGTGAGGTGACGTAGGAGGCTTCGACAAGGCTTTATTGCCCTTGGTGCTGTGGGGGCAGGGCAATCAAGCGAGCAAGGCAGCTAGTGAGGCTCAATAGGCAGTGATCTCCCCTGCAGCGCATAGGAGTAACAATAGGAGAATGGACAGTAGGCATAGGGTTAGTGCGGTACGGGGTACAGAGGATTTGTACTGGGTATAGGTAGTAGTAGTAAATGTTGATATCGTGGTTTATACTGGGTACTGGGTACTGGGTACCGAGTATGAGGTACTTTTGGGTGATCAGAGGGGAGGAGCGGCGAGAGGCAGCCGGGAACATGTTGGACACGGCAGGCGCCATGGGGAACTGAAATTCCCCCCCATTCTTCCATTCTTCCATTCTTCAATCCCTCACTCCCTCGCTCTCTCACTCCCTCGCTCTCTCACTCCCTCGCTCTCTCCTCATCCCCACTCCCTCATGCATCTCAGGTGATTTTTCAGCCTCAGTCTCTCTCATCGCTGCCTCGGCGGTTCATCCTCAAGGAGAGAGGCAAAGGGGTGTCAGGAGTACCAAGTACAAGTGCCTGCACACCCTAGCTTATCCGCAAATGGCCGGATTACAGGTCTCCAAGTCAAACTGAAGAACCACAGAAGCGAGATGCGATCCCTCCATCAGCCGCTTTCGTGTTTGATGCTGTTGATGCGAAACCGCCTAGACCGCCCCGGCCCGAGGCCACCAACTCCTGCGCGCACCGTGAGGAGACGATGCCTCATCAAATAACCAACCATCTCCGCGGTGGCCAAACGGCATCCTCCTACCGGTACGTGGGTAATAACTGGGTCCAAAACAAAAAGTACAAGGTGAAGACATGGTTTCTCTCTTTATTATTTTTTTGTTTCTTTCTTTTTTTCCCCCCTTAATACCAGGCTTCGCGCTTCGGCTTTAACGGCAATGCGAGTCGCTTTTACAGTCAGCCCCCCAGCCTGAGTGTGGTCGGTTCGGTGCTCGTTCTTATGCTTCGTTCTGGAGCGACCAAGACGGGCCCGTTCATGTCGCTCCGTGTGGGAACGGAATCGGGATAACCAGTGCGAATGCTAATGGCCGGCCTTACGATCCTTCTCCTCTACTATAGAAGCAGCACTTTTGGCTCAAGGTAGGGTGGCCTTGTGTTGTCAATCGCTCTCTTCTCCTAGCCACAGCAGCAGCCTGCGATCGGCACTCACGTCGCAAACATGGCTCAATCTGTGCCCCAGACCCTCTCTCTCGATCTATCCCAATATCCCAAACTGTCGCCCGCTCAATTAGGTCACCTCCGCCATTTCCACAACCTCGCATTTCAGCCGGATGGAGAGTGGGCAAAGATGGGGGCTCAAGAACCCCTCCAAGAGTTCCTTGACGCCTATCGCTATCAACTCGCCACAATGGCCTACGCTGTCGGCGTCGCTCATTATCATCGCTTGCCAGCTCTTCGCTCCATATTCAAACCCCTCCTCCGCCAGCTGATCCATAAGATGCTGCGCAAAGAGGTCTGGGCTTACTGGTTCAACACTAGTCTAGGCGGGACGCGCACCGATCCAGGTTTACAAAAGCTCAGAGAACCGTGGGCCGATCCTGTCGTAAGGGAGAACATCATGTACAGCGGTCATCTTCTGCTGATGACCAGTCTCTACGCCATGCTCTTCGACGACGATGAATTCGAGAAGCCCGAATCCCTGGTTTTCAAATGGGACCCTATCTTTTTCGGTCTCGGTGATGAGACTTTCTTCTACGACAATCGCAGCCTCCAGGCAGCCATTACTAGAGAAATGGAAAGGAATGGATGGGTTGGTGTCTGTTGCGAGCCAAACGTGGTCTTTGTCGTCTGCAACCAATTTCCAGTATAACCTGCCTCCTCCACTCTTTTTGGACTCATGTGCTACATTTACTAACTGTGTTCCAGATCATTGCAATGAAATACAACGATTCTCGCGACGGTACCAACAAGGTCGACGACGTTCTGGCCAAGTACAAGGCCGCTTGGGATAAGAAAGGGATGGTTGCTTCCAATAACCTCCTTATCGACTTTTGGATGGTCAAACAAGACTATATCGTCCCTCCTACAGATGTGGGATGGACCGCATGGTAAACCTTTCGCCGCTTTATCCCGTCAGGATTCAAACTCACGAACCCTTAGGGCTGGCGCTTTTATGCACTCCTGGAACCCCCAACTTGTGGAGAGTCTCTATCCAAAACAGGCGCCCGGTTTCATTACCAACATCTCGGGCCGGGTCCGCCTGCAACCGCCAATTGTAGCCAACCACTACCGCAAACTTTCAGCAGCAGCATCCCCGTCCATATCCGATCGGGACAGGCTCGAGAAAGCCATTGATCTTGCCAAAGCCGACCTTGCCCAAAATCCGGTGCCGAATTTCCCGTACACCAAACCCTGCTTCGGATATGTTGTCCAATGGCTCTCTGAACTCGGTCAAACAGAGCTTCTTGACGGCCTATTCGCATATGCCGATCAAGACCTGAATCCAACGTGGGACAATGGCGGACTCTTCTATCCTCGCAACGACACCCCCTTCATCTTCACCCGAGACAAAGAGGACGGCGAGGGTGTCAAATGGACACACGTCTCTCCTTTCTGCGGCAATGCCGCGATCGGGTACGCACGAGTCAATGTCAAAGATGGACAACGCATCATGTACGAAAATCCGTGGACAAGAGAGTCACTCGCCCATACGCCGTGGATCGACAACCTCGACTTCGTGGGGAAGGAACACGGAGTCAGTGTACGTCGCGGCGTGTGGGATAAGGATGCTCACGCGTTGATCCTGACGTTGAAGGGATGGGACTTTGAGGGACGAGCGTGTCCTGAGAAAGTGGGCGTTGAGCCTGTAGCGCGGAATCTAGGACCAGGCAAGTGGGCCGTCTATGTCGATGGGAAGTTGCGCGCGAGCAAAGAGTTGCATGGTCCGGCCAGGGATGATTTCAAGGTTAATTGTGATGTCAAGAGAGGACAGGAGGTTGACGTGGTGTTTATGAGGGTTGATGGTGGGATGAACGGTCATGCCAACGGGCATTCCCGTTAGAAATTGCGAAGGGGACAGTGATGTGCATTCCTCTAAGATCCAAAACCTTGAGCACAAGTCATATGATAACATCATCTAATATACATAGGTGGGTGAATATGACAGTCTTACCATCAAGCGGAGTATTAAAGTTGAAATCTGTCTAACACTATATCCGTTCCTTCCGTCTAGCAATGCATGCATCAAGTCATGATGGGACAAACCGAACGCCATCGCCATGCATTTCACTCTGGTCCACTGCCTTCCACTCCACTCGGCCTCCATACAACAAAGCGTGAAGGCCGGGGCACATCTCACACGTCGCCTCTTGACTTGGGACCTTCACCTCCGACCTGGACCTGCTGCTCCACCTCGGCCTCTTCGTCCCGGCCGCTTTCACCGCCCTTGGCTTTCTTCCCCGAGACGATCAGGCCCTGCTCGGTCTCGAGGCCGACGTTCAAATCATAGCCTTTAATAAACAAGCTCGCGACAAGGGAAAAGCCCGCCAGCGCCGCGATGACGATGTACACAGTGCGCAGGGAGTCGGTGTAGGCGGTGCGGAGGTCCAGCTTGTTGGCGCCCGCAGGGGTGTTCTTGATGATTTCGACGAGGGCGGCGGCGTCCTTGGCCAGGTCCGATGCGAGGGCGGCGTAGGCCGGGTACTTCTGCAGGTTTTTCACCATCTGGTTTTGGAAGATGACGCCGCCGATGGCGACGCCCAGGGCCTGGCCGAACGAGCGGAAGAAGACGAACATGGCCACGGCGAAGGCCATGTCCTTGTTCGTGCTGGCTGCCTGCACCTGGAACTGCAGGCCCGGGAACAGGATGCCTAGGCCGATGCCAGAGACCAGGTCGATGAAGATCCACTGCGGGATCGTCGTGTCGACGTCCAGGATCGTCAGCAGGCCCAGCCCCAGCGTCGCGATGCCCCAGCCCAGCCAGATCGCCCAGCGGTATGCGGAGAGCTTTGTGATCAGCAAGCCCGTCACCACCGCCATGGGCGCCACGGTGAATGTTGCGGGAAAGAGCGCAACGCCCGACACCACAGGCGTGTAGCCCTTGGCGGCCTCAAAGTACAGCGGTTGGTAGTACAGAATGCACCAGAGGATCATGCCGTGGAGGGTCGTCGTCATATATCCAATGTTCACGGTGCGGTTGCCGAACACGGACAGTCTCAGCAAGGGCTCGGGCGCGAGGTATGCTTCGTAGAAGCAGAATCCGATCAGGCCCGCGCCGCCGACAAACAACGGCACTAGCGTCCGCCACGACGACCAGCTGTACATGACACCTCCCCATGTCAAAGGGATGAGGAAACTCGTCATGCTGCCAACGAAGATGACCGTGCCGAGCCAGTCCACGCGCCGCAGTTTGGCAGTAATGCTCTGTGGTATGATGTTGAGGCGCAGGAACAAGGGGACCATGACAGCGCCGATGCCAATAAAGGGGAGATTGAGCCAGAAAATCCAGCGCCATTGCACTTGGGCAAAGGCACCGCCGATGATGGGGCCGGAGACCGAACCAATGGACCACATCCCTGCGATGATGCCTGCCCATTGGCCTCTGTAGCGGAGCGGGACGAGGTCCGTGACGACTATCTCGGTCATGGCAATGACACCTGTTCGCTCTCGGTCAGAAACCCAAAGAGGGGGAAAAAAAACTGAATGGCGGGTGTGTTTGAACAGCTCCCCGGTGGGAAGAATAGAAGCGACTTACCACCTCCACCAATTCCTTGAATCGACCTCCCCGCAAGTAGTAGACCAAAATTGTTTGACAAGGCTGCTATCATAACCCCGACAAAGAATAATGCGATAGAAACCATGATCACAGGCATTCTCCCAAAGATGTGGCTGAACGAGGCAAAATTGGGTTGAAACACGGTCGAAGCAAGCAGGAATGAGGTGCCCGCCCAGAACGCTTCAATGGCTGTTCCACGTAGCTTTTTCGCAATGATGGGAAGGGCGACACTGATCGAAGTGCCATCCAGCGCGACCATGAGTGTTAACACGGCCAGAGCGACAAAGGCCATAACGAAGCGCGTGGAGATGGTAAATTCTTCAGGAGTGGAGGAGGCGCCATTGTCGTTGTCGAGGTTGGCTTTTTCGGAAGTGATGGAGGAGGAAGAAGATGTTGTTTGGGATGCTGGTGCTTGGGTCTCTTGCGGGGGAGGGCCCTCCTTCGTCTCTTCAACAAAAGGAGGTGGCATGTCCATCGTAGGGGATGGCATTGTGCTATTTTGAACGATGAGGATTATGAGGCAGGGCAAGCTCTGGATTGAGCAGGAGGGACTTTATCGATACTTTGAAAGATTGTATGCTCGGATGGAGTGTGTGGGTACCAAGGGATACTTAGTCCTGTCCGGAAAACAGCAAACAAAGGGGTGGCGACCATAGAAACTTGGGCTCGAAGATGCTTTCGATCGAAGACAGTCAAAGCTGCCACGATCATGATATATACCATTTCATACTCACCTTATAAGAATGACTCGTCCCGAACGGCATCCCTCAAACATCAATGATGCCTGTTTTTTTTTTTTCCTTTCGGGAGAATAACGTTGCATCTCGCCGTGCAAAACATACCTAATGACTTCTGGCCATGACGACGAGGCTGAAAATGCAGCAAGCTGCAAGAACAGCATTGGTTGGCTGGCGAGGCTGGGTCCCTGGCTGTAGAGAACGCCGACTCGTGCCGGCGGACCAATATTGGGCCGCCCCCCAGAGAATGCAGACATGCTCCTTCATCTAGGATGACAAACAGCTTCCAAGGCAACACGAGGGCGCACTATCAGGTGCCATTGATTCGGAACACTTGGTTTCCATGATCCGTGGCTCCATCCAGCGAAGAGGTGCGGGTGGGCGACTTTTATGCGAATTGGACAATATACCCAGTACTTACGGAGACCTGCTCGCCTCGTAGGTGGCCTGGGATCTGGCCTTGCCTGCTTGCATGAAGCATGAAGCATAACCCACTGGCTTCGATGCAAGAGTCACCTGTTGACCTCTTTGTTCCTCAACCCTCCAGCCTTCTGGTTCCGAGGTATAGCATAGGACTGCTGACGAGCCTGAACGCGTGTCTGCGGTGAAGGGAGACGAACTTTTGCAAAGTCGCGCAGTCAAGGTTGGAGCATTGTGTTGATTGTAACTTAGCATGTGCCAGATTTCACGACATTAGCGACCTTAGCGCTTGTGGAAGTCGCATGGCGACGCTGCAGGGGTTCATCACGTTATGATGGACGATGAAAGGCGCCGTTTGCCACACCAAACCAGCCTTTGATAAAGCTAGGATTGTTGTTTTTTGGTGGAAAGGGACACGATGGCACCGAGATGGGCTGAAGGGTGGAAGGGACAAAGTGGACCACGGGCAAATAGTCGCCCCGGCCACGTGACGCCAGACATTCAAGGGGCCTTCTCTGCCTGTTTTGGGCTGTTTATATGGTGTGCGGGTCAAAAAGTCACTCTATTATGTACTCGGTGCGTTTTCTGGGTTGCGATTGGCATGCTCGTATCTTTTGACGATGAATAATCCAGCTTCAAAGTCGGACTGGCTGCATGGTCGACATGATCTCATCTCGAGCGCATCCGGCTCCATCCATACAAGTACTGTAGATCCCTCCAGGATCCCTCTCTCCGAGATTGAAACCTGAGATAGTGCACACGGTTTGTGCCGACATGAATCACCAAGCGAGACATGATCAGGGCTTGATAAGACCCATGGTCAACTCTTGGTTCTGGCTCTGCCCAACCTGGCAATCCCACATCCGGCATTAGTCCACAATCACATGGCACTGGCTGCGAAATCTGCTCCCATAGCAGCACCATAGGCATAAGTGGACGCGCCCGAGTTCTTACTCCGATATTTCTTCTCCACGCTCTTTTTTGGCAGGGGGCGCGCTGCCTCTGGTTCCACGCTGAACAGTTTTCTTATCACGGGGCTGAACTCTTTATCGGTTACATCGACAAAAGCTGGACGGTCCTTGTGGCTTCCCTTGCGCTCTTTCATGCCTGGGCTTTGCACCTCGCTCATATGAGCCTCGTTGGACTCGGTGATGTGGATGGGCTGTTGCGTGGGATCGTGGGTCTTGCGGCTCCATGCATTGGTGGCGCGTACCGGTGGCTGGGTGGGATCATCGATTGTTTGGCTGTTCCTGAAGCACATGTTGGCGATTGGAAGGGGATTGACTGATATGATTCTTCACTCTCTGTCTTGCACAACGTGCGAACCTGGGAAGCCGTCTGTGATTAGCTAAATATGCTATATGTGAAAATGGGAGACACTGAACGGCTGGTAGCAAGGATATACTGATGAGGCTGCAAGCACTGAGGACGCATTCAGGGAAACCGGCAACGATCAAGCGATGTGAATGGCACTGAAAATAGCTCTTCCGAATACGACCACGCTGGACAGGTCAAGAGATACTTAGGTCTGATAAGCGAGAGCCAGGGCAGAAACGGCAGGAGAGCGCTCCTGTACTGGGTAGGCGTAGGTAGAGGGCGAGGGGTTAAAAATAGTGAACCCCATGCCGATTGTGCCTAGGGAAGCGAGGAGGTCAGAGGGATGAGATCCAGAGCTCGAGAGGAAGAACGCGGGCGAGCTGCTTGCAGAGAGATGAAACGGGGAGTCGTTGGATCCCCCGCATTTGGCCTGCGCTGCCTGCGCTGCCACTGACTTGCTTCTCTTCTCTCCTCCAACCCCAACCTCCCATCCACGCCGCCACCGTCAACATCTGCCGAGACTAGGGGACCCCCTTGGGGACCTCCATGGGCCATCTCCCTGCACGGTCAATCTCTTTTTATCCCAAACGTCCTTGGATTCTAGCGAGGCAACCCCTCGACCCTCGATCTCGCTGAGGCTGGCTCTCTGTGTCGTATCTACCCCAGACGATCACCCAAGTCACAATGCAAGAATTGATGCTACAAAGACATCCAGAGTAAGAGCGTGTTTCAAAGCTGAACAAGGTGTCGCGCAAGATCAATTCCATTTTCCGCGAGAGGCGCGAGACAAGTCTCAATACATAGTCACGGACCAGGGACGAAGGTCGCTGTCGTCAGTGTCACGCTCTGTAATCAGGTCAAGTGTCAAGAACCATACCATTTCCATCTTCAAGGTCCCCTTTGATGCAAAGCACATTGCACATTGTCTTCATCTTTTTATACGCCAAGCAAATCACACATCCTATCATGATCAAGACGTCTCCTTCCACTTCAGTCTAATGAATTCCTGACTCGTTTGCCGAGGTCTTGTCTCTGCCAATGCGGAGTCGAATACATCCAAGCATTGAGAGGCTTGGGAGGCTTGTTGGCTTGGGAGACTTGGGAGGTTGCTCCACTTGAACGGCTTGACGAGCAATGAGTCTCTCAGCACTCTGGGTCGCGTCCTGTATCTCGTCCACTGCCTCGGCCGACTTCATTGGCCATTGTGGAAAGGTCGATTTAACATTCCAATGAGGGCCTACAAAAATGGCAAATCTCCCCTTCATCAAGCTGGCGAGCACTTGGTTCACGTCCCTCAACAGTAATAATGGGACAACATATCATGATAGGGCCATTTTGCCCGCCCGCCCTCGATGACAAAATAACGATTCCAGCGCTCATGACAAAGTACAACCCTGACAGTGTCCCTGCTGAGAAAGTTGTCCATGTCGACACCATTGCCAACAAGAGTCTCACGTATGGGGGCCTCCGGGAACAAGCCGCCAGATGCGCGTGGGGTCTGCAGCACAGAATGGGAATCAAGGAACAGGACAAACTGTTGGTCATCCTGCCCAACTCGGTATGTCATCGTCAAGGACAGGCCATCTCCTTCGTGGTCTAATTGATCTGGCTACAGACCGACTTTGTGATCCTCGCGCATGCAACGCTGTGGCTTGGAGCTATATTCTCGTACGTCCGCCCAAGATTTTCGAGGATCACGAATATCTCACGACGCAGACCAACAGGCCGCTCAACCCGTCCTCATTAGCAAAGGACATTGCCCATGCATTGTCCCTGGTCCAGCCCAGCCATATCGCCATTGAACCAAGCAAACTTGAGGCTGTCAATGCTGCGTTTCAGCAGCTGGGTTGGGAAAAACCTACACGTCCGACAATATTCACGGTGCTGAGAAGATCGGGTAGTCTCAAACTGGTGAGGTCCTTCCAGCCATTGTTGGAACGTGTCAACCTGATCCTCGCCAGTTTCCCGACGACATCGCGGGCCAAGCCCCTGACCAGACGCTTCCGATGTTCGACCTCCGAGGAAGAAGCACCAAAGATGTGACGGGCATGATTGTGTTCTCATCTGGAACGACTGGGAAAATCAAGGGCGTCCAGTTGTCACATTACAGTATCGTCTCCAATATCATTCAAACACGCATCTCAATGCCTTGGATGATGAATCACGCCTCCCGAGAAGTCTTCTTTCCACCGTGTAAGGGTCTTAATCCCCTGGCTGTGCCGGCCTTTGTTTGGTGAGTCTGACAGGATACTTGCAGACTGCCACGTCTATGGCCTCGGGGTTGTGGTGTTTTGTGGCATGTGGGTGGGCTCGTTCACCTGCGCAATCCCGGCCTTTGACCTGGACTTGTTCTGCCGGAAGATGGAAGAACACAGAGCCACATGGGCGCACATCGTTCCGCCCGTTGCCATTCAACTTGCGAGTTCGGATATTGCTGCAAAATATGAACTGTCGTCGATACAGATCATCCTCATCTCGGCCGCTCCGACCAAAAGAGACCTTCAGATGAAATTAAAAGCAAGGTTTGGGAGGGATGTCAAGATCGTGCAGGGTCAGACAGTTAGCGTCCTGTCAAAGCGCCCCACCCATGACTGACAGTGGCAGGGTATGGAATGTCTGAATGTTCCCCAACAGTACTGTTGCAGAGTCCTTTTGATGACGAGAACAATATCGGAACGGCGGGGAAACCAGTGTGTGGAACGTAGGTATCTCTTGCACCGTCTCTGTCGCTCTCGTCATGCGACCAGCTCTGACCCGTCCGTGTCTCGACGCAGTGAACTTCGACTTGTCGACCCAGTGACACTCAAGGATGTTGCACCAGGTGAAGAAGGCGAACTTTGGGTTAGAGGCCCTCAGACAATGATGTCAGTCTTGCTCGTGTTTTGAATTCTCTCCGTTACTCACCAGTGGCCAGGGGATACTACAACAATGAACAAGCCACGCGAGAGACTTATGTAGGCGATTGGCTCCGAACCGGCGATATCATGCGAGTGGATGAGAATGGCAACTTCTGGGTCACAGATCGGTTGAAAGAGGTATGTGCAGCTTCAAACTCTTGGATTCTAGCTAACCAGCTTGCAGCTGATAAAGTATAAGGGGTAGGCACTCACCTGGGTGTATCCATCCGGACTTGCTCGAAGTGCTGACAACACACTAGCTTCCAAGTGCCACCCTCGGAACTCGAAGACCTTCTCTTAAAACACCCCTCAGTGGTCGACGCTGCTGTGACATCCATCTACTCGGACGAGCAAGCCACGGAACTTCCTATTGCATACGTGACCCTTCCGCCCAAGACACCGGCGTCTCAAAAACAGAGACTCCTTGCTGAAATTCGCGAATGGGCCGACGGGCAGGTGGCGGGCTACAAGAAGCTGCGCGGTGGAGTGCTTGAACTGCAAAATCTGCCGAAGACGCCGTCGGGAAAGATCTTGAGAAGAGAGTTGCCGTGTAAAAAGGTAGAGGCAGCGGGGAGAGCCGCGAAGATTTGATGAAGAGTAGGGAGTTTGGCGCAGGCCTTCGAGAGCATGCCTGAGACTTGATGAGTATAGCATTGCAAAAGATAGACTTGAAGACCACATGTGCCTTGATTGTACCTGTTCACCTTATTCCCTTGGACATCGTCATATATGTACCTCGTATCTTGAGCCAATTTGATCAAGGAATTCTACTCCTTCTCTTCCTCTTCCTCTTCCTCCTCATCCTCTCGCAGATATACAAGACGCCGGACTTAACAAGCCTTGGCCATATTAAAATCGTGCCGGCCGGTCGAAAGGTGTCCGGATTCGTCCATGTGCCTGTTTGTCCCGCAACGCGTTTGATTCGCCCGTGCTCGACCTTGACGGCACGAAAACCATCCGCCACATACTAATGGACCCTCAATGCTTCTCTTGTGTAAGTTGCTGTGGTCGCAAACATGTTCCATGCCGAGGAGTTGGGGCATCTATGTATGCAACAAGCGGGGTTAAGGAAGGAAGTATGCATCATGAAGGGGTATATATATAAGGATCGAAAGACGGGCACATCGCCCACGGATCTTGGACTCCTTCCTCTTGGTCAGAGAACTGAGTAACTAACCATCGAACTCCCTCTCTGCGACTGTGCTCTTTTCCACTCCCCTGCACAGCCTTGTCTCTCCCACACTCAACAGCTTCAAACACAATGTCCCTGCCCAAACCCCTCCCAACTCGCCCCCTGGGTACGGGCGGCCCTTTGATTCCGGCGATGGGGATCGGAATGATGTCCCTGGGCCACGCGTACGGGTCGGCAGGCGGCGACGAGGAGCGGTTTGCCTTCCTGGACGCCGTGCACGCGCTGGGCGCCACCCACTGGGACGACGCCGACCTGTACGGCGACACCGAGACGCTGCTGGGCAAGTGGTTCACCGCGAACCCGGACAAACGCAAGGACATCTTCCTCACCACCAAGTTCGGCTTTGCAGGCCAGGACGCCAGCGGCGCCTATGTCGTCCGCAGTGACCCGGAGTGGGTGCGGGCCGCGTGCAAGGCCAGTCTGGACAAGTTGAAGTCGGACTGGATCGATCTGTACTATTGCCATCGCGTGGATGGGAAGACGCCCATCGAGGAGACGGTGAAAGCCATGGTTGAGTTGAAGAAGTAAGCTCGGTCTGACATACCATCCAAGCCTCAACATACACCCCCCGACTGTGTTCGCAGGTGTGATCTATGTGCCCACTCACTGACACTCTGACAAGTGAAGGCAAGATCCGGTACCTGGGTCTCAGCGAAGTGTCGGCCACGACGCTCCGGCGCGCCCACGCCGTGCACCCCATCTCGGCGCTGCAGATCGAATACTCGCCGTGGGCACTGGAGATCGAGACCAACGGGGTGTTGCAGGCGTGCAAGGACCTGGGCGTCGCGCTGGTCGCATACTCGCCGCTGGGCCGGGGCTTCCTGACGGGCACCATCAAGTCGCCCGCCGACGTGCAGGGGGACTGGCGCGCGATGATGCCGCGGTTCCAGCCCGAGAACTTTGACAAGAACATTGCGCTGGTGCGGCAGATCGAAGACCTGGCGCGCCACAAGGGCCTGTCTACCAGCCAGCTCGTGCTGGCCTGGCTGCGCAGGCAGTGGGACGGCGTGCACCTGCTCCCTGGGACGCGGAGCGCCGAGCGCGTCAAGGAGAATCTCGCAGCCTTGCTCGTCGAGCTCACCGACGAGGAAGACCGCGCCATTCGACGCGCCTGCGAGGAGTGTACTGTCGTCGGGCTTCGCTACCCCGAGGCCATGGCGTATATGCAGCTTGGGGAGACGCCCGAGCCGGATAAGTGATGCCCGCTCAGAAACCATGGAGACGGGGGACGGAAGAGAGACCGACAGACTGGAACAGACGAGATGGTTTAAGAATGGAAAAATGGACTCACCAATGAAAGCAGACAAAAAGGTCATGAAATATATATTTCTCTTAGCCCTGCTGTTCTTCTCGTGCCACGGCTGTTAATACTTCTGGTTCATTCAACCCAAATCAATCACAATTTGAACTTCCATACGAAGCGGTCTTGTCTTGTCCTGTATAGATGCCAGGTATTCAGCCTTGCTAGATCTGTAGGTAGACAGACGGACGGGCAGATTCCCTTCCATCCCCTTCCATCCTGGCCCATATATCATATCATGGTCACCGTATAAACCACGTCGATATACCGAAATGAATCTGTCTAGTGTAACTTCGGTTCTTTACGCCGCAGTGCAGCACCTCTTTCCCCCTTCATGGTATCATTGTTCATAATCGACCAGAAACCCAGACCTGCTTCGCCGCATCTTAAAACGTTGAGAGGGTCTTTATGGAATCCGTCACTTTTTGCCTCATTCGCAGAGAAAAGACCGACAATGAACAGCTCCCAAAACTCGATCGACACAAGATGCCTTGTTAGCGGTGGTCAATGCAGCTGGCAGCAGCTAACTATATACAGGGATATCGGTTCCACTCCAACAGTCCAAGACAATTTGCCTGTCTTCGTCTGTTATCATATCGATACTGCTTTCATACCAGTGGTGCAGAAAAGCGCAAGACTGGGTTTGCGCTCGACACCTCATCCTGCCCCGGTCTCCGAATCCATCTCCGTGAAGGTAGTGTATTGATGTCGGGTATCTTTGCCAAAAACCTTTCAGACATGCTGCTCCTTCTCTTTCAGAGCGACGCTGCCGCTGCTGTGGCCACTACTCGGGCTGGCGAGTTCTCTTTCCGTTGCGGTCTCGATGGCACTCTTCTCGATCAGTGTTTGGCCGCCAACACTTTCCTGTGGCACCTCTTCAACCACTGCACCACGAGCCTCCTCGTGGACGATGTCGAGGGTGTCGAATTGATGCTTGCGCCACTTGCGGACAGGAATGTACTTTTGGAAGAACAGCTCAATCTCTAGATGACTGCGTCCGGTGGTCTCGCCCACGCAGAACCACACGTACGCGAGCGTGATGCATGTGGTCCCTGCATACACGAACCCCAACATGGGGCCCAATCCGCCATTGTAGTAGATATAAGGGCTTGTAAAGGCAATAACCCAGACGGTGAAGAAGAATGAGACAATCGAGGAACTCATGATCTTATTGCGATTGCGTCCCACGGCCATTTCAGACGCGATGGTGAATGCCAGAGGGCCGTGACCGAAGTTGAATGCCACAATGACAATATACGAGATGACGACGATGGTCGTGCTGAAACTGGTCTTCGTGTAAGGCCCAGCCCCCAATCCTCCAATGATTATATAGGCCAGAAGCATCATGATAGTGGTGACCAGCAGGTTCGAGCGCCGGCGCACCTTGTTGCCCAGCAGTACTGACACGCCCACCGCGATAACTTGGAGCGTATTGGTGATGAGAGAAATAGTGAATGCTTGCTTGATGCCAATAGACTGTGCAAAGACCACACCATATGAATAGAAGAACTGGATGCCGTTGATTTGCTGAGCCACCATTGCACCACACGAGTATATGAGCTTTCGTCGTTCGATGGGGTCCCTCAACAGTGACATCCAGGATGAGTTCGCCTCCCGAAGTCGTTCGGTTTCGACCATGTGCGTAAATGCTGTGATGTCTTCTTCAGGACTGTATCCTGGCATGCTGCGGTTGATTTTCAAAAGCGCCGTGGCAGCTTTTTCTGGTCGACCTCGTCGGATGTACCAGACGGGGGACTCCGGGATGAAGATCAGGCCCACGAGCATAAGTAGAGGCAGTAGAGCGAGTAACCCCATGGGAATTCGGTATGAAGCAGTCGTGGTAATGGTTTCTGTGCCCTGCGTGATCCCCGACCCAACAAGTTGTGAGCAGGACTGCATGAATTGGAACATCATCAAGGCGGGACCCCGAATTGCCTGCGGCGCGACCTCCCCGATATACAGGAGGCAAGTCACCGTAAACTGACCGATACCGAGGCCGATCAGGATGCGGCCCAAGCAGATGACTCCCATGGAGCCTTGATCGGCACATTGAGTGATGGCTCCTGCAATGATACAAGCCGAAGCACAAAGAAAGACGCCCTTTCTGCCGAAGAAATCATTGATTGGGGCAGACAGAAGAGCACCGACGAGCTCTCCCACGTAGATGATGGACGCCGTGAGGGAAAGAAAGGTGGTGGTCAATGCAATGTTGCCGTCCTTGTCATGGGTGGTGCCGTAGTCGTGCACAAATCTTTTCATTCCCAAAACACCAGTGTAGTATATCTGATCGTACCCATAGCAAAGTGCACCAAGGCTAGAAACGGCACAGAAGAAAACGGCCCATCTGTGGTGACCCCAGTTGATATTGAACATCTGCATCTTCATAATGGGCAGGCTGAAGATCTGGCCAATTTGGAAATTCACGTCCAAGATTCAAAAGGTGAGGAGAGAAGAAGCCGGCCGGCCGGTACTAGACAAAGGAAAGGGCCATGGAAGGATCAACCCACGCTTTATATGATAGGTACCCGATCAGACGGTCCTGGTGGAATGTGCTGAAAGTGTCTTGATCGAGCAGAGGAAAGATCGACTGGTCACCGCTGCTGGTTGGCACATTGGATGTCTGCCACTTGTCATAACCCCCGGACTTCTGGAAGCATGGCGATGGATAATGGCGTCAACCAAGGCAAGGGTTTTTGGGGTTGAGATAGCGGCGGGTGGGTGGTGCAGGCGTTGATAGGCACTGAAGGACACCCAGTTAGACGCAACTTAGCTGATTTGGATGCCTTAGGACTCCTTGGGATACCCTAATGTACCCAGTACCCTGGGGTGTCCTCTAGGCCGCTAGCCTGCCCCGCGGGTAACGGGCGGAAGGATGGCTGGACAGGGGCCAGAAGGTGGTCCAAGCTTGCCTCTAATGCATAATGCAGGCTTGCAAATGGGAAAGAAATTCCCCTCGTCATGGAATTCCCACCAACCACTGAGTCTTGATGAGGACAAGCGAGCTGCTGCTGGCGCGGTGGATAGTGGCCGGCTCAGTTTTCCAAGTCAAAGGGCCCAGGATGCTGCAGCTTCGAGATCGCCAAAAGAGTGTACAGCCTATGGCCAGCGATGGATTTCTCTGCACGTGTATCAGCGCCCAGTTCGCCAGGTATCACCACCCAGAGAGGCATCAGTGGTACAGGGGGGAATTTGTCCCTTTGGTCGGTTTGTCCCCCGCAATTGGCGTGGGAGAATCCCGAATGGATATTGATGAAAATCCGGACAAAGCAGGACTCCCTCTAGATCCTTGGGCTGGTTGGCTTGTCTTCCTCCTTCGGTTGCTTTGGTCCATGGGGCCTTTCCACCCTGCGTGGAAGGGAACAGCCGTCATGCATCGTGCCTTTGGAAGCGAGAAGTAGTAACAGGTCCTGGAGGTGATCGCGGCAGACACGGTGGAGGACGTGATTAGTAGAATAGCTCGCGTTCGCTGTGGTTGGCCATTCAGCTCCGAGGGTCCTTTGTTCTGGAGTTGCAGCTTGAAACCATTTTGGACGAAGGTCAATAGCCGATGTCTGTTGTGCTCCAGATTCTTCCTCGGCTCTCAGGTCTCGCATTGGCTACAGTGACTGGCTCGCGCGCGTCTCCAGAGGCAGAGGCTTCAATGATGATGCTCTTGAACTTGGTGTGCTTGAGTGACGGAGCCGGGATATTGGAGAACGGCACGTCGAGACCTCCGTTGACAGCCGCCATCTCGTAGTTGGAAGGGTTTAAAATGTTCAGGTGCATACTTCGAGCCGAGTATCCTGAGAACGAACCCCTTATCAGTCTGAGAAAAGCTAGCCGCTTACCGACCAGAGCATGCAGGGTTCTTTGCGAGCCGATAATCAAAACCGGATTGCCTCCGAAGATCTGGACACAGTGATAGGGCATTGCACTCGAATATCGCGACGCGAGAGGAATGTTCATATCGTCTTCCCGGATTCACGTGGAAAAAGTCCAGAGGAAGCCACACCAGACCATTCGAGGAGCTTCAACCATCGTTTAGTAATGAACCCGTCATTCGGTGGCAGCATAACACGGGAGTGTTGGGCCCAACAGCTCACAAAGGTGGATTGAGATGTTCGCCGGGCCTTATCGAACCAAGAGCGGCAACAGCGAGTAATTTCAATTGAGAAGAGAGAAAGTTCATAACTCGAAATGGAATGAATAGCAGAAGATTTTCATCTCAGCTCACGCAAGAGTCTTTCAGCGGACCTGCCCAGGGGGGTGCATGAGGAGCGGGAGTAGCGAGAGAGGATATGGTTTTGATTTTTCCCGCTAGGGCGATTGCTGGTGCTGCTCCCACCCGAGCGCATGTTTGCAATGCTTCGTCTCGCCCACGGATTTCTCGACCAAATTGCACGATCCATTATCGTCCAGTGGTTCGCGCTCGCTTCCAGAGGCAGGACATTGGTTGACATCGTGGAAAATTGGGGCCTTTCTTTGGGAGAGAACATCTATGGCAAGTAAATCACCCGCATCGAGAGGCAAGCTCTGGAAAACAGCAACCAAACATATGCGGCCGTGTAGGAAATATGTTTCAATATATGCTGGCCGTTTCCGACTATATAAATCGTATAGGGCTCGGAACCTCCCCGTCGGTGGACCCCCGATAGGGGAGAGGGCCGAATTCTCCTCGTTATCCTACATGTCCGTGGTGCACGGAATTTCCCTCGGTTGTTGGAGATCCCTCAGACACCGAAATCCAGGGTGTCGGCATCTGGCTTGGTATTCAGCTGGCGATGCCGCTGGTCCACTCTGTGGTTCTTGAACCAACAAGTTCCTGAGGCCACAGGGCAATCAAAAAATCTTACAAATACGTTCTTCAGTTGGACTCTTAGCCCTGAAACTTTTCAATTTCTTTCATGGGTAATGTTAACCAAAGCTTGAACCGGAGTTGACCGTGTCGAAAGAGCCCCTCGCGGGAGAGAGTTTCCGTTGCCACTGGTTATAAATTCAAGATGCCTTATATCATTGGGCTCAACAGCGGCTCTTCTTTTGACGGAATTGACGCTGTCTTGTGTAGCATTGATATCGCACCAGATGGCCACCCGGACCGTCCGAAGTATATCGATGGTATCTCGGAGCCGTGGCCAGAAGAGTTGCAGCCCGATGTTCTGAAGGCGTTCTCCAACGAGCTCCCGCTCTTTGACTTGTGCAGGCTCAACTATGCTGCCGGTGCCGCCTATGCCGACATCACGAACAAGCTGCTCGACAAGGTGGGAATGAGGCCAGAAGAAATCGATGTTGTCGGTTATGACGGCCAAACGATCTACCAAGAGCCTCCGAACAGAGAAAGAGAAAGAGAATATTTCGCAAGCGGAAGCAAAGTTCTGGTTGATAGGTGGACCAAGGGGGGATTTGCATGTGGGCTGTTTATCGTCGAATCTGGCGTTGTCACAGCCCTGACGAACATCACAACAGTCACACAGTTCCGACCTATTGACCACGCATTGGGAGGTTCAGGGGCTCCACTGATGCAATATCTCGATTTCTGCTCATTCCGCACTGAAGGACCTATTGTTTCGCTGAACATCGGAGGCATTGCCAATTTACAGCTCGCCGACGCGGACCGGCATAAGATGATGGCCTTCGACACCGGGCCGGGAAATGTGATGATTGACCATGTGATGAAAGTTCGAGAAGGCAAGCCATATGATGCTGGTGGTGCATTGGCGGCCCGAGGTCAAGTAATCCCAACGCTTTTGGCGAGGCTCGAAGAACACAAATTCTTCCTCCGAAAGCCACCTCGTTCAGCATGGCGCTTAGACTTCGGTGGTGAGCATGCGGATAAGATCCTAGACGATTACAAGGATGCATCAAGTGAGGATATCTTGGCAACTCTTACGCTCTTTACGGCAAAGGCCATCGAACGATCGGTCGTTGACTTTATTCTGCCCAAAACCCCTGTAAAGACGGTCATTGCCAGTGGAGGTGGTACCAGGAACGACACACTTATGAGTCACCTCAAGGAGAGGCTGGCTTTGCACGGGGTAGCGCTTCGCACCAGTGATGAATATGGACTCCCAGCACCATTCAAGGAAGCCATCAAGTTCGCAACCTTGGCATTTGCGTGCATGAACGGGCTTGCAAACAACATTCCCGCTGCGGGTGGAGCGTCCTCTTTTGCCGTGCTAGGTAAGCTGAGTCTAGCACCCAGACTAGCAAAGAACGGTGGTGCCGTCCCAGAAAGTAAGGCCTCTCCAGAAGTCGCAGTATCAGAGCTAACATGCTGTAGGTGTCAGGGTCCAACATGATCGGGAAGTGTTCTCTGATGGAGTGCCGTGATATTCGATTGGCCCGGTCAACAAGCATCTTTGAAACCCTAGCGGTGTCTTTCGAGTTTCCGGAGAGGCACAAATTATTTGATCTGCTGATGATGTCTCAAAGCGCCGAAACGCGGATAATCGTTCTCCAGAATCTCTTCAGCGCGCGCAATTTGCCCTGATCCAGACCAAGACAAGGAAAGCTCTAGCTGTGATGACTGGGCTGGCTTTGATGGCTCGTCGCGGAATAGACAGGTGAGGTCGCATAGCCATTGCCAACGGACGGCGTGCGTGGCGTGGTCCTCTGAAAGTTTTGTCGGACGTTTCTGAGCATGGCCAACGATTCGCGTATGTTGGCAGGCCTGTTCAAGCCATGTTCAAGAACGACTTCGGCAAGGTCGAGTAACTGATCTGGATCTCCGTACCCTTGAAGGAGGATCGATATCGCCGACGTCTGAACCTGAAGTATAATTGCATATGCTGCAACTAGATGCTGAAGGTTGCACCAACTCTCGAAGTATTCGTGGCGGTGGGCTTGATGTCTTCTTGAGTGTAGAAGAATAATCATGGTCGCATTCTGCACGCAATTATGACAAGACTCATACACCCACGGATCCTGGATCGGGTCTCCTACCGGGCCGTCAACATTGGAGCCGTTGACGGCGTTTTCATATTTCAGGTATAGCACATGGTACAATACAGGGCGATTGACGAGGAATATAGTCGCATAGTATCGGAATCTCAATTCGTCCTGGATACATGAGAAAACTGCATCACAGCCAAAAGGGTTTCTTTGCTTACCATGATGTGCGACATATTGTGTGATGCCAGACAGAAAGACGACGGGTGCCGAGGAAATCTCATGCTCAGAGGAAGGGTCCAATACCATAGATCCAAACGTCGCGCAATATCGGTGACGACCCCTGCAACGTCCTCGGGGCGGCAATAGGCTCGTTCGATTTGGTACATGTGTTCTAGAATATTGTTCATGTAGGCCCTGAGCTGCAAGTGAGCTAGGAGTTCTTGTGACTGATAATTGTCTACCGACGCTGCAATCGGTTCGTTCCCGAACAAGCTAGGAGGGGTGGCCGCGGCGTCTTGGGTCATTGTCGCAACGAAGAGGTTATGGAGACGCTCTAAGGGCAACCCATCCACTTCGCTCAGTATATCGCTTTCCAGGATAAAGTACTGGTGTAAACAGGCTTCATACTGGGATTTGACCGCAGGGTCGTCTTGAGGTTTTGGCGGAGGACCATAAACCAGGGGTTCAAGACTTTGCAGGATGCGCAAAGCATGGTATGGTCTCCCATAAAGATAGAGCAGCATGATGACGAACAAGAATCGGAATGGTAGCGCTCGTGGGCTTTGCTGGGCTTGCAGCACCCACATCTGTTGAAGAGCATATCGGAACGAGAGATCTGCTTTCTCACCCAGCAACCGGTTGTCCCCCGTAACGGTCGCCATATGTTTGAGAGCCACGGCCTGAATAAGGAGCTCTTCGATGGTTTGTGCCTTGAAGAGGAGGATGACATCTTGACCTGGAGACGCCTCTAAATGCCGCCGCAAGACGTCGAGACATACTTCGTTCGACAGTCCTCCATACAAGAAGAGATGCCTAAAGACGAAAGGCAGTTCCTCCATACTTGCGAACAAGGACTCGATACACTTGACCACGACGGACATGGGTATATCTGCAGGGACTGGGCTCTCGAAATTAGCACTAAAGAGGCCTGAGTCATTGTCATCTACTTGGCCCAGAAATTTAAGCGGCTGTAGACCAGGGATATCGAGGTTGATTCGTAGTCTCGACCAGTAGTTGAACATTTTATGGGCGGCTGCGTGGTGGAAATCCGGCACTCTGGGCCACGTCTTGATAACGGCAACCTCTTGAGCAGGAGTGGTGGCGAAACTCGGGTCTATACGGCCCTGGTCAAGGGCTTGCAGGCGCGTCTCAATGTGTGACAGACGAGCCAGAACGGATGCATCCCTTGGGGCTTGGGGTTAGTGAGGCAGTTCTACCTTTTGACCTGTGTACTTGTCGGGGATACTCACGTCTCCAGGCTGGTTAACGGAGGACGATAAATACACTCGAGTCCCATGTTCTCGCAATGGGAACATGACGGACGGCGGCCATCACACCTGGACTTCCGCTTACGACACGTATCGCAAGCCAATTCTGTCTTGTTGCGTTTTGGGCGGCTGTTACGGTCCGGCACAGTCTCGGGAGACATGGTGGATGAGGGCGAGCGCAACACTTTACAGGCGCGTCTTGATATGAGAGGTTGGCGCATTCATGTCTCGTCCTTTCGGTGGGAGAGAAGAAGCACCTAATAGGCAAACATATGGCCGTGAAGAAGAAAACCGATGGATGGCAGAGGTCAACAGGCCACCAGCCTTCAACAGCTGAAGACAGAAAAGAGTTGTAAAGCGGGAGGTTAGTCGACGAAGTGGGCTGGGTGGACCGGACTCCCAGAAACTCGAGGGACGGGGAAAGCTTGTCCGGCAGATGGTGCAAAGTTTTCGATAGAGAAGACCCTAAATGGAAGGGGTGCGAGGCAAGGGAGCCGGGGGTCATCGAAGTGACTACTCCGTAGTGGGATGGCGGATGGCGTGGACAGTCCAGGACAGGCTCAATGGATGGATGCAAGAAAGCAACTTGCAGCTACTTGCAGCTACTTGCAGCTACTTGCGAACCCCCCCCTGGAACCCCTCGATATGGAGCGAGTCGTGAGACGTCGAGGTCGACAGTCCCGAAATGGTGGTTGTGCCGCCAAGGTCTGTGTGGTTCACCCGAGCTTTGCGGGCAAAACTACGGTCGGGCATTGCGCTTACGGTACCAACCAGCCAGGTGGCCCCGATGCTCCTTGTGCTCCTCCACATGCAACTGACCTGCAGCTGCATCTGCGCCTCATCTGCACACTTCCCAGCAACCCGTTGGTTCCCAAGACAATTCACCGCCAGTCGCTGCCCTCTCGTCGCTGTCAGCTAACTCTCGCCCTCCCTTGTCCTTAACACAGCATCCCTCTGTTAGGGTTGGGGGGCGACTTGCTCTGCTCAGATGCCCAAATTGCTGGGTGGAGCGGCCAAATACCGGGTGCTGCAATCATGCGCCCAAGTTTCTGGCGCTTGTTCTAAAGCCTCCTGGCCCCTGGACACGCCTTTCCGCTAGCTCAACGTTAACCCTTCGAGGGCCTGTCCAGTGTCGCGAACCCTTTCCATTTCTCTTGGAAACGCCTTCATCCGCGACTTGGCGATGTCGAATCAACGATCGACCTAGCAATTGCCGATCGAAGGACTTTTGTCGACTCTCAGTGCGATCCAGACCGACCCTACTACCCAGTTGAGAAAGCATTTCGCCCCTCCTGCCTGCAAGTTGCAAGTGGATGCTCGAGTTTAGAGTGTCCCCAGTTTGGGGCTAGAGGAAAGGAGGGTCCAGACTTGAGGCAGCCAGAGCAGCTTTGCAGCATTGCGATGCCAACTTGGTGTGGGAGGGGGGCAGAGGGGCTCGACATTTGTGCTGAGAGGGTGACGGATCATCACTGCAACTGCAAAGATCAGCGCTGGGAGGGTATCGTGTAACGTGAGGAGTTCTCTTGACCCTTGTTTTGCCCACCAATCGCCACCAGTGTCCAGACTGGTGTCGGTGACCTAATACTGCAGGCCGGGATTATATTTCCAGATACTAGACGTTAGGCCTACTTAGTCCGCATGATGCATCGGGATCAACACAGACTTTGGAGTGGCTGCAAGACTAGGGACTCCTGGCCAAGAAAGCATGACCTTGGGCCAGGACAGAAAGACTTTCGAGCCGACACATCTCACCTCGACCAGCCAATTGCTATATGGAAGTGCTACTGTCAGACGAAGTCCTCGACTCCTCCCGGCCTGCAAATGATCTAGTAAACCAGTTCTAATCCTTTTTCAGACCATAACCGACGGAGAAAAGTCAGTTATCTAAAGGCTCCGATGCAGACTCCGTGATAAGAAGTTGGTGCAACCAGCCCAAAGGTTGAGAACCCTTCGGCTGCATTCGTTTTCTCTGGTCTCTGGTGGTACGTCTACAAGCCAAGCTTGTTAAATTATTGGTCTGCGACCCGTCCTCAGACGAGCTCCATGACTTCCATCGGGCACGTCTGAGCAAAACCAAAGATCAGCCAATTGAGACTGCGACAGTTATTTGGAGACGGATATTCAGCAAAAGTCTTCCGTGTCAATAAAGATCTCGCGCTCGGCATCCTGTTCTTGACCCAGTCTGAGAGAGCCCGTCAGGTGAAATTTTTCACGGCATTCGCTACTGCAGGGGCCTCAGTTATCACGTTTTATCAGTGTAACCTGATTGTTTCATTCCGCTTCCGCATACTAGGCTACGAGTTCCGGCTCAACTCTTTAATTCTCCGAAGAAATAGGGACAAGATTGTAACAGGAAACTCATACTCAAGACCTTTCACAGCCTTCCCAGCTCTTGAATCGTGGGTTCAAGCTTTCAACCTGCCAATACGTAAGCCATTCTCGGCAATGTTTGTATGATGTTTGGAGGAGCCATCAACTGCGCTTTTTGCAGTTTGAGAAGGCCCCTAGACTCTGACAGTGGCTGTGGAAGTTGAGCCAAAGCAAATGGACTGCGTCTCGTCGATGTCTTGAGATCGTTGCTTAACCCGCCTCGTCTGCGAATACTTCTTGGGAATTTCGAACCTCCCTTGAGGCACGGTATTCACTTTTCTCCACCATTTCATCATTGTCCGGATGGCAAATCGGGAATATTCAAGGCTCCAGAGCATGGACACACAGACAGAGCATTCCAAGGTCTATTGGTTTTCCCCCTCTCCCCCTCTTTTGGCGACACTGCGACTGATAACATTCAGGCTGAAACGGTGGTATCAGCATGACACTTGGATCACAACTCGAACTCTGCAGAGTCTGACAAGTCTTATGTAGTGCGAAAACAACCATATTTACGTCGAATCCTGGATTAATTCCTGGTAGGGGCATGACTTCGGCGTTCAATGAAAATGGAAGAGGTTTGCGAAGACATCAGAGTCTAATGTTGACTTAGAAGATCCAGTATGCACACTTGATGCAGAGAGCATGCAGGTGGAGGTCATCAGAATCGAATCACTCGCAATCCTCTTCACCACACACCAGTCCAAGCTGACCCTTCTTGTTGTCGCTCCACCAGCAATCAGGTCACAGTGTCACCCTCCTACAAAAGCTTTTCGATGCTAAGGCATCGTCCTGCGTCTTTGGGTACATCCATTCCGACCCTGAAGAAAGAAATCAGAGAGGGGAAAATCAGTTATCCCTACGAAACCAATTCTCGCAGTCTACCCACATCTGCAGATCGAGCGAACTTCCCCACAGGAGCGGTCAAAGCCCTGAGAGCTGCCGGTTACAGTGGGACTTGTTGTAACGTGTTAGCCAGGGACATTGAGATGCGAGCGGAGGCGAACGGATGGATCCATGAAGCCGCATTTAGGCAGTCAGAAAATTACTGGGTTGAGCCTTACAGATGCTCTGAATTTATAGCATTTCTGCCTCTCGCACACTTCCTCCTCGTTACTTGGACTCCCAGAATCTCGGGGGATGCGGCAGACAACAATATCCGTACCCGTGCCATTCCTTTAGCCCTCTACTTCACTTTCGTCCTGCTGCTTAGTTTTCTTGGCAAGATGTACTCCCGACCCCGATGGTAAATGTGTCTTCTCTATCATGTACTGTAATGTATCTCTCAAGACTGATGAGGCTAGACGAAGATTCTGCATCTCGGCGCAGAGGCTGGCGAGCGGGTAACCCCACCCGCAGACCCGCCGGTCTTGGCGGCCATCCTTTTCTTGCAATATATTTCAACGCCCAAAATCTGGTCTAAAATCAGGGCGGTGGCATGGTGTAATGGTCAGCATGTATCGTTGTGGTTGATGCCTGTGTCCTGCAAGGTGTTCCCAGCTCCGATCCGATCCCGGTATGTTTATAACGAATGTGTCGTCATCCCGTGCTCTGTGCTAATTATAACTCAAGGTTCGATTCGTAAGTGCTACGTCTTATGGTAGACAGAAAATATTCCGTTGCTAATATTCAATAGCGGGTGCCGCCACAAGTGGCCGGTAGCGTCCTGCAATCTTTTTTTTCCTTACGCATATTTTTTTGGTAGATACTCCTGCTGAGTCGAAGTGATCTGTGAAGCTGGACCCGCTGAGTCAAGGTTTTATTGTCAAACATAGTTGGGCACGGAGATCACTATTCCGGACTCGCTGGTTTCAATTTCTGTCGACTCTTGTTGTACTTTTGATCTACTCATGGTCCTCACGCGGAACCAAATCACACCTCCATGCGTCCAGACCGACCAAGGACACGCCTTTCCCAAGGCCTCGGGCACACAACGTCCCAACACCGGATGACCTTCGGAGACAGCGCCCATACAGCTTCCACATCTGTTCGAAATACGACACATCCTTGGAACTCGATGAAGAACTACATCATCAAACCCTGCAGCCCATCTGAGGTGGCCCATGGAAGATGAAATAGATTATTAACGACGCTACTCACGGAGACGACTTCTCACCCTGAATGCTTCAGGACGAATCGGTTCCGAACGGGAGATGCAGTTCTGCTGCCATCCATCTGCTATACTGGTGCCCGCAACATTGCACTGATGGGAACTGACCTATCCCTCAGGTCTGAGCCTTTCTCAGCCTTAGTCCTGACACTGAAGGTCTGACGCGTCTTGCATGTCTTCACACAACCCTGATCAAAGCATCCTCGTCCCTGTTTCCTGGCTCCACGCTTCCGACTTACTCATCCTGGCTTTTCACCACTGGGACGATCGCGTGGATCTGGCAATCCAAGCTTATGTCAGTTGCTCCCATCCGGCGCCATACTATGCCTCACCAACGGAAGACACCTAGAAGGCGCCAGGAGCGGTGCTTAGTGATTGTACAAGCTGCTCATACTGGACCAGTCGGCATTGCAGGCCGGATGGAGAACATCCTATTGGCTCGTGTGATGTCTCGATTGAATCTCTCGTGTCCTGATGAGGAAAACGTCCACCGGGATCTATGAGATCTGCAATGCGGGGGAAGACCACATCAGCGTTACCGCTATCACGCCTGTTCCACTGCCTGCCACGCAACTGCGCGCCTGAGGGACGGATTGTGCTTTCAACGAGCTGTGGACTGTACACTAGGAGCGAGGCCGAGGGTCGAAGAAGGCGGATTGGGAGGATTTCATCACTGCATCTGTCTGACAATTAGCTGAAGGCACGCTGACTCGGCTACAAATGCCGTGGCCGTGGGAAAAACTACTGATGCTCTGAAGTCGTGTCTCAACAGAAAAAAAAAAAAAAAACTTCTCTTTACTTACCCACGAGGTGGTCGCGATAAGGGGCGAGGCCATCCTGCCGCAAATAGTGCACTAGGAGAGCCAATCGCTTGGAGGGCGGCCAAACGTTTGCTGAGACCCAGGTCCCCTTGGTACCATCCGGGAAAATGTGCGCGACGCAGCGCAGCATGCATGTGCGCAAGATGTGCCATCACTACGTTGGGCGACGAAGCCAGACCAGGCACACTAGCCGCATTGGGCATCCGCTGATTAGCAATGACGTCGCCGTCACTGCCAGACAATTCGCGCACGGCGATACGTCGGCGGAGAATTGTCGGCTTTCCAGATCCGGATTGACGCCCTGACCTCACGCAGCCTTGTCCGCCCAGCCCAATGAAGTATATATGACAGAGGGACGCCGCTCCTTTGCCTCTGGAGTTGCTGCTGCTGGTATAGCATCGCATTGAAACCATTCAATCGCACGCCTACAACAAAACAACCAATTGTAACTCACCAATCTCTTGCACAGGCAAGAAGAACCCAACACACGCCACAACTATGTCTCGACAACCCACGCGGGAGAACCCTCCCGAGGGCGCCAACAGCCCCGACCTCGCACGGCATCAGTCTCTCAACCTTCAGCTACTTCGAACAGAGACCCGACAGACTCTAAGAGAGCGTGGCATCTCAGAAACTCCGCCTCCATTGGACCCCAACTATCCCGAACTCGGCCGTCCGGAGGAGCCCATCTTCCCCGAGGAATACACCCTCGAGACAGCCACTGGTCTCGTGCCAGAGCAGACACTCGAACAGATCCGATCGAGGGTCTCGACAGTCACTTCGCGGAGGCGCACCCGTCCGAGTACGGTCTCAGAACCCGATCTCGAAAAGCAAGGGATCGAAGAACCGGTCGAGTTCGTCACCTTCAAACTCCACGACCCCGACAACCCGCACAACTGGTCGCGGCTTTTTCGGTGGTACATTACCCTCGCCGCGTCGTCTCTGGTCGTCTGCGTCGCGTTCGGCTCGTCGGTGGTTACGGGAGGCTTGGGCCTCATTGAAGACAAATACAACGTCTCGCTCGAAGTCGCCATCCTGACCTGCTCGATCATGGTCTGCGGGTTCGCCGTGGGTCCACTGCTGTGGAGTCCGCTGTCCGAGATCATTGGCCGACGTCCTGTCTACATCATCTCTCTGTTCTTGTACACCATCTTCAACATCCCCTGCGCCCTGTCGCCCAACATCGGCGGTCTGCTGGTCTCGCGGTTCCTGTGTGGCGTCTTCTCCAGCTCCGGTCTGTCTCTCGCCGGCGGCACGATCGCTGATATCTGGAACATCGAAGAACGAGGCATGGCCATCGCCTACTTCGCCGCGGCGCCCTACGCGGGCCCCGTCATCGGCCCCATCGTCGCAGGCTGGATCAACGTCGGCACGGGCCGGCTCAACCTCTTCTTCTGGGTCAACCTGGGCTACGCAGGCTTCATGCTGGTGGTGATGGGACTGATCCCGGAGACGTACGCGCCGGTGATCCTCAAGCGGCGTGCGGCCAGACTGCGGAAGGAGACGGGCGACAACAACATCATCACGGAGCAGGAGAAGACAAAGCTGACACTGCGGGAGATCGTCAAGACGTCGCTGGTGCGGCCCATCAACATGATCCTGACGGAGCCCGTGCTGGACCTGATGTGCATGTACATTGTGCTGATCTACGCGATGCTGTACGCCTTCTTCTTCGCGTACCCGGTCATCTTCGGCGAGCTGTACGGGTACAACGACGGGCAGATCGGGCTGATGTTCATCCCTATCATCATCGGGGCGGCGTTTGCCCTGGTCGCGACGCCGCAGTTTGAGAAGCAGTTCAAGCGCGTGTGCAAACTGCGCGCGCCCACGGCTGAGGACCGCCTGATGGGCGCCATGTTCGGCGCGCCCTTCATCCCCATCTCGCTGTTCATCCTGGGCGCCACCTCGTACCACGGCATCATCTGGGTCGGCCCGGCGTCCAGTGGCATCGCCTTTGGTTTCGGCATGGTCCTGTGCTACTACTCGGTCAACAACTACATCATCGACTCGTACCAGAAGTACGCCGCGAGCGCGCTGGCCGCGAAGGTGTTTTTGAGGAGCGGCGGCGGCGCAGCCTTCCCGCTCTTCACCACACAGATGTACCATACCCTGGGCCTGCAATGGGCGAGCTGGCTGCTGGCCTTCATCGGCGTCGGCATGGTCTTGATCCCCTTCTCCTTCTACATCTTCGGCGCCAAGATCCGCGCAATTTTCAACAAAGGCTGAAGTGAAACCCACAGCGAATGGACATGGGCATGGACATGGACATGAATATGGAAATGCAAGGCCTGTGAGCTTCCACTTTCGATACTCTTCCTGGCACACGAGCTGGCTCGGCAAGGCGTAGATGCCGTCGGATGCATGGACAGGACAAAAAGTTTGGACTGGGTTGGGGATACGGAGTATATGCGATTGGGCTTGTGTGCTTGGTTGGCTGGATTTTCTTTCTGTCTTTCTAAGATGACGTCTTAATGTACTCTACACGCATACGCGAACAAGAACCAGTCCTGCATACCGACTATATCATATCTACCATGTCCTGTCATATCATACTATACCATGTCCCGTCGATGTTACTTGTGATATCACATCATATCATATGATGCCCGGCGTTGTCGTCACGGAAAAAGGGAGTGTTCAGAATGTGCTTTTGAGAGGGACACGTACACGGCTATCAGTATTGGCAGATGTCTCGATTGGGACGATCGATAATGAAGCGAAATACCACATAGAGTGAACGGGGGAGTGAGAGACAGAGAAAGAAAGAAAAAGCTTTAACATTTGACAATCATCATCAATTGATTTGGTCTGTGGTATTCGAGACATTTCCTTTCTTTTCTCTTCAAGAGGACCTTCATCGAATGGCAAGGATAAACTGGTGGACTGAATGCTTTCAACTCAGAGATATCCATCCAATTCATTATCCGTTTTCTGGTCCGCGTTCACATTTCTCTGGCCATGATTACCATAATATGTCTTTTGTTTTTCCACCCTCGCTATGCTTTGAATCGTCGGGTCCATGCACCTTCCATTCAGCTCGTCCGGATGAGCGACTTTCTCTCTTTCCATACATTAGTTGATCGTGTCTTCCGAAGACAGCAAACCATTATACGCCCGTTCACCTCTCCCCCGCCTAGATGCGATACAATATCGGCGCATGCATTCGTCCTCGATAATGCTATGACAAGCCTCCCAGCCAGAATGTGGGTTATATCCCAAAATAAATGTGTGCGGCTGCATGCTGTGTTTGCTTGTGCCGGTCTCAGAAGATGCCAAATTTCTTCTTCTTTTCCCCGTCTGCTGATATCAGTGTTAGCGCTGCTCAAATTCAGTGGCCAAAGGTGGCAGAGTCTCCCTCACCCTGAGGTCCAACGTTCCCGGAACTCTTACTGGTAGTCAAGGCTCCTTTCTTCCCTGCCGCTGCCGTGAGAGGGTCTGCGCCTGCCCCTGCAGCCCTGATGGCGGCGATACGATGTTTGGCCCTCTCTTCTCCTTGATCCGCTGCACGGACGTACCAGACGTTCGCCTCGAGCGGATCACGACGACACCCAATGCCCATCTCAGTAAAATAGCCAACAGTGTACTGCGCCTTTGCCAACCCTTGTTCTGCTGCTTTCTTGGCCCACTCATAAGCTTCGGCCTCATCTTTCTCCAACACATTGGGGACTCCCACCATGTACCACGCACAGAGCGCCATTTGCGACAGTGCATGGCCACGTTCTGCAGCCCCTGTGTAGAAATGGATGCTGAGGGCTGGATCCTTGGGGCAGTTCAGCTGGCCATATTCGTATGCTTCGCCGAGTCGGTAGTTCGCTTCGACATGTCCTAGATCGGCCGCTTTGGTGTACAGTTGGGCAGCGTACGATTCGTCTTTGAAAACGTCCGGGCCGAAGCCTGTCTCGTGGAGGCAGCCCAGGTCGAAAGGAGCTTGGTTGTACTGGAAATCGGCAGATTCCGCGGCTCGCTTCAACCACCTCACACCTTCTCGATATCGCTTGGTCAACCCCATATCACCCGTGAGACACGCTCGTCCCAGTCGTAGCATAGCACCCGGATGATTCTTGCTTGCAGCGTGTTGGTAAAATTGCACCGCTTTGGCTGCATCCACCCGCGAGCCCCAACCAAACTCGTAACACAACGCAGTTCGGTACCCCGCCTCGGCATGACCGTGTTTTGACGCCGCCAAAAACAGGGGAAACGCACGATCCCAGTCTTCTTTGGCCTTGTTGAACAGCCCCGATGCGTACCCGTCTGCAAGATAGTACTGGGCGAATGGATAGGATCGATCTGACAATCTTTGCAGAATATGCTTTGCCTCCTTTAACAGATCCTCGCGGACTGATGTGTGCGATTTTTCAGAATGTGCCGCGTCGGACACTGTGTCAGACTCCAGACCCTCCTCTTGCGCAGCACTGATCATGAAAACCGCAAATTCGTATTGTACGGCAGGGTCTTGGGTTTTCTTGACATTTGCCCGATACATCTCCAGAGTCTTCCTCGTGGACAATAACGAGGCATTGGCTCCGACAACTGATCGCAGTCCAGAATTCACCAGGTTTTCCGCTCCGCTCGGCGCAGGCTGGGGATACGGGACGTTCAAGAGATCAACATAAGACAGTGGCCGTGTGTCGGGCGACCTCGAACCGCGAGAAATGGGCCGACCAGCGGGGGAGGCCTGGGGTGAGGTGGTCCGCCCTCGGAAGTCTGAAGTGCTTGAGAATCCCGAATCAGGTCTCTGCATACTTCTGCCATAGATGCTATTTCGTATGCTGTCTCCTCCGGAGCCCTCCGTGGCGACGGTGAATTTCGAGGCTCGCTTGTCCTCGTCCTGGTGATAATACTGCAACGGCTCGGAAGTTGGAGGAGGGATCTCTGGATTGATGGCGGAGGTCGATGCGTGCCGCATGGTCCTCTTTTGGAAGGGAGTCAATTCGATACCGTCTCTTGGGGAGAAATTTTCCGAGGACACTCTCCGGTGGTCAGTAGCCACTGGCTCGCCATCTCCAGGTCGTCCACGGAACATGGCCTGAGGCGTTGGTGAGAGTCTATTGGGATCGAGATGCAAGGACGGTTGAGGGGTCAGTGTCCTATTCGGAGCCACGGGATCAGGAGTTCTGGACATAGCAGTTTCGGGAGGGTGGATTTGGACTTCGGCGGCGGCGTCTGCGAGGGCGTGCACATCGTCTGTTGGTCTGATGTCCGCCGGGGACATGGATATCGAAGGATAGCTCATCTGTCTCGGCTGAGAATTATGTTGCTTGACCGCAGGTATATGTACAATTCCCCGCTCTTCCAAGGGTTCTATAATCTGTGGACTGTCGCTCCGCAAAGGAGGGGAGTAGATGGGAGGGGGAGGAGTGGGAGGGAGAGGATGATTTGCTAGTTCGGCCATCTCGAGGCAGAAGAGGGGAACCCTAGGATACCGACATCTGGAGGGAATTGTAGAAGGGAAGGTGAGTGTTCAGCGAATGAGGGCGGTTCGTAGGCCAGACAACTGAACAGACGGTTGCAGAATGAATACGAGCCAGCGGACGTGATACTGGAATGCGAATTCCTCGGCCGGGAAAAACGAAAGAAACGGCGCCACAGGTTCCTGAGGGCCCGCGCTGAAGAGGTATTAGAAGGAATGCTGTAGCGTTGCAGCGTCAACGGCGTAGAGTGGGCTCCAAAAGAAAGTGGTTGTCTAGTGAGCAAACCAAAGGTCAAACACGAGATCCGTAGCAGCAGCAGCAGCGCCAGTGGGAAAGCGACAGAAATGGACCAGATGTACTCTGTACACAATGAGGGAGTGAGGGAGGGAGTGTGACCTCGACGAAGAATTTCAATGGAGGGCGGTGGTGGCGGTAAGGGACCGAGGGTGGTAGTGGTGGTGGTACCCAGTATTTCGTGGTAAGTAGAGGGCAAGGGCTAGAAGGCTAGAGCAAATTAGGTAGACACGCCTCCAGATGGCGTCCACATCTCAACAACTCGTACGACTTACCGTATGGGCACCATGGGGGACTAGGGCAGCTACTTAGGGCAGTTAGGGCAGTGTAGGGGCAGGTAGGGGCAAGTAGGGGCCACTACTGACAGTGCTGTCTCCCTCGCTTTTCCTATTATTGAGGGCCCATTCCCCTTTTTCAACAGGCCAACAGGCCAGCCGATGCCGTCTTTATTCCGTGGCTAAAATAGCTCCAGACTTTATCCTGCGAACAAAAAGGTAGGTCCCTTGCAGCAGACATAGTTACCTGCTACCTAGCCCTTTGTACTCGGGGACCACGACTGGCGATGATGTTCAGCATACGTATGCAGGGAGAATCGACGATCTTTCCTGGCGCTGACCCAGATCTCGGGCTTGCCAAGGTCAAGCAAGGGAGGGCGAATTAAAGTGCGGGCGTGCCCGGGGTTTAGGCCACTAAGTAGGAAGGTGATGCACGTTCTAGGTACCGCCAAATGCTTGTGGCGCCTGGAGAGAGAACCTGTTCATTCCCTCCTTACGACTGAGGTCTGCCTAGGTAAGAAACGGCTCCGGAAAGGCGCGGCTAGCCCACAAATCCACAAGCCCACATGCCTACAAGTTAGAGTCCCGGCTCCATGGCCCCCCTTGCCTCCAAACGGCTTCAACTCAGGCTGGTCGCCGTCTCGCCTGGTGCAAACGAAAGTGGTCAGATGAGTGACGTTCGTTGTTCCAGATGATACGGGGTACTCGGTACTGGGTACTCTGGGACAAGTACCTCGTCATCCACCAGTTTGTTCCCTGTGGATGACTGCCGCCCGCATTCGATGAGATAGGTACATAGGCGCGTGCTATTGTGCATGAGATGGATCCTCGATATACTACGTCAGGTTCTTTTCTCGGAGGAGTGAGACATCGTTGTCGTGGATGGGTGGGCTGTTCCATCGGTTCATCTGCTCACATTGGAACCCATCACGGTGACGGAGATCTGCTGTACCAATTCGACTCGATTCACCTCCATTCGTATGACATCAATTACTGGCGACTGGCGCTTGAGTCAACGGCTGCAGGAGTTTCAAGAGAGGCCAACAGCGAAAGGTTGGTTCGTTGAGGCGAACGCGTTGTCGATGTCAGGGCAACGAGTTTAAAAATACCCCGTCAGCGTAAGAGAGTGAGCGTGTTGCTGCAACTCAGCCACAGCCGAGCCTCTCAGAAGTCGCAGTGTGTCCATGCCAGATTTCGCTTCGGACTATGGGGGAAAAATGGGCCATCGTTGGTGCTCTACCAGTCTATTCGGAGGGTTGAAATTGGTGTCTGAATGCAAGGATACGACTCCTAGATATCTTCTGCTAACGAGACTGGATCAGGGGATTTGTCGCTGTATTTGTACTCGGGAGCAGGGAAAAAGGAAAGAAACCTTTTACTGTACTTACTTACTACTTGTTAGCTCTTGTTTCTCCTGCATGATCCGCTAAAACTGGGCCGTAACCAATCCAGACACCTGGTATACACACTCCATCGGACAAGCAACGAATCGTTTGTTGTGGCCTCTCCACACTGCGAACACAGTTGACACAGCCAAACCTGCCCCGATCCTGCTCTCGTCGTGACCCAATTCTCGTCTCTGCCCGTTGCTACAGTTGACCATCTCTTTGGGTTGCTCACTCACTGTCAACCTTTTCCTTGGGACATGTACATTCACTTACCGTCTCAATCACTCTCGTTGAGCCATCTGGGCACAAGCAATCGATCAATCCGTGCATCTTTGTCTTTCGCTCACCCGCCAACGCAATCTGGGGCGCAGTTTCTTCGGCAACCAACTCGCCATTTCACCACCAGTGAACAAACACAAAAGCCAACTTCCAAGTGACGAGGAATCTTAGTCGTTCGATATACACACAGTATACGCATCAGGACCTTCCATTGCCCATTTGACAGTCCAGGCTAGAGACACGGCGCGGGCGCTGGTCTTCAATCCAACACTCATTCCTTCATTGAGAAAGAAAACTGCAAGGTTTCTATGAGGGACAGCAACTAAAATTCCAGCAAATGTAGGTCCAGAATGCCACAATGACATTGTTGCTGTGACCGGCGACCCGCTAACATTCCTTCTCCCTGAAGAGGTCACCATGTCTGCACCACCGCGAAGGCCACGGCCTGCCACCTCACCCACCCGCGAAAAGTCCCATTCTCCGTACAAAGACTCACCCTTTCGACGGTTACGAGACATCGAAACCGGATCAAATGTTCAACGCAGTTCGCCATACTCTGTTCAGCGTGGTGGAACCGATCCCTATCCTGCCTCACCCCACTCCTCCGGGACTGCAGACGATCAGCCGATAATACCCCAACATATGAATCCCAAACGTATGAATCCAAGTGACCTCGGTCGCCAAAAATCTCTGATCCGTCCCGAACGCAATCGAATAGACCGAGACCATCCCAACTACTACTACCGCAAACATGCCCAGAACATGGAGGTTTTGCCTTCAACCACAGGGAACGACCCTGTGGTGGAAGAGCTGGCGGAGGAGAGAACGGTGAGCTCTGAAAGCACCAATCTCAACGCGCAACCCGACGACCATTTTGGCGCCCAACGACGCGCCCCCGGAAAGCTTGAACCGGTTGGTCAGAAGAGACAACCTCGAAAGTTGGTCAGGAAAGACACCCGCGACATAACAGCGGAGGAGAAGAGGCGGCTGAAAGACATGGAAAAACTCAAACCGCCCAGCGCTTGGAATGTGTACTGCGCGGTCATCACTTTCTGGGCTCCTAACTTCATGCTCCAGTGCTGTGGCATGCCAGGGAGGGCCCAGAAAAGAGCCTGGAGAGAAAAAGTCGGTCTCATCAGTATCATCTTTCTCATTGCCGCCTTCGTCGGTTTTCTGACTTTCGGCTTCACACGGGCGGTGTGCCCAGCTCCCGGGCTGAGGCTGAAGATCAATCACGTCGATCGTGGCTACATGATATTCCACGGAGACGCTTACAATCTCGACGGCTCCATGCATCCAGCTGCTTTGGGGATTCCACTCGACAGTAATGTCCTCTACGATCTCCCCCATAAGTACGGTGGCCAAGATGGAAGTTTCATGTTTCAGAAAGTGAACGGAGAATGCAAAGGTCTAATCACCCTGGCCCCTGGGTCCGACGTGCCTACGGACGCTGATGGAGACCTGGCTTGGTACTTCCCCTGCAACGCCTTCAATCAGGACGGATCGTCACCACCGAACCTTACCAACCCTTATTATCTGGGCTACGCTTGCCATACTACCGCCAAATCTAGAAACACGTTCTACAACCTGAGAAAAGCGGGAGAGGTCTTTTTCACTTGGGACGACGTCAAAAATACCAGTCGGAATTTGGTGGTGTACTCTGGCTCTGTTGTTGATCTTGACTTGCTGAGGTGGTTCAACAAAAGCCAAGTCGCCTGGCCAAAACAGTTCGATGATATGCGAGAAAGCAACGAGATCCGCGGAACGGATATCACCCACGTGTTGCAATCTCCCGTGGACAAAAAGATTGGCAGGTGTTTGACCCAGATTGCGAAAGTGGGCTCAGTTGATACCGAGACGGTTGGATGTATTGCGTCAAAGGTCGTCCTTTATGTCTCTTTGGTGTTTATTCTCGCCGTTGTGCTGGTGAAATTCTTCCTCGCCCTAGCCTTCCAATGGTTCTTAGCTGGAAAGTTTGCAGCCACCAAGACCTCGCAGACATCTGATCCGAAGAAAAGAGCCAAGCAAATCGAAGACTGGGCCGATGATATCTACAGGCCGGCACCCAAAATTACTGATCCTGCAAGTACAATATCTGGCTCCGATGCGCGAGCCAGTAAGCGTGGAAGTCAGTTGTTCCCTCAGACATCACGCTTCACCAGTCCATATGCTGTCGAGCGTATCTCCAAGACGAATCGTCCGCCACCGACCACAATGACCAGTCAGTCTTCAAACGCGCGGCTGATGCAGCCAGGAAGCGGCCTTTACAAGACCGGCTTCAACAGTAGTCAAAACACTTTGGACGTCAATTCTCGGATGAGCGTTGGTGCTAGCAGATCCAGCCTTCTCCTGTCTGGTCAGGAAACCCGGTATTCGGTTGTGATGGACACGCTCGAACCAGGGGGGCCCCTGGGCTTCATTCACGAGAATGTTGTTCCTCAACCACCTCCGGAGTGGCAGCCATTCGGCTATCCCCTCGCTCACTGCATTTGCCTGGTCACTGCATATTCGGAAGATGCAGACGGGGTCCGAACGACGTTGGATTCTATTGCAACGACCGACTACCCGAACAGCCACAAAGCCATACTGGTGATATGTGACGGTTTGATCAAGGGTCAAGGCAACGACTTGTCGACTCCGGAAATTGTCCTCAGCATGATGGGTGACTTCGTCGTTCTCCCGGAAGATGTGCAGGCATTCTCTTACGTCGCCGTCTCCAGCGGCTCGAAACGACACAACATGGCCAAAGTCTATGCCGGATTCTACGATTATGGTCCTCACTCGAAAATCGATCCAACCAAGCAGCAACGAGTGCCTATGTTAGTCGTCGTCAAATGTGGAACACCTGATGAAGCCGGCAAGGCCAAACCGGGTAACCGAGGCAAGCGCGACAGCCAAATCATCTTGATGTCCTTCCTCCAAAAGGTCATGTTCGATGAACGCATGACTGAACTTGAATACGAAATGTTCAATGGTCTCTGGAAAGTCACGGGCATGTCCCCCGACTTTTACGAAATGGTGCTCATGGTCGACGCCGATACCAAGGTATATCCGGACAGCCTGACGCACATGGTCTCGGCCATGGTCAAGGATCCCGAAATTATGGGTCTCTGCGGCGAAACCAAGATCGCGAACAAGACCCAATCGTGGGTCTCTCGGATCCAGGTCTTTGAATATTTCATCTCGCATCATCTGTCCAAATCCTTTGAATCTGTCTTCGGCGGCGTCACTTGCTTGCCAGGGTGTTTTTGCATGTACAGGATCAAATCGCCCAAGGGTGGACAGAATTATTGGGTCCCGATCCTTGCCAATCCGGACATCGTGGAGCACTATTCGGAAAACGTGGTTGACACGTTGCACAAAAAGAACCTCCTCCTGCTCGGCGAGGACAGATATCTCTCGACACTTATGCTCAAAACATTTCCCAAGCGCAAACAAGTTTTCGTCCCCCAGGCGGTCTGCAAAACCACAGTGCCAGACAAATTCAAAGTGCTTTTATCTCAACGGCGCCGTTGGATCAATTCCACGGTCCACAACCTGATGGAACTCGTCCTTGTGCGCGACCTCTGCGGTACATTTTGCTTCAGCATGCAATTTGTTGTCTTCATCGAACTCATAGGAACCCTCGTATTACCAGCGGCCATCGCATTCACCTTTTATTTGATCATCATCTCGATCGTGGCCAAACCCGTCCCGGTCATCCCCCTCATTCTTTTGGGTCTCATTTTGGGTCTCCCCGCGGTGCTGATTGTGTTGACGGCGCATAGCTGGTCCTATGTCGCATGGATGGGCATCTACCTGCTGTCCCTTCCCATCTGGAATTTCGTCCTACCGGCCTACGCGTACTGGAAATTTGACGACTTCAGCTGGGGCGACACGAGGAAGACGGCAGGAGAGACGAAGAAATCCGGCGGCCACGGGGAGGCCGAAGGCGAGTTTGATAGTTCAAAGATTCTGATGAAGAGGTGGGGAGATTTTGAACGAGGTGAGTTTCGTCCGCGCCGGCACACCGTATCCCTAACTGTGGAATGAACCCTAATGTCATGCGTTGCAGAACGTCGAGCACAAGCTAGCGGCACGGGGTGGGCGCAGCATTCTCTCGGCCCAACGTCTGCAAAGGCGGCAACAGTCACGAGCGATTATGCCTCGAGCCACGGAGAGTTTGAGCCGTATCATGACTACTGACGACAGCCGCGAGCGCAGGCATGCAACTCCATGCCGCAAAGCGGCAGAGAGCCGGGGTGGGCTGTTTTGATGTATAACGAATGAACAATAAAAATCCAAAATCAAAAGAGGGGCCCTGCATTTAGCATTTTTGCGGAAGAGTTGTGCATCTGTGAGAGCAGCGGGAGGCGGGGCCACGACACGACATGACTGGGGAGAGGATCTGCAAATCATAGAGTTAATAACTGGGAGCATCGCATCTTTGTGCGAGCATGTCATCTTTATCACAGCTTTTTTGGGTGGGGGACAGGGAGGGAAATCTGATGGGATGGTTTCTGCCTGCGACACTCTGGCACAGGGCGGGATATTGTCGAAGCTCGACTCTACCTACACTAGAAGTACATTAATTACACCAGCATCGTCCACCTTTCGATGTCCTGTCAATGCTATTGATTGCCTGCTGAGGGACTTAATGGCTGCAAGTAGTTGGTGAGGCTGGGCGGATTTCTTGGTCGAGGGGCTGCCAACCACGTGGTAGCACGTGGCATCAAAAGATGCGGCAAGGCAGCAAGCCATCAACACCATAATACCCTACCATGGCGCCGGCTTGCTGTCAACCTGGCATTCAGCCCAACTCGTACTCGTGAGCAAAGGCGAAAAGTGGAGAAAGGGCTCAAGGACTAAAGGGGTACCACCAGCATTATTACTATTACGTGCTGGTGACCAGTTCCGACTTCGAGTCTGGATCTGCGAGAGCGGAAGCGAGCACGAACACGAGCACGAGGCCCAGGACACTGTGAACCAGCTTCCGCCAAGGGTGTCGATATATCCATCACACCGGCGTCTATTGGAAAGCACGACGTCCCGATCGAAGGACCAGACGCGGTTCTTATAGTTACGCAATCGTGCTGTTGTCCTCCTCACCTGAGATTCCTGCTCTACATACGCAGAATACCTTCCCCGCGCACATTGGGAACCTAAAAGGAACATTCTAGGGGCGGGGGTGGTGAGAGGGTGGAAACTAAACGCCATCAGAGGTGATGGGTCAGTGAGATAGAGGACATCAAATCGCATACAAGTACCCAGGTATGTCATATACGGAGTGGATGCTATATACCCATGTACAGAGTGATATCTCCATCGAGCCTCGCCGGTACATCAAGCTCTGATCTTATTGTAATCTGGGATGGATGGAACCTCTGTGCGGACATGCGTGGGCTTGAGGAAAGAAAGAAGGGAGTGGTAACAGGGACCATCAATTTTTCACATAGTATAGTACGATTGAGACGATGGAGCCTGGGTATTTACGGAGTATCATTTTCTGTACCAGAGTCTAGAGTCCAGAATCCAGAGGACGTTCTTCCCTCGCTTCTCCTTTCTATTCATTGCAAAATGTCATACATACAGCCCGATCAGTCCGTCCTGTCCAACGCCTACGCTATTCGGAGCAAAATCCAACCGCCCCGTGGTTTTATGCTCTGGTCCTGTCTTGTCCCAGTGCGCTGACGACCACCGCCGACCCCATTCTCAACCAGAATACCGTTGGCTACACCGCCATGCCGAAATCCTCAGCATCAGTACAGCCCACTGGTGACGGATGCCATCACCAGTGTTGTCATGATGATGAGCGAAACCCGCGGGACTTCCTTCCATCCCGCGGTCGCAGCGTTGGGACTCGCCACACTGCCAGCCTTGACATCCGTGCTCACAAACGCGCTCCCACAGCTCTTGTCCACCTGAGTTGCGCACGGCAGGTACGTCTTGGCCAGGGGTTGTGCTGCGTCCTGTGCATACCCGGCAAAGATCTCCATGGTCTCTTTGAGACACTGACTGCAACTGGGGCGCGCCGTCTCCGGCATCGACAGTCCCACCGCCGTGTAGTAAGGGTAAAAATCGGCAGCGTTGGACGAGTTCGTAACGGCTTCGCTGAAGCAGTAATCCCCCGTGCTTTTGTCCTGGAGGCACGTGGCCCGATAGACCGGTTCGTAGGCTAGGAATCCTGCATAGGCTTGTGAGACCAGCGGGTTCTGCTGCTTGTATTCCTCGCCACAATTCGCGTCGTCGATCAGTTGGGAGCCGAGATTGCTGAGCAAAGGCGAGCAGATGGCCAAGGGGGCATTACACGCTGCGTTCAGGGTTTGCGTAAGGAGCGTGAATGATCGCTGGGCGCGGAAGAATGAGTTGGAGTTTTGCAGCAGCAGGGACACAGGGACGCAGGATTGGAACGTCGAGTTGTTGAGGAAGTCGGAGAAGAACTGTGGGCAGGAGGAACTGCTGAAGTTGCTACCTAGGGAGGTGTCGAAGGGAGTCGGGAGTGGTGTGGTGACGACTGTGACAGTGGGTGCGGTTAATGTCGACACGCCCGGTGTTGACAGAGGAGCTTTGGTTTCTGTGCTGATGGCCGATACCAATTCAGCGGAAGAGGTGGTTGTGGGTTCTGAGGAGGGGGACGAAGACGTTGTCGATGTCGGAGTAGGTTCGGCCACTGTCGTCGGCACAACGGTGCCCCCAACTTGTCTCCTTTCCAGATAAACATCCTGGCGAGGAGGTGGTTCTCGACGGTCGATGTGTATTTCTCCCCTTGCAGCTAACTCTTGGTAGAAACTCGATTCGTAGATTTCTGCATCCAACTCCATTACTTGGCCGCATGTCGGTGTTGCCATGACCATTAGGGCTATGATTAATGAGATTATCGTCGTGGTTATTGTTGTACAGCGGTGGATGTCCCGACGCCTCCCCAGCTGCACCGACTGTGTGGAATAGACTGCCATGGCCGCCGGTTCGATTCAAATCCCCCCGTGATAGAAAGAACTTCAATAAAGATGATGTTGGATGGTAAAGAACGGACGCCTCTGAGTTTTCACCTCGAGGCATGCACTATGGCAGGAGAGTCGTCGGGCCTGGGCGAGGCGATCACATCGAACAACCTTGGTGGTCCTCAGGATGGTGGTGAGTGTCTCTCCCGCGGTAAGAACCTCACACCTCGTCGATTCCCAAGTCTCAGGGTGTCACTAGAGATCCTTCCTCACTGATAACATCCAGTTGATCCCGCCCCGATTTGGACTCCGGGGGACGGTATCGCACGTGTTGGACCCCGGGCGTTGATCCTGTTGATCTGCCGCGGAAGAGAACGTTGTGCCGTTTCGGGAATAGGAGGTTTCAAGGTGGACAAGCGAGGAGTCGGTTCGAGACTTGTCTGAGTCGCAGTGATGGTTAAAGGGTGGCTAGATGTTCGTGCCGTGATGTTGTTGGTGTAGTCAGAGGGAGAAACAACAAGCAATAATAACAATGCGCAAAGCACAAACCTGAGAAAACAAAGAACTGCGATGAGAGCTGTACTTGGTAGGTTAGTCCCCAGTCAACACATGCCTTTCAGGATTGTTTATTTCCATTTTCCCTTGGAGATTGAGCCCGGCGAAAGCATCTGAGCGCTACCTTTGCCAGTCAGCATTAGCAGAAGCCGACCATTGGAATGCGGGCCTTTGTTGGACCATGAGAGCAGGAATTGAAGCCTCCACTCGGCGTCACGGAGGCGTTCAAAAGCGGAATCCTTCCAATTCCTTCTGGTAAGCGCCCGAACGCGTGGATCGCTTACTGGGTATGCACCACAGTATGGCCAGGGAGGCACTGGGTGGCGCTCCCGTGGCGCTCTCTTTCCCCAAACTCGCTGGTGCCAGAGATGGTCAAAAGATGGGTCAACCACGAGGGGACCCAAGGGACCTTCATTTCCGCCCTCGTAGTTGGGGGTTCTAGACCCTCCTTTCGTGGTCTTGGGTGGTTCAGAAGTGATAGACTGTCAATCACTGGCTGATTCCAGCGGATATCAACGGCCCCCATTCCACGTCTTGCACAAGAGACCACTACTGCGGTATGTACCCAGTGCCTACTGGGTACTATTGAACATCAAAAGAAAAGGGCCCACACGATTGACAGGGGACGGAAAAGGCTGACGGGTTCGCGCTAAGGCTAAGAACTGCATTGGAGGTGCTCGTGCTCGTACCCAAGTAAGTCCTGGGTAAGTACTTACGGTGGACTGGCGAAAGAGGTGGCCTTTGCCGGCGCAGTCTCAACTCTGTCGTCTCAACTCTCGTACCCAATACAGACGGTGGTCCCCTATGAGGAAGCAGAGGCCAGCGAAAAGAATCGCCTCGTCGGACTCGCACAACAAATGCCGTGGGCGGGAAGTTCCTGGAGGATGAAGAAAGCAGGATGGTTTACCAGCGACTCGCTTGCAATTGCCAAGATTCAATAGTTGCTGAAGCTACCAAGCAATGGCGAGAATCAGGGGGCTATTGGGGAGAGAATCTGAGAGTCGCCGGTTGCGCCTCAGATTCGTCATTTATGCGACGGTTGCTGATGCTGCCCTTTGATTTTCTCATCTTAACAGACATGGAAGAATTACTCGGTCGTCTTGCAGGTCATCATCTCATTGGTCTTCCTATATATAATTGGTCATTTCTGCCCAATCCTTGCCCGCCGCCCGATGGTACGGAGTATCTACTGGACCTCGTAACAAATCAATGTCATACCAAACATCTTCTACTTGGCTTGCTCCAGAACAATCACACACACACTCTCTCTCTCCCTCCCCTACGATCACAAATCTTCACCTCAGCTGCGTCTCGGGTCGGTGTCGAGAGCGAGCGGGCCCAGCTCAGCTTCATGTTGCTGCGCGCGTAATCTAGATTCCTTCTCTTGCAAACGTCTGTTGAAGCCCATGGTAGCCCATCCCCCAAGTCGGTTGAAGAACACCCGACCGGCCGGGTGTTGCCTGACCCGGTCGAGAAGACTGGTCACCGCTTCTCGAACCCGCCAATCTTCGTGCCAGAGCCCCAGAGCCACAAAGAAGAGTCCTGCTTCTGACATGGGAGCCATCTCCAGCAGCTCCAGGATGCTCTCGTAGTCCGTGCAATATGCTTCGAGGGCCAGATAGATGGCGCCAGCTTCCGTCGGAGTCAGGTGCAGGGTCCGGAGCTTGGACAACGAATGATAGAGGTCCACGTATGGCTTTGTCGGCGCTCGAGCGAGCATCTTGGTCATGCTGACCGGTGAGGTTGGCGAAACGGGATCCTGCGAATGGGCGGCCAGGTCGGAGATGAATGCGTAGTAGGATCGTGTGTTACGCCACCCTTCTATTCTGGCTGCGGACGCTGCCAGTTCGCGGGTCTTGGCCTCATCACTCGGCCAGACATAGCCATGTCCTTTCAGGTTCTTACTGGACGTTTTCAGCGACATCGGTCGTGCTGGTGCTGGTGTGGTGGCGGTGGCTTCCGCGTTGTCTACCTCGGTAGGGGGTATCACCGTGAGGTTGCTCGCTCCATACACAGTTTCTTCAAAGGCCGCCGCTATGCGGGTGAATTTCGTGATATAGGCTCGAAATTTGGCTCGGATGATGGACTCGCCGGCTCGAGAGGTAATACTTCGGCTGACATCATCCATAAACGGTCCATCTCCGGTAGCATCTGAGTGATGGAGGTCTTTGTGAGTCAGAATAGAATGTCCGTGCTGCTGGAAATACGTCGTCCCTTCTGTGACAGGCGCTGCCTCAATGCAGGAGGAGATTTTCATTCTGCCCGAGGGCAAGTCACAAAGTAGGTCCCACCACTCAGGATGGTAGGAAAACGCCGGATTTGTGACACCTGCAATAAATCCAGGGACTTTCAGAAGCTCGTCGATCTTGGTCAGATCAGTGTATGGGAATGCATGACGGGTGAATCCCCTTAACACGCCTCCTGAGGCCAATGCACAAGCCGCAAGAACAGCTTCCGCAACCTCTCCGGATGGTCGGTTGTGGCCCAAAAATATGACCCGTTTTTGCGTGAGCATGGCGTTTATGAGGACAATGATTGGATGCGTGAACGCCCCCGAAGTTGTCAGATGGGGGTGTAAGGCAAAAGGCTGAGGTTGAGACAGATGCAGATTGCCAAATACTTGGACAAGCTTGATGAGCGAGAAATCGCCCACAGTTTCGGGCGACAAAGCGGTAGGAATCTTGACTGGAATCGGGATGCTGTTGTAAACAATCTTTGATTCGAACTCATGTGTGTCTCGGGGAACTGAATATTTCTGCTCCGGCCTCGTGGGCGACTCTGGAGCGTCAGGAGCTTTTGCCAGGGCTTCGTCTGCTAATCGTTGGGAAATCATTTGTTCGAATTTCTCCACAAACATGTCTTTAACGTCGCTTGCCTGCAAAATGTGTCGTTCCAGCAGTGACAACCGGGGCATTAGAGACAGGTCCATGGCATTTAGGGCATTGTATAAGAGTTCCAAGGTGTCTGGTGTAGGTGACTTGAAATAGTCCTCCAGGGCGAGCAACAAGAGGGGCTTGTATATGTGGAGAAAAGAGTGCCGGGTACAAATGGCCATTGCCTTCACAATGGCGCCTCTTTTCACCGAACTGTCTTGCTTGGTATTAACCAAGTTCAAGACATACATTAGCGGAGGACTCTCCATGTCATCTGCGTCACTTTCATCACCGCCGCTGTCGTCTGCGGATTCTGCTGCTTCGCAATCGGCAGCCTCACCGGCTTCTCTTGCGCGCCTCCGTGCCTCTCGTTGGCGCCTTCTAGCTTCTCGCTCAGCGGCCTCGTCTTCGCTCGCGCCGGAGTCTTTATGTAAAAAGAACATGGTCCAGTCTTGTGGCCGGACATGTGTTTGGTCAGGAAGCATCAACTCGGCCAACATGTTTTCATCCGGGCTAATTGCACCAGGGAACTGATGTTCCATGATGGGGCCCCGATCGATGTCGAACGAAGCAACAAGGATGTATTCCACATGAGGTTCGCTTGAATGTAGAGGATATTGCGACCTCAGTCTCTTCGAGGAACGATAAGGCCCGTCTTCGTAGACTGTGGAAACTCTCTGGGAGGAGCGGTAGGAACCCCGGGGCGATGGAGGGACTAGGGAGCTTTGTGAGGACACTTTATAATGGGAGAAGGCGGATTTGTGAGAGCCCGAGTTGGAAGAGGTAGATCTGGGTCGGTCATGATGCCCGCTCACGTTCACAGGGTGAGGGCGATAAACAAGTGTTTCAGTCATGGCGTCGTAAATATCGTCGTCCGTCGTCGAGTTTTTTTTTTATGTTCAATGTTCTTGAGTCGTTGTTTTTCACCCTATTCGAGGTTGAGCATGTCGCAGGAGAGGAGAGGCGATTGAAGGGAAGACTCAAGGCTCTAGACAGGGAGGTGGTCCAAAGTCTGGAGCGACATTTGCTAGAGGTCCGACGTGCAGCGCCTCAGATATGGCCCAAGGTTGGCTTCGTTGTGGTTCTGTAACGTGGTTCTATAAGACCGCGCTCGGAAGGGTGAAGGGGGGAACTCTCCTTGGGCTATCCCCCTGCGCTGCGGAGGGTTTACGTTGTGAGGGCGACCCCGATCCCCCCAAACCCTCTCAACTTCACGTCGACCCCTGCAAACGCCAGCTAGTGAGGCCTAAAAAGCCTAAGTAAGTAAACACTTAGGTAAAGCCCCTGAGATCGGCATTTTGGCGCGCCCGAGACTGAAATGTACTGGCTACTGGTGTGGTGCTGATTGTGGTTCTCGCGAGTCGCGCTCTCCCAGGGGTCGGCAAACTTTCCATGGTTAAACTCCTGATGTTGCTGCCCTGCCAACCCAAAGTTGTTTACACAATCACATGCATCGACATGGCGTCGCATTCCCAGCCTGGACAGCACCACCTCAAGACGTTAAGCAACAGCTTATCAACTATCTCCAGTTCAGGTCGACACGTCAGACTACTATGTACTTGCGTTACATGTAACGCCTCCTGCACGAAGACTTGGGCTCTTTTGCGTCGAATCTTCCCACTAACTCAGTCAATCATCAATTGAAGCCAACATAAGTTTCTTGGAATTGGACTGACGACGACAATGGTAAGCTCACTTGTTTTGGTTGTTCGCAGCTGGCCGATCTATGCGCTGAGACTTCATCTACCCAGTCCTCATACAAATCCACATTCAACAACTCTCCCCGTTCGTCGCCCTTCCGCCGTCCAGGTTCACCAGGCTCCCCCACCCTCGTCAGCTCTGGAAGACCAGCAACTCCTCCAACAAACAGAAGCGCCGCTTCCCCTTTGACCTCGCCATCTAAGCTTAAGCATGCCTATACAGTCTCGGAAGAGGAAGAGGAAAGCGAGATCATGGTGTCAACCCCATCCAAAACCACAGCAGATCCGTCCTTTAGGAGAGCTCAAACTGAACCCCCTTCGTCACCAACAACGACTCGTCGCTCACAACCTCCTTCGCCCTCAAAACACGGCACAACCCCGCTCCTGATACCCAGTACAAACAATTCAGTCAGCAGAGAGCCACGCAGGCTCGTCTCAAACGGAATGCTCTCTCAAAACGACAACCTCTCAAAACTCCCTCCGCAACTCCTGCATAACATGCGCGAATCCTTCTCCGTCCTCGACTCCAATTCCAACGGCACAATCGACGCCTCCTCTGTGGCTGAAACACTGCAATCTCTTGGACTACATGAAAGCAACTTGTCTCAATTTTTCCCGCCGGGACAACCGCAACAGATGTCCCTGCCACAATATCTTAATCAGCTGGCCAATATATTAGTCGGATTATCGCCTCGGCAAGAACTTCTCAATGCTTTGTCTGCATTCGACGACGATGATAGCGGGCAAATCGACGTTGCAGAGCTGCGTGCAGCGTTATTGAGCACAGCGCCAGATGCGGGAGAGCGACCGCTGACCGGAAAGGACATTGACCGAGCCATCGAAGGCTTCACGGGAAGGAGGATTCTGGGCAAAAACGTGATTGGTATTGCTGGCGTGAGAGGCTTGAAGGACCCCGCGCCAAAGAAAGGGGGCGACGTGTTTCGATACCAGGAGTTTGTGGCGAATTTGACGGGCGGGCCTGCCACGGACTCAGTACGTGCTCAGAGTGTTGCTTCGCGGTAGTGTTTTCAATGATTTAATAGATCGGCGTAACAACAGCCCAGGTGAGCCGTGCGACGTATACTACATGAATGAGATTATTGAATATTGGATGAGGTCGATATATCAAAAGGCAGAATCGAACCAGAATGTCAGGATCTGCCCTCAGACGTGAAAAGGAGTATATGATCGCGGTGATTGACTTCGTTCATATCTGGTATCTCATCCTCCAGGCCACGTACTTTCAAACAAGAATTCGATTCCAAAATGGTTCAGATTTGTACAGAGATCTTTCTGGCTCGTTTGAGTCGATGGGCAGAGGTTTCCTTCTCCTCATTCCTGGGACCCTAATCCGTGGCGCCTCATTGTAGAAGGGATTTTCTAGTATACGACCGACCTCTGCGGCCAGAGCGCTCCACACGCTATAAAAATCTCAGTTTCCATGACGATTCGTGGTCCCCGATTCATCGCGTCCGTGGTCTCACATCTCACATCGAAAGGCTCCATAAGTTGTGGGTATGGATTCGCGTGTCGCAGTCCAATTCTCACTTCTTCGACGTCTTTGGCGGCGGAGGGAAATATAGCTGCGGCGTAGCTGATTCTTGCGGACTTGTGCCAATCTCGGGGGACTTGCCATTGGCCCTCTCGGAGCCAGTACCGGCTCGCTGAATAAAACCCGGGCTCATTGGGCTTCGAGGCAAATCAGGACTCCGAATCGCGAACGATGGAGAGGTACTTCCTGGGATGTTCGGCGAGCTGAAGTGGCTCCTCAGCGGAAGATCCTTGGTTCCACCCAACGTGTTGAATGCAAGTGTTCGCGGAGTCATTGGGTTCAGTCGACTATTCACAATACCTGGGGTGTCAGGAACAGGGTACTTTTGTACAGTGGTCTCGCCCGTCTCATCGTCCTGGTAAGTTTCAAATTTCGCCCAGCGCTCGGCCTTGAGACGTTTCTTCTCGGCGTATTCTTCGCGTTGTTGTTTACTGGGGAAGCACGAGTACGCCGCGAAGCCGAAATAGGTGACAAAAACGCCCAGCATGGCGCAAGTGCATGCAAAGCTGGCCTTCGCTTGTGTACAGTAGCCGATGTTGTTCTTGTCATGAGCCACGTTGCAGGATTTGGTGATGTACCAGGGCGCGCCGTGCTGAGGGTGATCCGGATCGGTGGTGTCACTGCTGGCTTGGTAGTCCACGGAGACGGTGTACAAGATGATGAGTCCAGCGTGAACGAATGCGGAGAGGATGGGTGGGAAAACGTGGAGCATGTACATGATCGACTTGACAAGCATGATGAACATGGAGAGGACGGTGATTGCGACATTGTAGTCAGTTATGCTGGTGAAGGAGTGTCAGCATTGATTCCGGAATCCTGTAGGACGATGCTCACAATTGTGACCAGACTTTAGGAGTTGTATAGGGCCGATAATTGGCCGCGGCATATAGCCCTGTCAAGGGGCTTGAGTTGAAGCCATTATCTGCACCATCTTGCCACAGCCTTGTTCGGTAAGTGTCTGGAGAGGCGATGCCGAACAGTGCCAGCAGGGCGATGGTCAATGGGATCTCCAGGAGGATCAAGACGTAGAAAGGCCATTTATTCGGCTTCCAACGTCGAGAAAGAAAGAACCTCATGCCGGAGGGGATCGGGGGGGGGAACAGATTCTCGTCTTGCTTGTCTGGGGAGCCGCAGGTGATGATGCGTTGGTCCGTCGATAGAGAGGATTCGATCTATTGATGTGGCTGCATGTTCAACCTGGATGTCGCCGTAGTTGAGATGTCGAGTCGCTCTGGACACTGCAAAAGAACACAAAGTTCTCGACTTACTTGCACGGCATTAGAGGGAGAAGAGGCCGCGAAGAATGCGCAGGTCTCATAAAAGGCGGCCATGGTAAGAAAGCTGGGAGATGCTTACATGGCAGCACCAGCTGGCAGGCGCTTACAAGTCGACATGGCGAATGAGCATCAACGAGCGATCAAGAGCGATATCAACGACGCACCAATAGGCGGGGTGTGAAGACCCGAGCGGCGGGTGACTGGAGGTTAAGCACACCAAGGGGATTGGTGGGAGGCGACGTGATAGACCCTGATAAGCATCGAATCGCCAGGCTTAGGCACATATGTCGGGGACGAGGGGGACGAGGGTGCCGGCCGCCCCGCCCAATGCACCCCCTAACAACCCTACCCAGTACTCGGTACTCGTAGCCTGTAAGTAGCGGGCTGCTGAGGGCTAGGTGCCGAGGGGTCCTTAGGTACAGTACTGGGTACGTACCAGAAGGCCCGTAGCACATAATTCCGAGTCCCCTCATTTCTCCAGGCCACCTGTTCTGTGCGACAATGTGCCTCAGGTTGGGTGCAGCGTGTGACCGACCATCACCTCGTCCTATTCTTTCGACTTTTGCGCCGTTCTAACAGCTGTTTGATGGACCAAGTCTGATTTCACCAGGTCTCTTGCTTAATGTCAATCCAGCAGACCATATCGACGAGCCTTGTTGATTGCAGAACGGGCACGAGAATGACTGAGCCATTCGAGAGACCACAAAGAGCATCCCGAAACGAGGCTGTGGATCAGGTCCTTGGCGAGCACAAGGCTGCAGCCTCCGCCGGAAAATACAATTTTCCAGAAAGATATCAGGTGATCTCCCACGTGAACCCGTCTATTTTTACCTCGCAAAAGGGGATCTTCATTGGGACCTCCCTCGCACCTTGTTTCCGTCGTCGATCTCTCGTCCTCGCCTTCAAACATATTCATTCTCTCACCTCAGGGCGTTAACTGTATGAGTCAAGGATCAGGATGTTTCCTTCCACCACCTGTTGACGACATGCTAGTGCAAGCCATCACGTCAAAGCTGTCAAGCGAGCAGTTTCCACTGGGCTACCCTCCAGCTGGCAGCTCGCCCCCTTTGGAAAGGCTTCGGCCCTTTATTCGATCGGCAACCCGGAAAGGTGGGTTGATGATTGCGTTTCCTTGGGCTCCTCCAGCATTCAGACTGCTACTGGTAGGTGACTGGCGCTCCTGGAACCACCGGGGCTCGGAATGTTACTCGAGGGCCCATTTGGATCCCAGCCTGGCGTTTGACCTTGTTTCGCATCCTTTCCCTTTTCGGCCTCCCGAAACACCTCCCTTCCCTGTGCCACCCTCAGCGCGCCCACCAGCCTTCCCTGTGGAAGGCGCCTCTCCTCTATCCACTGTTCTGAATCAAACTCACCCAGACAGACCCTTTCTCGCCGATGTCTTTGTCCACTTTGCCATCTGCCGTTCGAGCGCCGGGTGTTGAGATCCCTCGTTTTCCTGCACTCCCATCATCTTTCCTGCCGAAGTTTTCGGGAAGCCATCACAGTCTCTTATATGGCAAGAGCCTCTCTCTACCCAGTAGACCGCTCATCCAATTTCCCCTCTGTCGATGGCCTCGCGCTAACCTTCTTCGCCCGATGATCTCTCAATTTACCAGCTACGGACCCCATGCTACACTGGGATAGTGCCCTCGCGCAAAAGGAGCTTGCGACGAGAGTCTCTGAGCCTTCCGGCACCTCGTCGACCTTAACTTTGCTTCTCGCCATCTTCTTTCTTGCCTTGACTGCAGGCGACGCTCAGTCCATCCTGCCTGTCCGCCATAGAACCCAGGCAGGATGTTCCGACACGGGCAAATGGTCCATAAACGGGAGCCTCAGAACGCCGCTGCGGAAACCTCCCTACCTTCTTTCATAACCAATCCAAATCCAACGACGTTTCCGCAGTCGATAGCTCCGACTTCTGTCACCCCAAACCCATCCGCCACCGCGTCGATCGTGACGGCTCAGGCGGTGTCTGGGTTCACCACCGTTACCGAAACACAGACACTACAACAGAGCCTCACCGGACAAGGAATTGAAACTACCTTTACTACCGAAAGAACCAGGACCATTACCGACCCGGCCGAATATGCTTCCCTCACTTCAGCAGCTGCGGCTGCATCCTCCACCTCCACAACTCTCCGGACCACCACAAAGACATCGGCCGCTGCCACAAGCAGTGCTGCAGCCCGACAGTCCAATTCGAATCTCAGCACCCTTATCCCAGCAATCGTGGTCCCAGTTGCTGTTGTATTGTTGGCATCGCTGGGTCTGTTTTGGTTCTTTATGAAAAGGAGGCATAACAGAGATTTACAGATTGAACCCGAGTTTGTGATGACGGGCAAAGGCGAAAAACTGAGCAGCCGCTCGAGCAGCAGGTCAACCTCATCTATTCCAGGAGGGGTGGAGAAAAAGTCGCCCGCCGTCACTCAAACCGAACTCATGTCTGCCAAATCGCCACCAACTCCGATGTCTGAGTGGCCATCAGCGCAGATTGGCGTTGCCCGCCCACTCACGCCTCAAGACTCGAAATCTGCTGGACAGGATCGACCTTCGGATCAACCGAGATCTCTGACTGCAAACTCTCCATACAGAAATATGCGTAGTCCAAGCACGGCAGTGAGACCTTCAACATCTGGACGAGGAGCACAGCCGTCCCCAAGCTGGGAACAGGGATCAAATAGGAACAGAAGCAACAGCACGCCAGGCCAGAGAGGTCAACCCCCAGCATCACGGCCAGGCCCTAGTCCAATACCTAGGACAGCTCCGAGCCCGGTCTTGCGAAGCGGACCAAGTCCCGCAGCTCAACGGCTAAACCCCACGGACTCTCCAAGGCAGGTTGCATCATCCTCAGTTTTCCGCTTGCGTGACCCTTCTCCCAACATGAACCTCAGCAACCGAGCACAGGCACCCTCACGGCTTGAGGCCCCTCCGCCGGGTGCTTTCAACGGCGCTTCATCCATATCACAATACTCCCCGATCGTGAAAGATACGCCAGGCATTTCAAAGGGACCCACAAGCAAAAGAGCACCGCCACCTATCAACACTGCAAATCTTGGAGTAGAAGGACTCAAGTCACCCACTTCTGGCAGTCCTCCTGGTCTCGGTTTAACAGAAGAAAACCTCCGTATTGCTCGATTGGCGAACTCTTCTCGCCTGGGTTATACTCCTGGAGAGCCCACCCCGTCACCCAAACTACCCCCACCAGCCACCCGCTCGCAGCTGATTCCTCGAGAGAGTCCGAAGGAGCATCAAGATCGTTTCTTCGGGGGGAGTGCGGGCAACCCAACAATGATACACCCCCAAAGAGCATCAATTCATTACAAGGCGGCCCGAGCCAGCATTGTGTCGGATGCTGACGATTACGAAGATATCGAGGCCAAATCGGACGTCAGCAGTCTCAATGAGTTTGAACGCTTTGACTTCGGCACCGACATAAACGGTGGCAGGGGTAGTGCCGGCGGAGGCTCCTTGACCTTCTTTGCGGCACAGAATAGTCCCGCCAGTGACAGAGGGAGCGCCTTTGGAACAGCTGGGACTCATGAGCGATGGTGATCGAAATTGAGCTCCAAGAAAGCAAAGGTTGCTGCTCCACGACATTCGTTTTCGCGATCTCGCATTATTTTTGTCCCTTTTTTTTTTATTATTATTAGTCATCTCATGACATTGACGATCGTTTGTGTACTACGTGTTGTCCTATTTTCCCCCTGCACTTTGTGGATGCTCACTGCCATAAAAGCAAGAAGAATTTATGCTTTGCGAGAGCGTGTGAATGATACCCATATCAGGCCCGCTTCGATGGCGAACTGGGATCAGTTTGTGAGAATAACCTACTGCATATTTGGAGACGGAGATCGAAAAAGATCTCCGAACAATAATTATCTGCGTAACAACAGGAGGAAGATTGATGGAAGGATGAGACAGATGACGAGAATTTATTTGGTGGAAAGAAGGAGAAAGACAACTGAGACGGCCTAATTCAGTCTGATCTGCTTCTAGAGGAGGCGGTGGTATGAATAACAATCTTATAAACTTGTTCAGAACGAAATCAAGTCCCAGGCCCCTTTTATGTGATCAGGCTCTGAACTGCTGTCTATTCGAAATCTAAAGTCGATTCTCGGAAAACTGGGGGATGCGGTTGATGACGGAGACGTCTCCGCTGGTCCACACATGCTCGCGGCCCCCCCGAGAGTACTGTAGTATACCACGTCCTCGGTACACACAGTGTCAAAGACGTTCTCAGCTCTATGTAATATGGAGGAGCTAATCTGCTGCGCCCGGTTCATTCAGTCCCAACGAATCGCCACGCGTCCAATTGACGTCCAAGAACAGGTAGGAGATCAACCACTTCCCCTGTCCCTGCCCTTGGCCTTGACCTTGGCCTTCCTTTCGGAAACTCCAGTAGTAGTACCCGCCTTCTTGGAAGACTCTACCGATGTCGTCGGGGTCGGTGCCGCAGATGGCGTGCAGTGCGGAGCGGGCGTGCGCGACGGTGTCAGATTGAAAGGTGATGGTGAAGTTGGAGGACGCGTGCTGGAGGGGGGGGGAGATGGCCCGTCAGATGGAAGCATTTGCGGAGGGAGAGGACTGTTTGCAGGTAGAGCGCGAGAATCGCCTCCCTTGCGTGCAATCATGCAATCATGGAGAGAAGTCGAGAAGAAGACGAAGGAAGATTCGTTGACTCACCAGCATCCGGTAGAACCTCGTCTCAGCATTCATCGCCCACTGTGCTAGCCCGTCCCTGCCTCTGTGGCTACCGAATGGATAGGTGACAACGCAGTCGCTGGTAAAGAGGGCAGCCCATTTTTGCGCAGCGCCGTGGTCTACCATGCACGCGTCAAGGACATAGCCGTATTCGTTGAGTAGGTTCGTTATTTGTTGGTGTTCGCACAGGTATCTCACTCTATCCTCGATCGTTTCCGGGATCGCCAGTGAAGATACGGTTTTCGAGGACCGGCTTTTGACTCCATTTTGCAAGCCATTGCTCGGTGGGGTTGGCTCTGAATAGGAGTACGAGAGCGGATGGTTCACTGCCAATATTGCTGGTCTAGGAGACATTCTTGGATCGCAGCTGATATTTTTCTGTATCTTCTGGCTGAGATGGACGATTGTAAGCTTGTGTGTCCCCCCCCCCCCCAATGATTCCGATATCTTTTTGCTTTTACAAACCGTGCCTGGATCGTCCTGATTGGCTGCCGCAAGACCCGTTCTCATCTGTGAAGGATCCTTGACTGAGGTCGAGCGGGGTCTTAGCAACCTGCATGCACATCTGGGGCTTCCCCATATTGTGGAGTGAACCACTCCACGCATTCCAGTTGGCGGAGGGAATAATAAACTTCCAGTCCACGCAGGAAGTGCGCAAAATGCTCCCCACCGGCAGAGGTAAGGGGGGTCTTTTCCGGTCTCGATTTCCAGGAAACGTGACAGATGGCTTGTAGAGCGAGTTGATCTGGGCCTGGCTGGCATCCCTGCTATCCTGCCGCGGGAGTGTCATAGAAGTAAAACCCTTCACCCTCGGGGCTCCAGTGAGGGTTGGTGCGGTCGCCTTCTCGACCCTCCAGACCCAGGAGTTCACCTTGTGGTGAGGTTCCTGAAAAGGCCATTTCAAAATTGAATCGGGGTATATCAAATGTCGGGACATCGAATCCTGGGACGAAATTCAAAATTCGATCCGGCGACTCCAGATTGGGAACAGCGAATCCAGCATGGATATCCGTCGAAGTACTTGGGGTGTCACTCGAAACATATCCAGTGGCTACCTTTTTCAACAATCGGCGGACCTTCTCAGCAGCCACACGAGCAAATGGTAAGGCATCCTGGTGCCTGGCCAAAAATACGGCGGCGGACTCGATATTGTCAATGATCTTGCCGCGGTCTGGTGTCGTGGTGGCCAGAAGGTCATGTGTGGAATCACTTCTCACATAAAGGAGGAGTGTAAGCGTCGCGTTCCAGAGATAGCCCATGGTATGAAAGAGGGATGCTTGAAGAGTACCAGAACTTCCGGCGTTGATAGCAGACGTGGTAACGTGGACAAGGGACATGGCCATTTCAATGCACTTTGCAGCCGCCACAACTGATTCTTCCTTGACTTCCATTTGCTTTTCTCGTTTCTGCACAACCAAGTTCAGAAACGCTCGGTACAGGAGGATCCTCAGATTTAGGTAGCCTGAGACAAGAACGGTTAGTTCCGCTGGCACCGGGTCGGGCTGAGAGAAATCAAGTACGTACGCAATCGGATAATAAGCCCGTGGGGCTCCTTTGACCATGTAGAGTCGTGATACCAACCGTCGTACCAAGCGCAAATAGCACCATCCGCAGCACGAAGAGCAGCTGCACGTTCAGTTACTCCAGAGTGTTTGAAAGCCAGCGAGTAAACTTGCTCATAGGCATCCCAAGCTAGGTAGGAAAACTGCCGCATACGTTCTAGATATTGGAGATCGATCGGAGAGGTATCCAGCGGAAATGGTCTGACATCAACCTCTCGGGGCTGAATCCCGCACGGACGACCTGACAGAGTAGCGAGTTCCCTGTTGAGAGATTAGAAAGGCCCGGGCTAGCACAGAGATATGGAACCGACGTTTCATATATGAAAAGGCACCTGTCTCTGGCTTAGCATGAATCTTGGGTGGACTGAAATATCATGTGGACTTACCACCAAGTTGCACACCAGCCATTAGTATCAAGAACGTGAGCGTCTAGCGGCATGAGCTCTCTGTGCAGGCCAATGGCGTACCCTACCCTTGCTGAAGTTCCCAGCATTGCATATGCTTCGTGAAGCCTTTGTTGGTTAAAGAGCCAAACGAACTAAGTAGCTCATTAACCTTCGATCAATCAGGGCTGAATACTTGGGGATCACTCACTGCGAGGAACAGGGAGTTTACCGCAGACATGTCCCCGCCAGAAAAAGGTACATCCGCAAAGGTGGATTTGGCCAGGTTGAAGCAGGTCTCCCCATATGGTGAAGCAAGGGCATCGTTTCTGACTCGATCATCTGGGTCGACAGTGCTGCACTGATGACCGTGGGCGAGAACCATGTACAAGACAGCTGCCCAGAGTTCATAGCCCTTTCCTTCCGTGGGTAGGCCTTCCCAGAAGTTGCGGTAGCGTTCCATGAAACTGATGCGATTCAAGATAGGATATAGGCGATGGGCAGTTTGGAAGTACCGGTTGACGTAGTCGTCTGCAACCGGTCTGGGGGGCAGTGACGATCCTGTCACTTTGGCAAACCTGAGGTTTGCCGCATTGTCAAGCCATAGCCTAGCTCTGTTGAGAGGCCATTCTATCCGGGAGTTGGCCGGCTGATCTTCCGATTCCTCTGCAGCTTCTACCGCACTGATGATGGCATTTGATGACGATCCTCCGTAGAACTCGGGATTTCTTGAGATGGTCAGATAGTTCACACCCCGCAGCAATTGAGCCATGTCGTCCTCACTCTGACTCGGTTCGGTCGCAGGCCCGTATACTTGGTCGGAATGGCGAGGGGGACTTGGGCCCGGCTCATTTTGATTCTGGCCAGTGGTATATCCTTCATAGATGCGCAAGCGGTCTTCGAGCTGAGCAATCCTCCTGATACGCAGGCAATGGTGAGCTGCCATCAACACATGGAGAGGCACCGCCAACTCACTTCATCGCTTTTGCCAAGGTGAGCTTCTCGGGCGCTCGAACATCACCTCCATAGTGACACGGAAGGGAGTTCTCTTGACAGGTTTTGCAAGGGCTGCCTCCATTGCACTTTTCAAGCCCTTGTCAGACTTTTCTCCGTTGACTGCACGATGATTGACATTGGGACGTACCTTGCGGCGCAGCGCTCTGCAGTTGGAACACGCCTGTTCTGTCTTGGTTCTTTTGACACTGGGTTGCGAAGGTGGTACTGGCGTGGGAAGACCCAGGTTGGACTCGTGCTCTCTCTTACGGTCGGGGGCGATCTCTCTGAACTGCATCATGGCATCGTCGCGGATGGGTTGGCTGGGACCTGGTGGGAGAGTGTTGATGGGATGGTGAGTCGGCGACATGGTGGAAATTCTGGTGGAGTGAGAAGAGGAAACTTAGCGCCATGCACCCCACAAAAGGCCTTCTTCTCTCCTCTTCACTCTTACATATATATACTCTCTACTCCTCGTATCAATATGGAAACACATACGGAAAGCGATCCCCCCAGATCTGCCCCGGACCGTGTCTGGCTTCTAGATCTGGTGCATGTCATTAACCATGTATTCTACAGCTATTTTGACAAGAGAAGCGGAAGGGAAGTTCTCCCCGCTGTCACGATCGTCACCCATAGTTGTCAGGGCAGTCAGGCACTTCAGGTTCGTGTCTCTTCTCATCTGCATATGCTACCTGCTGTTCCTTGGCTCGGCTGCTTCTCCTACGCCGCATCAACAGATGAAACGACACCGGCTTGTTTGCTCTCCAAATGGCGTACTTGCTCGGCCTTTTCTACCAGAGTATCCGTCTCGACTTGATCTTTGACGAAGAGTGTATCAATCTCCTCCAGGGTCAGACCGCGAGTTTCAGGGTACAGGAACCAAACTAAGTTTCCGTCAGCATGGCCAGCCAGGAAAAGAAAAGCTGGACGTCTTACCAATGGGCAGTTGCAGAAAGGTGAAGATTATGAATACGATGTACAGCCGCCAGTGGATATTGGCAATACCGATCGGGCCAACCTTGACTGCGAAAACATCAGATATTTGATTGATAGTTTGAAAGCAGCAGAGGCTGAACTCACCGATAATGAAGGTGAAGGTCCCTGGATCGGTCAAATGTCAGCATCGGTTCCAGCTTCAAAATCATCGCCCGTCTTCGGTCCCCAAGCTAGCTCACTTACAGTTTGCAAACGCATTCAATGCATTTCCGATATGTCTGTATCTGACAGGTACGAGTTCAGGGCCAAGGCACCAAGGACTGTTGCACGTCAGCAATTGTCCGAGTCTCACGATTGCCAACTTACGCCGGCAGCCAGCTCCAACCGAACGCCACACATATCAAGCACGTCGCTCCGAAAGCTACCCACAGCTGTCCAGTCCCTCCATTCTTGACCATGGGCGTATAAATACAATACCCGACTAACATTGGGATTGTCCCAGAAACAAGCAGCTTCTTCCGGCCCACTCGCTCAATCAGGGCAATGCCAAACAAGGAACCCACCCAGAAACTGATGGATGCGACGCCGCCCAAGACCAAAGAAAGTTTAGCCGAGATTCCCAGTTGCAAGAAGACAGTGCTGGAATAATAGATGACGATGTTGACCTGGATGCAAGCATTTAGCGACGCGATCGTCGACTGAAGACCGTGGGGCAACCTACTCCCGGTAATTGTTGGATCATCTGAATGATAAAAACGAGAGCCATTCGGAAAGGAATCTTCTGACCAGATCTATCATAGAAGATGGTTTTAAGACTGTACTCGCCAAAGTGGTCTTCCAGAGCAATGGCGGCGAGGATTTCGCTGCGTTCGGCCTGGACAACTTCATGTTCGATCGGGAGGCCCTTAAGAGCTGACATGACTATGTCCGCCTCTTCGATTCGGTTCTTCGAATACAGCCATCGGGGGCTTTCTGGTAGCCAGGGAAGACTAACAATGGTGACGATGGCAAACACTGCCTGGAAGGCTGTCACAAAGTCAGCACTCAGGATCACCCCATGCATCAATCAAAAGGTCCGACGTGCCAATTGGAAAGCGCCACACAACTTGTCCGGTGAGGTGGAAGAAGCCATAGTTCATCCAATACGCGATTACAATCCCAAACGCTGCAATTGATAACTGGGTAGCGACCAATTGCCCCCGATGTTTGGCTTTGGATGTTTCAGAGACCCAGGTGGGCACTGTCCCGGTGTTCATCCCGTTGCCAATGCCCGAGATGATTCTCCCGACAATGAGCTGAGCCACACTGTACGATGAGGTCTGGAGTACAGCGCCTTGAACAAGAGTTAGTTGCAGCGTTTCCCCTTCGGACCATTTTACTTGCCAACCACCATTATTGCCATCCCGAGTCCAATTGTGCGCTTCCGACCAAGAGAAGAACCCCAAATCGCGGCGACAAGACATCCAATCATGCAGCCGATATCATATATGGAAACAACGGTGGAAATGGTATCGGCATTGGTGGCCTTCGGAAACCAGTCAGCACCACCTTCCATTGAAGAAGCGAACTCAATACCCACTGCGATGTTGACGGCTTCGAGGAAATAGGGAGTAGAGATGATACTCCCCATGATTCCTTGGTCATAGCCTAGTGGTATCTGGGTCAGTCCTGTCCCTCACGGTTCTCGGTCATCGGCCTTACCGAACAACAGAAAGGCGCTGGCAGAGCACAAGCTGATGGCCCATGAAAGAGCAGAGCCTTCCAGGCCCAAGAAAGGTTTGCTGCGTGGAGACATGATATCTAGGTCGGCTTGCAACTGTGCAAACTTCTCATCCTGGTTGATGAGAGATGATGGACAAGACTCAACATATATGCCCACGGTAGCATATCCGCATGTATCGTTGACTTGTCTGTGGAGTTGCGAATCCGCCGAGGCACCAAAGGAACACCATGCAAGGAACGGAAACGACCATCCACGCATCCCCATTGGCCATTCTACACCGCTCCACGTATCCCTATTGGACGAGAGTATCATCTCCACAAGTTCTGCGGCCTCGTGGACTCGGTTTTGGCATCGATGCGGAGTCGGTAGTTGTATGGGGAGTCTGGTGCAACTTCCCCGGATCTGTTCAATGTCTTATTTAAATCCAGATCCCGAACGAGCCACGGTCACCTCGAAGGATATATGCAGAAAGAGCATCAACAAAGAATGCGCTGCCCAATCGGACAACAGGGGTGTTTGTAAAGCTTTGCTTTTGACCTTCCGAAGACCACGCGGAACTCTTGATCGGAGGGTCTGGATTCAATTGAAACATTTGTAGCCTTGTTGGACCACGAGCGGGTGGGCCATAAAGGGTTTCCTCGGTGTCTCGACACTCATCGTTCCTGTCGACAATACATCCATTGAGCCCCGAACAATAAGCATCACAACAATCATCGACATCCTCACAATGGCCGATACAGAGAAGATACTCGCCGAACTAGCATCCTTGCGAAGTACGGTGTCCTCTCTCCAGAAATCTCTATCAGAGACCCAAGACATTCAAGCCGTTCAATGGCTTCTCAATCACTACACCGCGCTCCACGACGACGCATGCTTCGACCTCGAGAAGCGGCAGGAGTGGGAGAACCTGTTCTGTGAAGACGGCGTCGCCGTCTACCCTTACGGCCAACACGTCGGGCGCGCCGGCAAAGGAGCATGGGCGTTTGGCGGCGTGAGCTACTTCGAGTGCTGCCAACTCCTCTCGTCCAACTTCGACATTGAATTCTCCCCAAACCGCAAGCGCGCGTACGTGCGCACGAACTGCATCGCGCAGTGGATGAAGCGCAAGGACATCTACGACGACCACTTCGACGAGGGAGGCTTCTACAACTGGGTCCTGAGGAAGGAGGCCGACGGCAAGTGGAGGATCGAGAGGGTCCATTTGACCATTACCTGGACGACGGGCGAGGATCCTACGGGCGTGGGCCCAAAGACCAAGGCGCCCGCAAAGCTTTGATGGAGCATGTAGATAGGCGCGTCGAAAACGAGACATCGAATCGCAATTCGTTTTCGAGAGAAACAGCCCCAACGTTGTCGTCCTGCAGCGAGCACGAAGCACACCCGCATGTGAAGCGAAACGTCTTTTTTGAGTAACAGCGGTGGGCAGGAGTTGGTTGGAGGGAGGCAATTATGAGAATAGTCATTGTCTTCGTCATTGTCCTTGTGCCTTGGATCTATTCCCGTTACCTTGTTCGATCGATCGATCGTCTCAAGGTATCCCGACCGACTGACCGACCACCAGTTTCCGCCCTATCCAAACCCATTGGATTTTGATTTTTGATGTTTCATTTCAGCTTCATCCATCATTCCGTCGTTAAGATTGCGCGTCCCTCCTTTCTTGCCAAACACCGCCCAAAATAACAGGAAAGCCAAATCTCTTCTCTACCTCTCCAAAAAAAAAAACCAAATGCAGGCTGCGTGTTGTTCGTCCATTCCAAGCAAATAGGTCACGAGTCGACGTCCAGCAACTTTAATGGTGCGGTGTGAACGGCGCGAAGAAAATCCCATCCAAGAAACGATAAAAGCATGGTGTCTCACCCCCTAATTTTTCTCACACACACATGAGAGGCATACCAGACCACGTCAATGAATGGGCACGAGACGAGCTCCGGCGAGGCTTATTCTTCGCTCCCAGAGCCGCCCGCGATGACGGCGCCATGCTTGAAGAGATGCCGATGCATATCGCGGCGCTTGTGCTTCATCAAGTGGCGTTTCGCGTCTGCTTCGTCGAAGAAAGGCACCATTTCCCCACCAGACGACGACGACGACACGCCAGGCTCTGGGCCTGTTTCACGCCGGCTCTTCTTCTCTTTCTCGTGGTGAAAATCGTCGTAGCCGAGCGCGCTGACGGTCGTGTATGTGACGGCATTGGAAGTTGCAGCGTTCGTCTCCAAGGCGGCGGCAGAGATATCGGTGGTGGTGACGGGTGTAACTTTTGGCGGTGACGCGGCGGACTCTTGCACCTCGCTGACGGTACCGTCCGAGGCGACAGCCAAGGCCATCGGAGGTCCCACCGTCGCAAAGGGCTCTCGCGCGTCGAAGGACGCCGTGGACGACCCTAATACTGAAGTTGACGCAGTAGTTGGCACGGCCACAAAGTTTGCCGCGGAGGCACCGACCGTGCCGAATGTCTTGCTGTGTCGCCCGTTGCCACCGCGGCTAAACGCCGTTGTAGGAACAGATACACTCGTTGGAGGCGTGGGGACCACTGGTGGGATCCCTGACGGTACACCATGGACGCTGACTGATGCAGTAGGCGCTTGCGTCGACGAGGGAGGGAATGGCGCGCCGGTGCTGGAAATCTCGCCTCCAGTGTTCTGGAAGACCTTGAGCGAGTTGACGGACCAATATGCATCCTGAAACGCAGACGGATTGTTCTGCACGAAACTCTGGCAGGTCGATGCCTTTGATCCGCACACAGGGTCCGAAGTCCACACGTTTCCAGCCCAGTCGCCGCAGAAGGTCGTATCAAAGACGATCTGGTTGTTGTTGAAGAAGTCGTCTATGTTACATCCTCCGGCGAAGGAAGCCACGGGTTGGCCCCAGTTGCTGGGATCTGGTGTCCCCGAGGCTATGTCTGACGGGATAGCTGAGCGGGGGAAAAACCAGATGTTGATGGCCGAGGAGGTCCATTCAGTTGTGTATACGCCGCCTTGGCCTTGGTTGAACCCTGTTCCGTAACTGGCGTCGTTGGTAGTCCCAATTTGGCATCCTGCGTTTGTCGCTTGGCCGACGGCCTTTATGTCGCAGTTCGGGGTGGAGACCGAGCCTGAAAACATGCCGTTGTTTGTGATGCTACACCCGGAGGTGGTGTGAAGGGTCATGGCGTTGGACACTTGCGAATTGACACCCTCGATGATATCGATCTCTCCTGCATTTGGCCAGTTGGGGCCAACGGTCCAGAAGGCCGGCCATGTACCACAGACCCCGCCCGGCATGTGTGACAGATCCAGGATGATGAGGCCATGGGTATAAGACTTTTTGCTTGTTAAGCGGACGCTTTGACGGCCAGAGCCTGACGCAACGTTTGTATGATCAACGCCCATATAAACGGCGCCGTTGTCGGTGTTGATAAGCCCACCGCTTTGGGCGGTGTTCTGGTCCACATATTGCACATAACCGTTCGTGGGGTCTGCGTCCTGATACTCGTGTCAGCACTGGGGGTTGGAATTTTATAGAAGGGCCGGGTCCTACTGTGAAAAAGTCAAACATGGAAAAGAATTGATCAACGCTGTAGTCATCCTCCAGCACATATCCAGCTGTGCTCAAAGAGACAAGCCCCGCCAGGGTGACAAGAAAAGAAGAAGCCAACATATTTGCTAGATTGGAAAAAAGATCGACAGAAAGGAGCGACGATTGCAAAGATGCAAGTTCAAAGGGCAAAGGAATGGACGCAAATATGCTGGCTTGAGAAGAAGTAATGGAAGAATGACCTATCCACGAGGAAGAGGACGGACCAAGTCCCAAGGCATGAAATATGTATACCAAGAGGGAGCTTGGGTACGTAGAGAAAGGGGTGAGCCATGGTCCAGATCCCGTCCTGGGCGTCTGTGTGCAGGCGGGCCAAAGAGAAGTATCCATACCAAGGTACGCATCGAGGCTGCCATGCACAGCTGACGTGCAGAAGGGCAATAAGCTTTATGGATTGGCACATTGATGCCTGAAAGCGCTGAAGAGGAGCGAGGGATATATTCCATATACGCTCATGTGAACGTGGACTGGCGGGTCACGAAGCGAGGGAAGACGAACCAATACCACCCCATCGAGCAAGGCCCTCATCCTGCAAGGCCCTCATCCTGCAAGGACAGGAACATTGGGAATCCACCAAAAGAGGGCGATGGGGTGCTGAATGGTTGTGGAAGGGCTGATTAAGGAGAGAAGGGTCTCTCTCCCTGCACTGAGCGAAGCTTTTTGGTGAACAATCTGGAAGGGATGGGAGAAGTGGTACTCGGTATAGCTTGAAACGATGGTCTTGGATGCGATCCTCGCGTAGCCTCGGCATATTTGAAACACGGCGAGGACGGAGCCTGATAACCTTGATAGGGTAAAAGCATTGACCCTCTACTGAAAATTGGCTTGAGCTTTAACTGAACGGGTCATGGGCTCGGGCAGGGAGAAAGACCAAGAAAAACAGGAGGAAGTGAAGAATCCAAGGGGCGGCTGAGCTCACCAATCGGGGCTGGAAAAGGCTCTGGTCACGTGTCAGGCTGGAGCCCATCGGCCCAGTTCGAAACATTCCACGTCTCATCGCTTTGGGGCGCATCAAAGGCTCCACCATGTACCGAGGAAAAGGAGAAACCCAAGCCAACTGTCCATGACAACTGGAAAAGGGAAAATATTCTGTTCATTATTGGATGCATCAAGCTATACGCAGGCTGGGCAGGCTAACTGAGGAACGACGTCTTCCATGCGTGCCTGACCCAGGCATTTCTGGTGGTACAGATGTCGGCAGGAAAACGCCACAATGGGACCAAGCTCTCCCGCAGGTCCAACGCCCACATCGGAACTGTCAGCCTCAAATGGCTCTTGCGAGTTCACGCCGACTGTGGCTTTGCCTTTTCCTCGACTATCATCGTCTTCGACCACAGATTCGCCCTCGTGGATCCGCCGTCGGCGGAGGAGTCGGGCTTCTTCTCTTTTCTGCCATTGCTCCCAAACCTTTTCGCCGACGCCGGGCCCCCAAACACGTCGCCGACAGACTTCGCATACCTGCCCTCGGGGTCTCCAACCCCGCTGTCTGAGAGCGGCCACTTCATCCAAGCGCACAAAACAATCCTTATCTAGCATCGAATTCGATAGGCCTAGAAGTGACTCCTCATATGCGTACGCTGAAAAGATGGAACTGATCACATTCCGCAGTTCCGATAGAGACGGGCTTGCTTCAGCAGCATGTGAGAGGAATGCGCGTAGGATACGCAAAAAAAACATGTCTCGACCGGAACCTCCCTCTCGCATAGATGTAGTGCTTGTTAGGAGTGCAGTGAAAACCTGCTGAATGACTGTTCGGAGTGCTTTTGTTGTTTCCGGACCATTTCCCTCTGGTTGTGTGTCCTCGTCCAGTGGAACATGGATCGACACATCTCGAGCTATCGACACCACGCAGAGAATAAGGTCAAGCCAGAGATTCTCCTCAAAAGACAATGCGCGTGTCGCACTTGCAGATCTTCTCGGCGACTTAGAAACGGTCAGTGTCTTGGGTGCATTTTTCATTTGCCCTTGGCACAACCAGATGCCCACTCGAGTGTATTTTTCCAATGACTCGAGTAAGTTCATCGTCGGATGTTGGACGGATGCATCATCAGCCTGGTCAACAAAATCTGACTTCAAGCTCTTCAAGGTTGAGCCCAAGAAGGCCAAGTGCCTGGTCAACCGATCCATCGCTTCCTTCACTTGTCCTTGTCGAACCTGCAAGATCACTACAGCGTCAATGATGCCGCTGTCTTCGATTGTTGGCAGAACTTCCGCAAGCCGAATGTCGCCCTCTTTAATCTTCTCCACGTAATCTCTCACGTGTGAAGGGTCGAACTGGCAAAGAAGGCGGACATACAGTTCCATAATCTCATGGTCATAGTTCCGACGCGAGCGCAGATGGTCTTCGGGCTCCAAAAGCGTTCTCAGATACTCAAACTGCCCAAAAAGATCTTCGGTCAAAACTTGCAGGAAGACGTAGTGCAAGTCCGGCGCGACTTCGTCAATAGCGGTGGCACATCTTTGGACGTCGATGCTGATTAAGTCCAGGGCATGCTTCCGGATGGTTTCTCTGATGTCTTCTCGCTGTTGTTTCACGATGGATGATTCTGATCGGAGAAATTCAACAATACAGGCAAATACACCAACTTGGTCGTGACTGTCCAGGAAGAACGTTGATATCATATCAGCATATTGACGTTCTTGCTTGAAAATAGACTTGAGGACACGGTAGAACCTCGCTTCCTGGAGCAACGGAACAAAGTCAAGTACGTTTGGTGGCTGGTAGACCGAAAGGAGGTATTCTATGCTCAACTCGGCATCTTCTTGCAAGTCATCTTCCGGGTACCGACAAAGTCGACTGAAGATCTCTTGTAGGATTGTTCCCGACAGTACCAGATACTGAGGATATTTGGCAAGGTTGCGCGCAATGAACATGTCCAAATATATGGTGTCATCAGAGTCGAACTCTGACGACATCACTTCTAACAATATCCGAACGATGTATTGGCGAGTATAAGTCCTCGTTACTGTCGCTTGGTTTCGGTCGAGGCTACTGGGTGGATCGTCGCCACCCGAGTTGAGATAGCTGTCTTCGAACGCCTCATTCAGGGCCGCGATGAAACTTGCGGTATCGAAATGAAGTACCCGAGACAGATGCTCGAAAGAGGTCGCAGGTTTCAAGGTGGAATCGCCCCTCCTTTTGGCCACTCCATTTGCACCTGAGCCCCCGGAAAAGAAAAAGTCGTAGACTTGGCCTTTGGCATGCACGGAGTTCTCGTCGTCTAAAGGATTTCCTGTAGGATACACGCGACCTGTCAAGATAAAGGAGATGTAAGGGAAAATTTTCTGGGCGACATTGTATCTGTCAACCACGTCGACAGATCGCTGACGTGGAAGATCCTCACTGTCAGCCAAATCGAGTAGCATCATCAGGGGTGTCGTGAAGTCGCAGAAGGCCATTGTCCAGACATAAATGTAGGCATCGTACAGAGCATATTGTTTGCAGAGAGTTGTCACTTGATCAATGTCCATTGTGGAAGTATCCAGCATGCAGACGATCTCTTCCAGTACCGACGGGGTGTGTGTCTGGACAAAATGGTTGATCAGGGTCTTCAAAGCGGGTGGAGGTACTGAGGTGATCCTTTGATCCAGTATGTACGGTTCAAGAACATCCACAAATAAAGGTCCGTGGCCGTGCTCCTCATACCATGAGAAGACTTCCTCGAAAAGAAACTCCTGATCCTCCATGGCAAGACATGCTTTGATGCAGGCGTCTGCAAGCTCAGTCATTTGGGGCTTTTCGATCTGATCACTCCCAGCTTGTTGGTTCTTGCCGAAGGCGTACTTCAAGGAGGCGGTCATCATCTCGACGAGCTTTTCCCTGACGACACCTGCACGAACATTGTCTTCTTCAGGTAGACCAATGGTGACCTGTTCCCCTTCACCTTGGTAATACTTGGTAGCGAGCCGGATGGCGCCAATGAAATCGCCAACATTTATCATGGCCAAAAGTCGATCAGCCCAATTTGTCAGAACGCCAGTCCAAACGTCATTGAAGCCGAGCAAGAACAGCCTGCCCTTGTATGCCCGGAAGCTCATGTGAAACGCATCCGCAACCACACCGTGCATGGACATGTCCTCTTCATCAAGCTGTTCGATGATCGCTCGTAGCTGCTGTGAGTAGAGATCTGCATGATATATGTTCTTCTTCAAAAGGTCAAAGGCTTCAGTCACATGCATCGTGAGATCCTCGATGATGAGGAGCTGTTGCGTGATGGTCAGAACAGCCAGCACTGATTTATTGAGCCATTGGACAGCCACAATTGCCTCGTCAGCTTGATAACGACTTCGAGCCAGGAACTGTAGTTCGGGGGGTTTGTTCTTTTCAGTAGCGTCGTCTCCCTGGGTGCCATGAACTTCCAAGACCGTGAGGATGTTGGACCAGGCATAAACAAGCTTTGTCTTTGAGACTTCGGAATCCTGAGACTTGAGTTTGATCGCCGGAAACCAAGCCAGTGCCGCAGTCATTGCGCTGTGCGCTGCTACCTCTTTGGGACGGGCAGCTTTATGCTGGGTCTGTGCTACAGGCGTAGTCGAGACGATGACAAGCAAATATGGTGTCAACATGGCCACGAGTCCCAGGCTATCTGTCTTTTGCTCTATATTCCCCAAAGGCAACGGAGAGAATGCCAGGACAGAGCTTTTCTTCGATGGCTTGGATGATCGCGACACAACCTCGGGGTACCGCCCTAGAATTCGAGTGGTGCGGACCACGCGACCAACTGCTCCCATTCCGCGAGTTGCTAGGTGCGAGAATGCCATACCCTTGTCATCGGCCGAGACAAGCGCAGTATGCCTGTAGCCTAGGAACCCGATGTGAAGAACAGCGCTGTCTAATATGTGCCCGTCTCCCCGTCGAGCTTGAGGCTGAGAGGCCTCAATGGGCTGGATGTGTAGAAAGGGTCTGGAAGGTCTCGACAGGTCCCAGGTAAAGATGTGGCCAGTTTCGTGTCCGACGGCGATAGTAGTATGATCGGCAGATATTGCGAGGGCCGTGACCGCGCCACTCTCTGCTGCTTTCGTACCGCTACCGATGATTGCTTTGTGATTTTGATAATGGTCAAAGACCAGAACAACCCCTTTGGACGTCCCCAACACCAGCTGGTCTGCCACAGCCAGACATGTTGGGCTTCCGAAATTCCTTCTTCCGATCTCCGAAAATGCTTGCCCAGTAATCTTTCTAAACTTGCTCCACCTGATCACATCCCATGGATTTATGGTCTCGTCTGGCTCGGAAGGGGTGTGGAGACCCTGGCTCGCGGCAGAGGAGTGGCGGGAATGGGCACCAAGGAATGCAGGCGAGCTCGATCGTAGAGGTGAGAGTTGGGAACTTGAAAGGCGAGATTGAAACCGGATATCGAAGGGACGGTGGATGGTCGCGGGGCTCCCTCTGCGAGCGGGACTGCGGATTGAGGCTGCATCACTTCGAGGGGAGGAAAGCACCGAGTCTTGTACAGATGGGGTGTCATCGGGCGTTGAAACGGAATCGTCAATACTGAGGACATTGGTCGCTTCATTGGACGGTGGAATATTGTCTGCTCCATTTGTTCCCGGCATGTCTAGTCCTCCTTCTCCCTCGATTTGACGATGATCTCCATTTTCTACCTCGAGCACTGCATCAAGTGCGTCAATCTTGTTCTCCACGGGCTCGTGTGGTTCGGGCGCTATTATGTCTGGCACATCGTGGTCGTCCTGGGCTCCTGACTCTTGGCCAATCTCGCCCACATGTTCGCCATGGTCTTCACCGCGCAGGAAGCTCTCGCCCTCATCTAGGGTCGAGTTCATCGGGGTATCGTCGACACAATCATTGCTTCGTGTGCATCGTCACAGCCAAGTCGAGTCTCCTGCGACCTCCCCAAGTAGCGGAGCACCGAAGATGCAGCAGGCAGAAGCAAAATAATGGGTTTGGGCCAATGGCTCTGGAGTTCTCGGATCGCAGGTAATATCAGCAGGAAGGGAGGGTAAGTCAAGAAAACATCTATCGCAGAGCCTAAAACAGGACAACAAAGAGGAGAAGCTGGTGAACTGGAGTTCTGCAGACGAGACAAATGCTATACCTGTGGATGGGTTACGCAGCCACGATGTGATACGACGGTCGACGACACGGCAGACACGGCCAAACACGGGACCATGTGGATGGAGGATGGTCCAGGATGGTTCAGTTGGCGGGGAAATGCTCTCCCGTAAAGGGTACGGTGGACCACAGTGGCGGAAACGCTGGGCGCGCAGTTGGGCGCATCAACCGGTTAGCCATGCCTCGTCCCCTTCCAGGTCTGGTCCTCCCAATTAATATGTCCAAGTGCATGTACTTCGTGCCGGCCGATTTGCAGCTCCATCACAGGTCAGTGAGTCTGGCGGAGGACTCGTACAGCATATCCGGTTCCCGCCGACAAACAAGCGAAGGAGGGCGGTGGTCGAGATTGACTCGGGGAACAGGCCCTTGCGAACGAGGAATTTTCATCAAACTAGCGTCGCCGACTCCGCAAACTTCCTCGGCATCTTTTCTGTCTCTCTGTGGGTTTCCAGCCTCCATCCTCTCGCCTCTCGCCTCTCCAGCTGCGGCGAATTCGTATGTCAGCCCGCTACCGAGTCCATGACCCATTAGCCAGTACCTCTACCGCTGCAGCCCTCTACCATCATTTCCTTCCCCCTCGGCCGTAACCACACCATTTCTACGTCGCCTCATCTACCGTCAACAATCCTCTCTCTTCCACCTGATCCTCACGCAACCACCGCCCGGTGATTGATCTACGACACGCCAGAGAGAACAGAAATGACGAGATAACAAAAGAATGACGACAGTTTCGCCGCCCAAACCTTGGGAGCGTGCTGGATCAACCGGTAAATAGTTCTCCAGCTCAACAAGCCTCTGCGAAAACATCTATACTGACGATTGGACCTTCATAGCTCCCTCTGGCACAAGCACACCTATAACCTCCACAGCCATGACCGCGCCTTCACTCATCAACGCCTCCTCCACCTCCACCTCCACAGACTCCGCTGCCCCAGCTCTCCCCGACCGACCTTCGACACTAAACAACGTCGTCAATCAAAATGCTTCTAACTTCACAAATCAGAACCGCTTTGGCATGAATAGCAACCCTTACTCTTCGCCTTATTCCTCCTATTCGTCTCCCTACTCGAGGTTCGGCGGCGGCATGTATGGTGGAGGCATGTACGGAGGCGGTTATGGGTATGGCGGAATGTATAGCAGTGGCATGTATGGGGGATATGGAAACTACCCGGGCATGCCAGGAGATCCAAATAACCAGAGTCTGACCCAGACGTGGAACAACAGCACAGCGGCGACATTTCAAATTATGGAGAGTATTGTCGGCGCGTTTGGTGGGTTTGCGCAAATGCTGGAGAGCTCTTATATGACGACGCGTTCCTCGTTCTTCGGTAAGCCAACTTCCTAGCCAGAACAACATTGAGACTGACTTCTCTGGAAAGCAATGGTCTCCATGGCCGAGCAACTCGGGAATCTACGCCAGACCCTAGGCTCTGTTCTCGGAATCTTCACTCTAATGCGCTGGCTTCGGACCTTAGTCGCAAAACTCACGGGTCGTCCACCACCAGCCGATGCAACAGCCCTTACACCCGCAGCTTTTTCATCCTTTCTCAATGGCGGCAACAGCTCTACACCTGCAACATTGCCTGATGGCTCCGCTGCACCGGCCCGCCCCTCAAGAAAACCATTCATCATGTTCGCCATCGCAGTCTTCGGCCTGCCCTACCTAATGAGCAAGCTAATCCGCGCCATGGCCCGCTCGCAAGAGGAAGAAATGCGTCGCCACCAGGAAGCCGCGCTGACATACACTGTTGGTCAGAACGGAGAGCAAATCCCTATCGATCCCAAAAAACTCGACTTTTGCAGAGTCTTGTATGACTACACCCCCACGCCACAGTCCGGGGGCATGGATCTCGAGGCAAAGAAAGGCGACTTTGTTGCAGTGCTTTCCAAGACCGATCCAATGGGCAATGCCAGCGAATGGTGGAGGTGTCGTGCTCGAGACGGCAAGATGGGATACCTCCCATGTCCCTACCTCGAACCCATTCAAAGACCTATGCAAAAGATCACCCCACAAATCACGGAAGGGAACGTCGAACAGACTCAGATACCCATGCAGAAGACCACCCCACAAATCACAGAAGGAGACGAGATATATCAGTCGAAGCTTCTCCCCCAAACAGGTGAAATAGAGGAAGCGCGTTACAATCCGCTGTATGCGCCGGTGGCGAAGAAGAATCACGCCGCGGCGGAGCCAGTGCTCAAAGGACCAAAGATAGATAGCAAGCCCGGCGACATTACGGCGGAGAGTTTCCAGAAGAGCGCCTTTTATTCATGATGCAAACCGATCGAGGAGGGAACAAAAGCAGTGTAGGGGCGAAATTGAGTGTTTTGTCTTTGTCTTTTTCCTTCCGTCCTCCAACAACCAATACCCTTGAGGTTGCTCAGGAGCTCAGGAGTATTCATATAATGGGGGGGAAGAAACCGCCCTTTTCACGTTTATGCCTCTCTCTTTCTCTCTCTCCCCCCCCCCCCCCCCCCCCCCCCCTCTCTCGTGAGTATGCACCACGCATGCACGTCTGTATATATACACAAAGCGTAGGAAGAATCCCGGCACCGTTTCCCTCTTCCTTCCCTCTGCGCTTCAGTCGTCCATCTTCCGTCTCCCTTCGCTTTGTGGAAGGGGGATTCTGTCCTTTTGGTGCGAAAATCAAACTAAGCAGGTTGGTATCAATGATCGCGCCCTGCTTTGCGGTGAGCTAAAGGGGAGTGACGGGAACGGGAACCGAGAGAGAATGCTCAAAGGGAGACGGAAGGGATGTCTCCGATTCTATTTCTGTTCCTACACCCAGGTTTTTATGTTCTAAAGCATGTTTGATTCATACACGGTATAATGTTTCGGCGTTTCTCTACCCCCCCCCCCCCCCCACGAATCATTTTATTATATATTAACAGATGTCGGGGATCTAAAGTGTCTCTCGGAGCAGACTGCTCGAGTCGACTCTGGTGCCTCTCGTTATATCTGCATCTCTGTATGCTAGATACCCTCCGTTCATCTTTCACGAGATACGTTCGAAGTGGCTCCACTCTCTCCCCCTCCTCTCTGTCCTCTCGCAAAGGCATCATGAGATGTATGGGTTACTTAGTTCTTCACCTCGATGGAGGCTCGAGGCTGATTTCGAACCTCTGAATCTATATGAAGAAAAGAGCCAATTCTGGTATTTGCAGGAGGACACTATCAATAACTAGCTATCTAGCACCCAGTCAACCGGGCCATGGCCGCAGCTGGCTCACGGATGGCTCATGGGCAACCCATCACAAAATGGCGTTGGGCGAAAGTGGTTAACAACCCTTCGAAGCAAAAGCCGTTGAGGCAAAGCAAAACTTTTTTGTGGGGGGGGAGGGGGGGGGCCAAGTCACAGCGCGCGCGAACAGGATCGCGGCGGAAAATGTGGCCGTGAAGCTGACAATTTAGCAATCCACACAACAAGCCCATGAAATAAACACGCTCAAAGGCGCCGTCGGCCGCCAAAGCTCCTCGCAAGGCGAAGCCCGGTTGCGTTGCGTTGTGTTGTCCTGCAGTCTTCTCCTTTTCTGATCAAGGACGCCAGCATGGTACAGGTTTCATCAACCCAGAAATCACCATCTACACAAACATTCTGATGGAATGTGCAGCATAGACAGGTACAAAAGCTCCAGCGAATTCAGAGCCTGCCTCGGTGGTGCATGCCTCTCGCCTGTAAGTAAAGATAGGGCAGTGTTAGTGATGAAATTTAGGGATTCAGCATGAGCAGACGTGATAGATGGACATACCTCTTGCACGCTATCACCCTCGTCGTCACCCAGAAAAGCGCCCTCGTCACTTTCATCAGTATCCTCACTACTATCATCACTATCCTCTGTAGATTCCTCACCCCAGCTACCTCGTCGAGTTGACGAACGACTCGCACCATTGACGACAAGTGGGCCAGTTGGTGATGTCGAGCCACTGCTGTATCCTGATCTGTCCCTGTTAGCCCGAGACGGTCCACTCGCCGACTCTTTCAACGGCGCAGAGGCAAGTTGTCTGGACTTCGAGCTGGTGGCTTTAGAAGATAATGCCACGCTCTTCTTTTGCTTCGATGAGCTGCTTTCGTTCTTCGTCTCCTGCAACGGCATTCTCGATGAGCCTAAAGTCGAACTCTTAGTCGTCGTTGTCATCGAAGGCTCCTCTTTCTCTTGTTTGACGCTGATCTTGCGATTGGAAAGGTATCTACCGTCGAGGTCGTGGACAGCACTGAGGGCTTCGGATGAAGTTTTGTATCGTGCCCGAGCAGTACCCTTGTTCTTACCCGGATTGCGGCTGTCAGGGTGGATCTCAAGGTAGATAACGTGGCCGTAACGTTTGAGGAGACTGCGCAGCTCACTCTCAGATTGATAATAGGGTAAGCCGGAGATGAAGATCTTGCTGCCGTCATTAACACGACCGACAGGGAGAGCTGTAGTAGGCGAAGATGGATGCTGTACAGAGTCGCTAGTGAAGCGAGTGCTGTACTGGGTTGTAGGGGGGATGGTGCTTGCGAGAGTCGATGGGGCCAGGTACGAATGTCGAGGGACACACACCCCAGATGGGTATGATGGAGTAGTTAGAGCTCTGGTGGGATCGAGAGTAGGCACCCCTGGCTGAGCAGGCCAAGAGGCCATCGTTGCAAACTGTGAGTTGTAGCTCATGGATGGTGTTGGATGGGCGGAGGAAGCGTAAAGAGGGTCTCTTCAGATACGTTAGCGATGGACAGCATTATTCACCAAGAAAACATACGCTGAAGATCGTGTTGTCACAGCAGGGCCTAGTAGTGTTGGGTGAGAAAGCCCGGCTGGTCTTTCAGAGGCGACGACCCCATTACTTTCCTTTGGTCCTTCGACTCTTCTCAGAGTCCCGTCCTTCTCCAGGGCGACCAATTTGACACGGACACGATAGCCGTTCCAGCCCTGAGTGCAGAGGTTCTCTGTGTCTCGTGAGCGTGTGGATGAACCTGTTGGGGCCGAACATACCATAGACCTTGATGGCATCAGACCTACCCTTGATGGTGCAATGCCCCATCTGTGTTCCGTTTCCAACGTCGAAGACTTCAGCTTTCAGGCTCTGTTCACCTCCCAGACTTCTGGTCATGTCCTTGAGCTCTTGCCATCGGCAGTGGCGGGGAATCTGAGAAATCGGGATCAGCTTCAGATATGACATCGTTTGAACCACCTCAACTTACATCCTGGACAAGAATGATATAATGTTGCTCGTCTTTGCTCGAATGACGAGATCGATGACGTTCTTGTTTTTGAGGCATTTCCCGGAGACTTCACAAAGACTGGCAGCGTCAATGCTTCAAAGCCAAGTCTGAGCGTCTGTCAAAGTTGTCGGCTGTTCTTTTTGGTTCTTCCACCATATGGCTGCAGATTGGCCAATGGACTTGACACTCTTGTTGACAGACGCCTTCACCGCAATTATGAGGGAACAGGAGGTGAAAGTCGGCTCTTATAGATTTCAACTGATGCATATGGATCAGGTCGCGAGTGGAATCTTTGACCACTTCCCCTTAAAAGATGGAAGAGGGTCGCTTGCTTGAGACCACCAAGGAGGAACAGGCTGTCCAGCAGCGGCAAGGTGGACCTAGAGCGGACAGGGGTCAAGGGATGGAACCATTGATCTTCTTTCCGACCAAGTGGCTAGGGCGCGAAATACGAGCCTTGCTTTCCGGAGGAGGGGTAAAACCAGTAGGAGGAAAGACTTCTGGAATCCCTGGGTCGGAATTTCTGATATGACAAAGATATCTTTCGTTGGAGGAGAAAGTCATCTTTTGAGCGAGATCGAGAACTGATTTATAGACTTGACCTACCCAACCCTTTCGATGATGGTACACAGTGGCTTGAATCCTCAATGCAGTACATCTCTCGTCTATTGGGGGATGTCTTCGCAACCAGCATCTGATTCAGATCCGCCATAGTGGAGAAGATGGCATTGAATCTCTGAGCTGAAGCCAATAAAACGATCCACAGGAATAGGCCGGAATAAAGCTCGCAGGTGACCCCCATCGTGGAAAATATGATATCAGATATCGCCTCTGGCTTGCATGTTGAGCAATGAGGGCTTTCACTCTGGGAGCAATCAACCACAAGGCAGTTATGCCAGTTGAGCAAGCCTCCCTTATAGTGAGTGGCGCACTATATCGGACATGTGGTTCGGGAATATCCTTGTTTAACGCTCGACCCAAATGTAGTACCTGCAAGCCTCTTGGAGATGGAATAACGTCGACCAATCGAAGTCGATCCGGCACTGTAGGGTCAGTAAACCGAGAAAGTCTGATCAGAGCCAAATGTCTCGCGGAGAAAGTCTTGACAGGCATGTGGACGGACCATTGAGATCTGTTGACAACAATAGTGCTATCGGGAAGGGGGGGGAGGGGGTGGTTATGTGCAAGTAGGCCAGCTGGAGCAACCCCTGGGCAGGACCTGACGTAAACGAAGAAAAAAAGACTTGCTGCAAGTCAAGACAAGATTCTTTGGTTCGACTGGACCCGAGAGCTCTCAAGAGCTTATAGATTCATTCGGCCCCGGCTAGTAGGGGGGCGGATCGAGCATGGAGCTGGAGAAACGCTGGCGCCAAGGGGACGATGGCCGTGTTCCCAATCTCTTGATACGTTCATGAGGGATCCGAGTTTTAACCCCTGCTGGGATGATCGTGTACGCCAACCTCGGGTCAGACAATGCCATCGATCTCAAGAGGACGTCCTCGTCCAGTGTCCAGCCAGTTCACCTCATCATCGTTGAGCAACCTCTTGGGAGAGTGCACTAGAAGAAAAGAATGCTCCGGAAAGCTTCTGGAGGGGAGGACGGTGTAATGCCACATGCCTTGGTCGCGATCGAGCTAGTACAGCTCTTGGGATCCCAAAGTTTCTCGCGTAGCAGCACATTGGTGGCTTGCCAGGGTCAGCTGGGCTGGGAGGCCAGAGATCTCGGTCTTCGATTTCCCGTGCCATATGCAAGATGCCTGATGGGGATTAAATTCGACCCTGCAAGGACAATGCTGCCGCAAGGCCGCAGTCGCTAGGTGGCAGGCCGGGGAAACGGAAGACACCATGGCTGTAACTGGGACACCATCATCGCACGTTTGGTGAATTGCAGTGAGCGTTCTGATACGCCGAGGTCGCTGGTTGACACGAGATGCGGTGTCGCCCATTACGAGTATTCTCCCTGTTGCCCACGAGCAAAACAAGCCCCAGCTCAGCGGTCTTTCCTTGTCCTGACTCTTGACATCTGAGGGCCGGAGCCTCATTTTACACCTGGTGGCACAGCAGGCCGTAGGATCCGGGGACGCTGGGAATACGCTGTGGTGGTGGTCCGATGGTGAAGGTCCCAACTTGGTGCAAGAATGTGCGACCTTGATCCGATCCGGACAACCCCGATTTTTGGAAGCTATCTCATCGAGATCTCGACTGGTGACAAAGGATGGCCCTCAATTTCATTGGGGGGCCGCGCTAGCGGTTTGTGCTGCTTCGCGCGTACGCGGTCGTGAAACGAACAGAAGGAGGTGGGATCATGCCTGCTCAGGCTTGCTCAGGCTTGCTCAGGCTTGCTCAGGCTTGCTCAGGCTTGCTCCTCAACTGGAGAAGCCAAGTAGCGATCATGTCGGTCACCGATCGGCCGTCGCTGGGACGAGCTGCTCATTCGTCCATATGATGTTGCTGTCACTTTTTCAAGAATGGATCCTCGATGGGTTGACCAGTAGCTTGCCAAACTGACATGCTCCCGCTCCAGCGATACCCCAGCAGGTTTGCTTCCGGATTTCAGCCATGGTGCGTGACGCAAACAAATTGTTTGTAGATTGGAAAGGTGGCAGGGGCCACCAAAAAGAATTGCGGCGTCTTGAACTATTATCCTCATGTGACTATGGCCATGCTTGCCCGATTGTGCAGGGGAACCAAAAAAAGATGTTTGCCGCTGCTGTCAGATGCCTCTAGCAGGTCTTTTCCTTGATACATTGTATGCAAAATACAACACATGCTTCCAACGCTCAGTTATGCCAGATATACCTGCTCAGACATCGTTGCGCCCTCGCGTTCAAAGAATGTGGCAAAGATAATAACATGCCCTTGTACGCTCTTAATCTTGTCAAACTCCCAGATCGGAATAAAGTGGCAGCAGTCCCAGTCCGTCCTCCAAACCAGTACCCTTTAAAAACAGCCCGTTGGGGCCTGTTGTCTGGAAAAGCCAGCTCATCTCGCAGCTTTTGATCCATTCTGACGGTCCACCTTGTTGCACCATTGTGGGATCATCTTGAACACGGTCTCCCACAACAAGTCCCGATTATCCATCTGCTTGAGTTATGGCCAATGGGGCGGCACCTGCATTTCCTCCGTGTGCCGTATTCGTTGTCGTACGAGATATCCTTTGTTCCCGGACGTCTCCATCTCTCCATCCTTACTCGCTAATTGCATGTCTCCATCGTGTTCAATCTTTCGTTTCGAAGGTTCCAGGGTGCAAGTTAGGAGGAATTGCAATCGGAGGAGGGGGCGGAAAAAGGAAGAAGGCGGGGGGGGGGGGGGGGCCTCTGAAAAGGATGGGCCCAACAGAACTGAATCAATCAATTCATTTGACAAAGCCAACCACGTTGGCACATCTTTGGCAGTAGTAGGAATTCATGCCGAATCTGACCGCGCCACTGCTTTGGGCAGGAAGCGAAGTATCTATGCTCAGGGATCGTTGACAGCGAGAGCAGCGAACAATGTCTAGGGAGGTCTTGGGGGAAGCGGAAGCGCTCGATGACACGGTGCTGATGCTATCGTCGCTCTTATTGGCCTTGGGAGTGATTTTGGTGGGTTTGGAGCCATTGGCAGCCAGTGTCTGTAGCTGCAAGATTGAAGGCGTCGTTGATGGAGCCATTGTGAAAGCTGGGAGAAGTTGTTCAAGGGTGGTGTGGGATGGTACTGAAGAGAGGCCTCAGCAAGGTCGGGCTCTTCTCAGAAGGCAATGGTGTAGAAGGGAAAATGGGAAAGACGGGGGGAGGGGCGGGCGAGGTAGCAGGAAGACCGTTGGAGCGTAGATAATAAGTTCGTGTGCGGAAAGGGTAGAGTACTCGGGGATTGCAACGGGTTGTTCTGTGATATGGATATTGACCGTGGTCATGGGAGAACTTAGATCGAAGACGATGGAGAATCAAGAAGTGGGTGAAGCGATGAAACGCGACCAGGGGGCGGATGGGAACTGGTGTAGCTAGTGCTGGCGGAAACTGGATAATGACGGGAAGAAGGGCAAATGAGGGCTGAATCCGGCGGTCGAGGAGGAGCGCGAGAGCATGAAATCTTCGATGGCATGGGAAACAAACATGGCATTCTTCCAACCGACGCAATGTGAGATGTCGATGACCAGCAGCAGCTCGATCGCAAGCCTCCAAATCTACTTTTTTTACGCGTGGCGGCACAGCGAACTGCATTCAAAGGCTCATCAGGCCAAGGAAGTGGCTTTTCCCAGCTTGGGTTGGCTGGCAAGTGGCTAAGGCTGGTTTGCCCGGGATCTGCCCCCAATCACACCCAAGAAGCTCTGACCGTGGGGCAGTTGGCCGGGTCATGTTCCGGGCACCACAGGCTGTGGTGGCTGTATTATTGGCGCGCGCCACACCTAAGATCATAGAGGCCCCCCCCCCCCGCTCAGAGGGGTTTCGTCACGTCCCATCATTTCCCCTCATGGGTGCCTCTGATGTCTGCTCTGGTGCCTCGTCCGATCACTATCAGCCGAGGCGTTTACACCGACGACTTATGTACTTACCCAGTTACTCGATACCTGTCCATGTTACAGAGATCGATCTGGTCTTGGATACATGTACCAACTTCGCCAAATGGCACAGCAATCACCTCGGCCATTTCTAACCCCCCCTTGCCCCTCCGCCCTTCCCTTTTTTTTTTTTTTTTTTTTTTTCCAAGCCGCGTGCCATATCAGCGCGCTTTTTACTCAAGGGCGAGAGCACAAGGAAAGCCCGGAACAACGATCCACAATGGTAAACCGCATTGATGGTCCGTCCACAGAACACCTGACGAGGCATTAAGGCGCGGTCAAAATCTATATCACTCACCGTCACCCTTGGGGAGATTACACAACAAAGTCTTTGCGCATCACAACTGTGAAGATATCTGAGCCGAGAGAGGAACAAACCCAAACTACCAGTGTGCACCATTGCTAAAGGATCACCGCATCAATTGATGCTTCTCCACCGGATTTCATCTTCCGCCCTCAATGGAGATTTGTTCCCGGCCTTGGGACTGGGGAACGATAGGATCGAGCTCCCGGGAGGCCAGTACCGAGTACCCAGAACATGGTAGGTGTCAACCCAAATCTCATAGGCCATATAATATCTCATGGGACGGAAGGGTACCCAGACGTAAGTATCCTGTACTTGTTGGAGGTGTAGGTAAGGCGTCTTTAGTCCGCCACTGCTCCTTCTTCTGAGCAAGCACCTCTCTCAGGAGCCATTTCGCGCACTTGTAGGCCATCCAGGGCGAGGAAGGCCACCACAAGCCCGATCCGCATCAGCTGCTTAGTCACCCGAGTCGTGCAAAGTCAGCAATCCGGAGCTTATCGAGAGCGCCGATTGCATTCAAATGGTAAAGATGAGTCTGACCAGGCGCAACATCAGGGCGTCCTTGGGTGTCCGCCGTGGCCGCACCAATAAAATACTCAGTACTCTGCCAGCAGCCTGTCAGACCGTGTATCTATGACGTCAGACGTGCTCTGGCTCCCGGTCGCAGCAAGCACCTTCGCAGCACCTTCGCAGCACCTTATCCGGCCCACGTTTTTTTGATCGACGACTGCGAAACCTTCCCACCTGCGACAAGGAGACACTTTTTCCATTCTGCGAAACTGAAGATACACCTCGCTGCCCTCAACTACCCTTCCTTCTCATCCTACCTCAACTCTGTTCTGCTTTCACTCCCTTTGTTCTGTACGCTCCTTCTTCCAGCCTCGAACTCATTAGCCGGCTCGACTCCTTCGAAGCACATCGCCAAATTTCCGGCCCGAAGATACGCCCCACCTGTTCAGATTCCCCAATACCACGACTCGATTCTGTATCGCAAGCGCACACCCTCAGGTGATCTTTTCATTCAGCCACTCCTCAACATTCATCCGCAAGAAGACCGTTGCGCGGAAGACGAATTGTTTCCCACGGCCGAGGGTAAAGTCAGCCGTCACGACTTGCAGGAGTTAGCCCCGCCAGCGCCCAAAAAAAAAATAATAATAAAGATGGGCAAGCAACCCAACCTCTTTAGCTACCCCACCGTCGACGAGGTCGCTGTGCACCTGCGTACCTTTATCCTCTCCTGTCAAAGGTCGGCCTTCCACAGGCATGATTGCTTCAAAGTCGCCGTTTCAGGCGGCAGTCTTCCCGCGACCCTCGCAAAGGCGCTCCTCGGGCCAGGCCACCACGAAGACCCCGCATTCGCGCCCCAATTCTCGAAATGGCAGATTTTCTTCGCGGACGAGCGAGCCGTGCCCTTCGACCACGAGGACAGCAACTATGGCCTGTTGAAGAAGGATCTTCTCGACAAGATTCCGCAAGAGCAAGGGACTCCCACGGTCCATCCTATTGATGTGACGCAGCTCGACAACACCCAAGAGCTGGCAGACCGATACCAAGAAGTTCTCATGTCAATATTTGCCAGCAAGGACTCGGTGAAATTGCCCATCTTCGACCTGATCCTCTTGGGTTGTGGGCCGGATGGCCATACCTGCAGTCTATTCCCGGGCCACGAACTCTTGCGGGAATCGGATGCATGGGTTGCCGCGATCGAAGACAGCCCGAAACCCCCGCTCAGAAGAATCACGTTGACTTTACCTGTGGTCACGCATGCTCACAGGATCGTATTCGTGGTGACGGGAGCTGGAAAGCGAGATATTTTGAAGAAGATTCTGGAAGCGGATGACGAAGGCAGGATTTTACCTTGTGGACTTGTCAATGAGGGCGGCGGGGAAAAGGTGAGCTGGTTCACGGATGATGCAGCGGTTCAAGGGGTGGCATTTCCTCGGAGGGGCAGCTTGTGAAGAGGTGACCCTGATGGAGCATTGGGAGGAGTGTCACAGAGAGATTATAGAGGCGTCCAGAGTTTAGGAGGCGAGGCGCAGGGGCAGGTGTTACAAACTGTGTTGGCGAGGAGAGGTCATAGTCCTTCCGGGATGGATGGCTTTTGAGCAGTCATCGATATTCCCAAAGCGCCCAACCCCTCGAATCTGGTCACAAGTTCCGGTTCTGAGGGGGATGTCACGGCCAGTGTCACGATGTCTTTCACATATATTCGATTCTACCACATACTATATACATTTGGCGCGTGCGTCCTATGCACCGCCATTGAGCCTCAATACTTTAGATAGAGATGACAAATGACCATCTTCCGAACCAGCTCTAAAAGACGGAAGGCGACAGGTAAGTAGGGCGTCCGAAGGCATGATATTGCCATGCATACCTATGTAGTTGTCTTCGATATGCGAGCCAACATGGGGCTCAAGTCCCGATTGATAACACAGGCAGCCCCGTTGGGGGCCCTAGCCCGCCCCCCAGCTTCCGACAGGCACTACTTGATAGGTACGGTACCTCGTAGTTAAAGCCTAGGTGCTGGGGTATCATTAGGGCACAGGCACCCGTGCAATCCACGGGCTGCCCCCCTCACAAACGCCGACGGTGACATATTTTGGTCCCCTTGCCCCTCTAATTTCACCACGTTCCCATTCACTCGGGCCAGTTGATCGGACCTAGTCCCCCCATTTCGTCCCCCCACTAGCCGCAATAATATGGGTTTCCCCCTCCCTTCTGAGACGGGATTTGGACAGTCCGCATATTCTGACGAAGCATTTCCCTGATGGAGCTCGGCGGATTCGCAAGAATCTTTGTCCCTGGTACTCGGGCCGTAGATGTTGCTCCATAATATCCCATGTCTTGTCTGCTTTCAGAACGGGTTGCTCAGTAATCACACCGGCTGGCCTTCCTCATTGTGATGATTGCACTCGGGACTCCATTGCACTCGCACGTAAGTATGTACATAGCATGCGAGGAGGTAGTAAGAACGCGGAGAGCGGGAAATGAGAACAGGGCATCCTCCCAAGACGCAGAGGAGGGTCAATCTTGCATTAGAGCCGAGGCTTCGCAACACTCACCTCTGTACTGGATATTGGGTACACGAGGTAGGCTTACTTGCTTGCTTGCTTACTTGGCTATCTTGCTGGATTTGCATGCATAACAGTCCTGTGCGTGGTTGGAGTGTTTAGTTATTCTTTTGATTCCTTTTCGAATATGACGAATCTTCTCTCTCCCTCTCTCGCACACACACACACAAACATACAGATCAGATAGATATATATGTCGGATCTTCTCTGAAGACTACATCACGAGTACATCCCCATCTATCTGTCGCCCGGTACGTCACAACCAACGAAGGAATAATAACAACAACAACAACAACCAATAATGTCTTCCATCACATCCCACAAATTCACCTCCCCGGCCTCCGCAAAATCATACACCTACCTCACCGCAGGCCCCGCCAACGGGCCCCTCGTCGTCTTCCTCCACGGCTGGCCCGGCATCGCCTTGACATGGAAGCCCCAGCTCCTCTCACTCTCGAGCCTGGGCTTCTACTGTGTGGCCCCTGACATGCCGGGCTACGGCGGCACCTGGACGAGCGACGACCCGAGCGACTTTGCGCTAGAGAAGCTCGTGCCCGATTTCTTGGAGCTGCTGAAGCACTTGGGCAGGAAGGATGCCGTCTGGGTCGGCCACGACTGGGGCTGTGGCCCCTTGTATGCCATCGCGAGCCACCACCCGGAGGTCTGCCGCGCCATTGTCGGCATCTCGGTGCCCTACCGCACTCTCGAGCTGGGTCTGCCGGCGTTGCTTGAACTGGTCGACCGAGACCTCTACCCGGAGAGCGAGTTCCCCTACGGGCAGTGGGACTACCAGGTCTTCTACGAGCAACACCCCCAGGCCGTCGACAGGCAGTTCGAATCAAACCTGCCCGCATATCTGAAATTGGTGTTTTCGAGAGGCTCCCCGCAAACCGGCAAGGGACCCGCTCGCACCTCTCAGGTCACCAAGCACAAGGGCTGGTTTGGGGGCCCCGGTGCAACCGTCCCTGACCTCCCTCTCGAAAGGACGGTTCTGGATCATGAGATATACGGCGAACTCATTGCGAGTGCAACAAAGAACGGCTGGAAAGGTGCCACAGCCTGGTATCTGAACCATGCCGCGAATCGGAAATACACGCTCGAGAAGAGCGTGAATAACGGCGTGCTAAAGATGCCCGTCCTCTTTGTCCACACCGAGTATGATGCCGTCTGTCAGACGGTGGACAACCCAAAATGCCCTAAGGAAATGAGAGAGACGTGCGAGGATTTGACCGAGTTTGTCATCAAAGCTGGCCATTGGGGGAATTTGGAGTGTCCTGAAGAAGTAAATTCGGGCATCGCCAGTTGGGTCATGAAAAAGGTCCGAGATTGGTGGCCCGGTCCAGAGTTGAAAAGTCGGTTGTAGGTGCATTTACTCATTCTGATGGCACTGAGTTTTGTGCGAAGACAATTGATTCTGGAAGTATATGTTTCGGAGTCGGCTCCGTTCTCATGAGATATCCTGGCTTAGGCCGCGCCTCTTCTAAATGGAGCTCAAGTGTCCATCATGCTTGGTGAACCGGAAAAGCTTGAATAACGACTCAGTACTCTCTCTATAGGTCTCGAAGACACGCATATCTCGTACCTCAGGCGGTAGAGTCCAGAGCATGGCGCCTTGGCACCTTGTTTGCATTTCCTGTGAAATTGCCGCAAAACGACTCTTTAGGGCACCTGAGGCAGTGTGCAGCTGTAGTTACAAAGGCGTTTGAGGAGTATTCCAGCACTGAAGCTGGCAGTTTTGTGAACCTAGATGGTCATCTTGGAAGCTTTGAATGTTGTCTGCATGTCGGCTGAACGGTTGGGAGATTCATCGACAGTTGTAAATACCGCTCTGTATGTGCGCGTACAGCGAAACTTGGCAAACCAAAGCCCGTTGCATCGGCTAGAGGGATACGGCCACGAAGTGCCTTGAAATGTCTTGCCGCTCCACAAAACTCATCTCTTCAATCTTTTTGGAGCGTACGAAGATGGAGAAGTGTCGATGTTTTGAGCTTCAGTGCCCTCGGCAAGCTTGGACCAAATACTGGCCTGAAGCAGCTCATTTGCATTGGGGCGATGCGCACCTTGCCACGAAAGCATCTTCTCAAGCACGTCAGCAATAGATGCTGGGTGGGATTTCAAGGTTTGTATGATGACTTTATGAGCGGCACTGCTAACACCTTTCTCCCATCTGCAAGGCTCCTGGAAGAAAAGCTGATACCCTGAAAGTCCCATGGCCCAGACGTCAACACGGCAATCATAAGGGTCCCGGCCCAGACTCTCGTTCTGATACTTGAGTTTGAGAATTTCGGGTGCAAGATATGCAATAGTTCCGCAGTAATGATCTGTCGAGGTGGCGTCGAAAGTCGCACTCCCGTAATCAATAATAATTGCATGTACGGGTGAGTACGACACTATCATCATATTCGTGGGCTTCAAGTCTCGGTGCATGATTCCGTGGTGATGAAGATGGGCGAGGCCTTTCAAGACCTGGTGGAAGGCAGACATACGGACGTCACATGACTTTTTTGAGAGGGTCAATTCAAGAAATGTCTGTCTGGCCAGTGGAGAGTGCACCAAGTAGACATCATTAATCTTGGACTTTCCCGTGCTGTATTCATCACCTCCAGAATATAGATCAGCCATCAAGTGGCAGAGATTTGGCTTCCCACGTAAGCATTTGCATCACGCATAGATTATCGATCAGACTCACATGGTTACCTATTTTCTTGTAAATTTGGATTTCAAGTTGGATTCGGGCAACTGTCGCTGGCGTACGTTTGACGCGTTTTATCGCCACCGCCTGGCCGGATGACTTTTCAAAGCCGGCAGACACCACACCGCTGGCGCCAGATGCGAACGGGGAGTGTATCAGAAACCCGTGCAATTCATGGTGGTGTTCAAGGGGCGTCAATTCGAGAGACATTGGGGGGACGTCGCCATCAGGATGGAGCTTCGTGAATAGCTCTCCTAGCTTTTGGCGATAGTTGTTTTCATTCAGTCCCGTAAATTCCAAATTGTAGGATAGATTGCCGAACGACAGGGCGGTACGCACTGACCCGAGAACTCGCTGTGAGCCCTCCAGTCTCTCAATGCCATTAACAAGAACAACCTTGCCTTTGCCAACGACGAGCATCAAGGCGCCATTCTGTGCATGATGGACCAGCCGAGCATGTCGGCCGTGGACATGATGTCTATTTTTCTGGAGGGTCAATAGGAAATCAACGCCACCATTGACGAGATCCTTTCTGCCACTGCCAATAACCCAGCCTAGTCTAGTGTGATTGGTCAGAATCTCCAAACTGAGTCTGTAGTAGCCCATCAACACTTGAGCCGGGTACCCGCCTGTTGTGTCGCTAGAAACATCGCTACCATCCCATTCAGGAGAAAGCTGGCGGGCGGATTCCTCGATGAAGAGGAACTTCCGAATGTGAGGATTCCAATCTGGGTCAAGCCTCGTACGTTCGGCGATCGAATGGAACGCAAGAACTGCAGCGTGATTGACGGGGACCAGACGAGCGAAGTCGCCTTGCAGCCTTGCACGGGTCCTGGGGCTGAAGAAGTGGTCATCCAGGGGCACTGTATCTGGCGTGTTGGGTAGAGTCTCGGAATCTTCTTTGCCCGCCTCAGCCATTGTGCATGTGGCTTGCCCGAGAGAGCGAAGAATTCCGTCTTGCTTTTGGGGGACGCCCGTTGTTTATATAGAAACACGGTCGCAAAAGGCGTCAGGTGCAAATAGGCAGACGCACCGAGAAGGGTACCGCCCTGGTCATCTCTTCAATATCATTTCACAGCGTGATAAACAGCTGCATCGTGGTTCTGCAACAACACTCCATCAGACTTGTGCCAGAAATAGGACTCGATCAGCAATCCTCAAATGGCTTGTATGCTCAATAGTTGTGCTCGTCTACAATGGACAAACGAGTGGCATTTGCGCTCGGCCATAACCGGAATTTCCCGTCGTTGCCGGCTTGGCACCCGGTGCACGTGCTGCGCGGTGGCTGGGCCCGCACGACAACGACATTTGCCCATCACTCACCACGTCGACAACCTCAACTTCCACCAAACCTCTTCCTATGCACCTGATGCCATGACGAGTTCGTCCTGATGTTGCATGACAGTGCCTGGCGGGAAGAAAGGACGCGATCTCCGTCCGTCATCCCAGACGATGGCATCCGCGGCTTCCTCGAAGAGAAGACAGCACACCTCTTTGCCACCCAGCTGCAGTCACGATTAGACTCTCTCGAACAAACCAGAGAAGCACCGAGATTCCTCAGACGCAATTCCTACAACCTGTATCTTGAAGGACACTTCGCCCTCCTCGACCCACGCGACCTCGAGCGTACCACCCTCAGCCCCACGCCTCCGTCCAGTGACGAGGACTGGACAACCTCAGAGCATACCCCTGAACCGAATCCCAAAACAAACCAGTACAAAGCATATCTCGTTGAAAATTTATTCTCGAGGTCCAAAACTCTTCAAGGCCGAGTTGAACGGAAATCAATGCGACGGCGAAGTAAAAAGAGCAGCAAGACAACCAACCAAAATCACCGCATGTTACGCCGCTCCAGAGATAAGCCCAATTCACTCTTTTACGAGCTCGACTGGGTAGGCAGGAACGCAGTGGCCGTGTGCCAATTGGCGCAGGACAATTCCGAAATGGCCACCAAGAAAGGCTGAATGCCAGACATCGGCATCCAGGGTTCCATACTAGTAACCTACAACCTCAGGCACACGAGTCTCAAGGATCCATATTCCACCCAAGGAATGTGCTTTTCAGGAGAGAAATGCATCCCTGACGGGACTTTCTCAAAAGCATGCCGATGCAACGAGCTCGCTTCCCCCCCACCGCTAGCCTTATTCGCCCGCTTACTTAAGGCACAGCGCCCGAGGGACTCACACCGGAATGAATCTTTTCATCCTCGAAACTTTTGAATTTCGAGAGCGGTGGAGACTGATTCATGGCCTCTTTCAGAATGACCTTGCCGACATCACGCAGTCGGCCGACAATGCCATCAGTAGCTCAACACTAGATGGCGGTAGACATGTCAAGATATCTCTGATGGTTGGACATTGTAAAGAGTTGGCGCGACAACTTCGCACCTCTCTGGTCAGGGTTTTGGAGGAAGGTTGGAAATTCTTCTATGTATTCCGTATACTATTCACCTTTCATGGGAGTGTTGTCAATTTGCAGCCAACTCTCCCTGTTGACCTTTGCAGAATACATCATGTCTGGTCAAGGTTTTATACACTTTTTCGCACAAGTCTTTCGATTCCTTGTTTATCCGATGAATTGAATCAATCTGCCCTTCGCGCATCCCCATACTAGCACATCTCCACCTTTATTTTTATCATTCACAAACTGCAAAGCTTCAGCTCCAAATCCCTCTCCCAAAATTATTTTTTTTCATTTCCGACCCTCAACAGAACCAGAACTAGAACAGTGGTACTCAATGCAGTCAGGATGGCCACCAGAATCAAATGCCCTAGAGTAAAGAACTTGTTTGGTCGTCGCGACCGACCATTCGTTGGCGCATATGGCCCGACCATTTTCTTGATGGGTTTCACGTCGTCGGTCATGGCGGTCCTAACACCACGCTGCAAGCCAGGCAAGCCGTCCATGCTCCATGCGTTCTTATATGCCCAATATCTAGGAGCAGCAGGGTCAGCCAGCGCCACCGTGTCATGCCAATAGGAACAAGACAAGACACAATGGAGACGAGGGTGAGATCAAAAATACAGCGGGCAGGGAGAAGGAGGAGAGGGGAAGAAAAAGAAAAGAAAAAAAAAAAAAAACCTTTCAATTCCATCCTCCCTCTTCCCAGCCTTCTCGCTCGCGACGCGCTTCTCAAAGAAATCGTTCAAGGTGGGTCTGAAGCTGACAAAGTCGTAGCACGGCATGGAGAAACCGCACGACGTGCCCACCTGGTGAATATCCACCAGGATGATCGAGCGGGTGCCCGGGATTATGGTGATGTTCTGGGATGCGACGATGTCGTTGAATGCCGGTGTCCCGTACTCAAGAGGCGTACCTGCGGCCAAAAAAAAATGGGCAATGACTTAGCTGGGTCACTCTTTGCTACCAGAGAGGAATCTTTCATCTGGAAAGAGGCTTCGTGAGAGTCGAAGGGGAAGGGATACGTCAGGCGCCCAGGGCCTACCCTCCATCTCTTGAATGCTCTCTCATGCTCTCAATGGCTTGCGTGCTGTGCTGTGCTAGCTCGAATCGAACAACCGCGAACTCACTCACCTTTGCCGAAGATCCTCAAAATCCTGGGCGGGCCCGAAAACGCGTTGAACATGACCGTGATCCTCCCATTGCCGGGCTCGTGCAGGTGCGAAGTCGTCTCGATGCCCGAGCCCGTCAGGTCCATGTACCAGAACTTGCGGATGACGACGTTCTTTCCATTCTTCTTCTCCTCGTCCTCGACCTCATCAATGCCCATGGGAGAGCCGCTCTTGGGCTCCTTGATGACGCCAAAGAAAGGCCCGCCCTTGTCCGAGACGCCCTTGGGAGAGACATTGACGTGCCCTTCGCCCGACAAGGGGGCCGAGGCGATATAGAAGACTTTTTGCTCCAATAGCCATTGGACGAGCGAGGGCGGGAATGTTTCGTAAAATTGGCCCATTTTCGGTTTGTTTGTTTTTTTTCTCTCACTCTTTTGTATCGATTCTCTCGATGGACGAGGATTGTGTCTTTCTGTGTTCTGCCTGAGCGTAATTTGGAGAGGTGTATGGGAATAGTGATATAGAGAATGGGATTCAGAACGAGGTCTCCAATCAGTTTGATGTGACGAAGATAGACCTGTGTCTCCTATGTCTAGATCAGACCCCTCGTCAATCTAGACCGCTAGTGCAAGACACGGACGTATTATACGGGGAGACGTATTCGCACGCTTTGACTTTTTGAATACGAATGACCTTAGGTACTATTTGACATCTGATGTGAGCCAACCCCCACTCCTTCGGATCATAGCAAATCCAGATTCTGGGGTACAGCCCGATATCGGCATAGCAAATCTGGCAAGGCCGGCCATAGGGGCGAGGCTGAATTACCTCTACCCAATCTTACCATTTCAATATCAGGTCGAAGGGATGCAGTGCTCGTTGACTGTGCGTTCATGTACTCTGATCTAGCTGTTAATTGGCTGAGAAAAAACACCCGAGAGCGCTGATACCTCACTAAATTCACCCATACCAAATATGCCATACACGGTTTCCCGATATCGAGCTCGTCAGCGTTCTGATGCCTTGGTTTTGCATAAACCGTACCGACGTTGAATGCAATGAGTCTAATGTAATGCTATTAGACCTTTGCTCGTTTTGCGGCCTCGGCGTCCATGGCGGCTTCATCCTCCCGTTTCCGCTTGCAAAACTCTTCAAAACTATTTCCTTCCTTGATCCACACGTCTTTAACTTCCCAGGTGCGCCGATCCCATTCCGCAGCCTTGACAGACCATTCCTTCAAGGCCCTTTCGTTTTCTTCGCGATTCTTGTTGGTGCGGTCCGTGTATGGCTTCTTCTCTTCCTCGGAGAGTGCGGACCACATCTTCCCAAGCTCAACTCGTACTTGATCGCGCTCGGATTGTTTCGTTTTCCTGCCACTCTTCTTTCGTTCTTCTGCAAGGCGGGCCTTAACTTCTTCCCAGTGTTCTCCAGAGTAGAGGAGGAAAGAGTTTACATTGGCCTTTTGTGGTTTGACTGGTGGAGGTCCTAGATCGTCATAAATCCGGACCCACATCGCTGCGTCCCATGCTTCATGCAGAGCATTATCTTTCTCTTTTACAGGCCTCGTAAAAGTGCCTGCGGGGAGCAGTTCGTCACCTTTCCTTTTGCCAGTTTGTGCCATGTGAGTTTCCATGAGTTTCAATTCAACCGGAGCGGATGACTTCTTTGCGCTGGCGGCGGGCACGAGCGACGGTGGGATCGCGATTGGCCCCACGATGGATTCGAAGACCTCGTGAGCTGCGCGAAGACCGGACAGATATGCACCGTGAACGGTTGCCGGATGACTTGCGATTGTGGCTTCGCCAGCGAAGAAAAGATTCTGTATCGGTGCTGCAATGAGGTCATAGTCACCGGGCCTTGCTTCGGCCGCGACGTAAGAATATGTCCCTCGAGCAAAACGATCCGACCCCCAACGAGTCACAATTGACTCCAGTGGTAATGGAACATTTTTGGCGCCAAAGACATTGCTCAACTGCTCCAGACACTGCCCAACGAGGATCTCGTCGCTGAGCCTTTCGGCTTCATGCGCCGCCTCGCCGGCCATCAAAGCAATCAGGACCGGAAGCCCAGTTGTGTCAATGCAGTTCCAGAACAAATAGAACTGACCACGGCCTTCTTTGTAGTCGCTCTGGTGGAGACCCTGGCCGTTGCGAGGGGCGCGCAGGAGACCGAACATGTCTCTGCCGATATCCCAGAAGGGTTTCTCGAACACAAGGATCACTTTGTTGAGCAAGCCAAATCCCATCCTCCTAATGGCGTCGCGCTTCCATTGAGGTAAAGGTGGATCAAATTGAATTGTTTGTTCTTTCAGTACTCCAAGTGGAGCAGCAAACACAATTTTGTCTGCTTCAATTGACTGGCCATCCTCACAGGTGACGGTCGCTTTCGCTTGGGAGCCCACGGCGCTGTATCGGATGCTTTTGACAGGCTTTCGTGTTCGAACATCGAGGGGCTCTGGATGACGCCACAACGCGCGCGGGACCTGCTGGTAGCCACCGACAACTTGGGCATGTTCTCCTTCGAACTCGTTGCCAATGTCCTGGTCCCACCCCCGGAGGCTCAACTTGTCGACATTGGCCGCATTTGCGTATTCAAGATTGGCGAAATGCCAATTGATCAGCCGAAGAGCATATGGCTTGAGGTCAAGGAACTTCTGATACTGATCAACCCCAGAATTCATAACAGCGCCAAGTGATTGATTGAGCTGTGATGCAAGACCGTCGAGCTCTAGCGTCTCATGCATCTGAGTTGTTTTTCGTAACAGAAAACCAAACTCCTTGGCTGCTTGCGCCGCAGGAAGTTGCATTTTGGTCTCCATACTGGTATCCACTTCCTCAGAGGATTTGTCTCCCTTCGCAGCACGGTGGCCTGCGCCACGTCGTTTTGACTTCTTATTTGGCAAAAGCTGGTCGATCGTGCCCAGAGCAGTAGCTTCTTCAAACTGTTTGATGGTGATTCCGTCCTCGTCTGGAGGATCACGTCCCGCTTCAATCAAATCTTTGTCACCTGGTGCAGTTCTCTTGACGGTGTGCTTGAGTCGGTAATGACCAGTACGCTCGAGGATGTCATTGTATAATCTTTCAATCATTGCATCGTTTACGCCGTTGACGGGTGTGCCATCGATGTCGTAGAGGGTAGAAAGGTCTCGCAGGAGGTGGTACTCGAGAGCAAGCTGTCCACGCACAATCGCATCGAGAGGATTGCCGCGTTCGAAACCGACAATGATGTGGGCACCCATTTCGGCTGTGGGTCTTTGATGAGGAGGGAGCCTGGAAGATCGCATGCTGGTAAGTGGATGTGAGTAGATTCGCCCACCTATTCTGTCACGGCCTTCAAGTACAATGATCCTCGGAAGAGCACGATCGGGATAGTGCCGAAACAGGTTGGTGAGCTGCCGTGCGGTACTGAGGCCTGCCATGCCACCTCCAATGACTACAACGGTCTCTCGGGCTGCTTCCTTTTTGCGGCCACGGCCAACACTTCGGCTGACGAAGGGTGGCTCCACGCATCCGAAGTTGATGTAGCCTCGTCGCACAAGCCATTCATATGCAAAGCAAGCAAGGCGGGTCCATCGCTCATCTCTTGCACAACCGATCGCTTCATCGAGGTTGACGCTTACACTTGGATTTCGAGACCACAACCTGAGAATGCCATTTCGTATATTCAGATATACCGTGACGTGGGAGTAGCACAACTTGTCTTGTAACAACTTGTGCTCGTCTTCGTGCAAGGCATACGGGTCGAGCCTTGAGGCTTCTGCCGCAGCCACACACTGACTGGCATACTCGGACGGGGATAGCCTCGGGGGAATGGACGATTTGGGTCGGCAGGTCGTCGAGGCCTTCAAGAACATGTACGGGCTTACATTGTTCGAATTTTCAGATTTGACGTCCATCTTGAGGATGATTTTCGTCTTTTGTTCTGCGGCCGAAGAGGTGACGGAACCCGAGGTCATGGAGCTATTGGGAGAGTCTCGGTTTTCGCTTTCAAGCTGCAGGCTTCGTAAGACGGCGACTGGGCCGCTTGATGAAGCATCGTCCGAGTCGCTTTCCATCTTGATGACAGAGTCGTCGTCCGAATAGTCATGCATTGTTTGATCATGGCTGAGCTTTGATCAGTATCAAAATGGCCACCACTATCATGACTTTGCTGCGTCCAAGACGCACAAAGCGAGCCAGCATACCTTGAACCAGCTGCAATCGACACCTGTGCCACACCAACGTCGAGTATTGTGGTAGACATGATTTCCTTGGTATTTGATATTGCTATTGCTGCCGCCATAAAGACATATGCCCGTCAATGAGTGATTTGATATTGGCGAAGGCCAGGCGCAATATGTGGAAAGATGGGTCAGGAAGTAAAATGAAATGATCGAATCGGTCTTTTAACGGAGGGACTGGATAGTATTAGCATTATCAAGGCGAAAAGGGGGGCAGACGGGGTGTGTGAGGTGTGAGGTATTCGTTACCTGGTGCGCCCTCCCTGGACTCGGTGGTATGATATGCTCCACTAATATCGAAAACTCTTTCGGCTGGCCTGCACAGGCTGTTCTTTTCTCGCCCTTGATCCTCCACACCGTTCGCAATGGGGGTGTAGGTCGACCAGAGTGCATTATCAGACTTGGTCGTGCCGAGGGGGAGGGGGATGTATTGGCAGGAGTGAGGTTGAGAGAGAGAAAGTCCCAGCCGTGTCGCCGCCCACGATTAACTAAATTGGAGCATCTCGGCGCTGCTCTGACCATCCGAGTTTGATGCAACCGCATCTCATCCCATCACGTCTTCTTCCATCAAACGGATCGTCCAAGATATCATCAAGATCATTGCAACGAGAGATAACTTCTCATTCATCTACATGGCCAGCTCTCAAACATGAGACCACCAGCTGCGGTTCATCACGACTCCTCCTTATCCCATCCGGGTGCACCCATCACAGCCCCTCATTGCTACAGCCTCTCTTCCTGCGCTGGCCGTGATCCACTTGAAAAAGCTTTGGTACGAATGGAAATTCATCAAAGAGATATCTGAAAGCCTTTGCGGTCGCGTCAACGTGTGTTTCGGGCCTTGACGTGCTCGCTCAACGGACGTTGATGGTGGATATCACCAACCATGTGAAAAATTTGTCGCCACCTAGCTCCCAGGGCACATCCCCCTCATACGGCGCTTAGCCATCCACCCATCAAGATTTCATTAAAGACACGGTGCCCACATGTGTATACCCAATAGTCACGATCCAATTGATGTCCATGTGTGATGGCTCGCTGTTGAGTGATGCATTGTGGTCGGCCTTCCGCCACAAATGGCTATCATGGTCATTGTTCTAGAGGTATTTGGCTTCCACCCACTCAAAGAGCACACTTTGGCTACCAGCCGTGACATGAACCAAAAACGTCTGAAGGTGAATGCTCGATATCTGCTTGCTTTGTGCGGCTGGGGTCACATATCGGGATCTATGCTGACACGACAGAATCTCGATCCGATCACATCTGGTGGTACCCAGAGTCCTCTCATAAGATGTCGCCGATTCAGGATGCTTTATTCCGCTTCCAAGAACCAGGCACTTCTTCAGACCATCGCCTCTGCCAGATATCTGCAAATTTCGCCTTGCGGAGCAGGAATTTGACGGGACTGATCAAGTGCGTAGGTACCTCTATGGGCCAAAAAGCAGGAACCTCATGGGCAAAGGAAGAAAGTCACAAGAAAACTAGAGCATCTCGATATCAGAAAAGCATGGTAGTTGTTGCATGCTCGATTCCTGCATGGCCATCGAAGACGTTGTCAGGCGAGACCAATTAGTGGAGGAGCGCAGGCGACTGGTCTTGCTGGTCCCTTGCTAGGTTGGCTGTTTCTGGCCTCATAGCCAAAGACAAAAGACGTCGAAATAAGCGAAGAAATATAAGACTCTTGTCACAAACAAAGCCCCCTTCGTGCTCTTTGGCTGATCTCTAATGATGGATTGACTTCACTGAGTACCACACAAGCAGACTGCCAGTATTGTACGCAGGCGGGGCCGTTTCCGTCGTCAACGGGGCACAACTCGTGCTCAAACCTTCGACTTCCACGTTCGATTGACCACTTTCAACATGTTCCTGTTTGGCCTTTAACGGAATGCAATAAGATCTACCAGGCCTTGCCCGAATACCATTATGTTATGAACCAATTGTCCAATTCGCTTTCTCGTGGGGTGCGAGCCGTCGAACCAAATCTCAAGCGCTTAACCTGCCCTCTCACGCCTGTTCTTTATCTTCTTACAAGTTCGAGAAGAATGGCGACCGTAAAAGACTCGATTCCCCATATTATCAGAACTGCTGAAGATCCCCGTCAGGAGGGGATATGGACAGCCCGATTGAGCAAGATTGAACATGTCAATTCCAAGATCCGGTTACTGAGACTCAGCCTGCAAAGAGATGGAGTATGTGCCTTTCATTCATCAAGTCATAACAATCTTTGTCCCCTTACGACCGTGTTTTCCACTTTTTCAGACGAGAGCAAAGTGTTGCTTTCGAGATATGGCGCTGCCGCCCTGTGCTGTTTGCTCTCCACCAAGGGCAATATAAACAATGGAACATTACTGTTTGCGTCTCTGAGATTATGCAAATTCAGTTGACCACCAGACGTCTATTGTCTTTCTCAAGGGAACTCCCAGGCTCACATGGACAACCATTCTAGTAGCCGCGTCTCCATCATCTTCCAGGCCAATACATAGACCTGTACATTCCCAACATCGACGTCGTCGGCGGCTTCACCATCACGTCACCGCCTCAATCATCTTCTCAGTCCCAAGATGACCCACACATAGAACTGGCTGTTCAGTCATCTCCGTCAAACCCACCCGCGGCATACCTCTGGCGTCCCGCCCAAGAAATCCTCAACTCAACGGTGACATTCCGAGTGGGCGGGAATTTCGTCTACCCACCTCCGACATTGAGCCAAGAAGGATGCCAGAAATTGGACAGAGTGGTTTTTGTCGCGGGAGGGGTGGGCATAAATCCCATCATGAGCATGATTTCGGCCTTGGATGTATTGGGCGCGGACAAAGCGGGTGGAATGACAAGAACCGTCAGAGTGCTGTATGCTTCAAGGCGGGATAAGAAGAATGATGAGACCGGCAGCGCGGAGGAGGAGATTCTGTTTGAGAAGAGACTGAAAGACATAGCCGAGAAGTGGAAGAACCACGACCGTGTCGACTTCAAATACACTCTTTTCGTCACCAGCGGAGAGTCTGGCACAGAAAGAACAAAAGAAGACGAAGTCGAAGACGGGAATATGGCAACGCGATACAGGCGGATCACTCATGATGATCTCTTTGAAGCCCTCGGACCTGAAGGCGGCAGGGATCACACGGTCGTCTATGTCTGCGGGTTGCCCGCCATGACCGACGAATTCGTGGCGTTGCTGGCAAAAGCCCCCGGGATGGAGGAAAGGAGAGTTCTTTGTGAGAAATGGTGGTGAAACAGTACACATGTAGAAAGAATTAGGGAGAGGACACGGTACTCAGGACTCAGGACTCAGGGTTCTCGAGGCTGGATCGTAACAGAGGTGAATGGAGGAGCCTATACAATTCTCAAAAAAGAGGTATCGTGGCTTCTCTTCCCCCGTGGCCGCCACGCGACCGCTTCATTTGTTTTTAACCTCGTTATTACTCTTGGTATCGTGTCTCAGCCGGGCGACCGAATCGCGATGGATTCGACGCCAGCAAAACCCCTAGGTTATAATACGACATTGCGAGAACAATCCGACCCAACCCAGCCCAGCCCAGCCATATCTTGACCTTGAACGCCATGCGTCTGTACATGCTATATTCGTGACAAAAGTTTTTCCCTTCCGTGGAGACAACGAGGTAATAGCAATGAGAAGCAACATCAATACGGTCGTCAACCGCCAAAAAATTCCGTGCCCGCGATCTCACATTGGGATGTAAGATCTCTTTCCTCGCATCACATGCCCGTGACAACTCTTCCGCCATCCACAACAATCTGCTCATCAATCCTCCTCTTCAGTGTCTCTTCGTCGCCCCATTCCAGTCTCTTCCACGTCGTGACCCGCGCCTCGTTCATGTCCATCTCAAAGAATCTCACTCTCCTGTGATATCCATAATACCCTCCGTAGCCGCCGAATCCCGCACCGCCGCCGTAACACATCCACAAGGCAGCTTTCTTATCTTTATTGTTTGCAGGCAGGCAGTAATCGTTTACGTGGTCGTGACCGCATGAGACGACGAGGATATTTTCTTCGATGAGTGCGTCTTTGAAATTTGAATTGTATGCCGGGGCGGTAGGTGGTTCGGTCCAATTTCCCACCCAGGCTAGGTTGTCTGGATTGCGATATTCTGGTAAGGGAATGTGAATGAATGCCAGGTCCATGTGTATATGCGTGTATTCCTTGTGCTTTCTCTTCAGGGATTGAGATGTGGTCTTGAACCAGTCGATCTGTGATTGTTTGAGCCAGTCGTAGCCGTGATAGTGTTGTTCGTCGGGAGAGTAGGAGTGAGTGTCGAGCATGTACAGCGTGAGCGCGGAGTGGGAAGTAGATCCTCGACCAAGGATTTCCACCACGTAATTTCCCACACCCTCCACGTCCTCGGGACCGGCGGTCGAGAGCGAATAGGGGAGGCCGTCCATCACGGCCATCGATTCGGCGCGGTTGAGGTTTCCTTCATCGTCATGATTACCGAATATGCCTGCATAGGGAATCTTGTGTCGCGCGAACATTTCGGAGTATTTGAAGATCGCAGTTTGAGCGTCGGGTGCGGTGTCGCCGTTGACTTGGTCCCCTGTGAGGACTACAAAATCCGGTTTCTCGTCTTCGATCATCCGAGCGATGAAATCGAGCGTTCGCGGGTCGGCCTCACATCCTTGTCCTTCTGGTAATGCATGGCGACATTTCCCCAAGCCCGTCGCGAGATGGAGGTCTGCTGCTTGCATGATCTTGAATTTGCCGTCTTTTCGTATTCGAGGGATGGGTCTCTCGACTTTCAGAGCGGGGCCTTTGCGGACTGTGAGACGAGGCTCGGGCGACTCGCGGTCTGCATCGATGAATAAGGAGATGTCCTGAATTTCCCAGTTCGAGCGAGGATCCACCGCATCGGCGCCGAAGAGCACGTCGACTCCTGTTACCATCTTGTCGTGCCGTTTCGAGGACAACTTGATCCATATTCCAGCGGGGCGAGACTCCCATCTTTCATCCTTTGAAGTTGGATCGACAGCCGAGGGCTGCAGACGACCAATCCTAACGTCTGTCACTACTTCTTCGTGCGTCCTTAGATCATCTTCGCGTTTTCTCTGCACGTAAAGGTAGGCCTTCGACAGGAAGCCTTTGCTAAGATATAAGTCCTTCTCAATTCGGTGCCAGTCCTCGCCGTCGACTGTACATCGGCTAAAAGGGTTTAATGACGAGCAGGTGACGACTGTCATGTCGGTGACCACAAAGCCTGGATGGTGTGCAGGTAGATGGCTGTGGATAGCATTAGGGAGAACTCGGTATCTGTTATCGAGGAATACGACGAGGAATAAGACGATGGTGATTATCAAGCCCAGCTGGATGCCGGTGCGTACCTAGAAGAATGGTCAGCGACTTGCGACGGGTCGACGCCAGGGTCGAGCACATACAAGTCTTCTGGTCATGTTCGCATGTGCTGTGAGGAGGCCGCATGAGCGGGCTCACCCTCTGGACTGCCTTAGGTCTTTGCAGCTTCAATCTGATCTGATATTATAGTAGCAATGATCGTTAGGGATTTTCCGGGACAGATGTATTGAATCATCTGATGGACTATTACCACAACATTAGTTGACTGCGGTACGAGGTACATAATACGGATGCTGTCCCTGATCTGAATATTTGGGCAGAAGAAAGATCGACACGTAGTTACCGCAAGCGGACTAGTTGAATCTGGGGTTCGGCTGACCTTCCCTGAGCGGGTATCACCGGTATGCTTCTCTGAGAATTTCCAGCTCAGGGGGGGATTGACTGATTTTCATTCCACGAGAGAGGTAACTTCGGGGAAGTGTTGAGTTGAGCCGTGGCATGTCTGGGGTGTTTCGATATCTGAGACAAGTTTTTGGATTCTCAAGATCCCAAGGGCCCCTTTCCAAGACTCCCAGCGTCCTCCAGCATGCTACCCCTCGAGATTTGACCCAGTTCGCGGAGGGTGACAGAGTGCTTGTTGATGGATCAAAGCTCACTTTCCCTCTGCAGCGGAACTCGAAGTACGATTCATCGAAGGGCCAAATCCCCCTGAACGACATCATCGGCAAACCAGTCACTTCAACGTACGTCCGATCTTCAAAGGGGTCTCTACATAAGATCGAAATCCCGTCGCTTGAGGACTATGTCACGCTCACCCCCAGGCTCGTGACTCCGGTCTATTCCAGCTATGCGTCATCGATCGTCTCTCTACTAGACATACACCCAGAGCCATACACCGCATTTCCAGACAAGGGTGTCCCACTACCCTGCCTCCAGATCCTGGAAGCAGGTACGGGTCATGGCAGCCTCACACTGCATCTCGCTCGAGCGATAGCCGCCGCGAACCCGCCTCCTCCGGCCATTCAGCTACCCAACCTGCGTAGAGTGACAAAGTCACCAACGCATTCATTCCCCGCAACTGAAGAAGCTCACTCCGAGTCTAATTCGCTCCGGCGGGCGTGGGACGAATGGAAACAAAGCCGTCGTGCAGTTCTACATACAGTGGAAGTTGTTCCAGCGAATAGCGTCCACGCCGAAAAGATAGTGCGTGGGTTCCGGAGGGGTCTATACTGGCCGCATGTGGATTTCTACACGGGAGGGGTGAAGGAGTGGATCGCAAACAAACGAAATATAAATGCCGAATTTCTCGACTTTGTCCTCCTTGATATGCCTGGCGTTCATTCTCAGATTCAACACGTTGAGCCCACGATGCGCGACGGGGCAAAACTAGTTGTGTTTGTGCCCTCGATTACCCAAATCGCGGATTGTGTGAAGGTCGTTCAAGAGCTGTCGTTAGCACTGAACATGGAGAAGGTTTTGGAACTAGGTGAGGGTATAAGTTCGGGAAGGAAGTGGGACGTCAGGTTTGTGAAGCCGAGAAAGGGGACCACCTCCACTAATACCGATGGAAAGACCAAACGTGCTGGTTCGGAGAAAGTGCCTGTTGTGGTTTCGAAGGCGGGAGATGAGAATAAGCTCTCGGATTGTGCGAACAACAAGGACACTGAGGATGAGGAGCCTGCTGAGGACGAAATCTCCCCGACATCGCAAGAAGACCAGCCAGTCATGGTCTGCCGCCCGCTCGTCGGCGAACGTACCTTCGGAGGCGGTTTCATCGCGCTGTTCAGGAAGACCTCATCGGAGTCCAGAGCACTGGCCGCAGAGTGGCGGCAGAGTCAGACGGGGAGGGCGAAGAAGCGAAATCGTTAGCTGCTTCCCTTCCCTCGACACCATGTCTCGGAGACTGGTATGTATATGTCCACAAGTTGAGGATTTGAGGGGAGTAATATACTGTCAGGGTTTGTACGACAACAGCAACCCCACCACCAGGCGAAAAGTCTGCACGATTTCACTGTAACATTGCGTTTGAAATGGCCTTGCTCATTGGACCCGAAAGTCTACCAGAATTGCGCATTAAGATCTTCTCATTGCTCGCCTTTTCTGTCTTCATGTTGCCTCTTTGAACATGCCGCCTGATGCTACATCCTTGACACAAAACAGTACAACTCAGGGCGTGCATAACCAAAAAAAAAGCAGAAGTATATCGCTGATAGAGACCCGTGTGGATGTTTGACGGGACACGAACAACGCCGTGCACCGTTCAGTAAATGCTGATCTTTGGCCGGCCTGTTGTCTTTGCTTTCAACACCTGCCTCCCCACCAAGATCTATCCCAAAAAGTCGAAATCGAACTCGACAACGAACTGTACGTTCCTCATTTCATGGTAGCAGGCATACTAGCCTTTGCCTTCTCTAGCACATTCTCCGCAACCGGCATGGCTCGGCTCTTGAGTCCGTTAGATTTCTGCTTCAGCTTGGCGGCAGCCTCCTTCAGCTTTTTCTCCCTGATGATTCGGATGTAAGAGAAGAGTAACAGGAACAGCAACTCCACTCTTTCCTTGGTCATCATGAGGATACCTTGTACAAGAAGACCCTTCATGAGCTGAGGACCAATGCCTTTGAAAAGAGAGCGCGGGCCTTCGTGCTCGATGATATATGCCATCACTTCGGAGAAGGTTTTGAAGGGCTTGCCTTCACGAGCTGGGGGAGGTCGGGATTGTAGGCCGACTTTGGCGACGATTAAGGGTTGGGTGCAGATTGTGGCGATTGACTTGGAGATCGCTCCGAGAACTGGATATGCATGTCAGCACGATCGCTACACATTTGTTCAGAATTGTCTTGTGGCTTACGGAAAGCCTCCCATGGATGGAGTCGCGCCCGACCGGGGAACATGATGTCCTTCAGACGCTGATAAGCGCCATATGTGATTGCTGGGTTGACACACAGCACGAGAGAGGCTTTCAGACCCCTCCAGAGTCCACTCCAGCCATCTTCACTATGCACGACCTCCTTACCCGTCTCCCATAGACCCTTCTTGTGACCCCTGGGTTGGGTCTGTTGCCGGGTGGTGATGACGGCCACGGGAATTGTGAATATCTGGGCAATTGCCCCTGCGACGGCACCCAGTGACAACTCAGCAGCTGTGCCTGGATGGCCTCCCGGAGCAGTCCGGTATTTTGTGTACAGAGACCGCACCACGGAGTACCAGTAGAAGTAGGCGAAGTTTGTGGAGGCCACACCGATCAAAGCGCCATTGACGCCCGAGTATAAGCCGATGATGCCCTCATGGTCGACAATCTTCTTGATAGCGTCCCACGTCGACTCGTAGTGATGGTGCTCGGCCGTATGCTGGTGTACGTGGCCCTTCTTCTTTATCTGGACTTGTAATCTTGTCTTAACACTGGGAGCCAAGTTAGCACCTTATCTTTTATCTTCCAGTCAGGGATTTCCATACATATCCAGTGGGTAGACCAGCGCATTTGCAAGCACAGCACCAGTGGCACCTGCAATGGCGCTTTCCCATGGCGCCAGCTCCCCGGGCTTTGTCATTGTTCTGTGGGAGCCGCTCTTTGAGCGTGGAAGAAGAATGGGAGGACGAGGTCTGGCCGGTGCTCAAGCTCAATGCCGAATCTTTTCGCAGTGATATAGACAGATAGAGAGCAGAGTTCTGTACCGAGTAGGGGGAATTGAGTTCTCGCTGCCGACCAGATGTCAGAGTTGGAGGAGCTGTGGAAGATATGGTCGACGGGAGGGTGGGCTTGGGGAGGAGGGAGGCTTGGGAGGAATGGTCGCGTAATTATTTTGCTAGATGGAAGAGCATCATTGATCATTCCTCATCTCTCCGAGAGCCATGGGCGATCTCGCATGCGAAACCCCGTGGGACATGGGTTGAGCGGTTCTCAGCGGTTGAGTGGCTTCGGTCATGGGCAGCTCGATCCTGACCAGCCGAGGTAGTGGCAATTCCGCCTGCCCACACCTGCCCACACCTGCCCACGCCTGTCCACTCTTGTCCACACCCAGCCTGCGCTTCGCCCTCATTTCGCCCTTCTCACACTGCCACCATTTCTTCTCACCTTCCCGAACCCCCGGCCCGTTTCCGACATTTTTCCATGGCCCGCTGACGTCCGTCCTAGTGGATTTGACAGAGGGTTGATCTCGAGCTAGTTAGTGCCTAGGTAATGGATGACAGTCTCTCCAGACTTGAAGAGCAGGCGCGCTCGATCGAGAGGACAATCCCCTCCAAATTCACTGGCAAAGCAGTGCTGGATGCTACAATCAAGACTGCTGAGTTGTACTTCCAGGCTCTGCGCCTCGCTGACACACCTTCAGACAAGAAAAGGCTTGACGCCAGGTTCAACGAACTCCTAGCACGAGCCGAGCGGCTCAAGGCCGCCCAGAATGAACATCAAAGTCCTGTTCCCGCGGTAGGACCAAGGGAGCTCCTCATACCACCTGTCTCCAGACGCGGGCTCACCACGAGAGAAAAGATCATACTGTTGGAGGGTGGTAAATTGAATGGTTTCAAGTTCAACCCTTGGACGGCTCCACCGTCATCGGATGAATTTGAGCTTCATGATGGGGGACCTTTGTTCACAGACTCGACCTCTCTGCCTCTGTCTCCGGGCCAGTTAGAATCATTTGATGGTTGGAGACGACCACAACAAGCCCTGCCGTCTGTTCACAGCAACTTAAATGGTCAAAATGGTCAGAATGGTTCCGGCGGGGCCCTCATGCATTTGCCTGAGCCGATGGACCTCGTGCAAGATATGACCTCCGACTGTTCGGTTGTTGCAAGCCTTTGTGCTCTAACCTCCAGAGTAGAGCGCGGCTTTCCAAAGGTAGGACAGGGGCTCTGACAGAGACCATCTCCTCACTAACCCCTGCTTAGATACTTCGATCCGTAGTACATCCTTTCGATTACGAAACTGATCGAATGATACTGTCGCCCAATGGAAAATACATTTTGAAGTTATATTTCAATGGTTGCTGGAGAAAGGTAGAGATCGACGACTATTTGCCTTCCTCCAAGACTAGCCGAGTTCTTCATGTGATTGACCGCCGACATCCTCGATTACTATGGCCGGCTTTGGTTGAGAAAGCATACCTGAAGGTCCGTGGTGGCTACGATTTTCCTGGGAGCAATTCCGGCACGGATCTCGCCGTTCTTACGGGATGGATTCCTCAGCAAGTCTTCCTTCATGACGAGGAGGTTGAACCAGACAACTTGTGGGAAGAAATTATTACCCACTTCCGAAGAGGAAATGTTCTCGTCACAATTGGAACCGGCAAATTACCGCGTCGCGAGCAAAAGCACCTAGGTCTCGCAGCAGAACATGACTACGCCGTCCTGGACATGTCCGCTAATGGCCATGTCAAAGAGATGCTTGTTAAAAATCCGTGGGCTGATGGTGATGTCTGGTTGGGGGCAGCAAGACGCCGACCCAACCGAAACGATGAAGCACCTCCGGCCGACCCCTCCGAAAATGAGGAGATGATGCCCGGTACTTTCTGGATGGACTTCAACAGTGTCTTCCAATACTTCGAGAACATGTATCTCAACTGGAATCCTGGACTGTTTTCATACCGAGAAGACCTTCACTTCTCGTGGGATCAGGCCAAGCCTACTTCAACTGCCAATTTGGTTGTCGACAATCCTCAGTTCGCTGTGACAGCGTCTGATACAGGCGAAGTTTGGTTGTTACTACACCGACATTTTCGAACAGGAGACTACACTCAAGAGACTACAAAGGGAAACGGATACATCGGCCTCTACGTATATGCTCGTGATGGCAACAGAGTTATTTCAAGTGAAGGCGCAAAGATACGCGGACCATTTGTGGACTCTCCCAATACCCTTCTGAGGTTCAAAGCTACAGCTAACTCGGGCTCTACTGTGGTATTAGTATCACAGAATCTACCCCCTGGGAAAATGAACTTTACCATTTCGGCTTTGTCAACAGGTCCAGTAGCACTATCGGAAGCACGACTGCAATATCCTCAGAAGTACAGCCTCAGCTGCGCCTGGAACAGATCAAATGCTGGAGGAAACTCGGATTCGACAAATTACCTGTCCAATCCCCAATTTCGAATGGCCTTGTCTACTACACAGAAGATTGCACTAGTGCTGAGAATTGTCGAACCTGATAAGCCTGCCACTACAGCAAAGTCCGATATCAACGTCAAAATCCTGGTACTCTTTAGCGACGGCTCAAGGATTACCCGCCTTCGCCTGCGGGATGTCCTCGCGCATTCAGGAGACTACCGACGTGGGAGTGCCGTTGTGGAAACCGAGCTAGGACCCGGTAGCTATTCGATCATCTGCTCTACATTTGATCAAGACCAGTATTCGGATTTCTGCCTCGACCTATACTCGTCCTCACCACTGGACAAGGGTGCAACTTTGACTCAGCTCCCAGCGGAAGGCGCGGGGCGACTGAGCATCCAAAGTGCGCCGGCAGTCTTCACAAATGGTACGAACCGGCTGCTCGCGCCTCTTACGGTTTTGAGAATGTCTCGAATTTTCTTCATCGCGCGATACGAAAGTGCTAGCACTGCGCGAGCGAATTCCTCCCTCTTCAAAATGACACTTGAGCGAGGTCAAGGACCATATAAAGAGATTATCGCGACCAGCGAGATTGACAACGAGGAATTCGGCACTGTCTCGTCGGGTCTTCGGATTGTCGATGTAGATCTGCAGCCTTTGCTCTGTGGGCCTGGCACTGGTGGCATGTGGCTTGTTCTGGAGCGGTTGGCGCAGGGCGGCCAGGGAAATGAGGAGGACAGGATGGCGGGAAAGAACGATGAGATATTGAGAGTGGAGATGTTGACAGATGAGAGAGTTGAGTTGGGCGCTTGGGGCCGGGGGGACGGTTGATCCGGGTTGCCGTTTACAAGGGGCTGGCATTGCCAACGGCGATAGGAAAGGATTTGGAAAAAGCATAGTATAATCCATCTTTTCTGGCGTCAAAAGAGTTGATGGCCCTCTGCTCCTCATACTCTAATTTTCTCCGTAGACCGGCGGGCTGAAGGTACGTAGGTATTGTACAAGTAAACCCAAATCCCCAGTCGGACTCTTCTCAACCTCTGACATCCTTGTGTCTTTTCCTTTGCCCAACGGCTCAGAAAGTTCCGTCCCCCTTTCAATCCCCTCTTCTAACTCGCCTGCTTCATGATCAAGCTCTTCAGCCCAGGCACCAAGCCGGAATCCACGACTTTCATGCCCAGGCCCCTTGCCTGACCGACGAGCCTGCTCAAGATGCCCCCTTCTCCACCACTTCCCAACTGATACATCCAGTTCAAGGCATCGACGCCGCCGGCCATAACCAGGCCCTTGCCGAATCTATCTGCGTTGTACCGCTCCAGGGCAAACCCGTCGCCAATGTCCATTCCGTGTTCCACGGCGTAGGCGACTGTGTTCGCCAGGGAGGCGGCATCGCCGAGGCCGAGGTTCAGGCCTTGGCCCGCGAGTGGGTGGACGGTGTGAGCCGCGTCCCCGATCAGTGCGATGCGGGGACCGGCGAGGGACGTGGCGTGGCGAAGGCGCAGCGGGAACGATGCGAGCGTGTTCTCCTGAACGGCAGTGATGATGGGCGCAGGACGAGAGATCGCGGGCGGTGGAGTATGCTGGAGACGCCAGCGGAGTTCGTTCTCGTGTTGGTCCGGGTCCGAGGGGGGAAGGGTGAACATGTACCTGATGTCCGTCTGCGACAGTCTCAGGGCGGCGTTGATCATTACCAGCTGGGCTTCGGGCGGGAGGGACTTCAAGTACGACGCGTTCGACGGAGTCGTGGACCATACGAGAGAGGCGTGGTTGTTCGGTAGAGGGAGGATGGCAATGGGCCCGCCCAGGTCCGGGAGGAAGCGTTGGTATGCGGTTGCGCGGTTCGCGAGGGGTTCCTCGGAGAAGAGGTCGAAATCTTCTGCATTGGAGCTGTTGTTGTCTGTGGGCTGAACCGTGAGCGTAGCCACTACGCCGTGCCGGTGGTAGTCCCAGCCGTGGGATGCTATGCCAGCGAAGCTGCGCACGGGCGAGTTGAAGCCGTCAGCACCGACGAGGAGGCGAGCTGCTATAGTGGACGGATGTTCTGGTGACAGAGACAGGGATGGCGTTTTTGATTCGAGCGTAAGGACCGGCCAGGTGGACAGGTTGAGGCCATTGGGGTCATCTTCCCCGTTCGTAATGGACGAGACGCTCGTGCTGCAGAAAAGCGACGATTCCGCACCGAGCTGGGCGATTCGTCCAAGAAGGCCCCTTGTGAGATTGGCATTCTCGGTCATACTGGCCACTGTCCTGGGAGGGGCGTTGTATTTGCTAGTTTCGGCCGTCCAGTCGAATTGAATGGCGGCGTCGTTGGCGGCGTCCCAGACTTGCATCTCATCGTAAGCTTGAACGCGAGATTGGTCGACATGTTGCCACGCGCCTGTCTTCTCGAGAAAGGAGACTGATGAGGGTGTCAGGCTACTGGCACGATTCGAGTATTTATCCTCGGGCAAACTCCATTGGCGGAGTTTCGAGAGATCTTGAGTCTCGATCAAGGCAGTTTTCAGATGAGATGTTATGGGCGATGATTCTTGCCGAGGCGGTTAGCGGTCGACCGTTCGCGGCGACAAGGAGGAAAGAACTATACTTAACGCGGCGAGGAGGGCGAGACCAGCTGGTCCGCCGCCAACTGTCACAATGTCGAAGACTTCAGGAGGTGATGATGCATTGGTTGATGCGAATCGTCGTTGTCTGGTTAAGCTCAGGGTCTTCCGGCACTGGATGCACATAAAGCGTGCGTCGGCGACAGATAATTTGGCCGGCATCTTAATGAGCCACGGCTTTGTGATGTCTGCGGCAGGTCAGGAGCAGTGTAGTTGAACCTATAGCATCACCGTGTCACAAAAGTCAATGGGAGAAACACGGAAGGTGAAGGAGAGAGTTATCAACTGTGAGGTCGGAGACTAATCTTTCTGACCAATCATGATCGTTCATCGCTAGCCTTGCTCAGCCTGAAGGCTTTGAATGCCCACGAGGCTGAAAGCGCATGTAACCAGCTTAGTACAATACGGTTTGCCGAACTCCAGGCGGCCACTCTGGTTTGTCCTGCAAATATAACCAAAAGCTCCTCAGCTCGTTTGTTTCATGGCCGATGTGCGTATCCCTGGGGCGCTTGGGCATAGCGGCCATTTACATAGTACAGACAGACATTCGAGTCATCAACGCCGTCCAATCTATCGTATACATGCTCAACTTCGCCGAATAGCACCATGTGATCTTCAATTTCTACTGCCTTTTCTGGGAGATACCGGCACCTGATCTGAAGTTTGGGAAAATATTGGATGATGGGGGGTGAATTCGCTAGCAATGCTGACGGTGTGTCCGATCGCCACCGGGCAAACGTAGCCAAAGTCCCATCACTTGAGTGAAAGGGGCAATACAGGTTGCCGCGCGCGAATTTCTCCGCGATTTCTCTCCCGGTTTGATCGCAGAGAAATAGGTGAACATTAAAGAGGCCGGAAGCTCTGATGGCCCCGTATGTCGTAGATATCTGCTTGATGTTGAAAGAAACAATCGGCGTCGGGTCCAACGTTACAGTGTTGAAGGAAGATACTGTAGCTCCTCGCCATGTGGAAGGACCGCCGTCGGCATGGGCAGATGTATCGGTAGAGGTAATGACAGCAACAGGATGGGGCACGTGGCGCATCAAACCCTTGACTCTCTCGCGAAGAGGTCGGTCTCGCCGGATTTGCGGATGGACATGACGGGCGCCCTGACTATTTTGACCCTTGGTGACTGCAGAGACGGTCCCTGGGTCGAAAGGTTGAATGTGAGATGGATCGCTCACCGACTCCGATTGCGACTCATCCCGTTCCGTTGCAGGCCTTGGCTTTTGGACGGCTTTACTTGAGGCAGAACGCCTGACATTGGCACGGAGACTTGTCGCTTTCGAGTCGGCTGGTGCCCGGGGAGATGTTACTGTCGAGCTGGGGCGTCGACAGACACCAGAGATTTGTTGTGGGGCACAGAAGTGGCGGCCAGAGACGCGACAGACTCGTTGAAATTGCGCTGGTTAATAGAGTCAGCAGGAGTGAACCCGATATGGCGGCATCGTGGACCTACGATGCAAAGTGCCCCTTTTTAATGGTAGTGAACAGGCAGAGCTCATCCCAATCAGATTGCCTGAGCCGCGTATAGAGCTCATAGCGAGGACTGGATGGGCGAGCAGGGCCGGCGTCCCGCCATTAGATACAGCACCATATGGTATGCATATTCTCCAGTTCAAACTTGGACTAAACCAAACCGAATACCTACGGAGATATAGATGATTATAACTGGACGTGCTGACGAAGCTTGTTTCGATCCGACTCGGAGACAAAACATCTCTTGGCGGATTTGCCGCGTTTGTGCGTATCCCGCAACCATCGAAGCATCCAGGACCATATACAGTAGACATGACGTCGCGCCTTCGACCTGTTCCCTCCCTCAATCAATTCTTCTCCACGCCCAATACGGGATGGGATTTAGGGGTAGCTACAGGGGCGGTTTTAACCCGTGACGCAATTGATGCACTCCCGTCTCCCGACAGGTCCAATGAAGTCATCGCTGAGTAGAATATGTCCTTCGCCGGTTTGTCAAATACCAACCCAATCCACATGAACGAGTCCATCATGTCCCGGAAACCACTCCATGAATCGACCGCACATCGTTCAATGGTTGATTTCAACCAAGCCTTCAGCCAGGCACTACCAGGCTCGTTAAACACTGCCACAGCGCCGACCATGAGAAGCCAAAGCAACAGTTGAGGCCACTGTTCTTCCAAAATGTCGAGACCAACGAGACATTCTTGGTAAGTAGTGGACAAAGATGTCCTTCGTACCCTGACGTCTGGTAGTTGCAAGAAGACCTGTGAGGAGAAGGCTAACAATCCGAGCCGGATGGCCGCGTCAAGAGACCCAGGTGCAAAGCTCAGATGAAGAAGCCGATACATGATTGAAGCCGTTGCCTGGAGCAGAATTTCTTCAGAAAGCTTGCGTTTAGTTCTGGCGGCGCGGCTGATCTGTAAGCAAAATCTCTTCATCGCTCTCCACACTACGGCTATTTCTTCATTGATGATGCTGAGAAACTGCTCTGAGTAAGGCCAGAAACTCGGCGTGTCGGCTGACTCTGGAATGGATATCGACATTTGGTCTGGGAATGGTAGGAAGGACTCGCGGGGACAGGTGTTTGAGAAGAAGACAGGCTTTGAACTAGTCTCGATCGCCAACCCAATGTCGCATCTGTACCATATGAGATATTCTGCCAGGCAAGGAAAAGCAAGAGCAGGGTTGACAGGGCGTTGCAGAGATGCATACCTGAAGATCTCCATCGCAAGTCTCATCTTATGAATGATGGTGGTAATCCCTCCTCTTAGATTGATCATCATGCGAAGGCCCTCCATGTGATGTTTCGCAGAGTCAAAGTCTCCAATCATACGGGCGTGAAGTGCAAGAGCAATGACGACCATAATTGTGGGATTGGCAATTTTCAGGTCTTCATCTGTAGAGTCCAGTCGCTCACGCAGAAGCTGAAGGGCCTTCAAGAAATGTGGGGACGTGGATTGGACTGCATGATGATCTTCACGACCGAGCATCAATCCGACGTACGCATGAGTCCCCAGTGCAGTAGCGTGAACGAAGGCGGCGTCAGACGCCATGGGACCAACTAGTACCCTATCTTTCTTGTCGAAGGAAATGCACGCCTCCAGTGGTACGGTGGCTTGCCTTGCGAGAGATGAATCTGGATTTCCGTACAGTGAGCACCCAAAGTTCCTTGCATTAAATCCGTAAACGAGACAAACTTACAGGTCAGAATATCCGCAATTGCGGCTGGCTCAATCTCGGCAGCCAACTGGGTGAATGACCACTCTGAGCCGGCCTTTTTAGGGATAATCGACGAGGGTTGCTGTGTCACTACTCTGCCGCCATCAGAGGAGTTCCATACAGGTGCAACCTCCCAGGGTAAGGGATCTTTGGGCTTTGCTCTCCCTCGAGACTTTCCCAAATTCTTTCCCAGCATCACATGGCTCCTTATGAGCTTGCGTGTTTCCGGATCATCTTTCTTCTTCCCGCCCGCCGAGACAATGAAAGGCATCCCTGCTACTGAATGGATAAGTGAGCATTAGATCCAATCTTCTCGATGAAGGACTCCTTTGATTGCGCTAGGGACTTACGCGATGGTTGCGCCCGAGACATGTTGTCACCATTTGCAGAATCAATCCACGGGCGATGTTGAGGTCGCCGAAATGGTGATGCGATGGAATGCTCCTCGCAAGGTGCCAGTTTAAAAAGAGGCAATTGCTTTCCAAAACCGACAATGATTAGTTTCCCTCCGCGGTTAGATGTTGTATAGATTGCGGCAAAGAAAAGATGGCGAGGCCTATCGGCGTTTTACTTCGACTCCGACCTTGGATTCGAGGCAGCCTCAATGGCACCTAGAGCAAGTGTTGGGGTATGTGACTGATGTTTGTTTCAAGGCGGCGGCGCCTCATGCAGATATCGTTTTCCAATTCGGGAATAGACTGTGCTAGTGAGGCTGCCTAGACCCTTTTTGGTCAGGGGCACCAGGGGTGCATAACCGCCACACCGTTGCACACCCTAACGTCAACCATCAGTCTACTCGGAACATGCTTCGCCTTGACCTTGTTGACCTTGTTAGCTGTGAAGTTGCAATTTCTCTTCTTTGGTCAACCGAAATGTTGCCAATTGAGAGCTGAAGTGGTCATTGCACGACAGTCGCAACGGTAAGAGCACGTAGGTATATATTTATATATATATATATATGTACACCTTAGCCAGATGTTCTCCTCTGCTGTGTGTTCATCCCCAAGTATTAGCATCCATTTGCTCTTTCGTGTCCCAAACCACGCAACGTGAATCATCGCATGATGGCCTCCTCCAAGGACTTGCCGCCCATAACCACCCCATTCTTTCCACGGCTTTTCATCAAGAACCAATTCCTTGCTAGACCTCAACGGCCACCCAAGGGTACTGACCTATCTGGGAAGGTTGTTATTATCACCGGAGGTAACACAGGTAAGGCGCTCATCCCTTCTCGAACACTGTTTCGATTTAATGGCGGTGCCTGCTAACAAACATTTGCAGGTCTGGGCTTCGAGTGCGCCCGACAACTTCTCTCTTTCAACCTCACACACCTGATCCTCGCTGTCCGTTCCCCTCAGAAAGGAAAGGACGCAGCCAAAAAGCTCCACATCACTTACCCAAAGGCGACCATTGATGTCTGGGAACTGGATATGGCCTCTTATGATTCCATCCAGGCATTTGTCCAACGAGCAGAGACCACGTTGTCGCGCCTTGATATCGTGATTCTCAACTCTGGCAGATGGGCCTACAAGTATGGCACCATACCCAGCACCGGCCACGAAGAGCTCTTTCAGATCAACTACCTTTCGACAGTACTCCTTTGCATCCTCCTGCTTCCTGTCTTGAGGAGTAAAGCCCCAGCAGGAACACCTGGCCGCCTGACAATCGTCAATGCAGCGCTCTCTCTCGTTGCCAAGTTCCAGAACAGGAACAAAACACCCTTGCTGCCATCATTCGATGATCCAAAGGCGTACGACATGAGTGAATCGTACAACACGTCCAAGGTCCTCGCGCATATGTTTCTCTGGAAGCTCGTGGACTATGTATCGGCAGACGACGTCGTCGTGAACTTGGCGGACCCAGGTTTTGTTAGGGGCACACAACTCGGGCGCGACGCTCCTGGTGTGATAGTGTTTCTTGGTAACATATTTGCCGCCCTCACCGCCAGAAATATCCGGGATGGCGCTTCAACCTATCTCGATGCTTGCCTGCTCAAAGGGAAGGAGTCTCATGGATGCTTTATCATGGGCTGGCAGATCAAACCGTAAGTTGCCCGTGACGGCCCCGAGCTTCCCGTCCTGTGATTTCTCACTTGCTAAACGGGATTCGAATTCAGATTTGCGACCATGCTATACACCCCCGAAGGAAAGGAAGTTACCGAGAAGCTGTGGCGGGAAACAATGGACGAACTCAGCTTCGCCAATGTGCAACTAGTGTTGGAGTCGATGAAGAGACGTTGACCTCCTTAAGCTCGGCCAACGGCGGAATCGTCAGCCGTAGGCTGTTGACGTTCACCATCCGCCCGGAAACGAGCGTAAGACGAATGCGGGACAATCTTGGATAATCTTGGACAAGCCCAAGCCGTGGCAAATCGTGCTTTCTTCCGACCTCAGTTTCACATTCCCTCCCGTATTAGCTGCTAAATTCAATGCGCGTTCCCTCGCGTCTCGGTTCATGAGTAGAAAATAGTCACCCACAGTTCATTCCCGACTTTGGTTGTTTGTGAGGCGTATTCCCCTGCAGACGGGAAGAAACCCGAGATACTCGGCTATGTAGGTCCTACACGAGCTTATCTCACTGGAAGCGATGAGCCCCCCCCCCCGGGAAAAAACTATCACCCATATCAGTCTCACCCTCAAGGGCACAGCATCACTATTACCAAGCGCATTCTTTCATTTTCCAAGAAGATTAGCATGATCACCGACCACAATAACCGACGTCGAGAGGGCTTATAAACAGCGCAAAAGCTATCATCACGACCTCAAAGACACACGCCGTCCACGAAGTCAGGGGCTTTGACAAGAGGCCAATATACATCATGCAAGACATCGAAGAGGCCACTGTCACGTTTCGAAAGTCCAACCTGAAAGCCAAGTGGTTGGCGAAGGATCGATTATCACTGCTGCAACTGGCAGAAAAGTCTGGGTTGACTCCGGACTATGGCTGTCGGTCCGGGGCGTGTGGAACATGTGAGGTAAAGCTCTTAAAGGGAGACGTCGACGGGATCTTGGAGGGAGACGATGGCGTTCTCATTTGCAGCTCTATTCCAGCAAGCATCGAAGTCGAGCTTGAGCTGTGAGCAGAGCCCTCCCCAAATCATAGACCGAGACTGGATCAGCGGCTCTGCGATGTGATGGTTGTGAAAGGCACTCCTGCATGAGAGGCATCTGAACGACAATTGAGGGAGACACACACGCACTAGGGGGACAGAGTACCTCAGCTCTTCAACTCTTCAGCTCTTCAACGGAATCGGGATTATGCTGGTTGCAAGCGGTGTGCGGCACTGCTCGTTCTCACATGACCATCAACCTCGTTAGTCTTCACTTGCTCTCATCTCTGCTGCTTGTTATTGTTGTTATTGTTGTTATTGTTGTTATTGTTGCCAGGAACTGAGAATATCACCAGCTGCTCCCTCATCACACTTGGGTTTTGTCGCAGAAAAGACCGAGAGTCGACCTTTCCCTCGTCGTCCTCCTGCCTGCAGACCCTCCTCCGTGGCACTGGCTGCAGTCTGCTCCTTGGTGCCTGCTCTTTCAAGTCTACAGCAACCTCGCTCATTGCCTTGACCCAAACATCAAATCCCTGAAACACTTCGCCGCCCCCCAACGCCGTTCTCTTCTCACCACCGTTCTCTTCTCGATTCCTTCGACCTCTCGATACTTCTTGCTCATTGTTGTATCCACATTCGTATCAGCTTATCCGACCATGCCGTTTCCCAGCCTCCGACGGCGAACTGTCAACGAGGCAGACCAGCTACCGGAGGAGCACAAGTCTCCCTTGCCATCACCAAGAGCTCGTTCGGCTACCGTCCCTAGCCTGACTCCACGCAAGAGCTTGACATCTCTGATGGGCTCTGTCAGAAAGAGAGGCATATCAAGGTACGTCGGGACTCTGCAAGATCTCTCAGCTGTTAACGAGTGCCGCAGTCCCTCGCCAGTCAAGCCTCATCATGATGTCTTCGAGCAGGAATTATATTCGGCGTATGATACCTTGAATCCTGACCATGACCCCTTCAGAGCCGGCCGAGATCCCTCTGCATCTGACAAATCCAAGCGTTACTATCGGACACCTAGCCCTCATCCTCTCAAGATGTCGGCTACATCCTCTCTGTCGAGATTGTCCAAGCTGAGTCGCGGTACTCCGGGCAGCAGGTACTCAGATTCCTCTCAGACCGGATCACCCCCAAAGACCTTCCTCGAAGTACTAGCTGATGCTATTCGAGCTCCGACCTCATTATTTTACAAGGAGAATAAGAGCAACTCCAAGACTGAAGATGCCAACATCTGCACCAACAAACCTCCGTCACCGGCGAGGAGTATCAGTCCGAAGAAGTCGGTCAGATTCAAGCCTGGAAAATCAATCATCGAGAGCGAACCAAGATCTTCTCCCATCGACATTCCTAGGCCAACGCCCTCCCTGCCTCCTGTTCAGTTGGCCACCACACCACTCCTGCAGTGCTTCGGAAATGACCACCCACATTTAATCCCAACTGGTAGGCCTCCTCAGCCGCAAGTGTTAGATTCAACGATCAATTTCCGTCAGGCCATGGCTGCGGCCCAATCGTCCATCACTGAGGATGATCTCCAGGATGTTTTGTCGGTCGGCACCCCGTTATCAGAACTTCCCTTGCCTTTGCCTCGTGCTACTGTCCCAATGGAGAACTCTTCTACAGATCTAAAAGCCGAGCACGACATGGAAATCAAGCGGCACATGCTTCGAGAGTACGATAACCAATTTTCCAGCAAGGGGTTAGAGCCTTGTCGACCTGCAGACATTCTCATCGAGAATCGCTTCGTCGCCAATGATGAGAGGATTCAAGATTTACCCGAAAGCAACTCCGCTGTAACCGCAGTGGTAACCGGGGGCTTGAGTTTAGCATTGAAGATGGCCAACCATGACGAGGGCCCAAGCAAATCAGCCTCTTCCAGCGAGATCGGTCAGGCTGAATTGTTTCCCGAAGCCGAATGCACTCTCGAAGACAATGTGTCAGAGCTCAAATCGGATCTATCAGCTTCTGATCAAGGTGATGCGGACTCGGACTGCTCGGATGGACGATCTGTTGTCTTGACAGTTTCCTCCTTAACGAGGTGCGGAAATGATGAGAAATGGAACGAAAACCCAACTCACGAAGATATTCGTCTCCGTTTTAAGCACCCGGAATGTTTTAAGCCTGTGAAGTCTCGTGATGCGGGCAGCATCTCGGACTCGAATGCCGATTCGCACGAAAACACCCGGGCCAAAGCAGCTATTACTCCATTACCAGATGCGAATGCGGACTCGAGCCCACTCCAACTTCCACCGTCTGCTACTGTTGGCGAGGTAGAAGTGGAGTCCAGGAAGAGAAGAATATGTCTCCATTCAACTTCCGACGGGGTGGGCGAGAAATAGTCCCCTAGTCTCAACAGGACGCTGATTCCATTCTAGGACCCATACTTCTATGTCCCTGAAACTTTCCTTCAGAATCCACCCTGGGTAGCGGATCTCGCCCTTCGATGCGATAGACCATTTCCGGAAGACAAATCGAGACAACTTTCTTACATTTTCGCTCGGGCTCGGACCGAAAGATGCGAGAGCTCCATGTCGCTTGCAGGAACTATGACTGAAAGCGAGCCGGACGGCGGAGCTTCACTATTGCCTGAGTATGCTGAGGTTAGCATTGACTACTCGCCTTGGTGGAGAAATCTGTCTCGTCGCTAACAATGCATAGATCGAGGAGAAAGAATCTAATGAAATTCTCAGCAGCTTAAAGACCCAAACACGTTCTCGGCAAACGGTGCCTCGTGTGAAGGGTACACCGTCTCCAGCATTCATTCCGTTGCCTTTATCTGCCCGTCCTTCGGCGAGACACTATTATGGAATGTATACCGACGAGTACGGGTCCTGTCATTTTGAAGACCGAGAGCCATCCAACTGTGAACCATCCAACTTCGGCGCTGGAGCTGCTGTGAATGTTCAAGAATATGGATTCGACCATAGCCGTGAGACTGACAAGCATAACCCGGACCAGAGCAATTGTTTTGGAAGCACTCCACCAAACATTCCTCGTGATACAGAGCAAGAAAAACTAGCGAGAGCAGCCGAGGTCTTGAAGAAATTTGTCCCTCGGAAGGCCAGTGATTCGAGCTCCTCGAAAAATCCGACCATCGACACCGAACCCAAGTCTGTCCGTGAACATATAACAAGAATCCCTCTCTTGAAGCGTTTAGAGGGTTGGTCTTCTTCAGAGACCGAAGTGGAGAGCTTGAGTCAACGCCCGTGGAATCGGGAAAGAGCGACTACAGCCGAAAGCAAATGGTCTGCAGGGAGCAAAAGATCCGACAAGAGTAGTTCTGGCGAAACGTTGAAGACAGCAACTTCCACAGATCCAAGTGAGGCTATGGATGAGGATGAACTTTTGTGCAAGGGAATTGTTTGATGATGAGGGATATCGAGTCGATTGCTGTGCAACCTTCCAGGAACTATAGGGATGCGCTGCAGATATCTCATTGGTGCAAACGTTCGTTTTGGAATGGAATGGCAATAGTCACGGTGAAGCCCGACTATACATCGCAGCAGGATAGCATGATATATGAATAGAGAGCCCCTGAGAATGAGGCTACCGTAGAATACTACAGTTGAGGATGCTTTCCTACATCACGGTGGGCCCGATACACTGACCCCAATCTTCTTGGCCGCCTCTCTGGCAGCCTTGTGCTTGCTCACATTACCCTCCATGCCATAGCGAATGGCATCAGTGGTCCCGGGAATGATCATTTCGAACGTCTCCCTGACGACAGCATAATCGTAATACCCGCACCTCGCAATGGGCTGAGTCTTGCTCACATCGATCTTTCCATCCTCTGTCAAGACATCGTTGTCGATATGAATGCCTACGACCTTGCCGATAACCACGTCCACGGTCCCCATGGGAGGGTTCCCCGGTAAGCGTAACGTGGAGTGATACTCGCATTCGAATTTGACCGGCGACGCCTTCACCATGGGCACGGGCGTCGCCAGCACCGTGGACCACTCCTTCTCCAGGCCGGCCCGGTCAAACTCGTCGACGCCGTAGGGCACTTGTTCGGCGGTGACGTTGACGGCCTCGCGCAGGTCCCAGGTGGCCAGCTGCCAGCAAAACACGCCCGTGGCCTCGACGTTGCGCACCGTGTCTTTCTGCTGGCACGAGGGCGTCTGGTTCGCGGAGAACATGACAAAGGGAGGGTCGAAGGTCAGGTTGTTGAATTGGCTGAAGGGCGCCAGGTTCGCTGTGCGCGTTGGTGTCTCTGTGGTCTGCGGGTGGCCGTTGCTGGCGGAGGTTGAAGTTGCAGATGAGCTGGATGGTTGGGGAGGCGAGATGGTGCTGATCCAGCCTATTGGGCGCGGGATGACGCATGCCTGTGCAATATGAATGAGAAAAGGGGAGGGAAGGCAAAGGAAACATTGTTGCCATGTACAGTAGAATGGGAGGGGCGCCAAAAAAAAAAAAAAAAAAGGAGGAGGAATCGCAACTGCGGGAGAGAATATGGCTTCCTGATGTCCTTGTGTGTCCGCGCAGGAATCTCGTCCATATTTCCACATGTACTGGCAACCCATCGCAGAGAAGAACAAGGGGGGCGATAGTAACTTGACCGATCGATTGAATTGCATGGAACGCCTGGCTGAACGATTGACTAATGGACTGACTGACCTTGAACGGATCATAAGGCAGGTTATGCTCTGTTTTGCCCGGTTCGTAGAACATGGTTTCCTTTCCCCCGGCTTCAATATATCAATTAATGAATATATCAATCGATCAATCAAAATCAATTTCTTGCAGGTTTCTAGTCGCTATGGTTCCGCCGGCCTTAGGGAGGGTATATCCGCAAAAAAAGAGAAAGGAAAAGAAAAGAAAAAGAAGAGGTTTTGACACGAGCTCCTCTGGACGGCTCTGTGAACAGGGGGTCGACGTATATAGATTATATATGTCAGAGTTGAAGACTTCAACTAACTGCCTCCCTGTCTAGGTGGTCATATTGTAGTCCTGGGTGTGTGGGGCACCTCGACTCCACGATCACCCATTCTCTCCGCAAACCGGATCGAGAACCTGGTCCCTATGGACGACGGAGCGGCGAGTCGGAGTTCTGCAAGGGAGTTGACGGCTCGACCGAGCTACTTAACTCGGAATAGTAGTCCGAAGGAACCCAAGGAAGGACTCATTTGGTTCCGAGATACAGGATCAAGTACTGGCCTCCCTGCCGAGATGCAGATACGCACACGAAGGTCAAAAGACTGTTGGATATATTACAAAGCAGGAACAGACACCTCAACTGATACCAAAGGGGGTTTGGTCCATTCGGTGTCCATCTAGGGACAATTTCCTCTCTGTTCCCGTGCTGCAAGTTTCAAACATCCTCCTCAGCATCGGCGACCGCTTCTTGCACAGATCGTCCGGCGAATGACCTACCTTTCTTCCTCTCCACATCGCGTTGTCTCCTGTGTTTGTGTCCGGCTCTCCCGTCCCCTCCCAAGCTGTGCTCGTCCTCGACACCACCGCCTTGGCGATCCGACAATGAGCTTAGTTCGCGATGCTGGACCGAGACTATCCAGCAACCATCGGCTTGGATCTTTCGAGAAAGTTCCTCCGCGAAGGCGACACTGCGATGTCTCCCTCGTTCACACATGATGCCGACCACGAGTGTCGACGGCCCCGCAGGGGCTAAAGGAGTCTCCGTGCTCGTGTCGACCCCCTCGCGAGCAAGTCTCATCTCACGCATCTTCGCCCGCACGGCCCCGATAATGAAACATAATCTTGCAGCGGCGGCCTTATTAGCCATGACTTCCTTGCGCAGATGAGATGACAGGCCAGTGTGCGTCTTGCGGAGCTTGGCAGGTGGGTTTTTGATGTCCCTCACCGAAAAAGTCAGCTGTTCGACAGTGCCGGGCTCCGAGAGGGTGAGTGGGCCGTTGGAATGGCCATAGGAGACGATAGCGAGCTCAAAGTCTGACACGGCCTTTGCTTTTGTGGAAGATGCTTCGATCTCGGAAACTGGCTCCTCATCGTCGGAATTTTCCATTGCGCCTTTTCGTTGTCATTTGTGACTGCTGATGGAAGAGTCACCAGAGGCTGACAGACATCATTCGCGGACTGCGGGTATGGTGTAGCAGCCACCTGGGACGGCTTATTCATCGATACCTGGCACCTCGCCTGCAGGTTGATATCGGTTCGAGGCGTTCTCAAGGTATGTAGGTGTCCAGATCATGAACGTGTAAGCTGGTTCTCTATACGGATGCGCGGGGTCCCTTCCAAGAGGAACCATGTCATTCCTTGGCACATCACATGACCACACGTGACTTGGTGTTTGGAATTGTGCTGACTGATTCTTACACAATCAGCCCCGCGGAAGGTTTTCCGAAAACCTCCATCGGCATTTGTTCATCTGCGGCCGCAACCTTTTCATACAACAAATGCTATTGAAAGATCTTCATAAGCTGCAAGCTGCCTATCTAATGCTGATGGTCGAATCGTGCTTGCCTATTCTAGTATGTTCGGCTGTCCATTGTATCCTGAAGGTATAAGTAACTTCCCTTTCCTTTCCGTGAAGTAAATCTACTGCTTTCTGATTACCATCACAACGGCACTTCTTATTGCATACTACTCCGGCATTCTGGCCTCGACGAAGACGTTTCTTCAACAAGGGAGACCAATCCGCAGCAACATTATACATCGCATACAACCACCAGCCACCGCTAAATCTACAAAAACACCCTTTCTAGGACGACCTCTTTTCCCGTCTCGCCTCGCGTCGACCACGACAGCAAATATGACGACCCCCCGACAGATCAAATTCTCCTTCCTCGCTCGCGAACAATCAGAAGGCGCGGGCGCCGTAGTACGGCGCTCAGTCGGCACGCCAAAACTGCGCAACTTCACTCCATTTCTGATGCTTGATCACTTCAGGATTTCTCCTGGTGCAGGGTTTCCTGACCACCCTCATCGAGGACAAGAGACGATCACCTACCTCTTAAAGGGTGGTGTTAACCACGAAGATTTCGCCGGCAATGCAGGAAAAATCGGGCCTGGTGATTTACAATTCATGACGGCAGGTCGGGGAATAGTGCACGCTGAGATGCCGGTGCAAACCGAAGATATTAGCATCGGCATGCAACTCTGGGTCGACTTGCCCGAGAACCTCAAATCCTGCGAACCCCGCTACCGCGATCTTCGCGCAGCCGAAATCCCAATCGCAAAGACCGACGACGGAAGAGTCGAAGTGAAAGTCATCTCTGGTAAAAGCCAAGGCGTCGAGTCCGTGAAAGACCTAGCTTACACGCCCGTGTGGCTTCTCGATATCTCGATTCTACCTGGTGGAAAGATTACGCAAGAGCTTCCACAGGGATGGAATGCATTTGCGTACACGCTCGAAGGAGCGGTGACTTTCTCCAACGGTGCCGACGCACATAAAACAGAAACAGTCACACCCTACCACAACGTTGTGTTTGACCAAGCCGGCGACCTGGTGATCGCTTCAGTCGAGGAGGATGCACAGGAAGGTGCTCGATTCATCCTCGTCGCCGGTCAGCCACTGGACCAGAATATTGTACAGTATGGACCATTTGTGACTACTTCCAAAGAGGCCATCTATCAAGCCATGATGGATTTTCAGACGTCGTCCAACGGATTTGAGAGGGCGGCGAATTGGGAGAGCGAGATTGGGAAGAGCATGGGTCGGGTTAGATAAAGGGATGTCGATTGGAAAAAGTTCACGAGAGTACAAAATATTTTTTACCAGATGAAATAGGGTGGGATTTTGGAGCCTTGCTTCGTCTTGTATAGTATAACGCAGCATCGGTGTCACAACATGGATGGATATATATATATATATACCCAAGTAGAAATTAAGACCTATAATGATGGATTTTACGTTGACATACACATCATCGCAGAACCACATCTGGTGGCGGACATGATTTCCCTCGCTCTTTTGCAAAAGGAGATACTTTTTGGACGCTCCCACATGGAGGGGAGCTTATTGAATACCTACTAGGCTACTACTTTATTCAGATATGTAGCTTTTGCATGCCTCGTCTATCTTTCGTCGTGTCATGCCGCGTCTGCCGCGTCGTGTCGTGGACGTCGCAGGGAATAGCAATGGTGTCAACCGACCAACCCAGCTCGGAGAGAAGCAGTCCACATCATCCGTCCATCCGTACTCCCTATGAATGTAGTATTGCGGTGCGCGGTGCAGGTCACAATTCGAGTCGTGCGCACGAATTCTACATATGAGCCGCAGTGGTGACATCTTCGCTTGGTGCACGGCTCAGGGAGAAAGAAAAAAATTCGTGTCCTTGAAATGTCCCTCGCCTGCTCGCTCGCTCGTTCGCTCGTTTGATGTTTGGTGTTTGAGGAGTTGTTGGGTCATCGATCCCCGAGCCTACATACATACCCTAGGCAGAGTAGATAGGTAGATAGTTCCGTTTTTGCTTCCGTGTCGAACCCCCCCATCACATCACATCACAATGAACCCGGTCCGGTGGCGCTCCTATGATTCCTCTGCTTCCTCTCCTGCGCCGTCGGTTTCGCCGACGGTGCCTGTCAAGCCGTCGTCCTCGTCCTCAAAGGTGTGCAAGGGCACCTCGTACAGCCTGATCACCGGTTTGTTCGGGTCCTTGACCAGGACATATTTCCTGTCCTTTCCGGGTGCTGCTTCTTCTTTCTCTGCTGCTGCTGCTCCTTCTTCCTCTTCGTCAGCGGCATCGGACATGCTCCTGACGAGGTCGACGATGGTTCGGACGATACCCCATCCGTTGGAGAAGCCCAGGTTCATCTGACTGGCGAATTCGCGTGGCTTGTATCCCACAACACCGAGGATGACGTGGTTCGCCGCGCTCTTTGGATTCGCTCTCGACACAAAGCCGAGCTTCATTTGATCCGCCCTGGCGAGGATTGCCTGTGTAGTCCATCTCGCCAATTTGCAGCTGTTGTTCTTCATTTCGGTTGCGACCACGGCACCCCTCTGCGAGGTGAGTTTTGTGCGCCAATCCAATGCACCACCGCTGCCCTGGGCCTTATGATCAAATTCATTGAGCGCTTTGAGTGTGAGGAACTGATCCTCCCCTGAGATGTTGTTCTTGATTGCGGCGTCGAGTTCCGTGCGGACGATCAGGTTGAGAGGTTCTTCGTCACGTTCTAGCGATAGGTCGAAGCGGCGGTATTTGTATGCCTTTGAGGCGAGCGGGTCGGTTTCCTCGGAAGCACTGTAGAATGGGTTGGGGTGAGGGAATTCGACTTTGCTGTTGGGATTTTCGATCACGGTTTGGAAGGCGAAGTTGTGGTTAATCATGGTGGCTTCCATGGCGAGGTTGGATGGGGTGTTAATGCTATCCGGTTTCACTCCGGTTTGTTGTTGGGATGGCGTACTGGAGGTGTCTGCTTCTAGAGGTGCATCGGCGGCATTTTCATTGACCGTAACCAGGTCAATAGAACTGTCCGGCCGCTTGTCCAGGAAGATCTTGCGACCATGCTTCAGTATCACGATGTCCCAGCTGTACACAGAGCGAGTCGCACACATAAGCATGGAGAGAATATCCGAAGTGGCGAAGATGGTGGCCTCGTCTTTCTCAGCCAGTTCTTGGATTACCGGATCGGCCGAGGTGGTCACATTGTATGCGGCCCGCTCAAGGGACAGGAGCTTGCGCTCAGTGTTCTTCACAGGAGCTTTGTCGTAGGACCGATCGTAATAGTAGAGGAACCCGTAGCTGTCGATATCTTCTCCGTCAGGGGTCTCGAGGTTGAGTTTTGCAAGTCGGTTAAAGTCGATTTCCTCTTTCATGACCCAGTCGGGGCGGATGTTGACTGAAGCGTCACGGTTTCTTTGTGGTTTGTCGTAGTCTCGCCACCCGAATCGCCGACCTCTTCCACCTCGACCGCCTCTCTGGTCGAAGAACTGTCCCTGCTGTTGACCTCCTGTACGGCCTTGTCCGACTCTTTGGAATGCTCCTCGTTGTCCTCGTTGGGCAGCTCCTCGTTGACCTCGGCCGCGGAAGACCGTCACTCCGCCTCGACCAAAGCCACGGCCCTTTGCCGTTGTTCTGGTGTTGTCGACGACAGAGAAGGTGGCTTCGTCTTCTGCGGCTTGCACGGCGAAGAGAGAGGATGTGCCCGCGCCGTAGACTTGTTGGTCTGGACACACATTGTCAGCTACGCCCTGTGATTAGAGGATGGAGAGATCTTACCTCTGTAGTTTCTCCCATATTGTCTGCCACCTCGATCTCGACCTTCTTTGCCTTCTTGGGTCCAGTCGGCCATACGACCTAGTTTATCGCTTTTGGAGTATGGGGCATATGGGACGCCGTCGAGGGTTGTCGTGATGGCGATTGCGGGGCCCCATTCGTCACTGACGCTGAGTTCACCGATCGTTTCCGCAAGATTTATCCCGGGCATATTGGATGTTGAGCAGATACGAGAGATTCAAGTCCAAATTTGTTCATCGACAAATGTCGAAGCCGCACAGGAATAGTGGGGTGTAAATGAGCGCCAAGCATGGAAATCTGTTCGCCGCGCTTCATTCCGTTTCGGAATTAGCAAAACGCCGCCCTGTTATTTTCAGCAAGCCTTCACCCAGAGCAAGGCCAATAGTTTTCCGTCAATCTCTGCGCTAACCTTTATAACTAAGGGCGGCGTGATAACTACAGCCTTGCCCAGAAAAAGGACTTTTGATTTACCCGGTCTTGCCCGGTACAACCACTTGATCTTCTCCTTGACGATAGCTCGCCTCGCTAGCAATTTTCCTTGGTCGTTCCGTCACCCTTCCAATCGATATGAGAGTGACAAAGGATGCATCCCAATCGCCCTTGTGCAATTCTTTTTGCATATCCGACGTGCGGCTGACAAAAATATCATAGTCTCTTCGGATTGACTCGCAGCTGATTTGTGAAGAACTTCCTTTCGGAAAAGCTGTGGCTATGGCTCCTCAGGCTCTAACGACAAGCTCCTTGCGCTTTCCGTCGCTGATATCTGATATTTGGATGTTGATCTTGTTCGTTTACGGCAGGCGTCGGAGCCGTCGTACGTGATACAACAACTGGACTCGCATTCTTGAAATTATCCAGATCGGAAGAGAATCTGTTCAAAAGAGGCGCAGAGAACAGTGCCTTGTGCTTGTGCGATCAGGCCGTCCGTTCTACGTACGACGGCTGCGTCCAACAGGTTGACTACAGGTAATGCAATAATTATAGGGGTCATCTCAGTGCAGAAAGACTTCCCTGATGCTGTGATAAGCTGGGAACGCCCCAATGTAACCATGTTTTCTCCGCTCCCCGATTCTTACATGCGGTGGAGGCTCTATCAGTCTTGGTGGGTGCTGATCGAGTGTCTATGTGGGTCTATCCTATTCGTCCTTGCTAAGCCTGCTACGAGCATATTAACTAGACTTTAGTGATACCACTAGCTGGCAATTGGGGTCCTCAAAGGCGTATTCGACTCCTCGACATGCAAAGTGTTTCCCGCGCTGGGAAGGCGCTAGAATACTCGATACAAAAGTCAAAGGACGCCCAGAACCATTTGTTCGTCTTCCCAATCTCTTCCCTGTAGACCAGGCTGCGCGGTTAAAACCTGGCGACGAGGCAAAGGCAAACATGGTGAGTGAGAATAAGAACCGCCGAGCGGCGGGCTTGAGGTGAGTGTCTCGAATCTTCACGTCTTTGGGCTGGTTTCCTGTGTTCTCCGACAGCTTTCTCTCTCCCATCTTCATCGTATTTCGCAAAATAAATTCGAGACATATCTTCACTGCTCTTAATTCTTCCGATGAAAGCATGCTTCCACCGTATAGCGGAACCACAACACCATCAAACACCGTCGAGGGTAATTGCGAAGGCGGCGGGTCATGCGATGTTTGTGGGAACCCAGGAGATTTCTCAAGACTAACCCCGTGCGCCGAGAATGAATTGTAATAGAGACCATGGCACTTGGTGACAGTTTCTTTGACGGCATTCGCGGGAAACTGGGGGAGTTTCGAAAGTTACACCCTGCTCATGGGGCGGATTATATTGGGAAATACCATTATCCAGCACTTCCGAAAATGTGACTGAATATTGTTTAGGGGACATGGTAAAGGTGTCTGCAATGCAGAAAGGCCACTAAAGATAGCCATGCAACAATGAACCGAGGAAGATGCTTAAACAAACTCTAGCAGCAGCAACCTGAGCGATCTTCAACTCTTACCGTTTTGTACAGCCATGTCACATGCTCTCAGCATGTTTCAGGCTGCCTCGAATAAGATCCAGATCTGCTTCGACCTGCTCAGCATCGTCATATGTTCTCATCAAGCAATTCACACTCAGGGCTCCCAGGAGATGCTGTTTGCGCTCCGGAATTGCTGTTCGCCAACAATCTATCGACCTCTGCGTCGTCCTTCTCGAGATCTGGTTGTTGGGCAGTCTCAAGTTCATACAAGAGAGACCCGGAAGCAAAGAGCTCCGATAGGATAGATGGATTCGTTGTTGGTAGCTTCGGATGTTCGGCGCGTAGACTGGGACACATTAGGTCGGGTTCCGTCGATTGATCATCTGTCGAAATCACAAATTTTGGCATTGTCGGCAGACTCGAGTAACACATTACGCAACACGATACCGACTTGCAGGTCACGGCATTCCTGGAAGTATTGAGGCCCTTGCGTGATTGGAATAGCCCAATACAGGATTTGTGCCGGAACTGGCGGGTGTCCTGTTTGATGTACTGTATTTCGAGGAGATGCTAGCGAATGGGAGGTTGAAGACGCTCTAGGACCAACATACCATAATTTACGGCAAGGAGTTTCGGAATGCTGGGGATGAACAGGGTGGACTCTAGGCGCTGATGTATTTCCTACTTAATCGCAAGGTTGTGGCGATCATAGCCCGAGGCGCGAGGAGCTTTTATGACAGACACGTGACGCGGTGTCGTGTTGCCGCGGCTCCTGATCGGCTAACCTTCCTTCCCCTTGCATGTATCCAGCACAACCTGCGTCCTCCACATCCAATCGTGCTTGCAACAAACAACACAACCTGAACCCAAGGCCCCTTGCAATGTAAGTGAATGGCCTACGTTAGCCAGCGAACCGAGATACAGAGGCATCTTGCTAAAGATGTCGCTTGTTGTCTTCTGCGAGTTGCTCGTATCAGCGCGATCTTCTGCATCCTTCGACCACCGCAGCCGCCTGAGTTCCCAACTCTCCTATCCAGCGACTATGTGTCTCCATGAAAACTCCTCCCAAAATTCGGCGACGAATATGACATGGTTCGCAGGCGGTGCGGCTATCTCTCTCCCCATTACAGGTCCCTGACATTGCTTTCCAAGAATTCAAGAGATCAAGCGCAGGAGCAGGTGACAAAGCGAACGGAAGGGCCGATATCGTGTCTATCATGCTGGTGCCAGAAGGAAATAGCATCCTTACGCATCAGATCACCAATTGAACCACTTGGAACCCACGCTTAGGATGTGCCTGACCTAAAACCGGACTTGTATGACGGGACTCTACCCAGTGGAATTAACCGGAGTGTTCGCCATGATCTAGGAAAGCAGATTACTTCTGAGCACAGTTCACCTTCTCTTGGCCTTTGTATCTGCCGTCAGTGCAGCCACCAAAGACATTTTATCAACCCTTCTTCGACGCATACGTCCAATTTCTAGTTGGAATTCCCTCAGGATAACGATATATGGGGACTCTACGTACTGCTGCACCTCTAGGCCCGAGAGGTAGCCCGATTGGTCAAAGGTCTGTCGCAGGCGTTCGAACACGGAAAATGACGTTGAACAGAAGCATTAAAGCAAATCTGATGGTCAGTCTGAACGTCGGGAAGGCTCACTTCTCTGTTTGTCCAGCCTCTTCCAGCTTCAACCTAGCCAGTTCAGCCGGTGCCGTCGGCTTCCTACCCAACAACCACTCCAAGACGCCTGGATTACCCGGAAAGCCCCTGCCGCTGTAGTACAGCAACATGCGCTCGGGCGCATCCTTGAACTGCTAGTTCATTTCGTCCCCCTGGTCGACCCCGTAAGTTATCTTGACGAACATGTCTGCGGCCTGCTCGAAGGGGACGCGCTTGATCTCGAACCGCTTGCCGAGTACGCCGCCGATGGACGCGACGCATTCAGCGATCGTGATCGGTAGGGCGCTCACAAGCTGGTACGTGGCGAAGAAGTGCCTCTCGCGTTCGCGGACGACCTTGACGGCGACCTCGGCATGATCGTGCACTGCAGAGAACGACGTGCGCACACCTTGGTTGAACGGCGCAATGAACGTGCCCGTGGTGCTACCCCTCAGCGAGTCCTTCTGGCTCAGCAGCTGGCCCATGAAGTTGTCCATGAAGGTGCTGGCTGCAGGATCGTGTACGACAAGCCGGACTCGGTGAGGTACTCTTCGATCTGTCGTTTTTGGTCATGGTGCAGCAACGCGCTCGCCTCCAGGCATAAGGTAGAGCTGAACACGAAGTGGACGAAGCTGAACCTGGACGGTGGGTTTGAATCTCCCTTCCTCCTCCGCCTCCGGCTGCTGCTGCTGTTGCTGCCGACGGGACTCTGCGACCGCAGCATCGACCATGTTCATTCCCAGAGTGACTTCGTACGGGTGGAAAGGGGCGCCCGACGTGCACCGCAGCGCAGTCCGCGGGGACCCGGAGATCGCGCGACTTTTCCAGGCGGAGCGCAGGGCGTGATGATGATGATGATGATGGTGGTGGTGGTGGTGGTGGTGGTGGTGGGGGCAGTGGTAGTCCCTCGTACAGGAGCGGGATGATCTCCCTGCTCTGCTTGCCACTGGCGCACGTGAGGACAAGGAGCTCTGACATGATGGGATGCGATTCTCCTTATGCATTGTCTCTGTATACTTGGTTTTCGCATGTACCTACTTAATGGCCGCTGTAACGGATGTAGATACGTAGGTAAGGGAGGTGGGAGATGGTGGGTCTTCGACGATGAATGATTGATTTCTCGATCTCGACATGGGACGACGACGCAGAGCGCTGATATCATTCCAAGTGTATACGGCGAGAACGGCAATCGATAATTATGCTCGGCCTTTCGGAGACCGACCTGTCGGTCGGGTCGATCACATAGTCCCTTCTTAATGATGCATATGCCCGTCATGGTGAGGGGATACAGTAAATTGGCCTAGCGGCGGTATCTATTTACAGCCCATCTGTAAAGAATGAGAGGGACTCAAAAAGAAAAGAGCCGTTAGAAACTGATACATGCGTCACATCCTGGAGGTTTGCCAACTTCGACAATGGTCCGAACAACACCAACCAACCCAACAATGGAGGTGCAGCCCATATCTTAGACAGCCATCCATACAAGAATCCGAAATCATTCACCAGCAACGGATCGTCGCTGAACAAGCGCAGCTGCCGGCCACCTATATCGCCCATCATGCGTACATCTCATCGATCTCTGCCGTGTAATCTGTCCCCAGTTGGTCGTATGTCTCTGGTTTTGTTGCAAAGATACTCGAGAGAGCATCCCGCAGCTCGAAATCTTCCATCACCGCCCCGAAGCCGTAGCATCGGACTTTGCTTCTGATGGACTCAATCATCCCCAAGACGTCCTCCCGTGTGAGAGTCGCGTAGTTCCGGTGACCCTTGAGCGATTGTAAAGCCATGATGGGCGTCACTTGGCCGCTGGGAATAGCGCTGCCTTTAAGCGTTTGGCTCAGATTGAGCAAGTTATTCAGGATCTGTACTGACTCGGCATCTGGCAGTTTGTGCTCGTACGTCGGCACCAACCCGCCTTCTTGCGCGGGAACTCGCGAGATGTGGCTTGGAGGTGGGCAGGTCGCCATCAAGGCATGTCCAGAATATAGCGCTTCTTCTTCATTATCGGGTGAATCCGCCGACCGTCGGACAAGGTACTCCTCGTGATCACGACAAGTCTGCTCCAACCTGAAAGCAAGTGATCAGTCGCGAAAGTCTGAGGAATGGAAGGCAGTATCCCCACTTACTTCAAGATAAAATCAATGCCCAGTTGAGGGTCCCTTTCGAAGATGCCCGGCATATCCGGTGTAGGTCCTTCTTCCTGTTTGATAGCAAACTCTTGAATTTCTGGTCCCTGAGGCGTACTGGCGTACTGAGTTGTTCCAGGTGAATGACCTGACACACTCATAGGGCCACCATTAAGATACGCTTGAGGCGAATAGCTGCTGGTAGCAGAAGCGGGTCCTGTCACGACGGTTCCATAACCAACCGATCTAAGCCCAACGGATTGGGGACTTAAGGTACTCATTGACGAAGGGGTCATGGAATTCTCTTCTCGCTTTGGTTTCAGCGCCAGCATGGCTTTCCGGTTCTCCAGTTCGTTTTCGAATGCAATTCCCCGAGATGTGAGGACTTCTCTCAATGCCACGTTCTCCCGTTGCTGATTCTCAATCATCAACTTTTGCTGCTGGATGGTTGCGTCTCGCGTATTTTGCTCGAAGACGAATGCTTCGCGTAGACGTGCGAGCTCCATTTCTAAGGCTTTGATATAGTTCTCTTTTCGTTCCCGGTGCGTTCTGATAGATCATCGCCTTTAGCAAATGGCTAGAGGAGTGTAAAAGTACTCTACATACCTTTGAGCTTGGCGATTGAGCTCCTGCCGCCGGGTTTGTGCTGGTTTACTGTCTGGTTTAGGGCCTCTTCTCTTAGCAGGTTGACCGTCTAGTTGTAGTCAGCTCTGAAACTAGGATAGGACGGATTAGAAATGCATACCTCGAGTGATCCGTTTTTGCATCCCTCCAAACCCCTTAAGAAATCCCATGTTCACTGTGTTGGTGGGTGTTTTTGCTTCGGAGGGAACCCCATTGTCTGTGATTGATCCCTAGTTAGCCCCCAGACCAATAAGACACGAGGAAGACAGATTGAGCTCCTCTGGTCGATTCGAACATCGATTGACGATCCCCGCCTCCGATCATCCGAGGGTTTTAGCACAATAAGATAGGTATCGACCGCCTGAATGTACACGATAGTCGAACTATTTGCCATTTGAGAATGGAAACCATTGTCGACCACCTCACCGAGATACGCAACCACCCATGAATCTAGAAATCGGAAGAAGAGAGAGACAGCAGGCGACTCACGGTAGGAAGTGCCAGGCGCATAGTCTTGACCTGACCAAGTCGACGGGTCCATTTCGGAAGATTGTTGCATGTTGGCATGCATATGAGTCGGATGCGATGTCATGAGAACAAATATGCTGGCTCCGGCAACCCCTCGCTAACAATGACGCCAAATTGATTGATTTGCAATCTGATCGAAGAGAAGGCCGGGGTAAAACCCCTGGCCTTTGGGGTCCGATTGGGAAGAGCTGGCCGCAAAGGAAGCTCGGAATTGGTAGGAGCCGGTCAGAGCCAGTCGAGGATGGAAGGTGCGGTTCTTGTTGTTTGGAGAGGCCACGCAATGACTTAAACCGGAAAGGAAAGTAGAAGACAGTGGCAAGAGGACCGGGATAAGGGTTTGGCAGTTAGCATGTCGTTCTGAGACTAATCATGAGACGAGGTTGGAATTGCGCCGTGAAAAGCCAATGTTGACGCAGGAGGATCTGGAATCAGGATGGAGGGGTCGAGCGCAAGGCAATATTTTTATGGCGGGACACGAATGCTGATGGCGGTAGGGAAAATCTGTACAACAATTCCGTCGCAGGTTTCCTGGCCAGAGCGATTCGCAGGCCAATGACGGGCCGACAGCGGTTGCCGTTGATGACGGCAAAGAAAAGACGTGTTCGAAAAGTGTAAAGGGCAGAAAAACAGCGACGTTGAAAGCTGAAACAGAAGCAGCGTGATCGAGCAAGGCGGAACCGGGTCGATGCGTGTCCACACCCCCCTCGACCCTTACAGTGAGGTGCGGTGAGGTCGAGACTGGAAGCACAGAAAACGGAAGGACAAAGGGACCCTGATGGGATGACTGGCCCGCTGCTTTAGACGAGAGATGGCTCAGGCCTCCTCAGGGATGAGGGTCCAAGAGATGGTGGTTGAGTCCGGGCTAGAAACTCAGTCTCCTGATGCGCTAAGCACCAATTGGCCGGCGGGACTGTGTAGCCACATGTGTGTGGTAAGTTATACCTAGGCTGGGGTGTCTATATCGCAGCCCACTGGGGACCGTGGAGGGCTGGATGCAATCACGCAGGGTTGTCAGCGGTCTTGAGTGGGAGAAGATTCCCTGGAGGGCCTGAGCCCGTCTTTGTGCTGCGGCACGGAATGCGGAAGTGAGAAACCGGTGTTTCTCCAGATGAGGATGATTGACGATTGGCGAGGATGAGGGCGATGGTTGTCGCAGGATGGTTAGATAGTGGATGTAGCGTGACACAATTGGGAGTCAACGCACGACCGACACGAACTGTGTGACCTGAGTCGCGATCGGATGCGCACGGTGGGTGCAGGGGGGAGGCAATGGAGGAGGAGGGAGTCGGTCGATGGCCGGTGGTCAATGATGAATGGATATCATGGACAGGGAGAGAGTACGAGGTAGAGGTGCAGTTCTTTGTTTGCCTTTGTTTGCCTTCGTTTCTCTTGCGAGGAAGCTAGTTGTTCAGTCAGCACCCGAAGTCAGTGGGAAAAAAAAAAAAAAAAGGACCAGTCACTCAGCCCAGTTTGCCCAGTCCATCAAATATGCATAGGCACAGCCACAGTAGCAGTTGTACTGTATAGGTAAGCACTTGCGGCCTTGGGAGAACCCAGCAGCAGCAGGGTCATTCGTTCATCCGGCTAGGGCCCGATGTCAAGAATCCACCTTTACAGGCAAATGCAGGTGCTCAAGGACGACGACGAGTAAGGTGTTCGCCTAGCGCAGCGGTGGGATGTGCCTAGGTGGCTCTGTAATAGGTGCCACCGAGGGTGCCTACCTGGCAGGTGGTTAGTAAGCCTATCTGCGTATCAACAGGCGTAATTGCGTCAATGGTGCCCGCTCGATGGTGTCCCAAGAGGCTAGTGACGCCTAACTGCCACAGTTATGAAGCCAAGTAAGAGACCACCGCAACGGGGCATAGCGACCCTGGGATAATCACTTAGCCCAGACGCCGCAACGGCGTCCACACACAGCTCATTCATACTGCACTTGAAAAGACGCAGCCAGGACACATCTTGCACACCTCTTGCACACCTCTTCTTGTCGTCTTCCATCTACCATGCCCGTCGGGTCCGATGAACTTGTAATGAAGACTGGCCTGGCCGAACAAGTGACAATAGCAGAATCGGAGAAGCGAGCGGTGCCGCGATTCAATCTCAAGCATTTGTACAGCCGAGATGAGATCGACTTCTTGTGGCATCTTGTTCGCTAGAATGCACTTACCAGCTGCCTCTTACCTTCATCCACTCATTTGCTTTCCCTTTGTCTCTCAGAGTCTCTGAAGTCCCTTATGGTGAGCTACCTGTTCTCGACAGCATTCATGCCATGGCCCATGATGATGATGATCCCGTCTCTTTCATGCCGTTTCCTGGGCGCTAATCTCTTGCACTGTGCTCTCCCTGCTGCTTTCGAGATCCGTTGCACTCACTTCGCTGTCCAACGTCCTCCGTGCGTAGTTCATCCCGTTTAGCGACAAGTCCCCTTCCTGCTCACTTCCCCCGAGTAGCGCGAAGATCATTCGTCCGGCGCGAATAATTGCTAGAAAGGGAACTCTGCAATTGTTGTGTCCCATCATGTCTCTTGGGCAGATTTGTCCTTGACCTGGTCTGACTTCTTCCTTTCAATTCACAAAGGCTTTTTGTGGATCTTGGGTCTTTGCGAAACGGCAGCTGAAATCGACGTGCTTTTTTCCTCCGGCTTGAGTGTCTGAGAGTTGCCTGCTCCTTTATAAACAGTATCAGTGCTTAGAGTCAGACCAAAACAGCGGTCTGGGGCCTTCGACACTCCTCAGAGTCCATCAGTGGCTGATCTATCAGACGCTCGTTGGTCACCTTCTGCCTCCCTTTTCCAACCAAGGCCTACCAGTATTGTGGCAGTGTATGATGCTGTCGAATCATATGCCCACTGTTTGGCGACTGTAGTCCACGAAGGACAAGGACAAGTTCCAACATGTGAGTGTTGAACATCTGGCCGGGGGGAGTGATGGGGAGTGGTATTAGTAAAGAATGGCTCTAGCAACATCGATCACCTGGTGAAAGGAGCATCAGTGGAATGGGCTGCTGGTGATCAAAATCACCAGGGAATCTGCTACACCGACACAGCAGCCACGGAAATGAGTCTCGGGAGAGGAGGAATGTGATTGACGGTGGTGGGCGGGTGGTCGACGAATACATGTATGCATGGAATCTCCAGGTGTGTCTGCATCCCGCATCTCTCTTGTCTCTTGCATACCAAGCGGTTGGATGGCCCGCATGGTTGGACTTATTCAGGGGCGGTAATGTAGTCTTTGATTTGCCCGAGATTTGGAATTGGATTCCATCCACCAGTTTCCCCGATAAGCCGACCAAGGTCCAAGACGCACCACGTTGTTACAATCAACGTCACCACTTGATCACATCTCGCGAATCGAGGACCGTCACTGAGACCGTGGACCGGGGATTGACGTTTCCATGAGTGAAGTGGGATCTTGCACTACCATCTCAGATAGTCTTTTGGCATCCCTCACTGCTCATCGTTCTCGCTTCGACCACCATTTCGTCCCCATTGGCCCAACAATGCGCAAGACTCGAGACTTGTTACTACATACAATGACGGTCGAGAACGAACTCCTAGTTCATATCAATGCTGCCAGCACTGCACGAGATGACAGACGGTACATCGCCATCGCGCAATCCATTCTGGACTTCAGGCCAGCCATTATTACTAGAGTATCTGGCCCTGACCCTCATCCGCCGTCCTCTGCTTCTCGAGAGGAGTTAGGTGGCGCTGGCGAACGTGAAGCCTTCATCGATACTAGGTTGGTGTCCAATGTCCGCAAATTAGTGCAATGTGAACATGATTGGATTACCCCAGCGGCTGAGGACCCAGCCATGGCCCGTGGGCATTCGTGCTGTCTGAGCCTACTTTGGATTGTTACAGGAAGACTTACTATGCCATAGGAGTTCCTTCTCGCGTCAACAAAACCTGCCTCGCCCGAGCACTGCTTTTGAACTGACCTCAGCCGCCGATCCCACCAAACTATCGCGAACTCGAGGGAACCGTCGACGTGCCTCTTCAGAGACTTCTTCTACCAGCATCTCCTTTTCGGCCTATTCCAGGTCGAATGCTAGAAGGGCGGAAAGGAACGTGCAAGATGTCAAGAATATATCTGTCCCTCTATTAGAGTCTCGGTCTCAAGTGCTTCCGTCTGAATGTCTCTTGGCTTCCACAAAGGTCAAGCGAAAACGGAAGCAGCCACGAACGGAAATGGAGGATGGCAATATCGAGGGTGTCGACCTTGCTGCAGTCCAAGCTTCTGATGGCGATGGGACGGATTCCACAGAGTCTGCATCTTCGTCTCAGCTGAGGAGCAATGCTGTTTGGAGGGTAAACACGCACGAATCTCTGCCCCCGAAACCTTTCTCTGTCATCGATTTGACAAGCCCAGCTCGGCCCAACGGCCCAGTCTACCTTGGTCCTAATCCTCGCCCAGTAAAGACAAATGGTTCTCGATCACAAGGCTCACCGATTGCCAGCCTCGCCGCTTCCCCTACACCCCGCCCGCAAATCGACCATCAGATAAGACTCCTACCAGCAGAGATTCGAGCCCCGAATCCTCAAGGGGGCCAGATGGAGTTTACAACGCATCTTACCAAGACGCTGAAGAAGATGACCAACGGGGAGGCACCCTTGCTCAAGCATTTCCGGCCGGCATTTGTCAGTCGAGACATCCAGGTGCTCGAGCGAGGGTACTGGCAATTTTGGATCAAAATAGCAGAGGAGAGTATTGTGAAAGAGTCAAGACAGCCTCCGAGAGCAACCTTGAAGCTGCTAGGGTCTACGGCACGCAAGGAGCGTGGCAAGGCCGCGGGTGTGCGGGAGCTAAAGACTCCGGTTCACGCTCTGTGGACCGAGTGTGAATTCTTACAGTTCTGGAAGAATGTGACATTGGTTATCGAGTCAGGTAAGGTAGGATGGGCGACCCGGATGACAAAGGAGCTGGAAGGTGACAGTCTCTGGAAGATCAGGGCATTCACATGGGGAGAGACGCTCGGACACATTTGGATGTTGTTTTTGGTGTTATCAGATCGGCTGACGGGGAAAGTATGCATGGAATGGATCTCTGGGGATGGTGCAGCAGTCGTCCAGATGTCACATGGAAAACGCCAGTCTGGGGTATGGATGAGAAAGGGGCCGGAGGGGGCACGAGGGGTCTGGAGTTTGGGATAAGGCTGAGGCAAGATGCATGGAACGGGCTGGTTTGGTGGAAGATCGACATGGATTTTGGGGGAAATTGGAATGGCCGTGGGCAATGATTTTTTCTTTTTCTTTTTTCTCTCTCTAAGATACTTGGTATAGAGTACCAGTCTCTACGCTTGATTGGGCATGATCAAACATTATCCTTGCAGAACACAGTACGGTATAGTCGTGCCACCGACCACGGTACTCCGTATGGAGGGTGTCCGCATCATTGTGGCTGAGGAGATGAGGATGCCCCGTTGGACCATGGACCGTAGTCCATGAACGACCTCCAGGATCGTGACGGCTAGTGAAGCGGAGGTTTGCTCTGGACCGACTGGATGGTTGGATGGTTGGATGGTTGGATGGCTGAATGGCTGAATGGCGGAATGGCTGGATGATTGGCGTGGATGCAGGATGGTGGAGAGACGATGGTGACCTGTGAGCTGGGAGCTGGGAGCTGCGGCGGTTTGCTTGTCGTTTTTTTTCACTGGCGACTGCAGACTGCGCTCGCAAAACCCCAACGACAAGAAAATCGCATGTGAAAGATCTCGTGGCCTCATCCATTGCATTGCTCCTGGCCTTCTGTCACCAGCTGGACTCTGGTGACTTGGATTGGCACTGCAGAAACACCCAGAGTCAACATTGTCTTCACTTGAATCTCATCTCATTGCCTTCACCTTCATGACAGCCGCCTCTTGCCGCATTCTGCGAGCTTCTCGGCCCGTTTCTCCAGCCCGCGTCAACACTTCCCAACAGATCCTTCAACTGCCACTCAGGCCTGACTTCGACTTCACCTGCATCTTGCACTCACGACTGGGTGCACTCTACCATCTGACGGTTGTCATCTCCTCCTTCTGCGCCTATCTCGCTGTGTTCAAACCTACCTTCACCGAGATTTCTCGCCCTCAGCTCATCTGCACCTTTCCCCGACATCCACCAATCCGCCGATCTATCCCCCTCCACCCTGGCAAACGCATCGTTTCCTTGCCGCTTCCACTGGTCACGTCTCACAAGTCTAGGCTGCCTGGGAGCAGCCTAGGAGAAGAGCTGGAGGCGTTGTGCCATTGATGTTGGCAACTCAAAGAATGTCGTCCCATGGCGGACAGCAGAACTTCCCTTTCGGCTGTACGGCATACACCTCTTCTTTCCTTCCCTACTCCTCGGTTCCTTTCACTGGAGATACATTTACTCACGTCTACCCATTAGACCAACCTGAAAACCTTCATGGAATCGGTTTGCCCGAGTTTATGACCCCGGGTCCTCCTCCGGGCCAGCCTTTGCTCAACGCACACGAGAATCGCGACCTGGACAACTTCTTCCAAGGCTTTGATCAAAATGCCGCCGCCAACAAAGCATTTGCGCACACCCAGTTCAGTTCCCCTGCTGACCATGACCACCTCTTTGATATGCCCCCGATGTTCGTGGGTTCGGACACTGCGTTGGCTCAGCGGTCCATCATCGATCAACATCAACTAGCAGGAGCTGGATTCCCGTATGGCGACGGCTTTCTGGGGCATGACATGAACACCGTTTCACAGACGACTCCACTGGTCCCTGGAATGCACGGGGTTTCGTACAGTGATGCGACATTCCAAAATCCTCTCATCGCTCAGCTCCAATCCGCGGCATCAATGCAACCGGCGTACACTCAAGGTTGGCAACAGTCCTATCCACCTCAGAACGCAATCAGGATCCCTCCACAGGGTCGTCTAGGAATGGATTTTGGCACCGATTCTCGATTTCAACCAACTGGCTATGCTGCTCCTCACAATCCTATGGATCCAGACCTGCCTCAGGGATTGCAGATGAATAACCCCATTGGCGAGTGGTTGGAACCTGCTAGTGGAAGCACAACCCAACCAAACACACAGCCAAATACCCAACCGTCAAGTCCCACTTGGTCAAAGAAAAGAAATTTCGACGACTTTGTCAGAGATCAACAACCGCGCAACGGCTTTGTTGCCTCGGCACAGCAGACCAGCATGGCTCAACCATCTCCTACGCAGTCCAACCCTCGCAGGAAGCGTTCTGAGATCAAGATCGAAAAAAGGGCATCAATTTCTCAGCCACCAACACCGCTATCTAACAGCAAACCACACTCCCCGCTCAACTCCAACAACCTAGGAATAGGTGAGCAGGAGCCAGATGCTGAGGCAGAGGCAGAGGCCGAAAGAGAAGACGAAGAGGACGCCACAGAACCGCCCAGATCACCTTCCCCGGCACCCTGGCCAGCCTCTAAAGCTCGCCCTCCGCGAAACACAAAGGCTCCCCCTCCAAAGCTCCCTCGTAAGAAGAACGTCAGTGCGCATACGTCTACTCCAAGTAAGCCGAAGTCGAAGGTCCAACGGCCCAGCGTCACCTCCACCCGTGTCCCTCTTAGCCTCGAGCAAAAGAAAGCTAACCACACCAACTCGGAGCAACGGCGTCGGGATGCAACGGCCCGTGCGTACGCTGAACTGTACGACCTGGTCCCAGAACTTGAAGACATGGGGAAGCAGAGTACAATGAAAAGGCTCGAGGTCGTGGTGGCTAAGGTCCAGCGTGTGAAGCAAAAGGTTGAGGAACTAAGAGCGAAGCTCGGTATGGAGCCCCTGACTGGAAGGCCAATTAGCGGTCCAAGTGGAGGATCAGCGATGCTCTTGTACAGCGACGTTCCGGGTTGGCCCCAATGACCGTGCGCGAATTGCACTCCCGCTGGACCAGTGCAAATACATCAGCACAACTTCACCACATAGCGATAAATGGACAACAGGACCGCAAACGGAGTCCAATTCTCTGAAGACGGGGAGTTGGACCAGCCGTTTTGCAGCCACGAGGAAATGAACGAAAATGACGACCGCTTTTACGACAACCTTTTTCACCCTGTGCAAAAACCCTTGTGCGTTACATATGTTACCCTTTGTTACTCTTTCTTCAAAGATACCCCACTTACAATGATCGAAGCTTTTGATGACGGAAACGGCGCATTGGACAAAAGGTGGATCGCCGTGGGTGGGTGGATTGTTGAATACGAGTTTTTCAATCAGTGTCGAGGAGAAGAACCCACCAAAACTTGCCTGCTTGTGGAAAGAAGGAGGAGATCCCCTTCTGTGACATCTTCCAAGTACGGTTGCCGGAAGATCACAAGGTGTGTCCTAGACAGGCTCTCCACCAGATTCATGTCGGCTCCGATTCTCCCAGGGCAAGAGATGGCGATGGTTGGCAAGGCAAGGCAACTAATAAGTCAATTCGACTCGTCAAGAGGGGCTGACGGAGCCTACGACGCCGAGCTCATTTTGCCAAATTCTCCAAGAGCTGGCGTTGTGGAAGCATGATCAATCAAATTCGCTTGCTTCAATAAGTCGAATCGAGTGGAAGACATCCACTTCTTTTGACATGTCGTTTCCCCTTTCCCCTTTTCTCTGTTCTCCTCGCTTTCCGTCTTCAGCCTTTAGTTGATTAGGGGGGATGTTCTCTCCGCCAAAGGGTTTCCATGATAGACATGTATAAGTAGCTCCTCGACGCAACCACTGCTTACTACTCCACGGTATGTACCGAGTGGACTTCTCTTTGGGGGAATTTATTAAACGTCCCACTGCAGCCTCTGGCACCTCTCCCCGAGAACCTTTGCAAGCAGTCCACCATCGCCTCCCCCAGCGGAATTCATCGCGAGGACATCCGCTATATCTACGGCTTTCTTAGCCCAGAATTGCGGCATCATCACAACAGCATCTCCACTTTGTTTCTTCTCGTGCTTGTTCTCTTGGTTTTGCTCGACGCCATCCGCCATTGCGGATCCAGAGTTCGACGAGGGCGACGACGCATAGAGATCGATGGATAGATTGAAGAGTGTAGCCGCGAGCCATTCAAGTTCTTCCGGTGGATAATCTCGACTAGGAGCAGACCTGGCCAGATCCAGGGCATGTTCCGTGATTCTCGCCACGATGCTCAGATGTTTTTCATCCCTTGTGCTGTCTTTTTTGGTCTGGTGAGATTGCGAGTCCCTCCAATCAAGAACAATTTGCACCACACACCTCATCCATCTTGCAGCTTGATTGTTGTCGTAATCCGGATGATTTCGCAACCCAGATATCAGCTTGGCGAGCAAATTCGTTGTAACAGAAATCGGCAGCATAGATTTGGCCAAATCCTGATCGAGGGACCCGGTGGAGGCAGAGAGGATCATATCGGCAAAGATCGAATAGGTCTTCTGAGGTGGGTTGAGGTGCACCATTTGGTCGACTATCTGAGTAAGGGAGAGTTCGTCAAGAACCTGAGCTTGACCGGGAATATCTGTTGGACTTGTAGAGGCCATGAAGAGCACTGCTTCGAACGCCAAGGGAGCCAAGACGATGAGTTTCTGCGTGATAGCATCAAGGAGTTCCTCCGTGATGATGCCCATATTGTAACTCTCATGTAAGACTTTCCGGTGAGCTTGAATTTCTGTGTACTTAGCGAATACATTCCTGTACAAAGTAGACTTGATTTCTGCCAGTGACTGCGGCGGAGCGCTACTGGAATAAGCCGTCTTCGGAATGTCAGTTATACATAATGTAGAGGCGCGCCTCGCCTCGATCGTGTACAGGATAGCTTGAATGTACTTTGCCTCGGCTTCAAGGACACGCTTCTCGGATTGATATTTTTCTGGAGCATTGACAGGATATTGAATCCGGACAGAAGGTCAGTCTAAGGGGACGAAAGAGAACCGGTGCCTGCACTCACTTGACACGAATAGTGCAGAAGGTCAATGACATATTTTGCAGGCCATGACTTGAGGTATTGCACAGCGGTGTTGTAGCTGGTCTTCTCAAACCACCTGCTTTCCTGCAGTCGATCATCTAATGTCATCCTTTCTCTTTTTTGTTGTTTTTGCGTGAATAGTGCTGCTGATCTGAGTTAGCTAGAGCAGCGATATGCGAGCGGATATCACACCGGACTTGAAGATTCCACATAGTCGAGACAGAAGCTCTTCGTCGATGTCGTTAGCCTCCGAAACTGCCGAATAGAGAAGGCGGACTGTACATCTTCTCAAGTTAACACGAAGGCAATATGTGGATTTAGTTATGTCTCACCTCAAAAGGGCACATGCATCGATTTCTGGTGGCACGTTGTCTTTGTATTTGTCCAGAATACGCTGCAATAGCTGCGCTCCCTGGAATTTGCTACCATATTGCGTAGCCTCTGAAACAGCGGCGAAAAGTAATTTGTTCCGGTCATCGTGCACGGTGGCAAGGGAGGCTAACGTCGATCTCGCTGCACACCTATCATTCTCATAGACCCCTCGGCTAAGGGTAGATGATCTTACCATCGGTTTCATCTCCACGGCGCAGAGCGAGACAATATCGCAGATATCGAGAGAGTGCGTGCTGTTTTCGCGATGGCGACATCTTTTCGAGGACTGCATGAGCAGCCTCGAGATTGTGCAGATCGATGTGACATTTGACTATCCTCCTGATGCCAATAAGCGGATTGCACTCAAAAGTGACAAGTATCATACCTCTCAATCTTCCCGATATTGTTATCTCCGGCATTGCTGAACAATTGATGTAATGCAACGTGACACCACTTAGTCGTAGTCTCTTTCAAGCCATGCTCGAAAGTATGTTCGATTCGCTTCCAAAATAGCTGTATCGTCAGCAGCTCTTCCCAGTAACAGCGGAAGCAAAGCCTACAACAAGTGCACCGTGAGTCGCCTCTGCGCTCAGGGATCTGTTCCAGGCTCGCTGGATCTCATCGAACACTCCTTCGAGAAACGACGGGTCGACAATGCTGTTGTCATTGCTTTCCGCTGTCATGAGCCAGATCAACGTAATTATGGCGTTTTCAGTCCAGGTGTACTCATCACTTGGAGCAAGTCTTATGACAATGTACGACTCTAAGACTCGAATAGCATCTGAAGTGCTAACTTGGGTCAGTTTGACTCTCATAGTGCATGTTGTTCGCACCTCAGAGATTTTAAACGATGCACATAGTGCAAGATTCTGCTGACCATAAGAAAAACATATTCTACCGATTCTAGGTGCTGACTTACAACTTGTGATTTGAGTAAATCAAGGGAGCAGATCGGACAATCTTCATCAGCTCTTCAAAAATTAGGGACATTCACCGACAACTTTTATGGGGGAAACGGTCGTACCTGCACAGAACGCGTCAGGATTTGGGGACGGATCTTTCGCATACACCTCTAGTTGAAGCAGTATGACAGGAAGCTTGTGGCCGAATTCCTGAAATTGTGAGTTTTCGTTTGAGCTGTTGTTGGAAATCGAAATAATTACCTGGCGAAGTGCGTGGAGGATTTGAAATGCTTCGTGGCCGGCTTGCGGATCCTCGGTCGCCAGCAGAGCTCGGACTGCTGAACGCATGAGTGCTGTCGGCAACATCGACGAGAAATTTTCCTACCACAAGTATGCATGAGGGTAAACTTTAGATCAAGAATATCCATATCTTCAGCCTGGGCTGCGTGTTCACTCGCGAGCTGGCAACCTCTTTTGAGCCACTTTGCGGCAAGAGTTCCCTGTTTCTGGTTGAGCTGATCATTGCCGATCTCGTAGCATAGGTCAAGTAGTTCTCCGATACGACTAGGACCCAGATGGGGTCGGATTGCCTCAATTTGGGCATAGAAATGCTCGGCTAGTTCGGTTCGCTCTTGCTTCCATGCCTGTTTCCTTAGTTGATACCGACAAAGGGCTTCTGAATACAGACCAATGCGATGCGCAGTAACAAGTATTGTGCTTTCAAGCTCTCTCTGATTTCTTTGATGTCGAGGTCGTCGTGTTCTGCGCTCTTAAGGAGACCTTCCTGTTTTGGAGCCAGCTGCTCGACGACCTTGGAGGCGATGTCAACAAGGCCGGCATCTGGCGCAAAGGTGAAGGTTAGGCAAAGAGGGTTCGAACGGCGTCACACATCCTACCAAGGCAGCTTCTGCTGGCTCTGAGTGCATTTTTAAACAGTCGGCGTTGGCCTGTGCTTGAGTAAGTTGAGTTCTGCACCTAGGAAAGGGATGAGTGCACTCTTCCACTTGGAACTCGCCGAACTTTCGAGAAGGAGATATGAGAATACCCGGACTGTCGCATCGATCAGAGGAGGACGGCTTCCAAAGTGGTAATAATACCCTTTGCAAGGTTGGCGAGCAGCTGCGGACTCCCTTCGCTCCTACTCAATTGGCAACATGTGTTCCAGAGTACAACGCCCTTACGGTCGAATTCAACCCGTTGGCCGGGAGTAAGTGCCTTGCGTGGAAGAGGAAGGGCCTCTAAGTAGAGCGAGAAGTCAGGAAAGTTTTCAGCAGATATGCTCACTTCATTGTTGAGGACGGTCTCAAGGTAAGAGGCGAAGTCTGAGATTGTACGGTTAGTCCGTTTCAGCCAGAGTGAGGTCGTGCATACCGAGAATGGATTGAGGAGCCTTGCTCGCCTGCTCGTTTGGTAACATTTGAGAAGGGTCGGCTGCACGCAACAAGCATTGAGCAAAGGCTTTGTGAAAGAGCCAAGGGCCATCATTTCGTGCATTGAGGGAGCGACGCTAGCACGTGACTGTGCCATCTGCAGCCTTCGCAAGACAAGTGAGACCGCATTGGATGCAAGAAGTAGTGCGCCATTAGAATACTCAAACATTGTAACATTGTCATCATCAGAGGCTGCTATACACTAAACATAGGTGTCTTGGATTTCAACGTTTTCCAGGACTCATGGGCAAGAAATTGCCCACAATCAGTGAGGGTCTGTGAGAAACGCCTTAGTAAGAAGACAAGGCTAGAAACCGCTGGGACTTACATATTGTGATTATCTCTCCGGATTGTGAAGGAGAAGCAGCAGTGGATGTCCACAGTATCAGCGCCTGCTGCGGGGCTGCGCAGAGTACAGCTCGTGAGCATAGCCTTTTGCTGTTGGTCGAAGCAGATGGCACAGAACTTCTCCCAGTAACTGACCAGCTGATCTTCGACGATGATCTCGTGTATGGCAAGTTTGCCCTGCGTGTCCACTCGTCAGTCAGTCTTCTCGACCGCCTCCGAATCTCGTACTCACATCACGAAGTGATTCGATGGGTACCTGTATCAGTTCCGCCATTTCCTTGTTCCCCCTAAAAATCTCACCCGTCCTTCTCCAGCAGCAGGCCGGAATGGCCATGCTGGCGAAAATTCTATCATACTCCATTAGACTCCTCTCAAACCACATCTCCACCAGCACCAGCTCAATATCTGTTAGGCTCTGCATTCTCTCTCTAAATTTCGGTCGGAACTGGTCCAACTGCATCAAGATCTTGTGACGGGAATGTGGCTTCATGTTCTTCTCCATGTACTTGTTGAGCCTGGCGTATCCGTTCACGTAGTTGAAGGGCCGTAGCATTCCCGCATCGTACTTTGCCTTGAGTAGCTTCTGCATGCGTTCTTCAGGCGGTTCAGCACCCGTTGGATCTGCCGCCATCATGTAGTATTTTTCTCGCGCTTTGTCCGATATCGGCTTCACACTCGGTGGTCTAGATATCAGAGCCGCGTGGGTCGCGTTGTTCTGGTTTGTGGCCTGTGGGTTATTGGTATGCTCCTGGGAAAGTAGGGATTCAGCCCCTGCGGCCGGGAAAGAAGAAGCAGCCATAGAGTTCATGAAAGAAGGGTCGTTGAAAGGACCCTGGAATTCCTCGGTGGAATACATTCCTGTCTCTTCAAATAGACTGTTGCTGAGGAAATCGTTCAAAAGGTTGAATTCGTCGGTGACTTCGTTTGCGTTGAACATGTAGTTTGGATGGAAGGCATGCATGTCATGAAAACGACCTTGGACTCCGGCCCATGGATCATTATACCCGAAATCTGCACATCATTAGGGACAACAGCTTTCCCCTCGAAAAAGTTTGAGACACACTTACGAGTGTGAGTATTACCGTTGGCGCCGGCACTTGGAGCTGCAGCACTCGGATTAGAGACAGCCATGGTGTCATTTGTCGATGGTTTCAGTCCAATATTGTCATCCTGCAGTAGGTTAGGAGTAGAGTCGTCTACCAAGGCGGGACCTGGCAAGCTTGGAGCCGTGGAAAAATCATCCCGTGGAGGAGACTGCTCGTCTGCCCCAGCAGTGTCTGAGTCGGTCTTGGACTTTTTGTGATAGCCATGCCCTTCTCTTGGTTCATCATGACACAGATGGCCGATGTTTCGCTTGATGCAGCGTTTACAAGGTCGATCCTGAGACATGGTCCCCCAATGGGAGGGTCGCGTTAGCCAAACAGGACTTGAGTGGACGGTGTCGAGCTCGACACCGAGGGTCAGGGAGTCGTACAGAATCGCAAGTCATATGCTGTGTATCCCAAAAACAAGCAGTCAGCCCATTATGTGCCTTCCCAGGTACCCGAATCTCGGTACTTCCGTGTGCCAGAGGTCAAAGTAGCTTACCGAACGTCGACAGTATACACATGCTGAAGGAAGGTGTCAGTCCCCGCCATCGCTAAGAATCCTTGGAATGTATACAGACCATGGTTCACCTTGCGCTTCTTCTTGGGCTGATCCGTGGACGGCGAGGTCTGGCTCGAGTTGCGGGGCGCAGTTGGAGAGGTGGCTTCGTTCAAACTGTTATTTGGCAGCGCAGTTCGGCTGTCGAAGGACTTGTTCATGCCATTGCCTGCATGTTCAGGCTCATCCGCGAGATCTGACATTTGCCGACAAGTTGCGAATCGGACGGCGGCTTTTAAGGATCAAACAAGGGACCACGGGTAGTGCTACGTGCAACCCGACCGCATGGGCTCATGGTCTGGAGGAAACGGCGCAGGGTGCTTTTACGTCAATTGTGTAGAGACATAGGGCGCAAAGGTCGAGAAAAGTTGAGGGGACGGAAGTAGAATGTGAACCTGAGGCAGAAGAAAGACGAGCCTCGGAGCGCGGTTTGACTCAGGTACCTCGTCCAAGCTCGTCCCTCTGGGCCGGTGCCGGAAGGCTGGCACTTGGAGTCGATCCGAGAGAGGCGGCGGCGGCGACGCAGAAACCCCGCAATCTCTCGTAATTTCCAAACTGTGTGGTGCGTGCAGTGCGCAGCTTTCTGAACCATGGGTGAGTGGAGCCCGGCTTCCTGCATCCACGGATTGATCTCTATTAGCCTAGGCTAGATGCACGGCTATCTGGCCACAGACTGGGGAAATCTGTACGGAGGATGCTTTTCCATTGGTGTTCGGCATTACTTCATGATAGGGACAGTGTTGTTACAGCTTTCCCGCATCGAAATATTGGTAAGAAAGCCCCGGAACTATTTTTACAGATGGCCTCCTTTCCCGTGCTTGATGAAGAAAAAAGATCCTGCACCCTACACGAGGTCGAGCCCCGAAAGGAGCATGCGCCCGAGTCCCCAGACGTCTTCGCTATAACCACTCGCTGAGCCGAAAGGTGTTCCGCCAATGCCCCTGGTCGATAGCAGGTTGTGAAGACGAGCCGGCTAAATGTTGATGCTTGGTCGCATTCTCTTCCTGCCCTTGGTCCCGCCTGGCGTGCTGTCCTCCTCTCGTTCTCTGGCTCTCTTTTCGCGCTGGTCGAGCACCAAACTCAGAACATCGAAACCAAACCGTGGATACTCCAGACACATCGCTTTAAATTCGTCCTCGGCTTCGTGACGCAAAACATGCGATCGGGTGGCCCAGAAGGCAGCGACAGGTCTGCGGATCGTTATATCATCTGCCGGCGTGTTGCCATACACGAATCTTGCGTATGCGATCTCTCCAACAGCTGTTGAGTTGATGCGATGGATCTTTGAATGTGCCAGTGTCTTGAGATCAGGCAGTCCAAGCTTCTGGGCCAACGTATAGACGCGAGCATGTTTGAGAAGCTGTGCGCCAGTATTGTCTATCTCCGGGATTGAAGGATCAGGCTCCAGCCCATCAGGGGTGTCTGCAAGGCGTCGTGGGAAGTATTCGCCCGTGTATTGGTATTGGAGGAAACACCCCACAGCATCTAATGATTCGCCGGGCATCTCAATAATGAGAGCGTCGTCATCAAGAGTCGAGAGTATTTCGCTAAGGTAGGGCGATTTTTCGAGGATGGCTTTGTGGGCGGTCAAGGTAGTTTCGTCGTCGCCGCTGCCCACGATAAGCTGGACAATGGGTGACTTGAGATAATCGAGGAATATAGCTTGAGGATTGGAGGAAGTATTGCCGTTGGCAACCACGGTGTCCTTGCCTGCCTCTTCCCCTTTCCCTAGGGTGGTATCATCTTCCGCCTCTTGTGTCTCCCCCACGGTCCCCATCACAATGTCGGCTTCACCTGAATCGGCGGCTTGGGCGCTTTCCTCCCGATCAACCATTGGCTTTGCGACCAGGAGAAACCCGGGCTAGAGATTGTCGCGTATCCAGCTCAATTAGGATGTTGTGTTAGATATGCCAATTATTGCGCAGGCAGGTAGAGTCCAGAACAGGAAGTACAATACCCAGTAAGGAGCGAACAATCAAAAAGACTCAAACGGACTGAAGAAAAAAGATGGTGCTGAGGTTGGGAGATGTACCGCGTAAGGAGCACAGAATACCGAGTGCGGAATTGAGCTCGAGGAGGCTGGGGGAGCCGCAGCTGCGGAGAGTCGCAGCGCTCTGACTCCCCCATCGGACCACGTCATTCTGCTTGCGTGCATCTTGTTATCAGGCACTCGCAACCACTGCACATATGTAGTACCAAGTACTCGGTACAGAGTAGCTTTGATGTTCTGGACCTGTTGTCAGGCTGGACGAATGCACCTACAATGCGTCCGAGGACAATGCAGGTCACGTGCGCCGCGGCCTCGCATAGCAGGACCTCCCGAGTGCTCGCTTTCGAGAGATTGTGTTGATTGCAAGGCCGAGAGAATGACAGAGCTATGGGGAAGTCCGGGCAAAGTCGTGAGACAATACAGAGTAGAAAGAACCTTGGTAATATATGCAAGTTTTAGACACCACAGCAGCAGTAGGGAGTACCCCATATGTAAAGTGACGATGGCAGAGAGGCGGGGGTGTTGAGTCTAAACAACCTATAATTTTAGACGTCCCCGACAATGGGGCTTCTGAATCCTTGTATGGAAGGAGTACGGAGTACGTCGTGTGGAGTCGGGAGAACCATTGTCTTGTGGATGGTGTCCAAATCATTCACCAGCTCGTGGAAATCCGGGCCATCATACTTGGAACTTTCGGAGATGGCGCCGGGGCCTCACAGATATCTGTATGACAGACTCGGTATTACATAGGCCAGAATACAACTGATAGAAATAAAGCGCATATCCGAAGCTTGGTTCTTGTGATGGAGATCTTGCCAGCCTCTGTCATGTGCTAAGAGGTGTCATACACACGGGGGCGCTGCCCGATTCTGGCATTGGAAAACTCGGATGCTGAACTAGCCGTGATACAAGTTTGGTAGAGAGGAAATCATTTGCTAGATCAAAAAGAGATGCAGGAGGAAGAGTTTGCAGGAAGTTTTCGGGTTCTTATTGAGAGGAAGCGAGGGAAAGTGGAAGGTGTAAGTAAGGGCAAGGTACCTCGTACGAGGGCAACCAGGTGAGAAGGCTTGCAGGAAAGGGAAGCTTCACGTGGTTGATAAGGATCGTCCAATGTGGGTCTAGAAATCCGCTTTGATTGGTGGGACAAGAAATCGCGGGGAGCAAAAAGGGGTCCAAAACAGAGAACACCTCAAGGTCAAGGCTGCGAGGCTGACCGATCACCCAACATCAAGGCTCAGGTTTGGGGCTCAAGAGGCTGTACTTGGGTAGGTGGGGTGATCTCGCACTTCACTTTTCGGATTCGGCGCGAATTCTATTTTCGTATCCAGAATGCTGGCAGCACAAAGCAGACCAGCCTTTGTGATTTTGCTCATGAAGAGGAGTCTGCAGGCACGGAAGATAAGGAAGTCGTCTTGGGGCTCGTCGTACTGGGTACTGGGTCCTGGGTTCAGCTCTATGTCCGGCCTCTAAGCTGTGATACTTTGGGGCCACTCCTGTCGTACCCAGTACTCGCAGCACTGCCTGCAGTCCCTTTTCTGTGCCAGTCATCCAATTTCCGTACCCCGTATTCTTTGACTTCCACCATGTCCTAGCGAATGTCCGACAAATCCAGCCAATGGCGGATCTTGGAGGGAACAATCAGCAGAAGCGGCAACTCAAGCGAGGGATAGAGTTGGAATGTCTGCTGGGGGGTGGGGGGGGAGTGTGAGGGGCCGAGGGGGATTGATTGGGGAGGCCTTCCAGGCCAAGCCTTGCCTGAAGGGAAAATGTACTGGGTACCCAGGGTGCCTAGGGATTAAATTAGCGCCCCTCAGCCGTGCATACTTAGGCGAAGTGCCCCTGCTCGTCCTCTCCCCTTTCTCTGGTCGGCGAACCGGCGTGTCAACTCCCACCATATTCCGATCCCACGAAATTGAACGTCTGTCTTATCATCTGCTAGCAACCTGTGGCACCATCCGCGCACCCAACGAGGTCGTGTCGTTGATACACCGCCTACACTTGTCCGTTTGTGGCAAACAATGGCGTGATCATGGTCTTGGATGTTGTCATTCTGTCAAGTCGTCTCTTTTTGCAGCTTTCAATGATGCCTTCGCGCCTTAATATTATGCTATTGTGGCCTTTGCACCCCGTAACCTTCCAACTTCGACTCTCTTCGTCATCCTGGAGACTTCCATCATGGCTTTTTGGCCCCTTCTTACCAACTTTCCTTCCGTCGCTCCCTTCCAAGACGTTTCAAGCTGCTCAGCCTCGACTGTGGAAGGGAGGCTGACGGTGGTGACGGCCAGATCCAGTATCCGGTCAGCCTCCAGAAATCACCCAGACTGACGGCCTTACCGCCTTGCCATCCACGGTCCACGCATGCCAGGTGTTAGTCGGCCAGATTGAATCAATATCATCGTCCCCACATACGCCATACCAAGATCAGTAAACCTGGTGGGTAGCGGCAGCCCAAATTCTTTTCAAAACCACAGCCGTCCGGTGCCAGTCGCTCCGTATTCACCTTGTTTTTCTTTGCAACCTCCTCTGCCCTCCCGCGCTGGGTCAGTACCATTTTCTGTTGATTTCATCCTGGGATCTGCTTCTTTGGTTTCTTTTTGTCATTCCTTCTTTTTCTTGATTGGGGAACTGCGCTTGTGACCCCGGAAGTCTCACTCTGCCCTTCGTTCTCATTATTTCCACCCCATATATCTATCCCCTTCCCTCTCCTTCACACTCTCTTGTCTTCCTCTTTTTTTCATCCAGGCTACGATTGTCCAGGCAGATAGATACACAGTCTTCTGCTCGATCCTTGACGCGTATAGCGATCCACGGACACAGGATACAAATTGAATTCCTGCAGTCATGGGCTCCTTCAATCCTTTCCCTCAGTCGCCCCCCGTGTCGCCGCCCAATGGATTCCAGGGTGTCGAGGGCTTTTCGACTCCGCTGTTCCCGACCAGGCCGAGCATTCTCTTCATCATGGCCGACCAGCTTGCTGCCCCTCTATTGAAGATGCACAACCCCAAGTCGCAGATCAAGACCCCCAATCTCGACAAGTTGGCGGAACGCTCTGTCGTGTTTGATTCTGCCTATTGCAATTCTCCACTTTGTGCCCCGTCTCGAATGTGTTTGATCAGTGGTCAGCTGCCGTCAAAAATCGCGTCGTACGACAACGCTTGCTCCATCCCGTCCGAGACACCGACATACGCCCATTACCTGCGAGCTGCCGGCTACGAGACCACTTTGGCTGGCAAGATGCATTTCATTGGGGATCAGCTCCACGGTTACGAGAACCGATTGACCTCGGACATTTACCCCGGTGACTTTGGCTGGGCTGTGAACTGGGACGACCCAGGCCGGAGGCTCGAGTGGTACCACAACAGCAGCTCCATCTTGCAAGCCGGACCGTGTGTAAGGACTAATCAGCTTGACTACGACGAGGAGGTCTTGTACAGGTCGAAGCAATATCTCTACGACCATGCAAGGGCACCCGCTGGGAAACGGCCATTCGCGCTCACTGTCTCTTTCACCCATCCTCATGATCCGTACGCCATTGAGGAAAAGTATTGGGACATGTATGAGGGTGTTGATATCGACCTGCCGAATGTGAGCATCAGAGAAGAAGACCAAGACCCTCACAGCAGACGCCTGATGCATGTTTGCGAGATCGAGGGCCACAATTTCACCAACGAGCAGATCAAACGCGCTCGCCGAGCGTATTACGGCGCGGTGAGCTACGTCGATGACTGCATTGGCCAGTTACTTGATGTCCTGAAGAAGTGTGGCATGGAGGACAATACCAGTAAGCAGAATCTTCATCCTCGATTAGAATGCAATCCGAAGACTGACGCCACCCAGTTGTCATGTTTTCCGGCGACCACGGAGATATGTTGGGCGAGCGAAATCTCTGGTACAAGAGTGAGTTCGCCTTTTTTTTTTTTTTTTTTTTTTTTTTTTTTTTTTGAGGATGCCGATGGCCTGTTTGAACGAGTCAGCTAACAAAGGGTCTGTAGTGTCGTACTTCGAAAACTCCGTCCGCGTGCCCATGCTCATCAGCCACCCGAAACAATTCCATCCTCACCGTGTCTCTCAGAATGTCTCGACTCTGGATCTCATGCCGACCCTCGTGGACTTGATTGGATCAAAGTTAGCACCTGGATTGCCGATGGACGGTCTGTCCTTGTTACCTCACCTCTATGGCGGTGACGGTGGCCATGATACCGTCTTTGCTGAGTATATGGGAGAGGGAACCGTAGCTCCCCTCATGATGATCCGCAGAGGCGACTGGAAATACATCACATGTCCAGCTGATCCCCCCCAGTTGTTCAACTTGCGAAATGATCCGCTTGAGCTTACCAACCTTGCCATCCGCCAAGATCCAGAAACGCTGGCCGTCCTCAAGGCTTTCGAGAAAGAAGCAAATGAAAAGTGGGACTTCAAGAAGATCACCGACGATGTCTTGAGGTGTCAGCGCCAACGTCGACTTGTATGGTCTGCCTTAACCCAAGGGCGCTTTGAAAGCTGGGACTGGAACCCCATCGACGACGGTCGCGTCAAGTACATTCGTTCTCAAACTCCCCTGGACGAACTCGAACGGCGAGCGCGATATCCCATGCACACAAACGTGCCTGCCCAAATCGCTGTCAACAAGAAGGCCGAGGTGGCTTGCCTTCAGCCGAAAAGACTAACCGAAATTGCGGGCGAAGTTGCCCACAATCGCTGAATGTTTACGAGCCTTTTATGACGAATTCCTTCTGGATGCTGCTGTTGCGGCGTTCTGGCCCCAAGATTGGTATTACTCAGGTTTCCGTGCTTGCAAGCGTGGGGTTATGGAGTCGGTATTTGTGGTATTTGTGTCCTCCTTGCTGTTGCTGCATTCGTCGACGTCTTTTACTGTCTTCTGGTGCTTGCTTCTTCCTAGGACCTGATTGACACTACGCTAAGGGCGTTCCACTGGACGGGACTGGGACTGTGACCTTGATTACTCGTATGATGAAGTTGGAAGAATCGGACTGGGTTTGGGAGGTGAATTTTTTTTTTTGGCCGACGTGCAATGGGTCCGACTCGACTGAACATCCCACGCTCGTTTCCAACGCACCCTTACGTTGAGGATACGAAGACGAGTGAGGGCGATGCAATGCTGGGAAAGGAAGGCTATCTAGCTAAGTACAGAGAAAACCCCGGAAAAAAGAAAGAAAAAAAAAAATCAAAATGGCCAACATTGACCAAAACCCATATCCACTTCTGCTTCTTTCACTTTCATTACTCACGGCAGTCGCGGTGTGGCCACTGGCCTGGTGTCGGTGGTGTTTTCCAACCTCACATCCCACCCATCACGCATACACACGACCACCTTCTGCATTGGACTGCCTGCGCCATAATTGCTTTTTCTCTCCCCCTGCTTGTCTTATTTCTTTTTCCCACAATGCGTTATGTGGCCAATCTTGCCTCACCTTGCAGTGCCTTGCATGGCCTTGCAGATACGACGGTATCAACAGTCAACAGCTCCATGGCTCCGTGCGCGGCCTCCAATCCGATCATTCACTTGGGACCAGTTGTCCGCCACAAAGGTGAGCAGCTGGCCACCCCCATCAACATCATCACTTGACTGACTCAACCCAAGGACAGCCGAAGCCATTGGCGAGCACTCATTCTGCCATGATTCACTAATCAGAGGGTGCATTCAGCAGGCTCCGCATCCTCCTGGAACGTCCACGGTGGTCATTGCACTGCCAGCACCGCAACGCAGCAACCGCACATCTTATTACCACACATCGAAAACACGCACGAGCCACCTGAGACCAATCAAAACGATCTGGCCCGAGGCTAGCTGCCCCAGAAAACCAACATGAAATGTGGGAAGCCCAGGAACCTACATGGGGACAAAAAGCGATCACGGTGAGGGAGGGATGCTAGCCGCCGGGAAGCGGGTTCTCCCCCGTGCATACGAGAGAGTCCGGTCATCATCATCATCATCATCACGCGGCATACCAACTGCCCTTCTGACCTCAATCCAATCGCGACATGGCAAGACTCCTGGCGGCGATGGCGAGGACAGACATTCCCCCTCGACATGAACCAGAGGAGAAGGACTTGACACGGCGCACACAAATGAATAAGGTCAAAAGACCCATGGAAGCCTAACAGCTAAGTGCCAATTGAAGATCCAATCAGAGTGCCCACATACGCTAACTCGAATCAGGGCATAGAATCCATGTGGAACTAAGTGACCGGTCTAACTGGAGAAGAACTGACAGACTTGCTAAGCTAGACCAGAGTCTTATCAGGATTGCCACCGTTTCATTCTGCCAGTCGAAAGGCCTCTCTCGGCGCCCACTGCGTCGGATGCAAAAGGCTGGAAGCACCTCCTACACCGCGACTTGAAGGCCGAAGGCTAAGGTGGCTGACGGCTGGTGTATCTCTGCCCAACAGGCTGCAGCAGAATACAAGAGAGGCACGAGGAACAAAGGCAAGCAAAGCCGACGAGTACGACACACACCGACCCTGACTCGACCAGACCCCAGGACGCACGTACGGTCGGGCCACATGCGGCCCAAGCTCGTCGAGACATTGCACTTCCGGAAGCCAGAGGCCAAATGTCAGAGCCTTGAGCGATCATCTGACCATCTTGTCTGGCTTCCTGGTTCCCTTCCCACCACTTTTGCTCCACCTTTTTGCCTTCGCCTGCCGCACTCCCCGTCCTTACGCTCCTCCTCGCCCACGCCGGCTTGCAGTGACTAACACAAACTGCACTATCAGCTGAAAGCCGAACTTCCTCAGAACGAGAAGAACAGAGACACACGCCTACCTGTCAGAGCACTAAAATCCCATTGAAAGCCGGCCCAATGGACATATTCCTTTCTGCCAGGCAAAATCGCCAACCCGACTCTCCCGAGACCCATGCACGCGCCAAAAGTGTTCAGCAAGTGCGTTTCTATCTCCAGCCGATTGGCCGTGTTTCAAATGTGCCCAAACACTATCATCTGGCAGGGATCATATAGTAGTTCAAAGGTGAACTGTCGAGATCAATGTGGATATCACGGTAGGGCATACCTGCAACAGGCCGCGCAACAAGCAGCTAGACACTCGTGAGTAATTTATACTTCAGCCAGTCCAGCTATCGCGCAGTCCAAGTCGAGGAGGAAAGAGGCGGAGAGGAGAGCTGAGCGGCACAGAGCACAGCAGAGCAATACGATAAGGAATCCAACCGAGTTGAAGGAGTGGTAGTAGCGGTCGCTGGCTGGACTGCGAGAGCCCCACACTTTACAGCAAGCCTTCTACCGCGAGGCGAGGCTAGGGCAAAGGGCAAAGGGCAAAGGGCAAAGGGCAAAGGGCAAAGGGCAAGCGATCATATTACAGCGGTGTTTATTGACTCGATTAGGAAAAAGGAATACATCCAAGACGTCTGTGGCTTCGAGCACGCTGGACAAGGCATGCATGGAGATGGACATGGACATGGGCATGGACGTCACTGGCGTTCCTCCTGCCTTCCCAGAGGCTCTACCGGATCAAAAGACACAGAGTCCGGGTGTATCGAATACTCTGTATTTAAAGCTTTTGGTCTTTTTTGGTCCCTCGACAGTCGTAGCAAGCTTGCCCAGCAAATTCGCATTCTATCTGCCATCGAATCTCGTGATTTTCTAGCCCACTCACTCATTCATAAGGCACTTTTACTTTTGATTCAACTCGAAAGCAGGCTCACAAACAGGAGATGGCCCCCCTGGATTGCAATTCGTAAGGTGCTGGATGAGCTCAACGGAGAGAGATCATATCTCCCCAGACTCCAGCTCAGCGTGCCAAAATCCAACAGGAGAAGGGCTTTTGATCGATGTGTTTGACTTTTTGCCTTTTCTAACCTCCCTGGGTCGTGATAAGGATGTGGTCGCTCCCTCGCTCGTTTGGTACATGTGCGTCTCATGGCCCATTTGACCTGGCCTGGTTTAGTTGGCGCGTACGCACGCACGCACGCACACTGCTTGGTTGTCATTTCTGTCTGAAGGGTGCGCTCCCTCTCCTTGAGCCCCTCGCTACGACTGAGAGCCGATGCAGCCGAAAGAGGAAAGAAAATATCACACCATTTTCGCCTCTCCTCGTCCTTTGCTTAGCGCTTGTTCGCTCGCCCGCTCGCTGGCTCTTTCCATCTCGGGGAATGGACTCGTCTTGCCCACCGCGTGCTTTGTGATCGGACTCCAAACATGAGGGACGCATCATTTGGCGAAATGCAAATCGTACCCGAGCCACTTGCGCGCATTCACTTGTGCGGGAGTCAAGCCGGGCCAGCCGTACGTCAAGGGGAAGAAGAAGTAAAAGCCGTACAGGACCGCGGCGAGAATCACGATGGTGGCGGCCCAGGTGCCCAGCATGCTCTGGCCCTTGAGTCTCTCGGCAGCGGTCTGGAAATGTTTCCTGGCCTTTTCCGGGATTTTGCCGGTGACTTTGTCTTTCTTCTGTTGTGGGGCGTGATGGGTGTCGTCGTCGATAGCAGGGTCGACGTTGAAAATGAATTCGATGAGGGCGCCAGTGACAAGACATGAGGCGAGGTGGGCAGGCAGATAGTGGTGTAGGAACAGTTGACGACCCATCAGGTAGAAGGGGAAATAGTGGGCGGCCCAGCAGAGGAAGAAGAAGCCTGTCGAGTTATAAAGGCGGGAGCGGGTACCTATTTCCACAGATGATCATAATTAGTGATTGTTCCTCCTGGAGGTCATCAAAGTTGAGACACAAGCTGGACTTACGACGATCGAGTGCATCAATCCCTCTCCTCAGACTCAACTGATCCGCGCCCAAGATGCCAGCAAAGACAGCCAACAGCGCACTCGCGATCCAATATCCAATGGGATTTCCCAGGAAGTAGATCTGCTGCTTTGTGGAATCTTGCGTCCAGAAACTGACTCCTCTCAACAAAAACGGCCATTGGTAGGGTTGGGTTGCGTATGGGTGAGAAGCCGTTAGCGCGTTGTTGTGATAAAACATTGCGCGCTGCAGTTCAATGTATTTTCTGTAGAACGGCAAGGACTTGGTTTTCTTTACTTCCCTTACACGGCGTGGTGAATCTTCGGGAAGGCTTGGGATATCGTCCACATACCAAATGTTCGACGATTGCTGTGCGTTTTTATTTCCGTTGATTTCTGCCTGTTTGAAGGCCCAATCTGGGAGGGGGGTTGTGTGCGTCCACATGGCGACTTTTGTCGGGTAATGAATCAGTTTGAATTGGCCCGACATGGTCTTGAATGGTGAGCCCTTTTTGCCTTGTTCCATACGGATTTCGAACAACGTGTCGTTGTGGCGGTCTCCGGCCGCAACCTCGAGGGGCACAGTGGTGAATTCTTGGTTCGTAGGGAAATAGGGGGATGCCACGTCGTGGGTCAGAAGCATGGTATTTGTCACAACATGTCGGAGCTTGACGATGTCGCCATTCAAGACTGGTTTTCCGGCCATGGGGGGATCAGGGTGATGAGCGTTGGGCAGGATTTGCCACTCGTTGTTGGTGTCGTTGAAGGGATAGCCCGTGACTTGCTGGCCTTGACTAGAAATACGGCCGTCATCGTATCTCAGGGGGTATCGATCCGGGTGACTGTGTAGATATACCCTAGTGTCCTTGTGGCGTAGAGTGATGTAGTCATAATATTGAATGTCAATAGACGCTTGATGCATCAGGTTGTCGCTGAGAGTCTCCTGGAATTCCGGGGTCATGAAGTCGTCGCCTGGGCCGGATCGGGTCAAAATGGCGAAATGGACCTGGAACCAGAACAGGTAGAAGAAGAAAGGTATTATAATCAAACCCAGCGCCCGAGCCACGAAGTGCTTGCCGAAGGTGAAAAGATCCAAAGCGCCTTCTTTCCGGTTAATGTCCAGTAGATCCCACAGGTCGATGAGGACCGCACATCCGATGGTGAAGAAGGTAAAAGCACCAACGTATTTGGTGGAAATGACACAACTCATGCAGAAGCCGCACAACAGAAGCCACTTCCACCACTTCCTGCCAAAGGGGTCGTGTCGTTGCTTGTAGAAGCGGATGTAGCAATAAATGCTGAGCGAGACGAAGAACACCAGCGTGGCGTCCAGCAGAATCAGTCGGGTTTGTCCCACGTGTGAATTGTCGAAAAGAACCAGTCCGGCAGCCAAAATGCACGCCGGGAGCGAGTACCCCGATTCCCACATGATCAAGTAGACAACCACCACGGTAAGGGCTCCGAGAAACGCCGGGAGCCCTCTGAAGGCAAGGTATGGAACGTTGTTGGTGATGTAGGATTCGCCAATGTTGTCAAACAGAAAATGGCCATCATATCCAACGAGCCAGCCTACGAGGGCAAAGAGGAGCTTTCCAAAGGGAGGGTGAACGTCGAAGAAATAAGTGCGCTGCAAATAGTAGGATGCAAACTGCGCGCAGCTGTCGTTAGAGCGGGTGTTGTCCCAAGTGCCTTCCATGTCCACATACCTTTCCAAAGTGCACCTCGTCAAACACGACTTCATTTGGATGGCTGATCCCAAAGAATCGCGTTGCGAATGCGAGGGCGGTGATGACCCCCAAGGCCAGCTTATAGTCCCATTCTTTGGACACACTCTTCTGCACGTTGCTCAGTGCCTCATTCAAAGCCTCGTCATCCTTGTCCCCGCTGACTACGGGCTTATTCTTCTCTTTTGGGCCCCGCTGTCGCAGGGTTGAATTGGGGGTCGACATATGCGAGGTTTCGAAAGAATGAAGGGATTTGAGCGCAGCAGGGCCGGGATGATATCGACGGGCTGTAATGAAAGAAATCTAGAAGCAAATCGGCGGGGAACGAAGGTGGTGAAAAGAAGAGTCAGAAGAGGTTCAGAGCCCTCGAAATGAGGAAGAATATAGCATGGAGGTTGAGACGAGTGGGAGACGGTCGAAGTCGAGGGTTGAGGGTTGAGGGTTGAGGGTTGAGGGTTGAGGGTCGAGGGTTCTCACTTGACGTGTCCTGAACTTTTTTTACCTTTTGACGCGCGACATTACGAGTTCGACCAAAAGGAACGTGGCCCGTGCACCAGAGCCTCGTCGTAAGGGGCTGGTGGGCTATTCATGATACCCCCAAGGTACCCCTGGTCCCCCCCCTTCCCCCCCTTTCCCCCCCCTTTTACAATCCCACCACGGGCTTCCTGGAAATAATTTATCTCATTTCGAAATTGCCAACACTATTTACAACACAAAGAATCGGAGGTTTACTCATCCAGATCCAGAAGACTCAGGGTTTCCAATTCCCTTTGCATCATCCGCTCAAATTCCTCGCGGTTGATGCCCGCACTACGGGCCAACCGATACATGCTTTTCATGCTGGTACTGATATGCTGCCTGATTCCGATTTCAGAGGCTCCATATCGCTCTGCATGCTCTTCCAGCCGAGCCACCGCATCGGATCCCCTCGACGACGGTGACGAGGGCACTGGATGGTTGACCTCCACTTCTATGTCGTCTGCATCATTTAGAAGGTGGTCGGCGAAAGATCCTTGATATGGAGGCGGCTCCGGTTCTGTATGTGGTTGCTGGTGTCCCGACAGCATCTGCTGCAGCGCATGCCCATTCAGACGAGGTTCTTGAATGCCTTCCATCTCCTCGTCGGGGTCATGGTTATCCATGGCAGGTTGGACACTTCCATATCGAGCGTAATAATCTTCTTCAGAAGGTCCTTGCGGAGGGTGGACCGATTCTTTCCGAGCAGGTGTCCTGCTAGGTGTGTGGTCATACATGGCCCAGTAGTCATCTTCGTTTGGGGGAGGAACCGAGAGATTTCTCTGACCCCTCGCGTTTGCAGCGTCGTCGGCTTCCTGCAGAGCTTCGTTCACCAGTCTCTCCTTGGAGCTCTCGTTTGCTGCTGCAACAGAGGTCGACCATGAGGGGTCTTTCTGAAGGGCTTGGTCAAACGGCAATAATTCTGCAAGCTTCCAGGAATTTCCCTCTTCACTGCCGGTGCACCACACATACAAAGTGGTAAATGGCCAGTCGATCAGAGGGATTTGTGCCCGTAGTGTTTCTTCGTCAAATCTCTTGTATGTGATCGGGTGTGTTTCGCCAACCTCGATCTCACCGGAAGCCGGGTGAGGCTCGAACACAGTGCCTTCGATCTTGTCCCTCAGCACTTCGCCTTTCTTTGCATCCCAGCACAACAGCGCAGCCCAGTTGTCGCGCGAGGAAGTCGAGGTGTGTATTTGTAACCGCTGTCGTAGTATGGGAGACAGCAAAGGTAGCAGCGCGGGCGGAGGTCGGGGAGACGCGAAGGAGGTAGGTAGACATGCCAGCAAGGGAGGGAGCAAAGAGAGAGGGTCAGGAGGAGGGATCAGCTCAACCATGCTTATTCCTGGACCTGTTCAGCTTGAGAGGATGGTCATCTGTGCACAGAGGAGGGTCGGGTCAGAGATGAGGGTTGGTTCGCCCTGTACCAAAGACGGGGGGTTGTGTGGCTGCGGCAGTGGCAGTCAGTGTTTGAACACGGCAGCTTGAGCAAAAGGGACAAACAATGGGGACAACAGAATGCAAGGTGTTGAGTGTGTTTGGGGAGACACGATGGAAATCCGGAAAGCATCGATGGCCGAGGGAGATCATCTACATGGACTCGGGTATGGACGAGCCACCGGCGGCGAGGCGGTAGGGCGCAGGAGGCGGTAGTACGGGCATAATAGGCTGTCAGAGGTTGTGGCTTTGGTCTGGTTTGGTCTGGATCAGGAAATCGAGGCTGCTGGACACACGGCGAGACGGGCGAGACGGACGATCCAAGGAACAACAAGCATCCAAGCGTTGCATTTTCCATTCGCCCGGCCGGGAGTTAGCGTGATTGTGATTGGCCAGAATCCATCAGGCTGCAACCCACGTGCACCGGAGGCTTGCGAGGCTGAACGCCCATCTCCACACGGCCCGCTCAGCTATTTCGTTGCATGTGCCATCCTGGCCATCCATCTTCTTCAAACTCACTGACCTATGCCATGCTACTCGAGCGTCAATGCCAGCTCCGCCGCAGGGAAACTCCTCCTGAACCTGTCCCATTCACTCGTGAGCTACCAAATCGACCGTCGAGTCCTCAAGGGGGGCAATGGCTGGAACTCCTGCTCTTTCACATGCTCAGATTCGCGTGCTAGCGGCGCTACCAACCTCACAGATCTGAGCCTCAAGCATCTCGGGTTGGAGAATTGACCACCAAGGGAAGTTATGCACGTGCTCACCACCGTCCATAATTTGCACTCAGAGGGCATCTCGCTAGGATAGGGTCCTCATATAGCGACCGCAGCCGGTGGCCGTCCTATGTACTCATGCCTGATTACCGCTCCCTCCCACATTTTCCCCGCACCATCTCCGTCGCACGGAGAAAGATATGGAATTGATCGTCTCGCCGCACAACGTATTCCCCCTCTACAGCTCTGCGCAGCTTCAACCTTTGACTCTTCCTGAAAAGCCAATCTCTTCCTCGAGAGATCCCCAGCACTCATGGCTCTCGTCGCTGGGAAGAAACAAATTGTGGAAAATCAATTAGAGATATCGCGCCCTGTCTACATAACTGCGCCCTCTGACGCAGGGCTTCCAGAAAGGGATCCAGATGGAGAGCCACGTACAGCAGCAGTCCACCGGGAGGAGCGGCAACATGACCCAACTCGAACCCGGGCAGAGGCTCGCCTCCGCCGCAAAGTTGACCTGCGGCTCTGCACCATTGCTGGTATTCTCTGCAGTCTGAATCTACTCGACAGTGGCATCATCTCTTCGGCAGCCGTCACCAGCATGCTCTCTGACCTCAACCTGGTCCGAGACCGCTATTCTGTCTCAATCTTCATCTTCACCGTCGCCTCCGTCGCCTTCCAACTTCCGGCGACCGTCTTGTTACGATTCATCGGGCCCCGATTATTCTTCTCGGCAATCACTTGTGCCTTTGGTATTATCACCATGTGCACGGCCGCTATAACCAACTGGCAACAGATGATAGCCCTCAGAGTCCTCCTCGGAATCTCCATGGCCGGTATCTATCCAGGGTTAACCTACCTTATTTCAACCTGGTATACTCGTCATGAACAGCAGCTCCGATTCGCTCTGTTGCAGTCTGGGGAAATCATCATCCTCGCCACCGGCTCTATCGTCAACTTCGGTTTGAATCACCTCGACCATCGAAATGGCCTTCGGGGCTGGCAATGGATGTATCTTGTTCAAGGCTCGGTCACTGTCTTTCTCGGGGTGATCACCTACTTTTGGATGATCGACTTTCCGGACCAATGCGAGAACTCGTTCTATTTCCTCACGGAGGATGAGAAGAGCCTTGCAATTTCTCGAATCAACGAAGACCGGCACGATGCCGGGAAACCCGAGCCATTCAGCCTGTCTGCTATTTGGGTACATTTTCTCGACCCGAAGCTATACGCCTTTTGTGTGTTGTTCTTCTTACTCAACTTGGTATCCACAGCGCTCTCGTACTTCTTGCCAATCATACTGCAGAGTGGCATGGGTTTCAACTCCAACAAGGCAATTCTATTGTCATCCCCTCCATACTACTATGCGGTCATTCCCGTTTTGCTTTCTTCCTTCCTTGGAGACAAGTACAGGGTTCGAGCACCGGTCATCATTTTCAATGCAACTTGCCTAATCGTGGGGTTCTGCATGTTAGGTTTCAGCAGTCAAGTAACGGTGAGATATATCGGCACGTTTCTGGCCACAGGAGCCTACATTAGTAACTGGGCTGCGCTTAATGCTTATCAAGCCAACAACATAGTCGGTCAGTGGAAGCGCGCCACGGTGGCGGCAGCCATTTCTGCCTGCAACGGTTTGGGAGGCATAGCTGGCAGTTACATCGTCCGCCAACCAGAGGCTCCACGATATTTGACGGCGATATGGGTGAGCATTGGGAGTCATATTTTGATGATCATCCTGGTTGCGGCTTGTACAATGTGGTTCTGCATCGCGAATCGCAAAGCTAAGAGGAAGGGAAGTCTGATCGAGGGGGTGTCGAACTTTCACTACACCTATTGACCCGGGCTCACACGGACCTTTGCCGGATGGTCAACTATTGGCCATCTGCAAGTTGCAGGGGCTCCTGCTTCCGCTGCGTGAAAGGAATCCCTCCCTTTCCCAGACTGTGAGCTAGCTATTAGCCATCGTCCTGAAGCAGAATGAAGCAGAACGGGTAATACACGTCTTCGTGGGGAACAAGTTTGCCGCCGCTTTGCTCGGAGGCTGGTCGTGCGTTGCAGTCTCGGGCATGGATTGTGGTTCAGTCACGCCAGCATGGACGGCCCACAATACCGACGTTTTGGCGATATACTGCGAGGGCATTCTTCTGGGAGTTCCTTCGGAGTTGCCTTGTCGAAGCCTTTGGGGTAAACTCAGCATCAATAACTGCCGGGATCTCGTCTCGATAAATCCATAATCCATCTCGACGGACATTGCCCGAATCCCGAATGGCCATGTTGGCAGTTGCACACCAGAGGGGACTCCTGATTGGGTGTTTGAGAGTGTACCGAGCATTCTATACTTCTAGAATCCATCTAAAAGAGAGAGAGAGAGAGAGAGAGAGAGAGAGAGACGGTAAGGCAACTTCCAACGACCTACAACATCCGGATACGTTCTTTTTCGCCTTCGACTAGCCATTGCCCAGGAGAACTCGCAAGGGCTTCCAAACACCTGGCGGATATTGTGTTCGTTTGGAGAAGTAGTGCAACACAGAGGAGGCTTGTCTGTTCTCGGAAATTACACCTTGACCTTCTCCCCGTCGTCGCTCGAGCTTGCATCCCTGACATTATTATTCTGCGCCTCGGCCGTCTTCCCTCCGGTTACAACGTGCTCTTCCTGCCCCTCCAAAGTCATCCCCGCAGGCCCATCACTGTTATTGTGCTCGACATCGTCGTACGGTCTCCAGAAGTCCTTCTTCCCTTTGGCCGCCCTGACGAGCCAAGGAGGCAGCAGTCCGCCTTCGATCTTGTAGGTCCAGTAGTCCTTATACTCCTTGTCGGCGGGTTTGATGCGGTTGCCGGAGATCTTCTCGACAAGCCACACAATGGTGTTCAGGACGATGTAGCTTATGATGCCGGCGATGAGGCCGTAGGCGATGGAGTAAGTGAAGGGCATAATGGCAATGGTTAAGAAGGCTGGGATTGCATCGCCGATGTAGCGCCAGTTGATGTCGGCTGCTGCTTTGGCCCTGGAGAGAGAGAGAGAGAGAGAGGACAGCTGTTAGCTTCAATACTGTCGGAGAGACGTGGGATGGGGCTGTGGAAAAGACTTACATGAGTGACCCGACAATAATGAGCACGCATCCGGTGGCGTACGGCGGGATCGACGCGAAGATGGGCGCGAAGAAGATGGAGATGAAGAAGCAGAGCCCCGTCGTCATGGCAGTGAGACCTGTTGCGCCACCTTCAGAGATACCGGCGCCCGATTCGATGTAGGCCGTGACTGGAGGTGTGCCGAACAAAGCACCAATCGAGATACCAAAAGCATCGACCAGATAAGCCACAGCCGAACCTTCAAAGTCCTGCGTCTTCTCATCGATGGCGCCGCAAAAGCGCGCCATGGAGTAGAGGGTGCCAGTGCAATCGAGAATGTCGACATATAGAAAAGTTATAAATGCCAGTCCGAATTGCCCGCCGTAGCCCGATATGTCCCATTCCTGGACGGTGAGGATTCTCTGAATCGGGTGGAACGTAACGACTTGCTTGAAGAAGTCAAACATGCTGTCGCCTAAATCGGTGTATGGGAAGTATGTCACTAATAACCTCCTGTCAGCTCCGAACACATTCCCCCAGTGGAGAAATCGGGAAGCGCATCGCCATTCAGCAATGTTACTGGTCATGGACGACTTACCTTCGGTCCCTCGAGGCCACGAAATGATGCTGACTAGCAAGATCCCAAAGATGATGGCGCCCTTGACACGGAAGAGCATGAGCAAAACCGTGAAGAATCCACCGCAGAAAATACCGATCCACATTGTTGGGTTGCGCATTTTGTACGCTGCCGGACAAACACCAGTCTCGTCAATGTACTCCGGCTTGCAGCCGGCTAATTCGAGAGGAGTAGCCTGCGCGCCCGTAACGGCTCCAATGCCCGCGCTGTATGTCAAGCCAATCAAAGTCAGATATAACCCAATGCCGACTCCGGTGGCAAGCTTGATAGACGCTGGAATGGCCCGAGCAAGCCACTGCCGAAGTCCAAGGATGGTGAGACCGACAAACACAAATCCTTCGACAAAAACGGCTGTAACGGCAACTTGGTAAGGCACAAGGCCAGATCCGTGATATCCGACCACAGTGTATGCGAAGTAGGCGTTCAAACCCATTCCAGGCGCTAAAGCTATCGGCATGTTTGCAAACAGGCCCATGCAGAATGTGGTGAGGGCGGAAATCGCAGCGGTGGCTGTGACCAAATCTCGTTGGACTTCGGCCACGCATATCATGTAGGCCGGGTCGCTGTCGCATAGATCGGGACTATCCGGCGGGCAGACGCACGTACCGCCGGACTGCGAAACAATAGTGGCGTTGACGGAAATGATGTATGCCATGGCGAAGAAGGTTGCCAGTCCAGCACGGATTTCGGTGAAAAAGTAGGAGCCTTTCCGTTCTTTGGGGTGACCGGAGCCGTCAAGGCGGAAGCGTCTGCCCACGAATGAGCGAGCGACCGCCATGTTGGCTTTGTGAATCATCTCGTTGATACCCATGATGGTGGCCGAGCTGAGAGGCTGTAACCGGGAGACAGAACAAGAGGTCCGAATAGAAAAGTAACAGACCCGTGAACGAGTGGTTCATCGCAAATATATGAAAAAGTGACAGATGTAGCTCTCTCGGAATCATCGATGCTGAATGGCCGAGCTAAAGATGAGTTCTAGAGATAAAGGTCTCGTGTATGGGCTGCGATAATTGGAATCGAGACCCGAGCGGAAGCCGTCAGTGGGCGGAGGCGAGTATAGCCAAGGCAAAAGGCGGGTTCCGCTTGACCCAATATCTCGATCGTTCGTCTTGGCCTCCCTTGGCGAGGGCACCAGAAGGCTCTTCAGATGCTTGGCCCATGATATGAACTCCCCGGTCCGTTGGTCAGTTGCTTTTTATCGTATCGGAGAGCGGCGATGGACTGGTTCTTCTCAATGTCCCCCAGACTCATGCCGGGTTGCTTCTCGCGAGAGATCCATGCCGAAGTCTCCGGTCCAGGGTTCGAATTGCATCGGGACGAGGCGATCACCTAAATTGATACGACAATAACGTCCCAATCTTGGGTTCCCGCTGTTCAAGCTTCGTCCACCTCCCAAACTGACCTGAGAAGAGTAGGGTAACGGGCGTTCGGTACCTACCTGTATCCTTTCTGGCATTGTCAAATATCTGCAATAGCTTGCAGAGAAGACTAGCTATTCCTAGTGCTTGATCCGGGCACCTGGAGATTGGATTGGAGTTCAAACTGAGAGAAAACCCAGCGGACAGATCCACGCTGCCGAGGAAGCTTGTGGCTGTCAAGGTGGCCAAACATGCATTGAGGAAGCCAGACTCCACAAGTCTTTATCAATCTCTAACGACAAGATGAATTGACGTGGTCTAATCTGATGCCGAACGACGCATATCGGCTTGTACATAAGAGGTTCATGTAGAGAGTTGCGAGACTTTGCAATGGTGAACTGCTGATGCCGTTGGGAACCCAAGGCTCCCTCGCCAGTGTATCAAGCGTAATAATAGTGCATAGTTCGCACAGTTGTGTACATTTGCGTCTAACCATTTCAGGGTTAGTGTCTCAGGACGCTAGACCTAATTAATCTGAGGCATCAACACGATGGTGGATTCCGATTCACTGCACCGCGTACTTCAAGCCTTGCGCCCTTGAAAGCTCTCGTCCTTTGTGTCCTCGCACAGATTGTACCTCAACGCGCTGCACTCGCTGCTCGGCCGAAGAAATCATGGCTGCATCAAAGCATTCTGCATCTTCATCCACCTCATTAAACACCAACCAAAGATGGGCAACCCTTGAACCGCGGGTAAGACAAATATCACAATCCGCAATCCGCAAGAAATGGAGGCCTTTGCCCGCTTCGTCGCAGGAGAAGGTCAGGCAGATTCTCATGAATCTAAAGGCGAAGAGATCTGGTGCCGGTGGAAATGGCAGGATCCCACCAATTGGCAAGTCGCGCAACAGCGCGAAAGTGCAGCGAAAGAAGGCCACGGCCGCCAGTATCAGGGAGGAAGAATACGAGAAGGCGGTGGAAGAGGTTGCTGATAAGTATGCTTGCCGATGCATCTGTGCCTCGTACCAGACCCAGTTTCCCTTTCCTTTCCCTCCCTTCATCTCCTCCCATATCGTCTTCTCTTCCACCCGCGATGCCCCCGCCTAACCCTCATCTACACTCCAGACTCCTCGCTCGCCTACCTCGAATGCCATTCCCACATACAAACACAACCACAGTCGATGATTCGCCGTTCGATCTTTCTGCGACTCTCGCCCGCATCACCACTCTCCAATCCCAATTAACGACAAACCTCCAAACGCAACACCTTCTCCGCCGGCAGATCAATCGGGAGAAACTCGCTCTGAAGAGGGACCGCGCTCAGCTGAAAATGCTGGAGGACGGATTCAAGGGGAGTGAGGCGTTGAGGAGGAAGAAGGAGAGGGGCCTACATCCTTTGGCCAGGGACTTGCACAAGGAAGAAGAAAGTGAAGACGGCGCCAAAGCTGAGGAGGCGAGAGAGGAGATTGAGCGCGTCAATAACATTGCAGGGATATGCCCTGCGCCTAGGAAGGTTTCCACCATGCCGCGGTCAAAGACCTCCCCATCGCCTACTCTCAGTCCCGATTCAGGAGTCGACCCTGAACTGAATTCTCTGCTCTCTCAATTGCGGAATCATCTTCTCAGCATGCAGAACAATACGGCAACCATGCAGCCTGTGTTAGCGGCAATGGACGAAGCGAAGATAGCATTGGATAAATTTGCTGCGAGACGTGGGACCCGAAATAGCCTCAGAAACACATGATTCATGTCGCTCCCAGACCAGCCTCCTAAACAAAGCGAAAGGATACAAGCCACCCAAATCCGTCGATCTCATATCACATCATATCATATCATATGGTATCGTACTATCATGTCGTTGCCGTCCGTCCATCCATCCATCCATCCATCCATCCATCCTAGGTTTTGACAAGTTTCCCCTCTTCAAGGCCCATACGTACAGACATACATACCAGTACATTAATACAAACGCTACAACGAGCGAATCTCCATCCCAGCGCCCAGGACAGCCACATCGAGGAGGCCGGAGCTGTGGCGGCCCGGCCCGAAGCGGCGCATGGCGAACCAGAGGAAGAAGACGGCCAGCATCTATGGCAGCGTAAGGGAAACCCCAGATGTTAGCGAGGGAATGCAAATGCTCGGCACTTGTTTCGCGCCTTCAATTGAGTTACCGGGAGTTGAACGTGTCTGTGAAAGTTGAGGGATGGCGTCGTTGGGCGTTGGAGGGGGAATATGTGGGAAAGGAGGGAGGAAAGGCGAGTAGGTAGGGAAGGGCAGGTAAAGGAGGTAAGGAGGTGAGATAGGGTAAGGTAAGACAAGGGAGCAACATTACCAGAGGCACAGCAGCGACGAAATACCACTTCAAGCTGGGATACTGGCGGAACGCGTCGACATTCATGCCGAACGCACCCACCAGGAAGGTCAGCGGCAGGAAGATGAAGGTGATCCAGCTCAGCCGCCACAGGCTGGCGTTGAGTTCGAGCGATTGCTTCGAGTCCCGGATTGTGACGGACTTGTACATCTGCAACAGTCAAATCAATCCCTCCTGGTTCGAGCGCGCCGTGGCTGGTAATGTACGTATGGAGAGAAAGGGGGGCAAAGAGAGAGAGAGGAAAGGAGGAGTGCCGTACCAGGTCAATCATATGTTCCAGCGGCTCCAGATAATCCGTCCCGATATTCTCAGCCAGAATCTCGAAGTCGTCCAGCAGCGGCGTCAACCAAGTACAGCTGCTACGGGTACCGCCACTGGCCCTTCTGCCATCGCGTCCACTACCGGGTTCCCCGTCTTTCCTTTCGGCTCCGCGGCCGCCGCCGTCTGGATAATGTCTCTCCATCTCTGCAAAGACGGCAAAGTCGTCCTGCACGGCCTCGATAACCTTGGAATGCCGGTTCACCAGCTTCAGCATGTTGTGCAGCCGCTGCGACATGGCCCAGACGTCGCGGGCTCGGGAGGAATCCGACGGGTGGGCGTAGATGTGGTCTTCCAGCGATGCGTGCGGTTCGTGGATCAGCGCGATCTGGTCGCGCCAGAGCTGATACAGGCCGTCGAAGATGTGCGAGAGGACGGCTTGGAGCGTGGGCGTCGACGCACACACATTTCGGTCCAAAATTGGCTTCGCCTCCTCGCCATCGCCGGAGCGAGGAGTCGGAAAGGGACCCGGGTTCAGACCCAGCAGGACATTGGCGCTAACGATCTCGCCGGCCTCGCCGGAGGAATATTCACAAATGATAATGGTGTCGCGCTTGGCCATGTCGTGCAGGTGGCGTGAACCGGAGTTGAAGCGCGTGACTCTTGGACCGGGCAGAGCTTGCGACGAGGCTCGTTGCATGTAGACTGAGATACGCTGGCGGTAGAGAGAGGCCGTGGTAGTTTGCGAAGGCTGACTGTGCTGTTGATGATGAGGAGGAGGAGGAGGAGTTCCCTGACGAGGCACCACCAGGGATCCAAAATCCAGCCCGAATGCTGTGCAGATGACTCCTCGAGCGATATCGAACGCTGGTCGCCATCGAATGGCCTTGTGTGACGCCCGCCGCGTATCGCGGTCATCTTGCATCCAGTCACGAAAGCTTCGCTCGCCCGTCTCGGTGCTGGAGCCGCTGATGCCGAACGCATTGCTCAGATAGTTGACTGCTTCCTCATTGTTGCAGACGTAAATTAACCGGAGCACGGAACCAGGCTGGTCGTCCTCTTCCAAGTGCTTTCGGAGGCTGGACACGCTTTCGCATAGCTTTGGAGGCGCGCAAAGCAAGACACCTTGATCGTCTTTTGATAGTAGGGTTAGGAATGAGGAAGAGAAAATATGGCGTCGAGTTGCCTAGCTCAATGGATCTTTACTTACCTACGTCGTATTCCAAGACATAGAGAGCTCTCCGTTTGAACAGCGGAGCCGGTTTCTGGGAGAGGATGGCCGTCGCATGCGTCGTCGCCAGACCGGCCGCATACTTGAGGCCGCTGTATGCCCCGGGCTTGATGACAGTCTTGATCCCGAGCCATCTCCTGACACGGTCAATGGGGCGATTGCTGCCGCCGCGGCCTCTGGCGTCGGACGCTGAGCGCGTGATGCGGATCTGCGCCTCTTCGGCATTGATATCGGTGTTGACACGTCTGAAGACGGCGGCGCGCTGCTCGATCTCGAGTTGCTGCTGCGGATTCGGTTCGGGAAAGGGGTTCTTGAATTCGAGGGAGTCCTCGACGACGCTGTGTTTGTCGGCGTCGTCGAAGGCGTCCGAGAACCCCCTGACACGCTGGCCTGGGTGGATGTCCAGCGGACACGAGAAGGTGTCGGCATGGGTCAACGAGGCCGCAACGTTCTTGGAAAGCGGCGGCTTGGAGAAGAAATCCTGCGCGAACAACGTCGAGATGTCTTCTTCCTTGACCAGTGGCGGCCGCAGTGATCGGCCCTCTTCTATGCGGATCGAGAGCTCGGCGCCCCTTTGGTGTCGATCTGTCGAGTATTTCCTTTGTTTGACGGACCTTGTCGAAAGGGTTGAAGATCTTCTCGAAGCCATTTACGGGTTTCAAGCTGGCCTTTCTTGTTTCAGAGACGGCTCAAGATATTACTGGCATCTTCCTGAGCGTTTTTCCTTTTGCTCCTCGTTTTCAGCGCCAACGAGGCTGGCGCGGAGTAGGTGGCTTGATGGGGACCTAGAGTCTACTTGTAGGACCTCGACTGTACGAGGACCAAGTGCGTGAAACCCCTGTCACCGGCGCGCTCCTGATTCGATCAAGAATCACCGTCGCTTGCGATTAGACCCTGCCACCCTACAGCTAGCCAAGGGAGTAGTGAAGGATTGGAGTCTCCCGTAAAAAGCAAAAGCACATGGATTCATGAGATGAATGTATTGTTGTCCATGAGAGACATGGGCTAGCCTGCTATAACAAAATCCCGCCCAAGGGTATCCAACAATGTCCATGTCCCCAAGATGATCCCTCTAGTAAACAAACCGCCAACCCCGTCAGCTACAAGTCCTGAAGCCCCCAGATCATGGGCACTGGGTAGACGGCTTCAATGTCTTCCGTAAGCCTTCCGGGGAAACTCATCCCAGAGATGTTTCATCTCCGTGACGTCCAGCCCGTCTTCATCCATCCACTGTGCTTGAAAGTCAACATCTTCTCCATCCATCAACATCCGAAAGTGCCCATTCACCCACCCCTCTCCGTCGAATTCCATGGATCCATCACAACCGCGCCCAAATTTCATATTGCCGTCGTTGTCATCCTCCGACCTCCACCCAAATGAGATTGTACCACCTGTGGTGATGCGAGAGGTGTCGTCCGCGTGGAGAACCCCGATTTTGGAACCCACATTGAAGCGACCCCAGAGCTTCTGCTGTCTGTGGTCGATTTGGAGCCTGAGGTCGAAGGGAAAAACGGGCTTTCGGGGGATGAAGTAGGTACCCGAGATTTGGACGACGCCAGGGTTGGTAGAGGGCTCGTCAAACCCCAGTGATTCATACGCCGGAGGGGCGTCGTCCATTTCGACGTCATGGTGAAGGGAGACGGGCGTGTGGTCGCAGACGTGTTGCGGAGGATCTGAGACAGGGCGCGTGCTGGTGTTACTGCGCGGGAAAGGCTGGCTGCGTCTGGCGGTCTGCGGCTTTCGCAGCGCGGAGGGCGTGGCCTTTGGCTTTGCAGGAGACTTGGGCGTAGCTGCGGGTTTGGGGGTGGAAGAGGAGGAGGATGCTTTGGCGCCTTTGGGCTTTTTGGAAGAGGCTTCTTTGGACTTGGCCGACTTCTTTGCCGCATCGAGTACATCACGATCAATCTTGACCTTCATGCCGTCGATCTCAAGCTGAATGGTGGTTCTCGAGCTGCCGCCGCCGTCTTTCTTCGCTCTAGCAGCCTGAGCCGTAACCGTAGCCGTAGCCGTAGCCGTAGCCGTAGCCTTCCCTGCGGCCTTGCCCTGCAGCGGCTTGGTTGCTGCGGTCTTTGCCTTCCTCAGCGCGCTGGCAAACTCCTTTTTCATTTCCGTCTCCAGCTTCACGATCTCCTGGGGCACGAGCAGCGTCTTGGCCGAGAGCGCATTGGTCAGTCGCACTTTGGCGGTGTTTTTATCCTTGGTGCGCGGGAGGCCATAGTGAAGGAGCTGCGCCTCGTACCAGTGGGCGACCTGGTCCTTTGGTGCAGAGCCGCGCTTAGGCAGTAACAGGTCCTTGAGGTCTGCTGTTGGGGCGCGCGCATGGCGCTTGTTGGGGCCCAGGTCTACAAAGAGCGTGTCTTTGTAGACAAAGTCGCCTCTTCTGATCTCTGTGTCTTCCATTGTCGGGGGAAATGTCGTGAGGTCTTTGTGGCGAGAGATGTTGCGACATGGTTTGGGTAGCCTTTGAAGCTCTAAGCGTCAACGAGTATGTGGTTGGGGGGGGCCACGGCACACTAATCAGGGTCGGGTATGTACTAACTTAGTACTTGTGATACACACATATAGGCACCTACCCACCCACATACTAGTAGTGGTATACTCCTCCAACCACCAGAGGGCTCTTTCTCTCTCCCAGGGCAATCTATGCTTGTCCTGCTGCTACTCGACGACTCACTCCCTCAGCAGCAGCACACTCGGCTGCAAATCCCAAACATCTTGCAACCCAGCCTGGTCCCCAGTAGCTCAACTCGATACAATGCGGTGCCCCAAGCACTACTCCGCTCTCTACCCTCGGGCTCCCTGTAAACTCCCGAGCAAAGTCCTGGACAGTCTCCCTTGTCGCCTTCCACAATACATCATGTTCACCCATTCCATACATGATCGGAACTTTCACCTCCTTTGCATAAGTTAACCAATAATCTATCCAGTGGAACGACCCGTCTTCAAACTCGCCTAGGGACATGGACGTGTTCAACTCGGCTCCCATTCCAAGAATCTCAGGGGACACTCTCCCCAGTTTGGGGTCGCCGAACATGGGCCCATCTTTCATCTCGAGCGGCCAAGCGATCCGTCCGTCGACCACTCCGTTCGCAACGATGTCTCTTGCGCTTTCGCTGGGACGGCCGTGAGCCGTGCCCCAGCCGGACATGATCAGTCCGCCACAGGGGTACTGGGGTTGAGCTTCCCTTGCATGGAGAGCAGAGGCCACAATGGAGCTGGGGGATCCCAGGGAGTGCGCCAGGATGACGATGGTAGTTGCCCCAGAGCTAGCGCCGAATTCTTGCCATATCTTAGGGAGAATGTAGCCGTGAAGGTACTTGCCTTCCTCCTGCAGGAATGTTGATCCTTCCGGGACCGGCGGGAGTGCTGTGCTGTCTTTGTAGCCCGGGCGGTCAATTGACACAAAAGGCACTCCGAGTGTTTCTGCTAACCTTACGGCCGAGTTGGTCGTACCAGCGTCGAAGTATCTTGAAAAATATGTACCACCATGTATCCCAACAATCAAGGGTTGATAGTGAGGGGTTGTTGAGATTCTGGGGGGCACCGACACAATCCCTGAAAGCTGTGCGCCATTCGACAGCGACAAAGAAAACCGCTTCATACCGATCGGGAGGCTCTGGTTGAGTTCACAGAGGAAAATGGAATAACCTGTCGGCTTCTGCTAAGGTTTTGGGGAGGGAAACTCACGAAAGACTCACCGGGCCTGAGCAGCCGAGTTTTACTCTTTATATTTTTGTCGGTACTGGCGACCTTGCATAGTTAAATATAGCTTCAAGGGTAGTAGAGGCTGTTAGAACTCAAGGCGTCCTGCAGCGTGGTCCCCTCGCTTGCCCGTCTCGCCGTCCATGCCCCGATCCATGGTGGACCGATCGTGGGGATTTTCCGACACTCGTATGTAGTTCACCAATCTTTGGTCGACTTGTCCTGTTATATGCGGGGATGGCTGAGATGTGCCTTCAGATAGCCCATTAGGCAGCATTATAAGTTCAAGTGCCGTCTTGGGAATTGTCGAATGCAAGCATAGCATCCCAGTTTGAGCCAGGAGCTTGCCTTGTTTGAGCAGCGGTATGAACTTGGAGTACCACAAAGTTTCTACTCCGTCGTATCGTCTGCTCATCTTTGGCCATTTCGCCCTCCAGCTTTGCGAAACTTGGTGATAAGAATGTGACCTGTCGTGGCGTGGCCAAAAGGAAGAATTTCGGCATTCCCTGGGACAGTATTTCATTCTCCCTGTTAATATTGGATCTTGAGACTTGACCAACGTATCGATGTACCGCAAATAGAACGGAAAGATCGAGTCTGGGCTTCAAGACTTTTCGATTGGCAAGTGTAGAGTAAACCCGCTAACTCCCTGGTGACAGGACTTCGTTGCAAAAGCCTTTTCCAGAATACTTTGTTCCTCCTTGTATCTCGAACGTTGCTAGCCGCACGGAAAACCCTATTGAAATGCTCCCATATTGCGTTCCACCAGGTACCGCAGAGACAGCAAAGAGCCGAACTTCCATAACGATTGTGGTATCTCAAAACTGCAAACACGTAGAAACTTGTTCGTTAAATCTTGAATATTATCGCGGGATGTGTGTACGCAGATCGTGAGATGCATTTGGCCTAATTCCCGGCATGAAGACCCATCCCTTATCCTTCTTGTGCGACAAACGGCCCTGTCCACGTGCCACCTCCCATAATCAATTTTAATGCTGGACCACGTCGTTGTATATTTTAGCATCATCGTTCAGAGCCGGCGTTGCTGGGAACTCTCCAGGCACATGGAAGTCCCTGGTGGTCTTCGGACTTTTGGTAGTTTGCGCCGGCTTGACGACGTAGTCCGTTGGGGCAGTTTTCGACGCCCTGGACCCAACGAAGACACCATTGGTATCGAACATGGTGTCAGTCGGCGCCACATGTCCTGTACTAGTTGGTACGGTCGACAGAGTCCCTGTCTCTGTTCCTGAGGACACGGTATTTGCAACAGCCGAGCCGGGCGCTGTGGTCGACTCGCTCATTGCCCGCGGCCCGGCCGGTGCCTCGATAGGTGCCGCGATTGCCACGGGTATGGGAGCAGAGGATTCGCCATAATGCGGTATTGCTGACTCACCATCTAGTCGTCGGGCAGCTGTCTCAGCCTGTTTTTCCTGCTGGCGTTCGTTGTGGTGATGCATTGCGCCAGTTGCCAACGCCGCGCCTCCCGCCCCTGCAGCTATCGGTGCCATCCATTCACCATACTGACTCGCCCCATCATGAGAAGGGGGAGCTTGACGAGCTGGGAATATATTTGGGTGGTGTCCTGGGGCGTACTGGCTTGTCGTGTTTATCTGCGAAGTTGGTCCATCAGGTGGATGAGCGTCCGGTTGTAGGTCTGTGTGCTTTTCCGTGGTATTGGCGAAAGGAACTCCGCTGCCTGGCAGAGCACCTGCTGCTGCTACGACATCACGGTCTGGGTCAGAACTTTCTCCACTAGAAGGGGACAGCGGAGCTTGTAAGCCGCGTTGTACGTTGAGATCAGATGGAAATCGCCCACCTGGTGCTGGTCGTTGTGGAGGACGCCACCCGGCTTCAGACCTGTTGTCCTCGTCGTCGTGCATCGCTGCCGCGCTGAGACCACCGGCGCTAGCTGCGGCTGCGGCGGCGGCGGCGGCTCCATCAGCAGATGTCCCTCGCACAGCGGATGTACCTCGCACAGATTGTTCGCCGGAAAAGGCAACGCGATCAGCCTCATCGTCCTCCATTTCGCCCTCTGAACTGATAATGCTCGAGGGTTTGACGCTACTGCCAGAAAGTGATCGAGCGTGCTGTCTGCGGACAAATTCATTACGTTCCTCGCCTCGCTTTTCCGTAAGCTCCTTGATATCATTGAACCATGCTAGCATGGTTTCGTGGGATTCAGCTCGAAACACCCAAGCATGCCCGCGGTGCATTGAGCCGGTTTGTCGGCCCTTGAGCATGAATTTATGCGACGAAGAGTCAAGCTCGGAATGAGCGCCCAGTTTCTGCTCGGGCAAATACAATGACATGACAGGCGACTGGAACGCAATTCGGTCTGCCGATTTGAATTCGTGGAGATGGGTTGGAGACAGAACGTACCTGACAGGCATAATCAGTAACCACAGTTGCGGGACCAGTGCTAGATTCCACTCACCATCCAGGAGTATAGTTCTTCAGATATTTGCTCTTCCGCTCAAGCATCCCACTCCTCACTTCGATTGCTGCGGGATGATCTTTTCCGGGATAGATAATGTGAGAAACTTGTCGAATAGGGACTCTCGGATCCACCATTTGATTGTTGTTCTTGGTAAATTCATCCCATTCATGATCCTTGACCATTGACAGTGGCCCTTCCTTGAGTTTCTCGGCCGTACCATAGGCGTCGTCAGCCTCGCGGCGCAGAATGCCAGCAAGTACATTGTACGCTTTCTGAATTTCGCCGACCACAATGGACTCTAGCTCTCGGCCAGACGCTTCGAGGTTGAGATACGCCTGTTCATGTTAGCTCAACTAGTGCGCCTGGACTCATCAAAATAGCCTACCCGATGCAAATAGTTCTCTTCATCAATCTGCTTCTCAATCTGCTTGTCAACAGCCATCTTGACCAGGAAAGGGTCGCCCCTTCCTCCGGTCGTTGTTGCGTCGTGATCGACCATACCGAGAGATTCTTGGAGGGATTGGATCGCTTTTTTGGTGGTCTCCTTTTCCTTGTCCACTGAATTCTTAAAGTCACCAGACAAGCTTTTGATCTCTTTAATTTTCTGTTGTAGGTCACTCCGCAGACCTGTAAGTTGAATAATGACCTCATTCTCGAGGTCTCTAGCCTTGTTGGCTTCATTGAGGCCTTGTTTATGAAAATCTCGTAGAATGTACGCGGCGTCGCCCAAGCCACCGGATGTTAAGAAGTTGGAAGGCATAGTGGTGTTATTGATGACGTTGGAGGTCGACATGAGCGCTTTTGCTCGTGTCTCATATGTCTTGTGCAGTTCCCGAAAGTAATTGATCAAATCCTTGAGGACTTTACGCCATGCTGCTCAAAGATTAGCCGAGACACAACCGGGTTAGTCGAAGGAAATGAAGCATACCTTGAAATCGCGCTGCGAGGAGCTCTGTAGGATTCCCCGTGGTCGGGACTGGACAATAGAAGACGCTGTTGGTCTCTTCGGTCTCGCCGTATTGCTCCTTTTCCGGCAATGGCATGCTTCGCACTGAACCTGCATAGCTGCTTCTTTTGCTAGCAGTCCTTTTCAGACTCGCGCTCTTGTGAAGGGAAGCCTTCTTTTTCAGTGTCCCACCTCTCGATGGTAGCAAAGTCTGCGACCCTGACATGTGCGAGTTAGTCCGAGGGAGCTCCGGTGACTCCTGGCTTTGGTGGACGACTTCATCGTGCAACTCGGCGGCTTGCGCTACAGCGGATTGGTCCTGCAGGAAACCAGCTTGAGAGTGGTTTGGGTGCGATACAGTTTCGGCATGCTGGGTGCCGGCGTAAGATACGGGTCGAGAAGATAGTTTCGCACTCGTTGGTCGCGCGGAATATGCCGAAGCATCGGGATGAGTGCTTTGAATGGGTGAAACAGGAGTGATCGGTCTCGAGGACATGATGACAAGGTCAAGATGGGAACGTGAAAGCCCGGTTGCGGAGCTATCTGCAGGTCATTGAGGGTTGGTTACACTGGCGAGCTGCGTGCGGGAGCTATGTCGCCAGCGGCATCTTGGGGATAGACGACAACGGTTTCAAGTATTCAGCACAACTCGTCTGTGCGAAAGGTCGAAAGGTCAAGCGGGACACGGCACAGCAATTGGACTGAGAAAGAAGCTCAGAGGAGGGGAGTCGAGACCAGGGAAATGAAATGCGACAGGTGGTGCCAAAATGGATGACGTCGGTTTCAGGAAGAACAAGAGTTTGATGGTGATGATGATGAGGGAAGTCGAAGGCGGGCGGAAGCGTCGACGTCGAGGTGGCTCGGTGCACAGGCTCACAGGCCATGAAACGGTGAAGTCAGTGCCCGCTTGGGAAGCTTCTGGTGGGCTTGGTGGATTCCCGAGGGGAGGCGCAAGAGGTGGAGGCTTGGGCCACTAGGCTTGGATTTGGGGCCTTGCTTGAAGTTGCTCAGTGCCACCGGCACGGCAGGAATAACTGGTCGAATCGCAACAGGCGTAGGGAAGTGTCAGTGGAGCGCCTGGAACGAGCCCCCTCTCCTCAAGGGTGGGATTTGGCGGTTGACAGTTGGCAGATGGCAGCTGGCAGCTGCTGGCCAAGGGCACCGAGGAGGCGACTGGGCCACTACTCGGGTCGCTGGTTAGGGTGACGGGGGGGGCCTGCTAGGCTCCTCGGCGGTTGGCAGTTGGCGCGCGGAGCTGCTGCTGAATCTCTCGAGATTGAGTGCTGAGCATGAAGCTGCTGGCAGTGGAGTGACGAGGCATCTGGTGCCATCGTCAGACAACTGTGATGTAATCTGCTCCCCATTCGCTTTGTTCTCTCTACAGTACCAGTACAGTAGACTTGTATTACTGCCCACCACAGCCTACTTGAACAAAGAATACGACAGCATCGCCCAGGGTTTCCTCCTCGAATCGTTGGTTGAGCATTGCCGAGGGTGCTTTTTGCAGGATCACCAAGTCGCAAGCTCTCGTGGAAACTAGCTCTCCAACGATTGAATCGCTAGCCACAGGAGCTATTTGAAAGGAACCACTGACCCCGCTGAACGCTGGACACCATGAACAGCTGCATCTCTTAGGCGCGGCGGCCTCCCGAACCTCGAACCCGGACGACCCGTCCTAACCAGAAGCAGAAGGGAGCTATCTAAACAATGAGCACCGCACCGCAATCGATCCGAGGACGATGGTGACACCACACTACAATTGCATGAGAAAGAGACGGCAGATCACGGAAGGATACCTCGTATGCCTGGGCAAGCTTGGGTCAGCGTCAACACTTGGTAGATCTCAGCTGTTTCCTTGCGGTGGCTGGGCCAGTGGCATTGCATTGCCTGATGATCATGTCGAAATGGCTTGACGGTCCGGCCGCCCTCCCAAAGGCAAAAAGCTCAGGAAATCGGCACATCAGTCATCAATCGTTCATCTTTTGCGTTTTGCCTAGCACAATCAGCCTTTCCGCCGATCGATCATCGTACTCAGTCAGGTATTAGCAAGCTGTTGTCCTAATACTTGTACTTGGTGTGTCTACAAGTAGGCCTGCTTTTGAGAGGTGAGCCTAATGACCCGCGCTTGATGCGCCACGAGATATGAATGAATCCATTATCTTCGGCGAGTACCTCGGACGGGACCATCGCACAAAAGAATTCATATTTGCTTGGTTTGTGATTTCGCATACCTAAACTTGTGGCGTGACTGCATGGAATTAGCGGATATGGGAAGTTCTGCAAAGAAGGCTTGCTTTTCGGGACCACCAGGGCCTGCTGAGAATAACAGCATCCCAGACCATCTTCCATCCCGCTTGGTACACACTTGGTAAACAGTCTGAACTGTCCCACAGACTATCAGGCGGCGTGTTCTTGCAGGTCCAAATCCCTCCATGAGGACAGGTTTTATTCCTGCTTTGGTTAGACCTGCTTACCGACGCACATGCATTGCTGGGCTCATCATGTCGTACCTAATCGGCTTTGTCATCCATTTGATCGCAGTGGCTTGCTGCTTTCCCTATACGGCTCGAGGACAGGACAAACTTGTAGTGAAGCGACAGTTTTGAATGTGCCACATGACAAAAAAAAGCTTTAATCCACAAGATCCCAGGGAATAGCCATCTCAGCAGCCTCTTCTTTCGAGCCTGAAGCTGATTGTAAGTGCTTCTTTCTGAAGATCTTGGTATAGTTCGCCTATGTACAAATGATTTTCGATGCCGTCGAACTAATCTCTCAAAAGCAGCCGTGCGGATAGTGTAACATGTTCAGTCGCCTCCCTATTTCCTGCACAGCTTAAAAGGATCAATCGTCGTCTTGTTCGCTAGCACCACAGTCCAGGTGCGGGTTACAAATACGAACCCGAATTGCGGTTCTCTAAGCGAAGATGGGCCGTGTATCATGCCCCGGGGGCGGGCTTGCCTTCATAGTACGGTGGTTGGACGTCGAAGCCATATCTTTCCTTAATTCTTTGCTTCCGTCTTTCCTCATAACCCGGGCCGTAGATACCTGGAACCATGTGAATCAGCCGCCTGCGGAGAGTACCTTGTCGATCTATCTTACCTCGTCCTTCTCCCAGCTCGTTGATTGTTTCATTGAGAGGTCTCCTGAACCGAGACCTTGTCTCCTCTTTATATGCCATCCGGTCCTCGAAGGCCTTGTCTGAAGAAGATTCGAACATTGAGCGGCCAGTGTAGCTGATCACGCCCATCGCGGTGCCGAGGGCCAAAGCACTGCCCAGCGTCGATGTCATTGACCGCTCTGCTGCCAGTTAGCAATGAGCCCGACCCACTTCTGCTGTGCCTTCCATACTCCAGAGACCGTTCAAAGAGCCAGCCAGGGCACCGCCGATTACATGGTTTATGTAGTCATTCTTTTCTCGTAGGTTTGCAGAAGCCGAGCTTGCAAACTGGAACGTTCCTCCCATGGCCGCTGGAAACAATCAGAATCTGTTCAGTTTCTACATTTTGAGAAGATCCCAATCATACTGAGTAGACCAATGGTTCTGCCAAAACGTGTAAACACCCCGAAGGCACCGATTTGTTCCTTGGCGACAGTGTTCTGGACAGAGGCGACGAAAAGACCAGCAGCACCAGTTAATGCAGCTGCGCGCGCCGAAAGGCCCAGAGCATCCTGAGGTTGGTAAACGGGCTCGTCGACATCGTAATTCGGCTTCGGGTCCACCAAATCCCCCATGGCTGCGATCCTGGCTGTTGGAGCTGAGAGCGGTCAAGTTCAAGTCATCAGTAGCTGCGCCAAAGCGATGTCAGCTCGGTGGAATGGGAGGGACGCTAGGAAGGCCAATTGTAGATTGAGAAGTTTCGACTTGCCGTGAGATTTATGTTGATCTCCTTCCATCGGAGCTCTCACATTGAGGTCAGAGAGGTGCAGGCTTGGCATTCACGCGGCACACCTTCCTTATGCGAACTGGGGACTTGATTCGTTGGGCTCAGGAACATTTAGCCCCACCTTGACGAGAATGCATTTCGGCCTGTTCAGAGACGAGGCTGCCCCATCAAGGGGCTTACAGCAACGCAGATCAGCTTCTGGTGACTCTGATAGAAAAATCGCCTCAGATACCATCACGGCGCCAGAAGGTGGCTCTTCAGGCTCCCCTACAGGCCTCGGGTTTGTTACATTAAAAGAGAGAGGGAATAGACACAGGCATGTAGCCTTGACAAGGTAACGGGCATAGGAGATGGATTTACAATTAGACCTGACTCTGACAAGGTCTCAGGTCTCGATTCTTCGCCCACAGTATTTCCCTTCCCACAGCCCTTTCAAGCCAATCTGCGCTCAATAGGGAACCTTTCCCTCGTCTCGTCTCCAGACTCCTGAATCTCATCGACCTGGGCCACAGCCTCACCACTGCTTTTGATCGAATCCAAAGTGTTGGCGTCGGCATGGACCTTATTCCCCAGCGCTTCGTCGTCGCGGTCGTCGTTGGGATCGTAGTAAATGGAATTCACCATTCTGCTAATACGGAACCTGAACCCTCCCTGCGGAGGAATCTCCAGCAACAGGTCGGCGTTCTCAACTGAGAAGTTCCTCTTGAAATCGCTGACGATTGGTGCCTTGCTTGTAATATTGAAAAGATGTGTCATATACTCCGTGACCGGGGAAGGGCGGAAGACTTCCCCAGAGCTTTCGCGAGGTCGCCCGTGAGCTGTTCAGCTTCCGTGACATTGGACATTCTGAACGAATATCTAATGCAAGAATGGAGAAATCAGTACGCAATGGAACCAAGGATAATGAATTTGAAATAGGTCAAGCCGATGCAGGAACGCTAGGCAAGGGCAATGGCTTCTCGGTGCTAGAGGAAACTTCATAATGACAAGTGAGCACAGATGGCAGAAGATGTGAAGATACTTGTACTAGAACGATTCCCTAACTACCTTCTTTGTATGGTCCTGCCCAAGCAGTCCAGTTCTGTACAAGTTATGACGTCGTCGTCGACAAGAAGTAAGTGAGCTCTGGGCTCTTCACAGGAGGTACGCTTGGGATGCGGAGAGATGCGGATACATGTTCAAGCAAGGGGCACCAAGTTGAAGCAGTACGACTGAGTAAGCTGGGCGTGATCCTCCCTCGCCAGCCTTGTATTTGTGGAAGCTAGCGGAGGAAATCCTTACTGCGGCGTTGTTGGCTTTCTCGGCGTCCCCCATTTGCTCATCCGCTTGAAAAAGGACATAACACTAGATGTTCTGACGGTCGCATATGCAACATGAAGTAGACGAAGTGAGATGAGTGCTGAAATTAGAGCTGCCGGACCTAAGCCCGAGCTGAACCGTTGTTCGTCGTGTTCCGAGTTTTATAATGTCAGATGTGGAGCTGGAGGAGCAATGAGGTACTCAATTACCTTGTTGGATCGTTGAATATAACGATGATTTCGACTGGAGGGAAGTGACGCATATTGGGATTGGGCCTTGTGATGATACCTCAGGGTTTATGGTTCCGAAATATTATGCGACGAAGATTTCAGGGAGCGGCATTGCTGTTCTGGATTGCCGTGGAAAACATGCCGTGCACTTTGGTTGTGAGAGAGCCTGGCAGCTCTGTTTCAAGGCGAGAATTATTTCAACACGGAAGCTGAGGAAGTACGAATTACAACTGATTTGTCTGGTTTGTCTGGTTTGTCTGGTTTATAGTAACGGGGGAGTATTTCCTATCTGGAATTGGTTCAGGGCAGCAACATTGGCACCGAAGTTATGGGGTTCGCAGCTAAATCGAGCTGTCGAACCGCTTTGTGTGAAGGAGAAGGTAATACCGATCTGTGAGAAGATGTTTCAATATTGAAAGGCTGCTTTTACCGATGATGACTAGCGCCTTGGCATTGGCAGCATTGGGAATAATCAAGGTTGGAAGCGGCGCTGCCTTACGCGCCCCCCGATTGGGCTTCGAGTCCTCGTCGCATATGCATTTTGCCATTCGCAGGCTGCTACCTATACACACCCCCCCCCCTTCGTCATGGCAGGACATTCTGAACTCTTTTAAATTCTTCTAATACACTGCACCTATGATTCAGGCTGTCTGACGCCTCTTCTGTCACTCCCCGGCAGAAGACTGCGTGGGTGACGGCCTGTGGAAGGTCCGGTCCAGTCCAATTCTCTCTCTGCGCTTTGTTGCTCGAGTCTCAGTTTCATCCATCCATCCATCACAGTAGTTCCTCGAGTCCAAATATCCTGCGCCCGCATGAACCTAGATCAGACGTATCCCGTTTTGCCTAGATCCTGCGACAGTCCATTTGCATACCTGCCCTGACTACTGGCTCGAAGAGCTAGTGGATCGCTTCCAAGCCGACTTGCATGGCCGGTGTGCAAGGCAATATCCGGTCCTTCATTGCGCCGATCAAAGGATCTGGTGTGTAGACAAGAGATGCCACCAAAGAGATCGTCTGTAATAACGAGATACCACAGGTCGAACTGCTCCGGCATTCCTCGAGGATTTAACCCTCTATGAGCCATGGCGAGACTCCAAGGACCTTCCGAACCTGCTCGCTGATTCTCCCCTCAAGTTCATCCACGCTCCTTATCTGGCAGACCTCCTTCCTCTTCATAGCTGCAGACACAAGTTTGGGTTGAAGCCGAAACAGTCTCAACCTCCCGCAGTGGACGAGAGACCGGGTCCGCAATCAATATGGACGGTGGCAGCATTCTGTCAAGTGTGCCGGGTGCACCTTCATGTCAAGGTCGATTACACCATCAGATTTGATGACGATCCCTGCCCCAGCTTTGAGCATCCTCTTCATCACCTAGTGAGGTCAGAATTTCAAGAGCCGTTGGAAAGGAACGTATGGAAGCGTCAGAACCCCGACTCTCAAGATGAAATATATACCTACAAGTGTTCCTCCCTCACCTGCTCCGCCACCATTACCGTGCGCTTCAGCCCGCCAGTCCTCCGTCAGAGCGACATTCACACCCTGACCGATCCCGCGCTGCTTCGCCAGAGAACAGAAGATGCTTTCCGCGAAAGAGAAGGGCACACGGAGGGAATGCGGCACCCAGGGCCGATGGATGTCCTGCTAGACCTCCGAGCATATCTGAAAAACTCATGGCGTGCGAGAGGTGATCCAAAGTACAGGTCAATCAACTTATCAAATCGGAGGTTCATTGTTCGATTTGGACCTGAGGGAACTGCTTGCAAGGACGTCCTAGAGCATCTTGGGTTCCAGCTTTTGGTAGGTGGAGAAGTTGCCCTTGAAATGTACCTGTGTTGACTCCTTCGTCTGTCAGCCCGGGGATTGCTGGATGGTCCCAGAACCAAGTTTTGAGGACCACCAACCTTACCAGAGCCCCCTCAACATCTGGTTAGACAATGCCGAACACGAATTGACGGCTCTGCTTCTGTCCCGTCCCTACGAGGAACGACAGCAGCTGCAAGATATTGCCCCTCCGCTGCCCGCCGAAAGGGAGCTATCACGGGCCCTCGGGTGTCAGGACTGTGAGTCGCCCGCCTGCATCCAGCTGAGATGCGCTAATTGAATGGCAGATGACACGAATCCTGCTAGCAGAACTGCTAGAATCTCTCCCGAGATGAGAACTCCGTACAGGCAAACTCCCACCTTTTTCTCCTGAGCCCCGCTAACGTGGACGTAGTCCTTTCACTGCTCTTGGCTGTCCGATGGATCTGTCCGACCAACTTGTTGCCAAAGCGTACCACTGGCAGGTTGAAACAGATCGTCAAAATGCGCCTGTATATCTCAGCAATCTCAAATATATAGGAAATCAGCGTCAGAGTGAGGTCTTAGAGACTGAAGTTGTTTTGGAGACCTCACAGGGCCATTATGATGCAGAAATGCTGGATGAAGCATATAAAGCCTTCCACCTGATCGGCCGTGAGGGTCCGGTCAGCGATGAGGACATCATCGGCTCATTTACGGCCCAACTGGCGGACTCTCCAGGTCATGAACATCAACTAAGAGACTATCTCCGCATCATAGGAGTTGATCGTAACAGTAAACGCATTACGGACACTGCGATGAACAGTGAGTCAACCCTCTCAGCTGAGCTTCGTGTACTCACAATTTTGCTACAGTCATTGACAGCTATGAGTCGGCACTTGCGTTCCTAGATGCCGTTTCCACGATGGAAGACGAGCACATCCAAGCTTTGTGGGCTGTCAAGGTTGGTCGCGTGCCTATATGTCGATTGATCTGTGCTGATAGTTGTCTTAGACAAATGAAAACAAGGCCCTCGCAGAGCAAGCTACGCAAGCCGTCCGCGTGATTGCGCAACACCGTAAAAGCCGATTTCTGTCTAATTGGATCGATTCGGGATTTTCGAACGAGACTCACAGCCAGATGGAGCCTGCCGAAGGGTACCAAGCCCTCCAGATCGACAATCGCGCGATCGACGATGAAATGATACTCTATCAATACAACATAGCCGTCGAAGAAAATCCTGGCAGCGTGGACTACTACAACAGAGCGCTCGCCGCAATCGCCAAAGGCCGGAACAGTTCAATCTTATTGGATCATTTACACAGCAGGGCTCCCCAAGAACCTCAGGGCAAGCCGGAAGAGCCTGTGGGACTCGAGAATATTGGGAATACCTGCTATTTAAACAGCTTATTGCAGTTCCTGTTCACAATGAATGAAGTACGCCAATTGGTTCTCAACTTCGACGATTACAAGATGCCCTTGGACGAGAAGAGTATGGAACAAAAGCGGGTGGGACAGCGGAAAGTTAGCCTTAAGGAGGTTCAGACTGCGCAGCAGTTTGTCGCCAGCTTGGCATCTCTGTTCCGCGGCATGATACAAACACCACGTTCATCCATCAAGCCAGAGCAGGAGCTAGCCCGATTGACACTGGAGACGGAAAGTGTTAAAGAAAAGATGCGTCGAAGGTCAACCCTAAAGTCAAACGAGCGGCCCAGCTTAGGCTCGATCAGTACCCTACCTGTTTCAGGACCCTTACCCGTGGCTGACTCTGAAGCGAATGGAATAATGGATACAATCATTATCCAGTCTCCTACGGATACCAGGGCCACCACCGTTGACATAATACAAGACTTCGATGCTTCGACACTGGATGCGATAGAAGACGCGACTAGTGGCCAGCAAAATGTTGATGCCTTTTTAATGAATGACAGTGCCAGTGAAGACACTTTGGTGTCGAGATCTGGCAGTGACCAGGATTTATTGGCGGAGAGAAATGAACACCTACCGATGTCGGACAACAAAGAAAATGTCTCACCTGCTAGGCCTACAACAACATCGGTGGTCGTGTCTCCTTGGACAGGGCAGCCTCTTCCAACAGCGGCGCCATCAAATCCAAATCTCCAATCAGGAGCATTGTCTGAAAATGCTGATGAAAAGGTATCCGGCATAGATCCTGGACTAATGAAATACGCCCCCCCTCCTGGAAAGCCACCGCCAGTGCCTCCGAGGAAACCCGTACAGAATACCACCACGACTCTAGAAGAGTATGCGCGTCAACAAGATGTCACCGAGGTCATGAATCATTGCATCATTCAGCTGTCTTACGCAGTGCGACCTACAGGGTTCGACAAGTCGGGAGAACAACGCGACGAAGTGCATGATCTATTCTTCGGGCAGCAGGTGGTACACAGCCAACCAGAAAAAAATCCACCGACGGCCCTTCCGTTCCTCAACATCATCACGCGCGTGTTCCATCGGCCTGTTGATGTGTATGCTGCGATTGACAATGAGTTCGATCTTCAAGATGCGCAAGATGGCGCAAAAGCATACACCGCAATCGCCAGTCTGCCGCCGGTGTTGAGCATAGCCCTGGACCGAGTGTCATGGAACAATGAGACAAAACGTCAGGAAAAGTTGAATTATCACGTTGACGTTCCAGAGACCATCTACATGGATCGATACCTGGAAACCCCACCAGGCTCTGACCTAATGCAAAGACGGCAGCAGACGTGGGAGATTAAGAAGGAATTAGCATTACTCATCGCTCGGAGAGATGAGCTGGAAGAAAAATTTGTAAGATAACACGTCCTTCCCTACATGGATTCGAACAGATTGGCGACTGACATTATGCGCAGGGGAAATCCACAGATGTCCCTGGGCTTCTCGAAGATGCAAAGGGTATCTTAGAATACCTGGCCGAAATACCTGGTGATCAAATATCGGCCGAGCTCAATGTGAATCCAAATGCCATCGCTACCCTCGGTATTCTGGCCGAAAATGCCCGTTCTGAACTCGGAGGTAAGAAATTTTCTTTCCACTTTGTCAAATCTGACGACGGGAGTACTAACCTAATCTTCCTCAACATTACAGAAATTCGCTCTCGGATATCTCGCCTCTCCCAGCAAATCAAAGAATCCTTCGTCGACATGCGCAAACACCCATACCGTCTCCATGCCGCATTCTTCCACCGCGGTTCCGCTGGTGGAGGCCACTACTGGGTGTACATATTCGACCACAAGAAAGAACTATGGCGGAAATACAACGACGATCGTGTCTCCACTGTCACAAATCTCAACGAGATCTTCGGCAATCCGTACGCGCAAACTCAAACCCAAGGTCAACAGCAGCCAGCAAGCAGCAGTAGCTTGAATCCGCCCCCGAACCCGTACCTTTTGATCTACTTGGACGCAGATCGGATTGATGAGCTAGCGGAGACGGTGAAGCGGGAGATTGTGAACCCGCCACCTGATGCGGCCCCCGTTGCCTCGGAGCGAACAGATCAACCTCAAAGTCAGATGACAGCCATGCCACCCGCTAAGGAACTGGGCAATGGTGGTGATGTGGAGATGCTGGAGTATGCCAATGGTGGTGAGCAGGCCCAACCCTCGCAGTCACAGTCTTCCGCCGTCCTCGACACCCCCCCGCCAAGGGAGCCGAGCGTACGGAAGGAAGGAAATTGGGATAATAGCCAGCTGATTGTGGATAGGGAGATCAACTGGTAGAGCCAATGGTCTAGAGGATGCGTGGTGGAACTTGCAGCCGCTGCTGTGACAGAAACGTCCGATGCAAGCTCTGAGCATCACTCGCTGTAAAAGCAACAATGACTTCATAGCATGTGGAACGGGAGGGAACAAGGTAAAGAGCAACGGCAAGGGACAAGGGAAAAGAGCATTAGCGCCCAGCATAGCTAGAATCAGGACACAAGAGGGGTTTCAACTAATGTAACTCGAACCGGCGTTAATCAGAATGATTAGCACACATTGTGCCATAACCATCTTGGTTGGTTGAGTTGTAGCGTGGCGATTCGTTCCTTGACCGGCCCAGATATAAGTGGCCAAAATCGAATGGACTTAGTATTTGCAAGCTCAGAAGCTCATGCTTGTGCCCATGCCTATATCTGTCCTGTCTGTAGCATCTTCGAGGCAAGCGTATCCTTGACCCAGGCGGCAACGAGGACGAGGAACATGCGGTCTTGTGGTTGTACACGCGTCAGTCATGTTTTATGCTCTGGGTACGTAGAGTTACTCTAGGCGAGTCGCTTGCCCGCCATTGCATCGGACTTGCTGTCGACGCTCCCTTCTCTTTGCATCTTCCCATACAATCGGTGCTCAGTGGCAGCCTGTCGTTGCTGTGATGATGCGGGCTTGAGCCAGCATCACCGTCAAAGGTCCTCGAGCTTGTGTGTCCTATGTACTTCTCGCGGTGATCGGGTCGTCGTGTGCTCGTCTACCGTCGACGAAGCTTCGTTGTGCCCTAAACAAGATATGCTTCGTTTGGGCCTTCTCGTCGATCCAGCACTGACCTAGGTGGGCAGCACCCCTGCGTCAGCCTCCATTTGTTATTAACGGATCGAGGTTCACGTACCTCCACCAGTTGTGAATGACCTCGATCTGCCTCTGATTGCCATTGATTAGTCTCGAGTTTTGGGGGTCTACCTGGTCGATGAAGGACGCGTTGCTAAAATATGCAAGTCAGCGACAGTTGTAACCGCGCTCAAGTCCCAAAAACCTACGCTCTGTTGTCGTAGACCAGCTCGAGCTGGCTGTTGCCAGCTGCCTGCCTTTGCCGATTTATCGCTGCGAGAAACTGCGTGAGTACCACCTTCTTCGGCATGGTCGAGGGTGGTGGAAGCGGATCTTTCGGTGGCCGCGTTGCGAATGTTAAATTGCCACGATTTGCATTGCCACGGCTTTCAATTCTTGGCTTCAGGAACTGCTCGTCGCTGTCGGAAGTATCAAATTGTTGTTTTGCACTGGCGACGCGTGCACTGCGGCGAGGGGCGGCACGACCTTTAATCTTGAGCCCTTCTGGCCGTAAACCACGATTGACCGTTTCTTTTTCCCTTTGCCTAGTACTCGGCTCGAGAGTCAAGTTGACAATCTGTTTGGGAGCAAGTGATTTCAGGGACCACCTTGTTGCTGCGCCTTTGTTCACTCGGGGACAATCGCCCACCAAATGAGACGTGCTTGCGCATATACAGCAGGAAATCCAGAGCTTGGCAGGGCCGCTGTCTGATATGCCGTAAGAAGGAAAAAATCGCTGAGGGCATGCTTGCTCCAAATGGCTTGAGGTTCCACAGATATCACAAGGTATCGTAGTGACTTTCAAGCCTGTGGAGCAAGACTTAGCAGTGTGTCCACGATCACGGCATGTCGAGCACCGCTGGAGCAGAGGGCAAAGACGGCTAGAGTGCTGAGCAGAGCAATGAATGCATGTCACTTCGGGACAGTTCGGCTCGGTATGTCCGCTTTGGAGACAACTCAGGCAAACAGCAGGCTGATTGAGATCAACATCTTTGCGACTGACGTGGAAGAAAGCGTATTTCAGTTGAAGCTCAAGCTTGTCTGGGCTCAGATCTGCAAGGCATGGGCTTGATTGTACTCGGGCGTCGGCGGCTGTGGGATGGGTTAGGAGTTCGCCGGAGACGGTGCTGAAAAATTTTTCGAGATCGCCCTGTAACTGGTCGTGAGCATCCCGTCCGGTAGAAGAGAGGGGTTGAGTTGTCTCTCTTGTAGACGTTTCAGATTCAATATCTCCCTCATCCCCTTCATCCCTCTCTGATTGCGTAAATCTTTCTTTTTCTTCTTCTTCGTCTTCTTCGCTTTCTTGCTCCTCTTCCTTCCCGTCATAATCAAGATCCATATCATCAGAGAACGAGTGATGTTGGGGACGGTCAATGTTAATGACCATACCCCCGTCGTCGGACTGTTCTTGCTCATCGTCAGAAATCTCGATAGCATCATCTCTGGATTCTCCTGAGGTTATTTCAGGGTCGAATGGACCATCACCCTCGCTTGGACCGGATTGCGACTCATGAGAAGCGGCCGGGGGAGGTGCTGTGCGGAAACCGGTAGCCAGTCTGTTGTTGCCAAAGCCAGCCGAGGGGGAGCTCGCAATTCCGACAGTATCACCGGTTGACGATCCAAGCTCTTCTGGTTTCTCTCGGTTTGAGGGCCCCACGTCCTGTGAAGCCGCGTTGCCCATGGTGGGAGATTGCGAGGCGATTGAAGAATCAGTTGAAGGAAAAGGTACGGAGTTGACTTGACCTTTTTTTTGTCTCGCTTCGCGACTCAAGCCAACAGCAACGATTCTCGACTCACCCTCATCGTCCGAAGATGCGAGCCCGGACATCTGAATTGGGAACGACGTCATTTAAGTAGAGACAGGAACGCGTGCGGGAGTCGCGTGTTGCGAGACCTGGAGGTCGCCATTCAGAACGAGGCTGCGGAGCGCAGCCTCGAGTCGCAGGCAAAAGTACCCAGTACCGCAATACTCGGTACTCGGTACTGCGTAAAGGGAAAGTACACCGACCAGACCAGTCAAGCGGTCCACTAATTCGCATCCGACTAGCGTACTCGCTAATCGGCATTAACCCCCTAATATCACACAGCCTTCTGGAGTAAACACTTTTCATTTCTACCTCTATGTTTCTTCCCTTCTTCATATTTCATCTTATTCACATCTCTATCAAGACCACTCAGATGTAGACAGAGAGAATCCGAGCAATCATGCAGGCTCGAACCCAGTCGCACATGAAATCCTCGGTGAGAAAAGGGCGCAAACTCATGCAATCCCACCGTGGGAGTCTTAGCACCACCATACACCCTTCCATCCACGCGCTTATGCCCACATTGCCTTGAATTTCTGGTTGAACTCGGCTTGGAGCATGGTAAACGTCTTCAGAACCTTCCATGACAGGTCACCTCCAGGCTCCGACACCTCGCTCTCAGCTTTCACCGCGTTCTGCAGTTTCTTCTTATCAATTGCATGACGCTTCTTCTCCATTTTGGCTGCTTTGATCGCCTCACCAATGGCTTCAGGAACAGCGCCGTTGGTTTCGGCCATATCGTCGCTCATATCCTCTTCCCAACTGTCAGCCATCTTCTTCTTCCCCAGGCTAGATGTCGCTTTTGCAGAGGCCGAGTCTTGCTTTGCCATCTCGCGACTCGGCAGCACCCGAGAATTGGGAGCTCTCTTATTGCCCAAATCACCTTCCAGGACTCTGTCATCAAGTTCTGACTCGTGCATATCACCGCAGCCCATGATGTCCGACATCTCATTTCCAGTCGACAGGGAGAGCTTTAGAAAGTTCTCTAAACTAGTCACGATAGTCGCGAGGACAAGCGAGAAGTCATTGAGTACAAACCAGATGTCTCCTTTACGAATGCCATTTTCCTTCTCGAGGGCCACCACATTGCCGTGTTTGAAGAAGTCGTAGAGGTATGCGTTCAAGAGTGCAGTGCTCTCGTTTGGATAGGTCCCCACGTAGGGAACTACGGCCTCCTCTAGCCAGACACCACTGCGAACCATCTTGCAAAGGTCGGACACTGTCTTCCACTCGTCTCTATGGCCTGAAAGGGCAACGAAAGCAGAATTGATGCGCACCGGGGGGAGAGCAGCTACCGACAACCCAATCTCGTGTAATGGCTTGTCTCCGCCACATTTCATCCCAGTGAGTGGCAGATTGTGGTCAACTTCTTTGACGTGTTGGTCGATGTAGGTTGACACATACGCAGCATAAATGTCTAGTGTTTGATCGTTGTGATCCAACAGGATGCTCGCTGCTTGTTTTGGTAGAGGAGGGAGGACGACGACCGATGACGACCACCGCGTTTCCGCACGGCGCGACTCCAGAACAGACTGTCTCAGATATTGACGTCCGAAGAGGTGCGACATGACGAGCATCAGAGTGAGCAGAACTCGCCTAGGTCTGATAAGAATGTCCTCACAAAGCTTGCTAAGATATCCACTTTTGAGCAACGCGTGGAAGGCAAAGCTTGAATTTCCAGTGTAATACAAGTGAGACACGCAACCGGTGAAATTCAGAGGGGCACCCGAAGCGTCCAACAAGTGATTGCGGCGAAGATATTCAATAGAGAACCGTAGATGATGCAAGACAGTATGCTTCGACTCTGGACCACCCAGATAGATACGGGGGCAGGAAAGGATCGAATTGATTGCCTTAACAGCATATGCTGCGTGTTTCGATTCATGCAGCAAGTTGAAAAGCCGCAATACCAGGTCAGTCGTGATTGGAAAGTGGCCGTTCAGGTCTGGGAGCCTTGAACTGAGCAGGCGGCAGACCTTTGAATACGATACTCCCTGGAAGACCACATTTCCCAAGACATCAAAACCCCGACGTCCGGCTCGACCGGCCGCTTGGCGAAAGTTGAGAGCCGTCAGGAAGATCGAGTCTCCTGAGAAGACGACGGTCTTGCAGGGCATGTTGATACCCAGGGCCAGCGTACCAGTGGCTATCACTACACGTAAGTACCCCTTGCGGAATAAAATCTCGCACACTTGACGATATTTGCGGTTCATGCCTGCGTGGTGCACACCGACGCCTCGCTTCAGAGCGTCGATCAGCCAGTCAGACACAAAACGTGCCTTGAGCTCATCAGCGCACTGCTGGAACTCTGACGGAGTGAGCTTCTGCGTGTCTGCAAGATGGAAACCGTCAACTGGATCGTTTGGATCGAAAGATTCATAAATGCTTGACTCTTCCGAGCCAGCTTCTCGCATCCGCTCGGTCCTGGTCGTAGGCTCGTCGTTGGCATTACTCCTCTTGGTCTTCTTGGGCACTTTCTTCCTACCCTGTTTTTCCTGGTTCTGCTTCCAGGCTTCCCACTTATCGATTTTGGACTTCCAAGCTTTGCTAGATTCTTTCCAGCGAGCTTCTGCCTCCTGCAACTCTCTCAGGAGACGCTTACCGATAAGCTCACACGCACTCCCGTCGAAATTGAAGAATAATGCTGGAAGTGCTCCTTCGTCATGAAGCGAACAAATAAGCGGGAGCGTGGTGTCGAAGCAGTCTGCGTCCCGAACCAAACGTGGAGACTCGCTGTCGTTCAGTTTACCCGAGGATATCTGTAAATCTGGTCGCTGTGCGCTCCTTACAGATTGCTCCAGTTCTGTGAATACCACTTCAAAAGGTGATTTGTGATCGTCAACCCAAACTTTCAGAAGTGCCTTCAGCTTGGCTTCCCACTCAATAATGTCGACTTTGCGTAGGATTGGTGGTAGACATTTGAAAGGGTCTAGTCGTTCATCAACGGGGAATGCCTCTGTTTGGTGTTTCTTCATGGCATTCCACAGCGTCCAGCAATCTCGTGGTTCGAGAGTCAAATCATCGGGTATCCCTCTCGAGCGGTCGACTAAGCTTGCAACCGGATGCATGAAACTTATCCCAGTGGCATTATCAATCCCTACAGAAGGCAACTCCAAACAGACCGTCAAGCCATTGAAGAGGAATTTTTGTGGTGGATTATAGACATACTTTCGCAGATCTGAGTAGCGGTGCCGATGCTCTATCATCTCGAGTCGGATACCGTTGGTCTCCTGAGTCTTGCTGAGCCAGGCGTTGAATTCTCGTGGGTTGCCGACTGTGGCAGAAAGTGCGATGATAGGACAAGGAGCAAGAAGAAGTAACTGTTCCCACACAACCCCATCGTCGGCCTGGCCAATGCAGTGAATCTCGTCAAATATGATGCGTTTGACCCGAGAAGACCAGTCGTTCGCATTCGACGGAGCAAGAAGCATGATCTGGAGCATGTGAGGAACCGTGACCAAAACCTGACACCCGGTAGGGCTGTTGACGTGGTGGTCGCGTGTATATATGGCCCAGACTGACTTTCCAGGGTGCTTGAACGATTTGGAGAATCGAGCCTGTACCTCAGCGGCAATCTGATTCACAAGCGCTTTGGTTGGGGCAACGTAGACCAGTACTCCGTCATCGCCCTCCTCGAGGACCTGCTTCATAGCATAAAATGAAATAAAGGTCTTTCCTGCACTGGTTGGAGCGACCACAAAGACACTATTCTTCCTATCGATTTGGTCCAGCACGTCCCGCTGCCACTTGTCTGGCTCGAAATCACGCACGCGAGGATCCGGTGCCGAGCCCATGTCTCGATCAAAGAATGGCCCAGCATGGACAAGCTGGAATTCCAGGGGCGATAGTTGAATATCCAAACCTGCATTCGTAGACCTCAAGTCAACGAATTTGAGGTGGGGACTCCGTTGTTCTTGGACTGGAATTGATTCCAAGGCTGGCAAACGGAAGGCCTCGACCGTATTGGCAATGTAAGTTGCAATTTCGGCAGTGATCCCTTGGTCGAGTTTTCTAATCTGGAGCATCTGATTCCAAACGAGCCCCATAATCGCCATAGAATGGACCCGATCTTCAGACGTACAATGCTTTGTCCACATTTCAACCAAAACGGAGAGCAGGTACGTCGACACCTCAGCTTCCACTACGACCCGCTTCTTCGTTGGCAGGCTTTTCAGGTAGTTCTTGACCATTAAGACGCGAGACGTGAGGTGTCGTTCTTTAGCAAACTCGGTTCTCTTGGAATTCCATGCTTCGATCTGCTTGGCAATGTCCTTTTTCTCCTTCTCCAGGGTAGCTGCCGCGGCTTGGTCTTTGACCTTGGGTTTCAAGCTCTGATTCTTTCCGCCCTGGGCAGGAGTTTTCTGAACCTTGGACTTAATGGAGACACCATTTGTCCCTACTGAATCCGCTTTTGCCTTCTGCACTCGACTTCTGGATGACGTTACAATGACTGTTTCCGGCTCTAAAAGACCTCCAACAGCGTTAGTCAAGCTTGCGGCGTAGTCCCTTGTCTCGGTCATGAACAACTGATTACGCCGATTAGCACGCGCTTTCTGCCATTCTGCCATTCCGCTAATGGCCTTGTTGTCGATGGGGTGCCGGTGGTTGTGCCAGTGGCTGAGCTCTTTGAAGATTCGTGACGTGGCCTCTTCGCTGACAGAGACATCTATGGCCAGTTGGATGGGGCGTAGGTGAGCATTGAACACGGAATTGTTGAACGGAAGTACGGTCGTCGAGATCCCAGATCCATTCGTCGATATGATCGAGCCTTTTATTCGGCTCGTGAGTGGTGTTGCGTTGAAGCGAGCGTTTTGCATGGTGATAGTGACTTGAGGTCGAGTTTTCTGGATCTCCGACTCGAACTGCAAGTTGACGCCGCAGGCGTCATCCAAGAGGGATGCTAGAGCTCTGAATGATGAGAGCAATGAGGGACCAAGGGCATGTTGAGCACCAGGCTCCTGAAGCTCGGACGCAATGTTGAGAAATAGTCGCCCATCAAGCAGATCGCCAAGGTCACAGGGTCGTTTTAAACGGAGCACAGTTTCTCGCCAGGGATCTGACAAGAGGATGTCACGGGCCGTGTCGACAAAATCCGTCAAGAATCTCATGCTTGTAGCAGAGCATTCGAAGTCAAAGGCTCGATCACAAAGACGACAGTCCTGCATCACTATGACATGCAAGAGCATCGCACAGGCTTCTAGCACAAAAGAGGAACCAATTTTGCCAGATCTGAACATGAGACTCAATGTCGAGACTATCAGTAACACCCGCTGTGTCGGAGCTGACCCTGACGTGCGATCTAGAATTTTCAACGTTTCTGCTAGGGCCTCTGTTTGCGACGTCTGGAAGTGCGCTTCCTTGGTGTTCGAGTTTTGCTTTGTGTTGAGGACGGGATCTTCAATTTCACTTCCAGTTTCTTGGTTTTCGATCAGATCGCAAGCAGCGTCTCTGAACGGAGGGTCTCTGAACGGAGGGTCTCTGAACGGAGGTTCGAATACACATTGGGATCCACTCTCAGATTTAGGAGATATTGGTGATGAGTTGTTTTGTGCCTGCCGCAGCTGTCTTATTCGCATTCTGGAGCCTTCCACAATCATTGCCATGACCTGTGGTCGTTGTGAGATTTTTTCTTGGTCAGACTGTTCGCAAAGCAGGGGCGAATCAACTCACCTTTGTATCTCGGTATTCCACAGTGGTGATAAGAGCAATATTATAGCCATGTCCAATGAACCAATGGATCATTGACCGCATTGCGACCTTCCGAGAATAATCAAGTCGAGGCTCTTTGAAGCTACCTTTCTCGATTATACCACCGCCGTGTCTGGAAATGCTGATTGGATCGCGGCTCGCTTGCAATTCGGAAGGGGCTGAGGTGTCGCCGTCATCGTCTTTTGGAGAGTCATCGTCTTTGTCTTGTTTGTCCGACCGTGGGAATGACCCGTCATGGCACAGGAAGAAGTATGCTCCTGTTGATGCCAGATACTCCTCAAAATCAGAGGACCAATACGAGTCAAAGACTTTGACTTCTACGTATGGGACAGTGAGAGGAAGGTTACAGCTGAGGTGTTGAATGATTGCTTCTCGAGCAAGGAGATACCTAGTGCGAAGGTGAGCTGTGGTATCCCGCGGAAGGCACATGCGCGCATTTCTGGAGAAGAACACGACATGGAATTTGCACTTCCGCTGGAGAAGAGCACGAAGGAAGTTCTCCACGATGTAGGTCGCATGGAGTAGTTGAAAGCCGAAAGAAAGGTCGATTTTTGCGTCCGAGAAGGAGTGAAGAAGCAGTGAGTCTCCTTCAATGATGAAAAGTTCGTCACCCGCATAGTCTCCGACAAGGTCGACAGTACGAGAGTACAAGTCATCGTACCTATGGTAGATTAGCAGACAGTTTAGGAGGACATGGAAATCTGCTGGGCTAAATCTTACCACTCTAGTAGATCTTGGAAGCTGACCATCTTGGAACGATGACAAGGCGAGAGGCAAACAGCAGAGGGGAAGATAGTTTCTGCAAAAGTCGCAAATTAGTCATGAGACGGGAACAAGGGACTTTCCCGCCAGCCAGGCAACGCACCTTTTCTCAGTCCTCAAGCTCACAATTAGTTGCGCTGCTTATCTGAACAGCATTTGGTTCTTTTGTGAACGGCGAGGAGATGAAGAGGGTGCTTTAACTCTAAAAAAGCACTACTATTCACAATTTCCAGCCGAATGTTTTCATTCTTTGGAGGATAGAAGGTACTCTATCTTCTCAACATTGAACAGTAGGAGGCGCGCGGCAGCATAGTTATTTGCAATAAAAGTGGTTTCGGCCTGATCAGACTTAGGCTAGTATACCTCTTGGCGCAGGTAAACACCCACACACCGTAACTCAATTCTCCAATAACACAGCGGCTAGCAGTGTATAAATGACAAGGCTCGGAGCGGGCCGAAGAGAGCCTATTTCTAGCAGTTAGTATCCTGTACCCATCCCGTAGTTAGTTTTGCCATCAGTAAAACAGCTCGCTTGCAAAATGATGTGTCTGAATTCAGCTGTCTAGCGCGATGGACAGAGGAAAGGTAAGGCAGAAAGAGGCAACCTGAATACACAAGCCGACTTCGCGGGGTTGCTGCGGCACTCGGGAGCCTGGCACATGCACTGGATCGTTCATCGAGACGATCCGGCAGGCATAGACGACACTTGCCAGCGGCATTGAAGTGAGGTGTCCGCGTGACGCGAACATGCTAGCCACTTAAGCAAATGCAATGTCGTACACTGTCTGTGTTTTTGGCACATGTTCATGCCATGTACCCCGTGGGCTGAGCCACACTAGGTTGGTGCATTGGACAACTTTTCCCGGTGTATTAGGCTTCAAAAAATGGAGTATTCTCTAGTTAGTGCGCTATCTAGAGGGAGTGGTTGTCGCCGGCCGCCAGCCCCGGACTTGTAGGCCACTACACCTGTAGCTTGCTCGCGGAGAGCGAATAGGCAGCCTGGCTCGTAGAGCCAGACGATGTCCAGAGTTGCCTCAACCGTCTGGTTCGTGTCACAAAGGAATGTGGTGACAGGAGATGCTGAGGACAGCCTTAGTCCGAAGCATATCTGCAAATGAACTTATCAATTAGAATGAGATCAGTGACGCTTTGCTCTTCTGTTGCTTGGCCTGCTTTTCTTTTGACCTGCGTTTTGTATATCTCATGGCGAGGACCCATCTTAGTTTTCAACATGGATTCCTATCCAATTTCCACGATGGACAGCAAGGAGAGTATCATCTGTTTCCAATAGATCAATTCTGGGGCCTGCCGGTTTGGATCGACATGCAAGTCGGCCCATATCGAGCCCAGGACAGGTGATCGTTCCAAGTCAATATCCTCCTATGACTACACTTGTATCCCCTCTGAGCCATATTCTCCTCTTTTACTAAGTCAAACCTCCAATAGTCTGTCATTCAAAGCTCGAAAAGCCCTTGGGACCGTCAAGAACACAAACGTCGAGGAAAATCGCAAATCAGAGACTGCAACGGTAATTTCTTCGCGCAGTATAGTTGAACCAAGGAACGATGATATTGTGTGATGTTTATGAAGGAAAGAAGACACACAAGCAGTAGGGGGTTAAATAACCTGGAGGTGTCGCACTGCCTCGTGACTACCGTTGTCACTGCCCTTATCGCTAGGTAGTGAATCTAACTAGTATCCTGACTTTGACTACAATCCATCAGCAGAAATATGGATCGAATTCAATCGCACGTGTCATGACCTTGGGTGGCACAACAGCGATGATGAGATACGGGAGGCGAAGTAGAAGTTCAAATCAGCAATGGTCCAGCAGTTCAATAAACTTTATGGAAAGGATTTCGACGAATTGAATTCGTGGCAGAATCTGTGTCGTGTCTTGAACATCGCCCCCATGCCCACCGGCTTGCAGGACTGCCGAAAGGTGAGGCTTTGTCTGGTTCCACCCAATATTCTTCAATGCTCGCGTGGGGATAGTTGTCACTGACCATTCGAAGCGAGTTCGTCAGACGCACGTAAACAACCTCATGGACGCTCCGCGAACCGGAGCGCGGGTGAAGGTGTTCGCAAATTTGAAGCAGTTGCAAGACTATACAATCGAAATCGGAAGGTATTTTCTAAAGGACACATACGCTGGTGGCTTGCTCCGATTCTTGCTTCGATTCTTGCTTCGAGATATCCTGAAGGAGGAGGAGGAGGAGGAGAAGAAGAAGAAGAAGAAGAAGAAGAAGAAGAAGAAGAAGAAGAAGAAGAAGAAGAAGAAGAAGAAGAAGAAGAAGAAGAAGAAGAAGAA